GGCTCGGATCGCATAACAATCCTGACAGGCGGCAGCCTTGCGAACCTTGACAGTAGGCCGGTCCAATACGCTGTTATCCATTCGTCCATTTCTGAGTCCAGGTGACTCGGACGTTGGCGCGATATCTCACAGGCTCAGATTTCTTTTCCTATCGACAGCTGAGCTGTCGTCTTTGATAGATAGTCGTCATGGCTTATGCTACTACTACCTCCCCGACACTGGATGCCGACACCCAATCCAACTTAAAACTTGCGACATCTCTCCCTCAGCCGACCTCTCTACAACATGTTGTCACATCATTACCACCTGGCCCTCTCCAATCTTCTGCACCTTCTTTCACCTCTTCTCCGACCTCTACTCCCACCTCTTCTTTACCTGCTCCCGGCACACCCTACACTTTCACCCCTACTGGCACTCCCCTACATCCTGCTAGCGAGGGATACTGTGGCCGAATGAATGGTCCTTTCCTGCCTACGCCAGGCCCCCTCGAACTCGGCGAGTCTATAATGGCCGTTCCCGGAAATGCAAATTCCTCCAGCTTGAATGACCCTGCTGTGTCCACCAAGGCGCCAGGCCTAATGAGACGAATCTCAAGAGGCGCCGCCAACAAACTCACCCGTAGAAGGCAGTCTACATCCCAAAACGACAAACGAGACCGAAGCACAGGTCCCATCATCATGCGCCGGCGCAGTGATAGCAAAACTGGCCCTCAACCTGTCCGAGACAGCGCCATTGAGTCGAGCAACGATGATGAATCTGGCGAAGCCTTGGACAATCTGGGCCCATGGGCTGGCTCGGAGGCATCCAGTCTTCGCAGCGAGAGTTATATGAATATGACTCGCGAAGCTGCTCCCGTTCCAGCGGTTGCCGTCGCGCCCAAGATAGACTCTGCTGTGCAGCGAGGCACAGTCCTAACCAAGGTAACTAAGAAACGCAGGAAGCAAGTTCGTTTTTTCCTAGACCTAGATGCCGCCAAGGTTTTTTGGGATGTCTCCAACCCCGCAAAACGCTTTTATATCGATGATATCAAAGAAATTCGTGTCGGTGCCGACGCTCGCAACTACCGCGAAGAACATCAAATTCCGGAAGATTTGGAGCGCCGATGGTTCACCATTGTCATTGCAGACTCGGACCGCTCGAAGGGTCGAACAGTCAAAACCTTGCATCTCATCGCGCCTAGCGACCGTATTCTTGACCTGTGGATCACCACTCTTGAGCATATTTCTCGGTACAGAATTGACCTCATGTCTGGTCTCGCAGGTTCGAGTCAAAGCGAAGCGGTTCTGCAGGCACACTGGCAGCGCGAAATGTCGAGACTCTTCCCGCAAGGTCCTCCTCCAATAGAGGAGCAAAGTCTTGATCTCGCCGCTGTGGAGAAGGTCTGCCGCAGCTTGCATATTAACTGTTCCAAGAACATGCTTCGGGCACAGTTCACGAAAGCTGACGCTGCCCATAACGGCAAGTTGGATTTCTCCGAATTCAAAGATTTCCTTCTGCGTTTGAAGGAACGAAAGGATGTCAAAGACATATTCAAACTTCACACCGCAAAACCGAAGGAAGGCATGACCCGGGCGGAATTTTTGACTTTCCTTCATGAAGTGCAAAACGAAGATATTGAATCTGACCGAGTCTACTGGACTGCACTGTTCGACAAGTACGTTCGGCGGGCCTCTAAATCTCGCACCCCTTCTGCGGAAGGATCGGAGCTTCCTCCACCTGTGTCGCGGATGAACCTTGATGCATTCGCTGCGTTCTTGTCTTCTTCCAGCAACGGGGTCTACGCTTCGCGTGCTCCCCAGTCAAAATTCGACCGGCCGTTAAACGAATACTTCATCTCGAGCTCTCACAACACTTATCTCCTGGGCCGCCAAGTGGCTGGTGCATCAAGCACCGAGGCTTATGTCAGCGCGCTTCAGCAGGGGTGTCGTTGTATCGAGATCGATTGCTGGGATGGCGCTGATGGACGCCCCATCGTTTCTCACGGGCGGACTTTAACAACTAGTGTTTTCTTTGCAGATTGCATTACTGTCATCAATCGATACGCTTTCATCACATGCGACTTCCCTCTTATTCTGTCTCTTGAGGTGCACTGCAACCCGGAACAGCAATTGGCAATGGTCAAGATCATGAAGGAAACATTCAAGGAACGGCTTATCCTCGAGCCCTTGATGACCAACTGTCATATCCTTCCGTCGCCCGAAGAGCTCAAGGGTTTTATTCTAGTCAAAGTTAAGACTTGCGACGAGACCCAATTTGATCCCCGCCAAGGAAACGCTGGCTCCGTCGGCACCCACGGCCGCAAACGCAGTGCTAGTACGCCATTTGTGCGACCAACACCTCCTGAGATGAACAGCCTGCCCCTTCCCTCACTCTCGAGTCCTCCTACGATTGGTCCGGTCGACAGCATCGGCCCTTTGGTGTCGGATAGGCGCTCGCTTACTGCTACGAGCATGAGCAGTGCAACTGAGGACAGTGACGGAGCGCTAGTGTCTGTTCATACCGACAAAAAGAAAAAGCGGCGCCAGAAAAGCAAGATCACCAAGCCTCTCTCAGACTTGGGTGTCTACACTCGTGGCTACAAGTGGCACAGCTTCTCGTCCCCAGAGAGCAGACGATACAACCATGTATACTCGTTTGCCGAACGATCTTTCGAGAGCATCTGTCAGAGTCACGACAACAAGGTTGCACTAGAGGCACACAACCGCAAGTACCTCACACGGGTGTATCCTTCCGGATTCCGACTTCGTTCATCCAACTTTGACCCGAACAAGTTCTGGCGTCGTGGTGTGCAAATGGCCGCGCTTAACTGGCAAACCTACGACATCGGCATGCAAATGAATCAGGCTATGTTTGCTGCTGGCACTGATCGCACTGGGTACATCCTCAAACCCGAGAGCCTTCGTCTCCCGGCTGTTGGTGATGGAAATCAGAAGCGCAAAATGGAGCGCAAATTGATTCGATTCTCGATCGACGTCATTTCAGCACAGCAACTCCCTCGTCCCCGCACTATCGGACAGGACGATAGCATCAACCCCTACGTCGAGATCGAGATGTTCAGTGCTGATGATCGTGGTCAGAGCTTTGTCCTCGGCGAAGGTGGTATGGATGCCTCAGCGCGCAACGGTATGTCCGGCATCGGGTATCCGCACCGTCGTCGCACCAAGATTGAGCAAAGTAATGGCTACAGCCCCGTTTTCAATGACAAGTTTAAGCTGTCGCTGGAGACCAAATATCCCGATCTTGTATTTGTCCGATGGACGGTCTGGAGCTCAATGGACGGTCGCAGTGCGGGCAATAACAACAGCGTGCAGCTTGCCACTTTTACCGCCAAGCTCACCAGCCTGTCACAAGGTTACCGTTACTTGCCTCTTTACGATGCCAGTGGCGATCAGTACTTGTTCTCGACGCTTTTCTGCAAGATCTCAAAGGAAGATCCCATCGCTGTTCAGCGTCTGGACCTCGAAGAGCTCCGTGCCGAGCGCATGGGTATTTTGCGCCAAATCGGCCAGACTGTCTTCAAACGCTCCTCGTCGGCCGAGCGCGAAAGGGATCAAGCACAGGACCGCAGCGATTCTCCCCCTGAGGACAAAGAAGGCTCTCCTAACCTGACACCCACTGTGTCAACAACAACGTCAAACTCATCACTCATGCAATGAGAGTGGTATCACATCTTATCTCGCCGCCTCGATGTCGACCACTGCAGCTTTGCGCTGGTCTTTCCTCTCATCGTTCTCTTCGATCTGGAATCTTGTTTCTATCCATGTCAGCATCAACCAAGGTTCCGGCGTTTGTCTTTATACTGCATCATATCTCACTCTTTGCTCTCATATGTACTTACCTACATTGTCGGACGTTTTGTTTATTACGCCATTGTCATCCATACCCGTCACAGCGATACCCCCCCAAGTTGCTTCCAGTTTTCTTTTTGCCATTTACCGTTGGTATTATCTTGTTCATTTTCCATGTCCTGTCACTTGTCTGCGACAAATCCGGAAACTGACCATCCGGCTATGTATTCGACTGGGAGATTTGTTTGTTTCGTCCCATCTTTTCTTCTCTCTGTCTTTTTCACTTTGTTTGTTTGATCCAACTTATATCTTTTATTGTCATCACATTTCTTTTGTTGCGCTATCTGTCCGCATAGGATTTGGGGGGGAATTCGATTCCGTCATCATCATTGCATTTGAGGGAGTCAATCACACCGGAGAATATATAGGTGGCTGGCTCACTGGATCAACTCTTTTAGTTCATCTCGTTTTATCATCATAGCATAGGGACTTTGGATTTTTCATTTTTAGGAGGCTCTCACAGTTGATCTGTCAATTCAATGATATCATCTTCCACGCTCAGATACCACTTTTATGTATATCCAGTCTTCGCACGGATTGTATGAGTTTTTGCTTTTATCTGACAGATTTGTTGAACGAGTGTCTTAAGAAATAGAGGGCTTTCTTATATATGTGTGTAATGATTGGCCTGAGGCCCCAACACGTGACCTATCTTATTACTCGATCTCATCGAGTCAGCGCCAAGGGACTTTTCTATCTCCAGCTTTCTCCATATCGAAGCATAGATTACAGCCGACCAATCACAACCACCGCTAATATTCATTTTGTGGGGGCTAGCGGGGCCAGTATTCCCAAGGATGCCATCCTTTGCCGATAACGACGGCTTTCTTGACTTTTTACTTGAGCTGATTCGGTCATGATAGGCGTATACTAGCTCAGGCCATGCAGCTGTTCCTACCCCAAGGCTTGGTCGGAGACCCACAGCCAACTGCTCTCTTATCGCACTCGGGGAGAACAGGATTCAATCCCGGGTATGGATGTGATATGGTCCAAATCATTCCACGTGGGCGATGTTATATTATACGACTTATCCCCCGTCTTTGTGCTTCTTTTTCTTCTTCCCCGCATAGCTTTGTATAAATACTTATTGTTTGCTCCGCTGCCCTTCTACTAGCAACTGTTAGCAGCTACAAGTCTACACGTCCAGCCAATATGTCCAAACTCAAATGGATTCTCAACAAGGTGGCCGTAGAAGAAGAGGCGGGACTCACCAATGCCCAGATGATGTTGACCAACAATGATTTACGACCAGGTAAGACGATTTAGATTAATAGACTCTCAGTTCCTCCCTTTATCCATCACCCTCGGCGTGCCCTACAGAGAATACAAAGACTAATCAATGAAAACTACACTACAGTCGAACCCGAAAGACGCCAATGGAAGTGGATCAACTTTATTGCTTTCTGGATTGCGGACTCATTGAACATCGTTAGTATATCGAAATGGTGCCCAATAAATCCCAGCACCATCTAACACAAAATATAGAACACATGGATGATCTCCTCCTCGATGATCGTCGACGGTCTCTCATGGTGGCAATCCTGGATCTGTGTTTGGGTCGGATATTTCGTGGCTGCAGCTTTTGTGTGTCTGACTGGACGGATTGGTGCTGTCTATCACATCTCTTTTCCCGTCACAGCTCGAGCTTCATTTGGAATATGGGGCTCTTTATGGCCCGTTCTCAACCGTGTGGTGATGGCTATCATTTGGTATGGCGTGCAAAGTTATATCGGAGGTACGTATCTTTCCGATCCGGTGGAAGTATGCATACTTATACATTGCTAGGCCAGTGTGTGACTTTGATGATCGAGGCTATTTGGCCGAGCTACCGCAACCTTCACAATGGCCTTTCTGCCAGCGCCGGCGTCGACACCAAGAACTTCGTCAGCTTCTTCCTATTCTGGATGCTCTCGCTTCCAGCCTTGTGGTTCCCCGTTCACAAAGTCCGCCATTTGTTCACCGTCAAGGCAGTCTACTCTCCAATCGCTGCCATCGCTTTCTTTGCCTGGGCCATCTCCCGTGCTAACGGTCTCGGCCCGATTATCCACCAGCCTAACACCGTCCACGGAAGCGATCTTTCATGGGCAATGGTGAAGGGAATCATGTCGTGCATCGGAAACTTCGCAGCACTCATTATGAATAACCCCGATTTCTCACGATTTGCACGAACACCAAAAGATGCTGTCTGGTCCCAGCTATTGACTATTCCTGTCGGTTTTGGCGTCACCTCCTTCATTGGAATCATCGTGTCCTCCTCCTCATCAGTCATCTTCCACGATGGCTACACATGGAACCCCCTTGATCTCCTCGGAAAATTCCTCGATGGAGCCAGCTCCGGTCAGCGCTTCGGTATCTTCGTCATCGCCACCGGATTTTCCCTAGCCCAGCTTGGAACAAACATCGCCGCCAACTCGATCTCAGCAGGAACTGACCTGACTGCACTACTGCCCCGATACATGACCGTCCGACGCGGTAGTTACATCTGCGCGATCGTCGGTCTAGCTATGTGTCCAGTATGTTCTCCCACTTTATTCAAATCCCCCAATATAACCATGGCCAAAATTAACAACATCTCTAGTGGAACCTTGTCTCCGGCTCAAACAACTTCACAACATACCTCTCGGCCTACTCCCTCTTCCTCTCCGCCATTGCCGGTGTCATGATCTGTGATTACTACATCGTCCGCAAGGGCTACCTAGATATCAAATCTCTCTACAGCGCCAGCGAGTCAGACCCTTACTACTACACCTTGGGTTTCTCCTGGCGCGCCTATACCGCTTACATCTGCGGCATTCTGATCAACATTGTTGGCTTCGCTGGTGCTGTTGGATGCAAGGTCCCTATTGGGGCGGAATATATCTACAATGTCAACTATTTCACCGGTGTCATTGTTTCCGGTGTCGTGTACTTTGCTCTGACGTGGTTCTTCCCCGTTCCTGCGACAAGCGCTACCTGGAATGAGGTTGACGTCGATGCCGAGGATCTCTCTGTTGCATATGGGAAAGATCCTACTGACTTGGAGGGTCATGGGTATGCTGATCGGAGGTCGTTTGATGATGTGGCTGGGTCGGATGATCGGAAACATCCGAGTACTTTGGACAGGAAGCTTTGAGCGGGCTTGGGTCTTGGTTTATGGACGGCGTTCTCTTTCGATATTGGTTTGCTGGTGCTATTGCTATCGAGCGGGCTTGGATATATATAATTTTTTCCCCCTATTCGGGATATATTTACGATGAGATGACAATTGATTGCTTCCTGGGTTGATAGGTTCCAGAGATGGGCCTCCCCCGGACTATCCTCTATGACCCGGACTCTACGATTCCATCAAACATACTAAGTTGAAGCAGACTGCATGTCTGTGAGTAATCAGTAATACCCTCACGTCTGCATAGTCTGAGTAGCTAGGAGAAATATCAATATGAGCTCGGGTGTTCTTGAATTAAATTATGTCTCATTCTCTCATGGGACCAAAATCTGAAATTACTGAAGGCAAGCTTTGAAAGTGAAGGGCCAGGACATGTTTTCTATTCAATCATGTTTCCTAATTCAAAAGACGGGGGTACAAACTCAAGAAAACACCTCGTTCGGTATTGGTGGTCGTTTGGTGAATACCGGTATACCAATTCTTCTCTGGGCCGAAGACAACCATTCATTGATGGCCTCTTGCCTTCTGTACAATGTATCGTACACACTTGGAAGTCATTCTTTAACGGCGCAGAGCATCTCTGATAGGGGAGTCACCGCGGCGGAAGGAGGCTAAGTATAAGTTAGCTCAGTCATCTGTGAATCTTGGAGTTGGGCAGGCAGGCTCGGGGAAAAGCGGATAGCCGGGCCACTGTTGAGGGGCTGCGAAGCTCGAAGCTAAAAATTTCCGAGCAAGCAGCCTCTGCTCAAGCCTAACGGAGCTTGTTCACAGGGACCCCAAGCTCCAACTTCACCAAAGGCCCTTGTACAAGCCCGCAACCCAAATGAAATATAGATATGAACATACCATCAGCCTCTTCCCAAGCACGACCGGCACCGAAGCCGAGACCAACCCACGCGGGCCAAGCTCTGCGCTTGAAGAGGAGCACGGAGAAGACAACACCGAAAGACAGACCGAGGGAAGACTTGATAATCACAGAGGAGATGGCGCGGTCCCACTAATTGTATGACGTTGAAGGTTAGCCGCGGGTTCTCTCATTTTTGCTCCCAAATCGAGACAGTCGTCATATATATCAATAGTATGACTCAATTTTGCGATCTCTCTCAATTGAAAATCCCAGCTAGCTCATACCTTCTCGTTAAGCAAAGCTTCGCTGACGGGCTTGGTGGCGCGCGCGATCGCCCCGGGTTGAGTGGATTCGGCCATTGCGATAGATCTATTGGGGTGGCTGTTAGCATCTATTGAGCCGGAGCTAAACCCGGGCAGAACACGAACTAGTTGCAATGATGTGGAATTATAGAGGTGAATGGAGGCGTGTGGAGTGCAAGGAGTTTGGGAGGTTCGGCGGACCGAGTCAATTCGACCAAAGGCGGTCGGAGCAATCCGCGGTTTTTCTTCTTTTGGACTCTTTTTTTTTTTCTCGACAAATAACCACCACCCTCTCGAATAATTTGCTTTTTTCGAGATGCCGTCGATTGCGGAGGTAAGCTCAATATATCTTGAAATACTCGAAGACTTTTTTCTGAAATCTAATGTGTTGCGCTTCCACAGCGTCCGCGCTCATCGCAAGAGGCGCTACTCCGCCTCGAGAAGGGCACCGCCAGTCCGACAACCCAGATTCACGAAGCGGCACAGATTATCGGTGTGGATTTGACACTATGTGAAAGTCACCCGGAAGTTCACCGAGATGTTAAGATTCAAACAAACGCTACCCCGAAGGAGGAATGGGTTCTGCGATGGCTATTGAAGAGACTGAGAAGTGGGAAGAACTACAGAGTGGATGCGGCTTCGTTCCTCTTATTACGACAGCTCATCGACCTGATTTCGCCTAAGAACCTCGCTGCTATTCTTAAAGATCAAAAATTCTTGTCGATTCTATGCGATACATTTGAAGATTTGGAGGCCGATATCTTTTCCGGTCTGGGAAACAGCATTGCAACCCTAAGTTCTGACTCCGACTCGAGTCACACACTGTCTGGATCCCCGACACGAGATGATCGCCGCGGAAACCAAGGGAAAAAACGCAAGAGAATGACAACTGAGAATGACCCAGACGCCATGGATGTGGATATGGAGGAGCAACGTCAGAACCCCGCAGCATGCTTCCTCGCCTTCATTCGCGCCTTGGATTGTCTACACGGATTTGTGACACTTACGCACCGCACAACAGGCACTGATGGGGTGGCAAACTCTCATTTGAAGCTTGCGCTGAGGGGTGAGCCCGAGGCTGTCGCTATGCTGCTAGGTCGAGCATTCCGGGTAGCTGCCGTGGCTGCTAAGCAGTTCTCGCATGAGGGGACAACAACCGATCTTCAGCACCTGCTGTACGTGTTCCCTGCGGTGGTGGAGCTATGGGAATCGAGGTCTTACCGCGAAGATGATATGGACAACAAGTCCAGCAATGAATTTTTCGCGAGACATTGCTTCGCTCACGCACTTAGGCTCCAGATTTGCCTTCGGTCTGCCAAACTCGACACGGACGAGCGAGCCACTCTCCTGCATGCGATTGAGCGCATTCTTGCCCTTCATGTCTTACTTCCCGCTCGTGCAGCATTTTTCGAGCGTGGAGGCTCTGGCATCGATTATTCTCAGGATGAGCCCGATTGGAGCTCGGTCAAACCAGTGACTGATACCTTCAGGCCGATCATTCGCGAGTTTGCTGTGGCCAAGGAGAACAAAGCAAGCAATGAAGCTTGCATTCATCCTTGGCGATCAGTGGAGCTTCTCCCTGAGCTTTTTGACAACGCCGTGCGTGCTGTTCCTCGAGATGTGTTCCGGAGACAGACACATGAAGCTCCGTGGTTGGAGACTTTATTCGTCGCTGTTGCAGAGCTAGCGTTCTCTACTGCAAAGGAGGAAGACTTCGCTACCTTCTCTTCCAAGTTTATCTCGGTATTGGAGCACCTCCTCCAGATAGCTCTCGACCGAAAGGTTGGTCTTTCTCTTCAGACCATTCTGGCGCATGCCAATTACACTGGTCTTTTCGAACAAGGTCTTGAAAAGGTTCAATGGAATGTCACGGCTCTGTTTATTAGTCTCGGTGTTGATATTTTCCTGCCAAACTCTGGTTTGCGTGATTCACGTAAGCTTCTTGATGCGTTGCTCGACAAGGTTCTATTGCAGTGGCGCGAAAGTGGTTCTCGGAAACGAAGGGACTACGACATTATCAAGAGCAAGATCGTGTTGCCTTTGTTGCGAGGTTTCGCTGCCGCAAGAGACTTGCCTACCTTCATGGAATTGTGGCACAATCAACTCGTTATTGTGGAGGAGGCTCGCCAGGTTAACAGCAATTTGAGTCTGTTCTCGGTATGGGAAGATGATGAGTTGGCGGACGCTTACTCGGAGCTGATGCGAACTGCCCTCACCGAGACGCATATTGCTGCCCAGATGCGTACAGCTGCTAGCGAGACGCGAGCCGAGAATGGCAAGGTCGCGGATACCCCTCAGTCTTACGCCAAGTTTGTTATTGCAGAGGCAAGCTTCCGTGGCCGAGTCTCAACATTCCCGGAATCTGAAGAGATCTTGAAATCTCTCCTGGAAACCATCACCTCTACTCTGTCGTCGAAACAAGCTCTGCGCTGGAGATGGCGTCTGTGGCGCTTGGTTCGGAATCTCCTAGAGAATACCCTGGAGTCAGCCGATAGTACTATGACAGGTGCAGTCACTCCTTTGGTAGAAGTCGCCGCCAAGACTATTCACCGCAACCACAAGGACCTGACCAAAGTTCAACTCGCCCCTCTCGAATCATGGGAGGCTTACCGGTTTTCGATTGTCGCAACTAAGGCATACTCAAATGATGAGCAGTCAGGCTCATTCGTGAAAGCCACCAAGGATGTCATAGAACTCGTCAGCTCCATCTCAACCAAGGATGCCAAGAAGTCGATGAAGGCACCCTGGGATGGCCGCACAGAGACTGTGGATTCCAAAACAACCCTCGGTCTAGCTTACTTCCTGGCCCTCGTCAGGGTTCCGGAAGTCTGGGCTCTTATCTCTTCTGAGGATCGATCCCGTCTGTTCCGTCACATTCTATCCCTGGCAGCTGCTCAATACCAATCGTCGTCGTTGCCCTTGGAGGCTGTCGCAGAAGAAGCAAAGTTCCTCCAGGCGTGGGCGAGCGTGGTCTGCCACGAATATATGCTCAACGCTCCTTTCATTGTCTCTGATCTTGCCCTTCTACTCAACGAGACCATCGAGCCAGACTCCTCCAACCGCAAACTGCTTATTGAGAGCTTGCAGAGGGTTCCGGCGCCGCTGATCACTCGGGGGTTGAGGACCACCATTTTGAACAAGTTGCAAAATGTCCTCCTTCAACAGGACAGTTCTCCCAATGTCACAATCGGAATGATTACTATGATGGCGAAGTTGGCTGCCATGCCAAAATGTGATGCCGCACTGACCAGTGACTGGGATCCCATCTGGACTGCTGCTCGAGCTGTACCATTAGAGGGTAGCGACCTCGATCTTCAGATCATGAAAGCATTCCGAAGCCTGCACCGCGCGATCTCAGCCAAGCTCCTGGTTTTGTCTGAGGATGACCGGAACAAGATGTTCAAGAAACTCTTTTCCCGGGCAACAAAACAAACCGCTAAAATGAAGCAGGTGGATCGTGACTCCATGGCCTGTTACCTTCTGAGATTGACTTTGTCCGAGCTCTGGGTTCACCGCAAGCAGCTGCAGACAGCCTTTTCGGAGGAGGAACTTGCCGCTTGTCGCCAGAAAGTGTTTGACTTCGTGTTGGCTGACATGAAACACGTGAAGGACCAGTGCAGGAAGCAGAAGATGGAGGAGACAATAACCATTATCAAGACTATCGATGCTCTGGAGGATTTCGAAGATCTAGCCACTAACAACGCCGAAGTGGAGAAGTTCCTGACCAAAATTGACAATTACATGGAAATGACCGTTGATTCGGAACCATCCCGATTAATCCGTCGCCGTCTTCTTGCCACCAAGGGACCCGAAGAGAACATCACCCAGCCGGTCCTACAATGCGCCGAGACTCTTGCCCTGCAGTCTCTCTATGCCGAGGACCAGCAGCTCTTCATCCGAACCACCACCGAACGCTTCCGCTCCATGACCGTGGAAAAAATTACCCAAACAATCTGCGAAGTCCGCGGACTCGGCTTGGTTGGCGACAACGCAGGCTACAGACTCCTAGTGCTCTACCTCGCCGTTTCCTCGCTCCCACCCGTCGAAGACAAAGAGAGCCCCGCAGCACGCGAGATCTCCCTCCTCTGCACGTCCCTCACCGAGGCCATCGTCCAAAGCACAAGCATCGACCAATTCTGCTTCGCATCCGAATGTCTGGACCTCCTCCTCCGCATCCACACCCGCAGTCTCACCCAGTGCAACATTGACAGCATTCTCGGCGCAATCGCAAGCGCCTCCTCCAAAATCGGCCCCCAGATCTCCCCAGCCTACGCACCAACCATCTACACCCGCCTGTGCCGACTAATGGGCGTTGTCCTCAGCCTCCAACGTCTCAAGATCGGCGGCCGCTTTCATCTAGTGGTAAACGCCATGCAGCGCCTACTTGGCTGTCTCTTCGCTCGGTCCCGGAAACGCGGTCGCTCCCGCTTCCAACCCACCCTCTCGCAGCCCTTCTGGCTCGCTCCGCTCGACGCCTCGCACGCGACCTACTACACCCGTCTGCTTACCTCGCTGTGCGACCCTACCGTCTCGGCTGTTCTGCGTCCCCAGCCTGGTGCTTCCCGTGAGGCCCTGACTGATCAGACAAAGAAGGCGAAGCGTATTGCGGGCCAGTACTTGCAGTATGTTGTTATGGAGTATGCGCAGTGTTCGCTGCGTGGATCCCTTTCTCCGGAAGTCAAGGCTGCCATCTTGCCTGGTCTGTATGCGGCTTTGGATGTCACGTCGCGTGAGTCTATGCGTGCGCTTAACGCTGCGCTGGATGTCTCTGGTCGTGCGGTGTTCAAGTCGCTCTATGATGACTACCTGAAGTTTGGAAAGTGGAATAAGGGTTGATTGGGGATTTGTGGCTGTCCTTTGTATACTATCTTTTGCTTAAGAATTATGATATCCCCCAATGCATTGATGATCATCATATCAATTTTAAAGTAAGATGGATGTAGATACAAGTAATGTCCCGATATGTCCGGGGTTTAAAAGGTAAGCAGATGTGACTTGGCACTCGGGCATCACTGGCTTCTACGCCAATACATGCCCTGTCTGGTTTCTGTTGATTACGAGCAAAGCAATGATGCACAAGACACTACAAGAAAAGTTGAATAGTAAGGACGATTTGACCTAATCAGTTACATCCAAAGAGGTAATCTATTACTGTGGCCGTCTAGAGCAGAGATTCTAGATAGGGTATCATGGGAGGTCATAAATCATGCAAGGTCAAAAAACAGCGCGAAAAAATGAGGTGAGAAAGATGTTGAAAAATCATCAAGCCGTAGATCATCTAGATCATGGAAGTCTCCAGAGTGCGCGGACTGAGGCAGGGCACAGAAACATTGTCAAATACCGGGATCCGCGAAGACTGAGACATAGCGGAACTTGTGTGGGAGGCATGGCGCGAAGGTTGGGTTTGCTTGTCCGCTGTGTGGGAAATGGGGTACTCGGGGGTAGGCATGTCCAGAGAAAGGCCGTTGTGGCCGCTGTGTGTGAGACAGCCAACACAGCTGCAATCGCTGCCACATTGGCAGCTGCCTGTCACGTCTGAACAGGCGTTTGGTAACCCGACTGGGTATTCCAGGGTGTAATACTCTGAAGGATGCATCAACTGCTGATTTAGCTGGTGATTTGCCGACAGAGGGGAGGAGTAACCGCTGGGTAGGGTGGAATTTGGGTCTGAGTAGCTATCAAATGGAATCGGCTGGAAGCCATGGTCCATTGAAGAAGTATTTTGCATGAAGTAAGGGAAAGGAGTCGAAGGGGTGCCTCCCTGATAAGGTGAGGCTTGGTAAGGGTTGATGACTTCAGGATTCTTGTCATCGCCGTTGGAGGTGATTATGGCACCCATCTCTTGGACGTGCTTCCGTGTTGTGGTGTTGAATGGATGAGCAGCGCAGCCAAGGCACTGGCAGTCTTCTCCACATCTACAGTCGTGACAAGGATCGCCGCCTGGTGGGACAGTGTAGGAAGGCTCGACGTTGTCGGGCATGTATGAACCCATGGAGGACTGTGTGATGCCAAGACCGCTCATCGAGTTGGAGTATGCTATAGACGGCGGCGAAGTGGCACCATATGAGATTCCGATTGGCGGTACTTGGGGCTGAGAATGTGGTGGCATCATCCCCATGTACCCATTATGGAGGCTTGGGTGTTGAGGATGTGCGTGGTGCATGGTGGAATGCATGTAGTCTCCATGTGTGGAGATCGAGGAATTTTGCCATGGAGACATTTGGGGAATGGGGAACTGCATGTAGTTCTGGTTATTCCAAGCAATAGGTTGTTGAAACTGCTGCTGGTCGGACTCAGTGTACACAGCTTGGTTTATCGTAGAAGGGCGAGACGCCCCGCAACAAGATCCACCATTTTGAGCCGGTGTAACGGCCGCCGTAGGGGCTGGAGTTGGCGTAGCTGGCTTCTGCTTTGACTTTTGAGAGCAACAGCTTGATACTTGGGGAGACTGCGAGTCTTGTCTGGTAGTTTCTGTAGGCGATGAAGTCTTTTTGTTTTGTGTAGACACAGTGGGAGATTCGTGGGAACCATTTAACCTGGGCTGTGAAGAGAAGTCTGAAATCAAGTTCGGCGTTCCATCCTCGAGCTTAACCTTCTCTGGCATATTTTCTAATGCCCGTGCTATGTTTCCAGGCGCTGCTTGCATAGTACTTTGTCTTCTTCCAGACTTTTGAACTTTGCCCGGTGCTGGTGACGATGTTGAAACCATGGAGGATGGGGGAGACTGAGTTGAGTCATTGGCATCCATGGGGACTTTATAGAGCGGTCGACATAAGCATGATGAACCTGAAGCAAGTTAGTATAACAAACACATGTGTGGTAGTTTGGTGACAAAGACATCTCTACCTTTCGGAATGCGGACCATCACGGCATATGTCTTCTGACAACTGCAAGTTCCTTTCGGGTGGGGGCATTTTGCAAGAGGACGCCCGGCTTTGGGGACCTTCATCATAAGTCTGTCAAAGTGTTGGCATTTTGACGATCGGTGACCTCGAATGCATGGTTCACTGGTGTAACTATTTAGCCTGGTTTCATTGACAACATACGATATATTCCTACCAGGACCACTTGGCACCTTCTTCATCAAGAGGCATATTGGCGAATAGATATGTATGATTCCGTCGAAGTTAAGATGAGACGCAAAATTGATTCGTAATGTCGCAACCGTGTGTCGCAGAACCCCAACGGTTAGTCGATACCCCGCGCATGCGATCGCCCGTTTCCGCTAGGTCCGTGAGACGCCTCGTATTTGGCGACAACCTAAGCCATATGTATGCGCGTAATGTCAAAACGTCGTTCGAGAGTGGGCAGATCGGAAAGGTGGAGTCAAGACGGAGCGAAGTGGAGGTTTTGGTTTCTTCGTCGAAGCGGGAGAGACCGGGCTGATGTGATCGCAACAGCAACACCATCAAATATGAAACCAGCACTAAGATATCGAGTCAATAGGATCCGAGTCCATAGATCGCAAGTTCAGGCGATTCCCAAGGGGAAAATGGGAAAAAGAGGTGCGGGGAGGTACGGTACCTGGGCATATTAGGTAATGCAGTACCTTCCTATTCGGGCTTGGCGCGTCGGAATTGTTTCGATGACGGCACTTGGGGACACTTTTGGCGACTTTGACGACTTGGGACTTCAAACTACCACAATGCCACCTAAAGCCGATAGTCCAGAAGAGTCCAATGCCAGTCCTTTCTTTACAATCCCCGCTCCTTTGAAGCGCCTCTTCGACAAGTTCCCGTTGACTACCTATCCCGCCAACGAGATCCCTCAACGCCTTCGACCGCACGACAATGTTAACCAGCTGTATGTGTTTGCCGACGCATCTGGCGCACGACATGGCCGACCCTCATTCAATCCTCAATGTCTCAAGTGGCAGGTTTGTACTATCTATACGCGCATTGTCGCATGCAAGGACGCGTGTAGCCGTCCCTGTCGGAACCATACTGATCGGCCTCGCTCTAGGCATACTTGAAATTCGTCGGGATTGACTTCGAGATCACCTCCTCCAACAACCATGCATCTCCAACTGGCTCCCTGCCTTTCCTCCGCCCCTCGTTGCCGGCAGACACCTTGAATCCGATCCCTTCACACAAGCTCCAAAAGTGGGCTATCGAACAAGTCCACTGCGAGGAAGAACAACAATTGAACCTGCGATTCGAGGTTTATGCCTCGCTATTAGACAACCGGATACGCAGCGCTTGGGTAGGCCAATAATCCCATCAGAAACAAAACCTGGACTCGAAGGAGCTGACCGTGTCCGTGTTCAGTTATACATGCTTTACTTAGACAGTGAGAACTTTGACGCCGTCGCACGCCGACTCTACGTGAATCCCACAACCTCAAACTCGATTGTGCGCGCCGCTCTAGGACATCAACTCCAGCAGGCTGCCCGCGATGAACTCTTAAAGACATCGCGCTACATCGACGCCGCTGATCTGGAAGGCGATGCGGGTGGCGCATTCGAGGCGCTATCCACATTGCTCGGCGAGGACGACCACTTCTTCGGCCGACCAAACCCGGGCCTTTTCGATGCCAGCGTCTTCGCCTATACGCATCTGATCCTGGACGATACCCTAGGCTGGAAACGGAACCGGCTAGGACAACTGCTCAGAGAACATCCCAATCTTGTACAACACCGTGACAGATTACTGAAATTTTTCTAAATGTATAACAGCAAATCATGGCGTTGGATTTGAACTCATTCCAGAACAAAAAAGATAATATCGCTCCTGATTGACATATCGATCTCAACCTCTCTTAACAAAACAAACCCCAAACCAAACCCTAACCCCAACCCATTTCTTCGCCCTCGCTCCCAAAACCTCCCCCAACTGCTCATCAACTCCCCTAACAACAACCCCATCTACCCCAGCACCATCAACCTCCTCAACCTCAAACCCAGCCCCCCTAGCCGCATCCAAAACATCAGAAATAGCATAACAATAACTCGTAGGCCGAATCTTCACCCCCCTCCCATCCGTAAACCCCGCCTGACTGCGCATCCCCATCTCAGCATGCATATTCGTCACAAGCAAATACCCACCAGACCTCATAATTCCCGCCGCAGCCTCAAAAAACCGCTCCAGCGGAATATGTTCAAGCACCAGCGTAGATATCACACCCGCAGCACCCGCTTCATCCAATGAAGGCGGCAGCTTCGTTCTTGATACAGGTTGAAGAAGATCAAGGATACCGAGCTCAACATCCATCTGCGTTGTGCTTTTTGCATACTCGCGTGTGGCAGTCCGCGCTACGTCTAGCATCCCCCGCGAGGCATCCAATCCGATTACGGTGAATTGACTGGCTTTATTGGCTGTGGATAATGCGGAGAGAAGCTGGATTGTGTTGCGGCCGGTGCCGCAGCCTAGATCTACTAGGGTGGGGCGGGTTGCGGCCTCTGATTCTGGTGGGCTTGGCTGGAAGCGGTTGCTTACTCGGTCGATGAATTGGGGTAGTAGAGAGCGCATTTCGATTGTGTCGAGACGTTGCAGGAAGTTTCCATCTGTGTCGTAGACCTGCTTTTTGTTAGTTTGGGGTTTACGAGGTACACATGGTGTATAGACTATCATAGATGGGATCTAGATGATAGATGATAGATAAATTGGCGATTGGATACGCACTCACCTCGGTCCATTTATCGTATGCTTCTACCGTGTCCACATATTGCGTTTGCTTTGAGTCTCCGGGAGGCTTTGTAGCCAGCAATTGTTGAATCGTCTCCATTTTGGATATCGAGGTGATTGTATATTTCGGGGGTGTTTGCGGGGATATATAGAACTCGATCCGCGCTAATAGTTGACCTTTCTCCACTCTGGACATCTGGAGTATACAAAATAGAGTCCGTGCTACACTGACTCATACGTGAATGACTCATATTTATCAATATTTATCTATGTAGATGGAAAGAATAGAGAGATGACAGCGGGAATAACCGACAGACTTGATAGCCCTAACACCAAGTCTACAAAGCCTAGGGCTACACCAACTACGAGTACGAAGGAATATTGAGAATCATCAGGAGTATATGACAGTTGAGTTTAGTCACAGAGAAGAATCGTCCACATTCATGTCACCATCAAAGAGACAAGGAAAGCGTGAGGAAAAAGCCAGGGGAGAGAGCACACTAGGTAGGGAGGTCGACAAAGTTCTAGAGAATTGGTGTAAAAAAATAATGGGAAAGACAGGCCAAAAGAGGGCGAGACATCAGTCCAGGAAATCGCAAAATTGCCGTACCGGACGGAACATAAGTCAAACGCTCGTAAATAAGAGAAAAGGAAGTAAGGAGAAGAGAAGATAGAAAAAGTGTAGAGAGAGAAAAGAGAAAAGAAAGCACCAAGTAATCGCAGCGGACATCGCGCATAATTGGTCATCAAGCAGTGAGTGAATCAATCGTCGCCATTCAAGTCATTTAGTAAACCGTCGCTCCGAACGGAGCCGTCTCCTTCAGGTCCTCTACGAGGTCTTCCACATTATTGAGATACCTCCCCAGTAGGGCCTGCTTCTCATCCGTCGTGCGTGTATCGCGGTTTATTTTACTCGCAGCATTTGCCGCGGCGGAGTGCGCACTGCGCGAGAAGGGAGCAGAGGAGAGTTTGCTCGGGCTGCGCTGCAGACCTGGCGGGGAAGACATCGGTGCTGGGGTGGGGGTCTCGGGCATCAAATAGAAGTAGAGGAATTCGACAAGCTTCAGCTTGACTTCTCGCGAGGTGGCGCGCTGCTTGAAGAGTGATGTGACAGTGAGGAGGCCATCTAGGTCCTCGAATGTGCGTGTGTTTGATGGGCAGTCCAGTAGCGCCGTGACGAGTGTGAGTAGGGTTGCTGATTGCACGGCTGGACAGTTGATCGGATCGAGTAGGTCGAGGAGGAGGTTCATGTAAATCTCGCGGGCAAAGAGGGTGCGCGAGCCGCGATGGAGGAGGAGGGCGCCTTGGATTAGATCCAGTGTGCAGACGATCAACATGTCATTTGTGCCGTTGCTTCCTCGGCCTAGAAGGTGTTCGAGGCAGGATACCAGGCGCATAGCAACTGAAGTATATGGTTAGCCAAATTGTCGGGTAGAAATTTCACAAGACATACTGTTCCATTGAAAGCTTTCCTGCAATTTGGAAAATTCTCGAAATGCCGGATCATCTCGCAAGTTTGACAAGGTCTTTGGCACGGGCTGGATATCGGGGGAGCGTGATCTCCGGTCCGAGACAGGCTTAGGTTTGGATAAACAGATCTGTGCCAGTAGTCCCTCGACCTGGCGTAATCCTTTGCGGATTTTGCTAGGCTCGTATGAGGAGAGGTAGTCGAACGAATGGGCTAATAGAGCCTCCATTGATAAATCAGATGCGAGATGGAAATCAACCGCTATCGAAAAAAGAAAAGCAAATGAACATATCCTTAAATGAAAGGTCAAAGAGTGAGTGGAGAAGGTCTAGGTGGATGAGGTCAGGCCCTTCCAAGGTTCGGCGGTAAATAAAGCACCGTTGCCCCAGGCAACTGGTCAATAACCAAGGAACTCATCACATCGGGGGAACTCTTAGCTCTTTTTCTCCATCAACCCTGGCGTCATATTCGACTTTAATGTTAATTATAGCTATAGCGTACCTCGAGCCCTAGTCCCTGATGGAAATACAAGTTTTGACCTTACTCGGTTGCTATAGCGAACAGTATATATTATCTCCTATATCCCTTGAATTGTTAATTTCATATCTTCCTACAGGATTGCTTATGACCTATCAAATCATATGCTCCCTTTTATCAATAACATTGAAAATTGACATATCTCATTTGTCAACCCTATCCCATCCCTGTCCCCAGGGCTGAGGGTCCTGCAGGTGCCCAGGCGTAGCCGCTCGCTTAGTCATGAGCCTCGGCATCCACCTGGGCACCTGACCTGAACATACCAGGGCCATGTGCACGTGTAAGTATATTGTGCTCCGTATACATCTTGCGATACCATTTTACGATATATATTAGTATTCTTGTACATATATGAATATACGTTGTCAGCTGTCGAAGTCATCTACGCTATCGCGTAGCTCCCGGACTCACATAAGGTTATGTAGTCCCGGAGCTCTCTAGCTCCCCACGTATTTTCTGCCGCCTTCAACCCCTCCATCTCCCCATCCACAATCATGAACTCAACACCTTTCCAACCACCAAGCCCCGTGCCTCCTCGAACAAGCTCAGCAAATGCAACAAATGGCACCGGGAGCCCCTCACACCGACGTACGCTGTCGATAATGGACGAAGAACCGACGAAAACTGTACATCGACGCAACAAATCCAGTGTGGATGGCACCAAGTACAAGGATGGCACATGGTCCTCGAAGAATGATAAGATCCTCATGGGCCCATACGACTACGTGCACGAGCACCCGGGCAAAGATATACGGCGACAACTGATCCACGCCTTCAACGCCTGGCTGCAGGTCCCGCCGGCAAGCCTGGCGATCATCACCAAAGTCGTCACGATGCTGCATACCTCATCACTGTTGTAAGTTTGAAACCCCCACCCAACATCTCCCCTCTCACTCCGATCCATATACTCATGCTGACTGCATCGGCGCTAGAATCGATGACGTCGAAGACAACTCCGTTCTCCGCCGCGGCATCCCCGTCGCACACAACATCTTCGGAACAGCGCAAACAATCAACTCCGCAAACTACGTGTACTTCCTTGCCCTGCAAGAAGTCCAGCAGCTCAACAACCCAGCCGCGATCGACATCTACGTACAGGAGATGCTGAACCTGCACCGGGGCCAGGGCATGGATCTCTTCTGGCGCGACACCCTGACCTGTCCGACGGAAGATGAGTACTTGGAGATGGTCGGCAACAAGACAGGTGGGCTTTTCCGCCTCGCGGTAAAACTCATGCAGGCGGAGAGTACCACGGGCAAGGACTGTGTTGCCTTGGTCAATGTCATGGGCTTGATTTTCCAGATCTGCGACGATTACCTCAACCTTTCGAATACGGTGTACACAGAGAACAAGGGATTCTGCGAGGATCTCACCGAGGGCAAATTCTCATTCCCGATCATCCATAGCATTCGTTCCAACCCGTCGAATCACCAGCTGATTAATATCTTGAAGCAAAATACAAAGGATGTGGAGGTTAAGCGCTATGCGGTGCAGTATATGAAGAATACAGGCAGCTTTGCGCATACCAGTCGGGTAGTTGCGGATCTGCGCGATCAGGCGATGGCGTTGATTGAGGTGATTGATTCTACGCCGAAGATCAATGGAGCTGGTGATGGGCAGATGGTGCGTGCTATAGTGGAAAAGATTGTGGAGTCGACACTATCCGATCCAAACGCGCGCTAGTTATTTCTTTGTTCTTTTTGGTCCATTTGATATGATTTTGTGGAGGTCGAGTCTTTGTTGGATATACCCAATACCCAGTTCCAGTTATCTTGTTTTTACAAAGTTGGCTATATAGCTACGAGCGTTACGACGATATGATTTATGTTGATAAAATCTCAAGAGTGGAAAATGTCGGAAACGTACTCACCAGCACGCAAGTAAACGGTAGCTTCATTAAGAACAACGTCGATGTTCGGATAAGGGTATAATCACGTCCCTGCCATCATGAGTCATGTCGAGGTTGAACCCAGACGTGAGCTCTACTTACAATTGTAGATGGTAGATGATCCAAAAACGAGAAACCAAAAGTGCAACAAGTCAAAAACATCAAACATCCACAAACGCAATAAATCTATGTATATGTACCGAACACCAGAAATATAAGCTCACATAACCACACAGCAAGCCTTCTCGAGCTTGCGCAGAACCTTGGGCAACACCTTCTTGGCAAGCTCCTCGAGCTCGTCCGGCTGTTGCTGTCCTTGCTGCTGGTGGCCTTGTTGGTGTCCCTGCTGGTATCCCTGCTGGTGACCGGGGTATCCAGACGAGCCCTGGTGACCGTTGTATGGAGGCATAACAGCCTCACCACCAGTAAGGTTCACATAAATGCGACCAGCATTATCCTCAGTGGTATATTGGAGCCCCAATTCACGACACACCTGCTCGACGCGTGGCTTGATCTTCTGAATATGGTTCGCGGAGTGGTTTCCCTTGCCGACAATCCTATGTCGCGAAGCGGTATTAGACGCGTCAATTCCAGCGCACATGATTCTCGTTTCCTTTGGTGTTGATTCTGCTGGCGACTTACACATGAAGATGGGTTTGTCCATGCGACTTGGCGTATTTGATCCGCTCTTCCAGGATCTCCTCCGCCTCCTCGACGAATTGTCCGTGCAGATCGATAGTGTCGGCCTCAACGCGCCCGCTTGCATTGTTCTCGCGGAAGATAAACTCAGACGCTTGTCTGTTATATTCCTCCATCTTGCGGCCGTGGGCTTTTCCTTCCTCGGAGAGTTGCTTGGCGCCGGCGCCATCGCCGTTCGAGTAGGCTTCCTTTGACTGGTAGGATTGTTAGAGCCGATGCTATCTAGAAATGCGATTGCAAGGGTGGTAATCGAGCAATTGAAGTGGGTGGTCGCATACCCGGCTGAAACATTGTCCACGCTTGGAGGCTTCCTGGCGCGCGAGGTCGCGAAGTCGATCGTACTCCGCCTCGGCGTCGCTACTGTTGTCGTGGTTGAAGGCTGATATTGTTAGCGATTGCAATTATATAGAGCGATTGACGTATTTACATACCCCGAGGGCCCATGTGGGACATTTCGTGCGACATGTTTGTGATGATCAGAAGCCGGGGGGAAGAGAAGGGTACCTTCTTGAGGTGGGGAATACCCGAAAAATCAGATCGATCGATTTTGGGTTTTTCTAACCTTGGTACTTTTTCCGATCGATCCAAGATTCTGGCCCCATTGGAATTCACATTGTGGTAGAAACAGAAATGTACTCCGTACAGACTAATGAGTAGTATAAATGTGTATCAAATGATGTATACATTTTAGCTATAAAGCCACGAGTGGATGTGGACGATGGACCCCAGGGAATGATCTGCGTAGGTAATTTATACCTAGAGGGTGTAATACCCTGGTATTTGAGTTTAGTAATCAGGGCCAGGGAAAGTTCTCTAGACGCGAACTTCAATAGTCTCCATTGCCACGAGGAAATAAGTGGAGTCCAATATCAATTCCTCAAACAAAAGAAGCGGCAAATTGGCGGCAGAAAACGGCTAGAAGCACTAGCCTGTGGGTCTTTTAGTGTAAAACTTCAGGAACCATGGTAGGCAATGGAAAAGAGGAAATTCCCCTTTCACCCGTTCTTTTTTTAGCCGATTTGGACTTTTCCGGTTTACCTGCTGACTGATCTCCTTTGCAATGACAGAGATTGAATCTACTCGTAAGAAAAATAAGAACGGATCGACCAACATTAAAGGTGTGACAGTCGGTGTCTCGCCATTTTCACATCGTCGCTTAGGTGGATGGTGGGATCCACTGAAGATAAAACGGAGGATCCACGGATGTGCAGACTTGTCGGATACCTGTCGGGGTCTCCGTATTATCGTACAATATACCTCAAAGAAGTTCCAACGAAATCTCAAAGAACTAGACATGGAATGCATGAGATGAGGCGTAGACTAGTCTGATTGGGTAAGAGCACTGGCCTTTTGCTTTGTTTGCTTTGTTTCCCTCAGACTAAAATTATCCGAGACGAGATTCTGTTGAGATGAGGTCAGACGTCAGACTATACCTAGGTATGGAATGACCATGTGGAGTATGGAATAGAGAGTATGTAGTACGATATGCATAGATTGTACTCCGTATATGTTGTAAGTTGTACTCACATGTCAGGGGTTCCCTAGACCCATTGAAGAACCCAATTACCTGTTTAAAGTGGTCACATTTCCAGCAATCGCATCTTCCACTATGATTCGCTTTGTAGGTTGATATGCTGGTTTTGCTCTCCACACGATCTGCACGCCTCCAGGATTCCATATGTTTACATGCAGAAGAAGCATGTTCCATTCTGTAGGTGGAATAGATTGTGAGTACGGAGTACTCCATACGCCGTATCAGAATCTACCACAGATCTGCACATATGATATCTGTGCAAATGTAGAATACTCTCCGTAATACCAAAAAAGCAAAAGGGGCTGAATGGACTAGTCCGAGTCCCCACACCGCCCAATCAGCTGACTGCCGGGTATTGGGTAATCTGTGTAATCCAATACCGACGGAGTACCCAGGCAGTACATTCCCCCCCTAATTCCCCATTGTCTTTTTGGTAATTCCAGTGTATCCCCTTTCTCTGAAACTTTCCCAATTTCCCCCCTCTTGCCCCTTACCTTTGGGAACTTTTTATTCTCTCTCTTCTCCAGATTGGATTCGATTCGAATTCTTCTGCTTCCTTTCTTTTCGCTTTCTTTCATTTATACCCTTTTGCCGCTCCTTCATTTGATTGCAAAAGCACGTTCAGGTGGGTACCCTCTGATTTCTCCTTTGATATCTTGTCGAGCTTGCTATGGTAAATTCGGTTCCGACTCCTTGCGTCGAGATGCTTACACCAACTCTGAAACGCCGTCTGCCTCTGCTCGGCGGTGCTTGTACCACCTATGCAACCCCCTCGAGATCAATGCGATATTTCCCTCGGATGAAATTATTCCAGCTTGCTGACAGATCCGACTTGGACAGCCCCTGTAACAGACTCCCTACACGAACCCTTTCTCATCCACTTTCACCCCGTTGATTGCGACTTCATACCGTCAAAATGGGTTGCGGAATGAGCACCGAGGATAAGGAGGGGAAGGCGCGGAACGAGGAGATTGAGAACCAGCTCAAGCGCGACAAAATGATGCAAAGAAACGAGATCAAGATGCTGCTCCTCGGTATGGTTCATTGACCCCCCTGATGGGAAGACGGGCAGATGGCTGACTTGGGATACAGGAGCCGGAGAGTCGGGCAAGTCCACGATTCTGAAGCAGATGAAGCTGATCCACGAGGGTGGATACTCCCGCGACGAGCGTGAATCATTCAAGGAAATCATTTACAGCAACACTGTCCAGTCGATGCGGGTCATTCTCGAGGCCATGGAATCCCTTGAGCTGCCTCTTGAGGATGCACGCCACGAGTACCACGTGCAAACCATCTTCATGCAGCCCGCTCAAATCGAGGGCGACAGCATTCCCCCGGAGGTTGGAAACGCCATTGGTCAGCTTTGGCGCGACACTGGTGTTCAGGAGTGCTTCAAGCGCTCACGCGAATACCAACTGAACGACTCTGCCAAATAGTGAGTAGTGACTGCTCGCCTGTCGCATTACGACATAGCTAACTCGTTCCTTCTTAGCTACTTCGATTCCATTGAGCGCATTGCTCAGCCCGACTACCTCCCCACCGACCAGGACGTCCTCCGTTCTCGTGTCAAGACCACCGGTATCACCGAGACCACATTCATCATTGGTGACCTCACATACCGCATGTTCGACGTTGGTGGTCAGCGATCCGAGCGTAAGAAGTGGATTCACTGCTTCGAGAACGTCACCACCATTCTGTTCCTCGTCGCCATCTCCGAGTACGACCAGCTTCTCTTCGAAGATGAGACCGTCAACCGTATGCAAGAAGCCCTGACCCTGTTCGACTCCATCTGCAATTCCCGGTGGTTCGTCAAGACCTCCATCATTCTCTTCCTCAACAAGATCGATCGTTTCAAGGAGAAGCTTCCCGTTAGCCCCATGAAGAACTACTTCCCCGATTACGAAGGCGGTGCCGACTACGCCGCGGCTTGCGACTACATCCTCAACCGTTTCGTTTCCCTGAACCAGGCCGAGCAAAAACAGATCTACACTCACTTCACCTGCGCTACTGACACTAGTCAGATTCGTTTCGTCATGGCAGCAGTGAACGGTAAGCTCAGCCCGACCTTATTGCACAACATACGACTAACATTTCACAGATATCATCATCCAAGAGAACCTTCGTCTCTGCGGTTTGATCTAATGAACCTATCGGAAGTGTATCGAACCTAGATCGCATGTTTTTATTAACCGGGGCTGATCGGATCTGATCAAAAAAGCCTCGTTTCAAGATCCCGGCGTTGATTCTCTTTTGCGTTTCCTTTTCTTATTCTCCGTTCTAATTTCCCCCTTTGACACGATCTCTAGCCAGTTTTTGTGTTTTCTCTTGTCACTTCTGATATCCACGACAGAAAACAAGGATTGTCTCCCTTCCTTTTTTTCTCTTTCCTATTTCCTTTCTCTTTTTTTTTTTTCAACCCATCTGATTTGAATGCTGGATATCCTATCATCTCTCTCCCCATTTCTTGTTTATGTATGTAACCATATCTTCCCCCCATCATTTTCCTTGGTCTTGCGTCCGTTGGAAGCCAAGAGCGTCCATCTGGGCATTGGGCACGGGGAAATGGCAGGATCCGCGGATTTGAATGTTTCGTTCTTATGTGTCATGCCAGGCCGGTCGTTGGGTTATTTCAGAGTTCATTGACTCTTCAGGTTCTGACTCTTAATTCCACACTGTTTCTATACACCCTCCGATACGTATATATTCGTATACTCCCAAGTTGTAGATATCGACAATCGCGCTGTGAATATGTAGGTAGGTATGAACATCTAATCTATGCAGAGTGGAACAAGGGTATCGACGCATAATGATATGATCAAACCACCATAGACAGAAAAAGTCTCAAGACATCGGTAATGACCCTCAAAACCTCAACTTCGGTCCAACATAGACAATGAGAATAGCAACAACCCATAGTCCGAATATCCACGCATACAACATCATCCGCCCCCACAATCCCTTCCCCTCTGTCATCTTGCGCAACATCCCCATCCTCTTCCCCGCAGCCTCCATCGTCGTGCTCGTGCGGTCGATACCCGACACCGCACGGTCCAAAGCAGACTTCTCGCCCTCCAGCGTCGACTGGAAGCTTTGCGATGAGGATTTCAATTGCGAAGCAAGCGTTAGGAGAGAGCTGGTTAGATCTTCTTGTTCCATTCTGTGGGTACTCAGTTCGGTTTCGGTTTCAGCGAGTTTGGTGGTATTGCTTCCCGTCGCCACTGCTTTTTCAGTGTAGGCCGGTGCGGGGGTTTTGTGGCGGTTGCGGAGGGTTGGTGTTGGTTGGCTTGTTGATGATGCGGTTGGTGTTTGAGTTGTTGTTGATGCCACTGCGGGAGGATTCGTGGTTTGCTGCGCTTCGCTTGTTCCCTTTACTTCTCGTTGCAGGTCTGGCGGAGCTTTTGCCTGTTGATCTTCGGGTTGGGATACCGTCGCGATAGCTTTCTCGACGACGGGCTTGGAGAATAGCTCCTTCCACTCGTCATCGTCGTCAGTCTCGTCTTCTTCATCTTGTTTCGCTTCGGCCTTGGCCTCTTCTTCGTCGAGAATGGTTCGTATACGCTTTAGGAGCTCTCTGTCGCGCGCAATCTCGGCTTGAGCTTCATGTTTGCGGTCAAGGGTCTTTATTTGTGGGAGGGAGCGCTCAAGTTTGGTGAGGAGTGAGCTGGCATATTCGACGTTCTGAGCATTGGTCAGATTGTGGTTCTGATGAGTTTGTCTTGAAAGAAAGCTTTGGAACAATGGAGGAAATGCTTACCTTGTTCACGCGTATACGCTGGTATTCTGATTGTTGAATTAAGCGCCGGTCTGTTCCCGGAGAGAGGATATTATGTTCGAGTCTGGTGAACAGGCGGGCGACGTTGAGAAGAGCGAGATCTGGAGAGCCTTCAGAGGGGAATGCGGTTACGGTCATGGCTGCGACTTGGAGTCTAGGAAGTGCGGTCGCAAGTTGGAGATGTGGCGTCGATGTAGGCGCTTTGGAGATGACTCAGCATCAGGGCCGGATTTGGGTGGGGAACAACCGGGTGGATCTGAGGTTAAGTGCATCGACTCCATACACTACATCTATATACATCTATAGCAACATGAGCCTCCATCTTAATGAACATATTCGCTTGTGAGATTCTCAAGACCTCGTAGTTCCTTCGATGCTAGTACAGATGAGGCGGAAGGTCTTTCGGCCGGATTGGGTATCAACATAAAACGAAGAAGATCTCTCAGCTGGTTTGGCATCTCGATATTTTGTGTCTCCTGGTCAAAAGGTAAGAGAGCCTGTAGCTCGGGCATATTTTCACCAAGACTTTTGGCAATGCTTACTGAGACCTTGAGAAAATCGCCATCGACCTCGTCAGGAGTCGGGATCTTCCAGTCAGGGAAGAGCCGCTTGACTTTGGCCATGGACCAAGGCACGTTCAGAAGAAAATGAGTGCTACCCCAAATTCCTAAGACACCAGGTTTAATCCAGCACAGCAACATCGCGGCAACTGCCCAGACCTGCGATGGCTCTGCACACGGTTGACCAAGAAAAACCTCAGGTGCTCGCATGGCATATGGCTGAGCGTTGATCAGCTCGCCAACAGGGACTACTATAGGTGTGGAATATTAGTGAAGATATATCTGGGCTATCGATATTTTGTTTACCCAGTCCTAAATCTCCCACCTTGGCAGTAATACAGTCAGATTCAACGCCAGAAAGAAGAATATTAGCGGGTTTATAGTCTAGAGTAGTTAGTAGATGCTAACTCTTTCAAGACTTCAAGGTCAAGGATAGAAAATTTACCGGTGTTCACATATCTAGACCCTGCCAGCACAGCACAGCTATTTAGCGCTGCTCTTAGAACAGAAACGATAAGCGAATGAGTGCCTATGTCATTAGGCTGGTATTTCACCTCCGCCAGAGTGGTATCTAGCCATTCTAAGGCGATTGTGCTATCATCAATCACATCATATAGTTTTCGGAAGCACTGAGAGGAAGCAACACCGGGAAGGCTATAAGCATGAAGTTCACGGTTGAGATTTTTTACGGCAATTGCATCGTCAGGTAAAGCTCCTTTGATAAAAGCCCTACGTGGAAAGGTTAACCTTGTAGTCTAGATATTGTCTATGTAATAAGACGAACCATTGAGGGGCTTTCGGGGCGCTACGAGGGTGCTCATGTGGAATCACCTCGGCCTTGAAGACAGTGGAGATGTGCGTGTTATCTCCTTCAACGAGGTTGAGGATGCGGTAGTCCCAATAGGCACCTTGGAGGATGTTCCCCGCACAAAGTGATGAGATGCTTCGAATCAAAGGATTCCTTGCGGCATTTGAAGCTGGACGGATGAGATACATTTGGGAATATCCACGAGTTTTCATATGTGCGGATCACAAGTCGATACCCACACGGAGTGTGAAAGAACATGAAGAGAAGGTTGGAGCTTTGGAGGACGCCGAGCATTTACCCCTTGTTGGAGGCTGTGTGAGCCGTGGCTGTGTCGACTGGGATCCGAATCTTTGATGACCTCATATGCTGTACATGGTACGTTTTACGATCCAACTTGTCTTTGAATAATCTCTACGTAATATTCTAGGTCTGTCGCTATTCGCATTGTACGAGTTAAACTACGGGATAGCTTGATAGATTCTAGGTTTACCGAGATCGTATATGAGGTGATCACGACCGATCTGGGGGTTTCGTGAATCTGTGTCGAAACTACATGGCTTCAAGTACTAATAACCCCCATCACTAGAGCTTAGACGTCTTAGGCTGAGAAATGCCGGGTAATCAAGTAACAAGTTGATCGAACTTTGATTGATTGTACGGGCGACTAAGTATGCCACTCAGGGCATAACCCTCCTATGATAATATTGCCTGGCAGTATTTTAGTAACCAGAAAGTCCAATGCCTGATTTGGTTCGTTTAGATTGAAATATACCGGGCCTCTACGTTATTTAAAATAGTATAAGTCAAAACACCTAAATTACGATGACACAGAGAGGGCTTACATATGTGAGCGTTCTTTCTTCTCGGTATATCTAACAGACAAGATAAATTTGCAGTGTTATTAAATACAGATTTCGTTTATTTCGCCTAATTCTGCGTGCTCAGTGTAGTCGGCATCACAGACTAAAGTTCCTCGTGACCACCCGGCAGTCGAGACTTCCGGTATGCTTGTATATTGTGTTTAGCTTCATGAAATGTGAAGGCAAATCGAGCACCAGCTAGTGCTTCTAGAAAAACGTCCGCCTCCGAGTTAGCTCCGATAATCCTAGCATGCTCACCGACACTCTGTCTCACAACACGTGCGATAACTGATCGATCACAAGCATTACCCAGAATAATGATTTGATCGAAATCTTTAGATTCGTGTTCGGTCTCAGCTGCTTCATCTGTGATTGAAAGACTAGATTAGTTGACTCAAGTCGCGGAATATACAAGAGACAAAAAAATAGATTCGGGGTTTATCTCACCTTGTATGCAGGTTAGAAGGTTATTCAGTCCCTCCGCTAGCACGCTGATATATTCAGCTTCAGTAGTCTCGATATCTTCCCAGTAGAGGAATGCCTCCTTCTTCTGACCAATCCACCAATCATCCAGTTTAAGAGGCCATTTATGGGGCAATTCCCCTTCAGATGCTTCTTCGTCCCACGACTCAACATCGCGTTCCGCCTTCATCAAAAGCCGTGATTGCCAGATCGCGGAAGACAGAGTATTGTCTGAACCACCCTGATCCAACTGTTGTTGGATGTCCATGTTGGTCGAAATAACCCTTTTCGTAAGTCTGTGGTTGAGGTTCATGCAGCCCATTGATTCGAGTGGAAACCTCAGTTTACACCGCGTGTCACGTGTTCGAATGTCGAACTGCCATGCGCCATAATCGATGATAAGAAGCTTATGAGATTTAGCAGCCAAGTTGACTGCTGTGATTTCATCGTCCAGTATGTTTGGTTCAAGTGTCGCCAATAGTGTGTGAGGGCTTATTGGTGGGAAAGTGGGCATGATCCCAGCCTCCTGAGACGCTTCAATGACAAGCTCTCGGACCTCAGGGCTGAAAAATGGGGGGAACAGGATGAGCGCGGACGTAATGTTAGTGCGCTCATTCGTCCATGAGAGATGTTTGATTACTTCAAAAGCTTCCAGAAATCCGAACTTTATCTGATCTGAAGAGAGTTCCTCATCCGCAATAGGGCATTTTGAACCAAATAAAGCATCTCGTAGACTATACACATTGCTGAAGAGGCTAGAGTGACGTTGAGGTTTGGGACGGCGTTCTTGATAATAGTTCCAGCGCAGCAGACTCGTGACTTTGGAATAATTTGGAAGACATGCGGAAGAACCACCGGAATAAACACCTGCCAAGGGAATCCACTGGTCAATAGAAGGGACACAGGCAGCGGTCCTGGATTCTTATTGGATTAGTGGATCAATCACTAGAAAGATGATGTGACTGGAAGACCTCTCACACTGTATCAAGAGATAGGTTTATCGCGATTGGCTGCGGGTCTGTTGTATCGCTACATGGCGATGTGTTGTTGTTCGAGGCATGGGCTAGCCCCCAGCAGACAATAAAGAGAATCGCTTGAAGACAAGATGATGGCCCCGCCATCTCGCAGTCTCCCTTAATGGCTTCAGTCTGCGTGACCGAATTTTGTGGCTTCTCTGGCCTCCCACGATTAATCTGCAGGGGTAATAGACAGCCACTGAGATCCGAAACGTTGAAGAGGATTCGCAATATTCTACCTGGTTCAACGAATCATAACGGTATTATTACGATGACTCCTTTGATATGTGAGGCTATCACTACCGCTGTTTTTTGCCAAATTATCAAGCGGTAAACTAAAATAGGTTAGCGTATTTCGATTTATTTTGAGTAAAGTAGCAAGAGTGTCGAGGTAGATCTGATTTCGAAAACTACTGTAACCGAATAAGAAATCAAAAGATTCTTGTTTCTGCCCCTGGAGTGACGGTGCTCAGTTTCATCACACAGGGCATTTCATGTCACCGGGTCGTGGGTTATACTGTATGCTTATGATAAAAAATCACTATTTGGAGGTTATAGCTCTCGTAGTGAAAGAGATCAATACATATGGAATAAAGCAAATATTTGAGTCCAAATAAACATCACCACTAATTTGAAGATAGACGGCGGGAATGTAGGTATGGATATCAGCTGGTAGTCTTTCCTCTGCCGTCTCCCTTGATTGCTGGTTTGGTAGCGATAGCACATTGGCGTCACCTAATAATTTCTTCGTGAAAGATACGCCGTGATTTATTAAATGGCATTGCCCTCATGGAGAGTAGGAGAATGTGGGTTTGAGAGTACTTCTTGCGAAGCGCTGGCCAGAGCGATCAGCCATATTTTGGGTTAGATATATATTAATCTTTCCTTAGGGGCATAGGTATGACGTTTAAGAGGAAATTAGCGCTTCTATTTAGGCTCTGACTTATAGCTACGATGTTTCCTAGCACAACCTAGAGTCCAACATTGCCCATCACAATTCCATCTACGTAGATCACAAATTTGATGCGCTCCAGAAAACTGCTGATAGATATTCGGTGCTCCTAACAAGCACCCTGACAAAAAGTCGAGATTTCATTTGGAAAGCAAGCTTTTTTTGTTCTTGCGGATTGAAACGGGGTATGCAGTATCAATAGTGTGGTCAGTCAACACTTTTGAAACCAACCTGTATTACGTGCGGGTTAGATTTATGGGTGAGTCAAGCGTATCTCACTTCAAATAATACGCGAATTGAGAGCCGAGACACGCAAGATCGTTGGAGTATCAGGTTCCTGTTTGCTATGCTTCTCTAGTGAAAGTTCAATAACGCGGGAGTTTCATTTCGTCCGGGTTTGAAACCCACTCCATCACGCTAGCCAGACTTTCTGAGATATAAAACGATTCATCTCTACGCATTCGCATCTACATAAACCAAGAAATTCCTTATCTCAAAAGTCCAACCCAAAAAAAGAGCACTCATTTGATTACTCGTATCTACCCTTTTGCGGTAACTTAAGGTACAGATATGATACGACCCCATTCAAAGAAAATACTTCGCCTGATTCTTTATCCATCGACATATAAAGGGCTAACATAGTGGAGGCCAGAACAGATTAAAGAAGCAATATTGCCCGAATTGAACAACAAATAGTGTTTCCATCATCATGTCTACGGAGCAGAGCAATGGGGGCTTTTCTAATGCCCATGCTGATGAACATGGTCAGTGTCTCACAACTGAGAATTTCCACGTCTGGAACTAATGTTGCCGAAGGATCCGCAGGGGATCCAGCTTCACCAGATGCAGCCCTGGCTGCAGTTCCACCACGGCAGGCTCAGATCGAAGCCCCGCCAGAGAAAGAGCAGGCCTCGGTTCATCTAGGACAGGCCCAGTTACCCGCTGCTTCGGCGACAAGCGATCAATTATCTTCCCCGTCGGGGGCCTAACAGGCCACACAGACATGTACGATGCAGGGGAGCTATACAAGCCCAGCGATTCGGACCGTCGGTTTATGATTACAGATATCCTCCGTGCCCCAGATGACCCAAATACAATTCAACGTGCTTGGGAAAAGAATATTCCTGATAGCTGCAACCTTAATTACAAGCAGCTGATGGCTATTTTGCACCCTGGTAGGGTTCCGACCTCAGACAAGGCAGACGCCGAAAAAGCATTCCAAGAAAATAGACATCGAACTCTCTTGCTAATGAGTTTCAAGGGGTACAATGGGCTGGAGCGGAGCTTGACAAACTCGTTCCTGGGCAGGCAAACAAAAACCACCATTTCTTTCGGGGAGGAGGATCTGCGAAGTCAACGGGTTCTTGCAGATCTCTCCAACGAGACATGAGCTTAATCACCGGCCCTGGCTAGGGCTTCCTGCAGAAGATTGCCAGCCTGTAGGATGACCCGTTTCGACGAATCGGTCTCCTTTGCAATGGAGTCATGGCGTTCACTTGTGATTCATATCCATTTGATCATACGCAATCCAATTTTGTTAGAAAAAATCAAGAATCTCGAAGAAAGCCCTCAAACTATCAAGCAGATAATTACCTGAATATGATATTCTGACACATATCATCACATACTTGTCATATACTCATGTATTGCTGACCATGTATTGAGCAAAATAAAGATCTCTGCCACCCAAAACACTCGACCGAAGAACACATTTCAAGCCCACGATTTTTCAAGGAAAGACATTATTCGTGAAATAGTAAACACACACAAAGGGAAGAGAATAAGAAAGAAAGGCATCACAGGAGGCATCACAGGGGACATAACAAACGACAAGAAAAAAAAGATATCAGTAACTGAACCCCAGTCTGAGATACCGTGAGAAAGAACAAGACCACCCGAGTCTATTAAATGGACGGAACAGGCCAGCTAGCTGTATTCAACAACCACCCGCTTCCAGGTTCGCCCTCCCTCGGCATCCTCATCGCACATTTGCTGGACCGATTCATTGCGTTTTTGCACTTCCTCCGCTGCCTCAAGTGACGAAGCCTTGGAAGATGTAGGACTACTCGCATCAATGGCGGCTCTCTCGTTTTGTTGTTCTCTGACTTGTGCAGCGAGGGTTCCACTGCTTGGGAGGAGGCTTGTATGCGATAAAGGTTGCAGGATATCACATGCAGATGGATATTGCGAGTCCGTGGAGATGATATCGCCTTTCTCCATGATGCTAGACTGGAGCCAGAAGTCTTGGTCTGTTTGTTTGATTTCAGAGATGTATGCTTGTCTCCGACGATCTCCGATATACCGGTGGATGAAGATGAAGCCGAGAACAGAGAAGCTGATCAGGGTAATCACTGGTAAGACAAGTGCAGTAGTCGACTGCAGGTGTTCACACGACAAATAGTTGTCTCCTTGTTCCACAGTGTGCATCACGGGATTTGGGGTTGGATAACGTCCACCACTCGCAAAGAATATGTTGAAACTGTCTTCCCTGTAGAAGGGGGAACAGCTCAACTTAAGACTGCGCGTGTGGGGAAGTAAATCCAGGCCAGACCTTGAAGGATCTTACGCAGTCAAAGATACGAGTATTGACTCGAGACGATGAGCGGACTTGGCGGGGAGCGGAAGGAACTAGTGGGATGGTGTGCAGGAGTGGGCTTATTTAGTCTCTATATAAGAGTTGGAGATCGAAATAGATCCCAAATAGGCTGTGGGGGGTGATTGAAGATCGAAGCATGTATCTGCAAGATAGGGCTGTATACTGTAAAAAAAAAAAGCAAGCCAAAAAAAACGAGAGCCCGACAACCGGGATTTCCAAGGCAAATTAGAATTAATTGACAGATCGAAAAGCCAAATACCAGATACACACAATCCTCCAATACAAAATATACAGTCTGTTGCCTCCATTGTATACCCAAAGTGGGTAGACACGGCCAGCCAGCCCTCTCTCCACTCAGCTTGCCTCCTACACGCCACTGACACATTTCTTTATCTTACTCTCCCGGTGCTCCCAACGCTCTCAGACGTTCTCATAAATTTCAAATCTTATATTCCCTAATAGAGACAATCCGTGCCGTCGACGATCCATGTACGCTGTACTCCGTACTCCGTACATAACTCCGTCTTCAGATTGGCGTTCAGCTGGCGCCTGCATGGGTCCCCGCGCTAAGCACTTTCATACATCGAATCACACGGCAAGATTTCTTTCTCGGCTAGCAGAGTGGGCTACACGAACTCATGCGAACAGTTCAAAATCCATTTTTTTTTCTCCTTGTCTAGATCAATCGGAGGTAGAGGGGTCGCCCTGGTTCGGATGTCCAAGCCTGCGAATCAGAGACTCAAACCCACCAACGCAAGCGATGGTATACTGCGTTTACTGTATTTCACTGAATTCCTCTAAAAAGCAAAAACAAGGACATAATATAAAAAAATACAGTCTAAAGTTTAGCGGTGACCATCTTCAGCTCCTCTTTGGCTTGTTCACGCAATTTGGCACGAAGAATCTTGCCCGAGGGATTCTTCGGTATCGCATCGAGGAATACAACGCCCCCGGTAATCCGCTTGAACGTGGAGACCTTGTCGTCGATGAAATGCACGATCTCCTTTGCGGTGGCGGATTGACCGGGTGTAAGCACTACATATGCGCGAGGTCGCTCATCGTTGTTGCTAATCTGATTTAGAAAGAACCCCAAAATAGACCAAAAGGCAAACATACCTGATAACTCCGATCACTGCAACATCTGAGATCGCCGGATGTTCTAGTAGCAGAGCCTCCAACTCGGCGGGCGCCACTTGGTTCCCCTTCACTTTAATTAATTCCTGTTCATCTTAGTTTCTTGTCTCTCTTTTTTCTTTTCTATAAATACCTTCATTCGATCCACAACGTGGAATTTCCCATGGTCATCCACAAAGGCAATATCCCCCGTGAGCAGCCAGCCATCTTCCGTTTTGGTCTCTTGAGTGGCCTTCTCATTACGCCAGTAGCCTTTCATGACATTCGGCGCACGAACCCACAGCTCGCCACGAGAATTTCTCTCCTTCACCTCCATGCCATCCATCATGATTTTCGCCTCGCAATTGGCATTGAGCTCACCGACAGATGCAGAGGTACTGATTTCCGAAGGAACCCATCCGGTAACAGAGCAAGTCGCCCTATGAAGAACCAGATGGATTTAGTTTCCAACCAAACAGAAAAAAAAAAGAGAGCAAAAAAAAAGCAAAGAACTCACTCAGTCATTCCCCATCCTTGTTTAATATTAATCTTTCCCGGAGGCCACAACTTCTCAACCTCTTCACAAACCTCCCTCCCCAAAGGCGCAGCACCACTCCCAACCGTTTCCACACTACTCAAATCATACTTCTTGACCGCAGGATGTTTCGCCAATGCAACCACAACCGGCGGTACGAGAATCAAATCTGTAATCCGGAATTTCTGCGTGTATTCTAGCAACTTGATAAAATCAAACTTCGGCATGATATACACCGGCGTCCCACGGTATAACGCAGCCGCAATGAAGATATTCTGTGCCATCGCATGGTACATAGGTAAGAAGCATAGCCAGCGCGAGCGCGCAAGACGCGCCTGGTAGTCTGGATGCTGACTTGCGGTGTGGCAGTACTGGAGCATATTAGCGACGTAGTTCTTGTGAGAGATCTCGACGCCTTTGGGTCGGCCGGTTGTGCCGCTTGAGTAATTGAGTGCCAGGGTGCGGGACGAGAGGGCTGGCGTGTGGAGTTCTTCCCAGAGGAAGGCGCGGCCTTCTTCCTCCGAGGCAAGAAGGTCGCTCCAGTATGCGCAGCCTTGTTGGGGGTTTGTCAGGCCGTCGTAGATGGAGTTGTCAAAGGTGAAGATGCGGTTTGTAGGTAGGTTGGCTTGTTTGGCTGCTTCTAGACCTGTTTCTAGACTGTTGCTTGCGCAGAGAAGGTATGTGGCGCCGCTGTCTTGGAGTTGGTAGGCTAGTTCGCGGGCTACGAAGGTTGGGTTGGCGCCGGTGAAGATTCCTCCGGCCATGATCACGCCGAGGAGAACCACGGGGAAGAAGAGGTCGTTGCCTGAGAAGAGGAGGACGCGGTCTCCTGGCTGTAGGCCGGATTTGCGTAGGCCGGCGGCGAGCCGCTGGCTCCAGAGGCGGAGATCATGGGTGGTGAGGCAGTGGGTTTCTGGACGGGCTGCTTCCAAGTAAGATTTGTGTGTTTTGGAGAGAGATGCTGTGGGCGATTGGAAGAGAAGAGAGGCTAAATGGGTGTCTGGGATATCGATTGTCCAGCGGGATTTATATGGCATGTTGTGAATATAATAGGGAATGTTTTCAATTCTTGCAATGTTAATTCAAGAAGTCGTAGGAACAGGCTTCATATAGGCCAGTATATCGTCTCAGGCACAACTTCATCACTCATCTCCCCGCATCGGCTAAAGCGACGTACATCTTTTGCGGGGAACCTGGACCGAAGCCTCGGTCTTCACGGTGATGTCACATATAGCCTATTAACTGACTTATGTAGACTTGATACAGCATAACTTGGTGACGTGGAGTTGAAAGTGGAAATAATGCAATTGTTTTGAAACTGAAGCTCCATGAATCATCTACTACACCCCGACCAACCCAGAATACACAAAAAAAAAGAAGAGAAACAGCAAAAGGCTATAAAGAGCACATTCATGAATCCTCCCCACCCAAACAGGTAACGGTTGCCTTCATCTCATTGACCATTTTCTCCTCGAGTCGATTCTCGGCCCCACAAGTCGAGTCAAGAGGCTTCTGTCGGGACCACTCCACTTCTTTCTCATTGGTCGCGACGATGCGCGCACGCAGAGCAGCGCGGCGACCGAGCAGCTCCTCAATATCTTCCTTGACTTGTACCCTATCCCATTTGAGATCTTGGATGGCCGGTGTGTCAACACCGGCACTGGCACCCGCCTCACGGAACCGGTCCAGAATGTACGAGATTAGGGCGAGTGAATAGGCCTCGGAGACCATGCTGAGGCTGATCCACTTGGAGGTCGGAACAGAAGAAACGGCCGTGTGGGTGGAGAATGCCTCTGTCGCGCGGGTCAGACGGGACTCGAATTGGTTGATGAACGCTGCCACCTCGGGCGCGGTCCGCATAACACTGTAGAGCAGGTTTAGGCATAGAGGAAGGAATCCTCCAGTCCAGATAGCGTACAGTCGAGGAACGGGGTCAAAGGCTCCAAATGCTTTCTTTTGGGTGAGAATGTTGGTGAGACGGCAGGTGGACAAGTTCATCAAGACACCCTCAACGGCAAGATGCTCGGCGAGCATGGGCAGACTTGACATCTTGACCAGGATCGAGACGCTGAGCTCTGCGTAGACAGGGTCGCCTGCGACGGCCAATTGATCGGCCCAGGAGAAAAGCGTCGTTGCATGGCGGGCAGTGTCGTTTTCCTCGATGTGGTACACGATATGCTCATAGAGACGATCGGCGTTCTTCACTTGCAAGGCGGTCTGCAGAATGGCGATGATGATGGCGAAATCTTTCGGTGCGCATTTCTCCGGCGCGTCATGGAGATAAGTGGTGAGAGATTTGAAGCCCTGGGCCACCACTGTCTTCACGACTTCCACGATGACCGTCAGATCCGAAGAAACCTCGGCCTTCTTATTGATAGCTTCAGGGGCACTCCGCGAGGGGCTATCCAAGTGGAATTGGAGCGAAAGGAATAACACGTTCAGGAGAGACCGGAAATAATCAGTATCGTTATTGATCAAAGCGTCTTCGTATGTCAGATGTCGGGCTCGCAGTGCCGTCCATGTAATCTCGAGCAGCTGGAAGACTTCGGCACCTCTGGCGTTTACCTCGACGAGCCGCTGGAGAAGCGCCTGGGCGAAATCAACGCGCGTTTGTTGGATTCGATCAAAGATGGCTTCAGGAGGACCACTGCTAATATTGGCCTTCAAACAACTTTGCGCGACCAGTGCCATTGACTTTCGAACTTCGGTATCGGGCATGAAATCGGCACAGTGCTCGATAGCGAAAAACTTCCAGCTATGGAGAAGGCTCTGTTTCGAATTAGAAAATAAACTCATTTGCAGTGAACGGAAAACTTACCACCTGCGCCTCAACAAGAGACAGATTGATGTTGGCGCGCTCAAACTCCTCGGCAAAGCCACGATTCTTGCTACCAGCCCAGGCAAAGTCGTAGGACAGCAGCTTGTCTCCCATACTCAAATCATAGTAGTAATCCCGTCCCAGACTACGGACCTCGAGCGGCGTTCTTTTGAAGTCAAAGATCTTGCAGCCCGAGTAACGCATCTCAAAGTTCTTCTTCAAGTTGGCATGCAATGAGGAGTTGTATGCTGACACTTCAACTGCATCCTTGGCATACCACGACACCAATGGAATCAAGGTCTTTATAAAACTTCGGTCACCCACCTCCTTTGCAGAGTGCAGGTAAACCGCACACAGGTCCGCCACAACGGCTGCAATCCGCGTGGCATAGATCTGATCCATCACTGGCAGAGAAGAAATTTTCAACTTTGACACGTGGTTAATTATGCTGGTGAAGAACTGAGGATGCTTGCTCAGATGGGAGGTGGCCCATGGCCAATTTTCTTGCGCACGAGAGACAAACTCGAGGAGAGCCAAGGCTACTTGCGGCTCCTGTTGATCAATGTGAGACAATTTCTCAAGTGCCATTTTCAGGAAAGGCACACTCCTCATACTAAGACCACCAGAAGCGGTTTCCTTCTTCAGAGTCTGGCGAGGGGATGATCCTGTGAGAATGAAGACTGCAAGCCACTGTTGGCGCTTGCTAACAAATGTCGATAGCAGCTGCCATACTGCAAGAAGTAGGGGCCTATCACACATCGGCTTGTCAAGTTGTGACAGTACATCAAGGAACAGACAGGAAGACTCTGCCCCAAGGTGGCCGACAAGGGAAGGAGGTTCATTATCTGGATTTGAAGCGGCGCTGGAGATCAAGATTTCGAGAAGTGAGACAACCGGTAGCCTGTAAGCATCATGCAGCGCGTAGAGCTTGACTAGAACTGGGCTGGCCTTGAACAATTGTTCCTCCAGAAGCGAGCCAGGCTGTTCGGCCAGTTGTGCAGCCTGCACTAGTTTGATGCAGAGCCGGAGTGTAGATTTGAGCTGATTCTCGAAGAGGGTGAGATATCTGAGGTGGAGTGTTGGGGGAGTCTGGAGACCCTCGGCGATCAACCGAAGAATTGGATTGAACGGCAGGTCAGCGGTTGACCGAGGGCGCAGCATGTCCAAAATATAAGCTGCAGATGTAGAGAAGACGCCGGTAACTTTAGTCTCTAGTTTCGGGCTGTCATTGATTCCGAACGCATAGTATAGAACACGTTCGAACGAAGTGGCAAGCATGGAATTGATTTTGAGCCGTTGTTCTGGTAGATTGAATCTCCAATTTCCACTGCTGTTGAAAGTCTCCAGCATTGTGCGAGTGAAGTTCAACATAATAGTTCTCATGACGTGAGACGGAATACCGGCACTCCAATCAGATGCAATGGATGATTTGTTTGTCACGCTGCCCGGGCTCTTTCGCAATACTGCCCGAGATGCGGCATCATCAATGACAGCTTCCACGAGGTCGACACAGCTTAGGAGGAACGGATACTCGCCGGAAGGAATTTCCATTGCTGAGACGATTGCTGTCATAACACCACCCTTGCCGTCAGACCCAATGAGACTGCTGCGGCCAAGGAAAGGCCATACCCGGCTGGGGAGGACCTTGAGGAGTGTCTTGATAAAGCGCAGGCAAGCTATGGTTGCGTCCAAAGAATTCCCTAAATCTCCTCGGGAGCCGATGGTCTGCAAATTGCGTTCAAAGATATCGAATATCACAGAGATGATGTCACCTTGTTTACACAGCCCATCACTAGCCATCTCTAGAATCCTCTTGCCACTTGCATCGCCAGAAATCTGCGTCTTAGAGTTGGCTATCAAGTCTGTCAAAAGAGCAATGATTTCCGTGGCAGTGTCGTCTGTCCACCCAGGCGAGTAATCACCGGTCTCGCTCCATTCTTCAAGCCAGCTTCCAAGGAAGCTTAAGCAGGAGTATCGATGCTCCCACATGATAACCGCGGGTTTTGAATCGGATATGACTTGACCAACGGCCTGTCGTGGAATCTCGGAAGACCCGCTGACGATCATAGCATTGCTTGGTTCTCTCTCCAAAAGCCGGTTCTGAGATGATGTTTCAAACATTGGGAGGGGTTGGAGCAGGGATACAAAATCGGCGTTCTCGTCCTCTCGAATGGTGGCATAGCCTTGGAAAGTGGGTGAGACAATCTGTGTGAAGGACGTCATGTTCTCCACCTCCTCAAGTATAGCCGGCAATCCTTCTTCATTCAAAGAGTGCCCACTGACAAGAGCGCGACAGAGCTGCAGAAATGGGGACGTTTCATAGGGGAAACGGGACCGTGCAACGCGAAATATGCCATCCATCAACTTCTGATCCCCGGCAAATAGAGACTTAGGATCGCTGGCAGGCCCTAGAGAATCTGAGTCTCTTGATAGTTCGTTGTCATCGTCACTTAAGATCGCCAAAGCCGACCCCACGATTTCCGGAGAGTAATCCAAGAACATAACAGCAACTCGAACAAGGTCGAGGAGAGACAAGCGCATCCATCGGATTGTCAGGCCATCATCGACGGCTGACATTGACCCGGTCTTACGAGCCAGGGCAATAACGGTGTTGAACGCCGATTCTTTGAGGGCATCAGACGTAAGAATTGGTATAGCATCTTCAGCTGTGCTTTGCGGGGTTCTCGCACAGTCAAGCAATTCTTCATAGTATGACTGTTCAGATGCTCGTGATAGTCCTGCATTCTGCGTCTGCTCATTGTAGGAGATAGCCGAATGATGGCTCAGATCACGTTCTCGTCTATTTCTCGTGTATTCTGCAAGCTCCTGGATGGTATACAAGATTAGACCCCATGAGAAGGCAGCCGGATTAGCGGTGTTCAGATCACCGCATGCAGTAAGAAAGATCTCATTGATTTCAGAGATTTTCTCCTTGCACCAGAAGTAAGGCTGGGTCGAGGACTGAATGGGTGTATCATTCTGAATCGAAGAGATGGCGAGGGAGGGTTTTAGGAACGCCAATGTGGTAAGTGATACGAAAGATTGAAGGGGCAACAACACTTCCACCGGTTGTTGGGAAGGCTATAAGAGATTGTTAACACGAGAACTCAGAATATTCCACTGGCCACTTACCACTTGAATTGTCTCTAAGAAGCTATAATCAGCCATGAGCCTTAACCAGGACAATAGGAGGTCTGCAGTTGGGAACTCCACTGAGGCTTGAAGCTGGTGGAATATGAGTTGCACAATATGAACAATCTCCTCCACGAGACTTGTTCTCCAGATGTTCTCTAGTTCCTCGCTGCTTTCTGCAGCACTGAGCCAGCCACCTTCTCCTTCCAAGATCTTTAACCGGCTGCGTATCGAGCTAATGCAATCTTGAAGAAATTGGTTCAATCCATCACCAGTCGACTTCTTTTGGAAAATCGTGGTCCCTATTTTCCGCAAAGCAAGTTTGCGATCATAACTGGCGGGAGCGGTCGAGTCGGCTGAGATACCATCGTGTAGGGACAGAGCAAGCAGCTTGCGAAGTGTCTTCAATACATGGGTTGCCTCGGAGAGATACACCTCGCGGATTCGCAGACGTCGCTTTTCCTCTTTTTCGAATGACTGATCGCCGTCGCTTCTGGCTGTTTGGTTCAATAGATTGGCGAAGTTGGGGCCGGCCAGAGAGCCTCGAAGATTCTCGGTCCCAGCCGCGCTCTGTAGACTGGTCGCTTCCTCGCTGGAAAAGCCGATTGTGAGTCGCGTTGCCGGGCGGTTCTGCCATTCCAATATAGTGATGCGAAGAGCAGTGATCTCGTCGATTCCGGCTTCCTTGCTCAACCATAGCGCATCAGCCTTGATCTCCTTCAGATCAAAGGAGCTTTGACCATTGGTTTCGACATGAATTGCGGCAGTTTTGGATTCAAATTCAGTTTTGGATTTTGCGGAAGGGGAGGGAAACGGTTTTAGGCCGTCAGAGAGTAGGCGAATAGATTCGGGGTGCGAAAAGAAGACATCGATATTGCCTCTATCGTCAGCATGGCTTTCGGTATCAATGGCGTAGAGAAAGGCTCTTTTCCAGGACCTGCAATGAATTAGTATATTTCTTCCATAGCAATATGTGATTAGAATGGACATACAAGAGTTGAACGTCCCCGGAGAAGCACTGGTCCAGGGACGGGAAATAGGCCTCCGGGACGGGAGCCATTTTGGGCAATTAGATCATCATAGGATAGAAAGAAAGAGCGGAACGAGGCGACACCGTGGAAGGTGACAAGAGAGCGAGAAAAAGGTAGATGGCGAGCGTAAGGAGCTCTTGTATTGAGAGGGAGCTTCAAAAGAATATTCACCGCGACTGGGTCAACAATCAGGTGCCTATCTGATCTTATTGCCGGGCGGTGAGTGGCAACATGGACCCGGTATTCTTTTTGACTCACCTCCGTCCGACAGAGGCAATTCGCAAATATTTGATTCGGTTTATGGTGCGTGAGATTCCGTCACTGACAGCATAGCGCCTCTTACGTTCTCGCAACCGTCTCGATCTCCTACGACAATCCGTGGTCATGGCGGACCTTGTTGACCACTCCCCCCACCATGCCACGAAAGCGGCCAAATTGGCCAGCGCGTCCAACGTCATTCTGATCGATAACTACGACTCATTTACTTGGAATGTCTATCAGTACCTTGTCCTTGAAGGTGCCACTGTCACAGTCTACCGCAATGACCAAGTCACTGTTGAGGACTTGGTTGCAAAGAAGCCTACCCAATTGGTTATCAGTCCTGGCCCTGGCCACCCCGAGACCGATGCAGGAATCAGTAACGACGCAATCAAATATTTCAGCGGAAAGATTCCGATCTTTGGTGTGTGTATGGGCCAACAATGTATGATCACCACGTTTGGTGGTAAAGTGGACGTGACCGGCGAAATTCTGCACGGCAAGACATCGGAGTTGAAGCATGATTCCAAGGGTGTCTACCAAGGATTGCCAGCCTCGCTTGATGTCACTAGGTACCATTCGCTTGCTGGGACACATTCGACTATTCCAGATTGTTTGGAGGTGACTTCGCGGGTCGAGCTGGAGGATGGTAGTGGCAAGAACATTATCATGGGTATTAGACACAAGGAGTTCGCGGTCGAGGGTGTTCAGTTCCACCCCGAGAGTATTCTGACGCAATACGGGCGCAAGATGTTTAGAAACTTCTTGGAGCTCACCTCTGGGACCTGGGACAACAAGCAGGGGGCAGCCGTGGCTGCAGCTGCACCTTCGGACAAGAAATTATCCATTTTGGACAAGATCTACGCCCATCGCAAAAATGCTGTCGAAGAGCAGAAGAAAATTCCGGCTCTGAGGCCAGAGGCTCTTCAAGCGGCATATGAGCTGAACATTGCTCCTCCTCAACTGTCATTCCCCGAGCGTCTAAGGCAATCAGATTATCCCCTCTCACTCATGGCGGAGATCAAACGTGCATCGCCCTCGAAGGGCATTATCTCGGCCGATGTGTGTGCTCCTGCCCAAGCACGGGAGTACGCCAAGGCTGGCGCTAGCGTCATCTCTGTCCTCACAGAGCCGGAGTGGTTCAAGGGCACAATCGATGACCTGCGGGCGGTTCGCCAGAGTCTGGAGGGACTCACCAATCGGCCGGCTGTCCTCCGAAAGGAGTTTATCTTTGACGAGTATCAAATCCTGGAGGCACGTTTGGCTGGAGCTGATACGGTTCTACTGATTGTGAAGATGCTGGACATTGAGCTCTTGACTCGACTGTATCATTACTCACGCAGTCTCGGCATGGAGCCCCTGGTCGAAGTCAACACCCCTGAAGAGATGAAGATTGCAGTTGACCTGGGCTCTGAAGTCATCGGTGTCAACAACCGAGACCTTACAAGCTTCGAGGTCGATCTCGGAACTACCAGTCGCCTAATGGATCAAGTGCCTGAAAGCACAATTGTGTGTGCCCTTAGTGGGATCTTGGGACCCCAGGACGTGGAAGCTTATAAGAAAGATGGTGTCAAGGCCATTCTTGTTGGAGAGGCTCTCATGAGGGCACCCGATACCTCTGCCTTTGTGGCCCAGCTTCTCGGCGGTTCTAATTCGAATACCAAGGCATCCCCAAGTTCTCCATTGGTGAAGATCTGCGGAACTCGAACAGAAGAAGGAGCTCTAGCTGCTATCCAAGCTGGCGCAGATTTGATTGGCATTATCATGGTCCAGGGCCGCTCACGTCTTGTCCCAGATGATGTGGCCCTCCGCATTTCCCAGGTTGTCAAGTCGACCCCTCGTCCAGACGGTACATCACAGCAGCCGGTAAACGCGACGTCACTGGAATGGTTCGAGCATTCTACTAACATCTTGCGTCACCCTTCTCGTGCTTTACTCGTGGGCGTGTTCATGAACCAGCCGCTATCATATGTCCTTTCTCAACAACAAAAGCTGGGTCTCGATGTTGTGCAACTGCATGGATCTGAGCCATTGGAATGGTCTAGTTTGATCCCAGTTCCTGTCATTCGCAAATTTGCCCCTGGCGACTTTGGCGTTGCTCGCAGAGCATACCATACTCTTCCATTACTGGACTCTGGTGCCGGTGGCTCTGGTGAGCTTCTGGAGGAGGCTGGTGTCAAAAAGGTCCTCGATAGTGACGAAGGGTTAAGGGTCATCCTGGCTGGAGGATTAAACCCGAACAACGTGGTTGACACGGTGAAAAAGCTGGGCCAGTCGGGCCAAAAAGTGGTCGGATTGGATGTCAGCTCAGGTGTAGAGACAAACGGGGCTCAGGATTTGGAGAAAATTCGAGCCTTTGTCAAGGCTGCTAAAAGCATTCGGCAATGAAAAGGCTAGGAACATGCATTTACACTCGGTAGAAGGATGACTTCTTTTCTCATTCCATTTCGGGGTTTTATATTCAATCATCATAAGCAATACCTGTTCATAGCAATTACAATTTTCCGGGATTTCATTTTACCTCCCCTTACTTTCACTTGCTTGATAATGACTTTACTTAAGGTACCAACAGGAATGGTCTTTCATACTTTCCTGAAGTAGATTTCAATCTCAAATTACTTTCGAGGTCCCATTTTCTCTTTCTCGTCACTGTCAGCCTCCAGAAATCATCATGCCAAGTGCATTTCATATCAAGGTTGCAAAGGCAGACCAAATCGACAGATTTGTGAAGTATATCGCAGTATCTCCTCAAATCCGTGTCCCCTGGCAAGAAACATATTTCATTTTTAGCCGCCTCCCCTTCTGAAGGAAATTTCAGTAGACAGCAGAGGTCAAACGAGTTCTCGGATCATCGAACTAGTCCTTTCATTCATTATCTCGAGGACTTTGCTTCCAGCAATGTATACACTTCATTTCTAAAATATTCCTGCAGTCAGCAAATACCAAGCAAAGTTCTGGCTCACAAAACTAGTCTCCGCAGTATTTCAGTCTTTCTCCTGGCAGCATAAGACATTTACCTCTAGGGCCATTCAGCGTGGACTGAAAATGGGGAAGCCTTTCCAAAGAATCCATGCCTCTATAGCAGGTAAGTTCGAAGACGGCGTCGGCGAGAAGATCCCACAGTGGATTCGGGCAAATGGAGGGCAGTTCTCGAGAGACGTGAATTCTCGAGTTACCCATCTCATTGCCACAAAGGAGGCTTTCAAGAACAATGCAGTCTCAGGTATATTACCCTTCAGTTTTTCGAAGGCCACAAGATTAATCAACGGTATATAGTGGCAACTGCGAAGAAAATCAACACCGTCAAGATCGTCTCATACGATTGGCTTGAAGACTCGCTATTGTCAGCCACCCGCCGGCCAAAGCCCGAAGGGCCATATCTTTTGAAGAATTTGATGAAACCCGAGAAAAAGGAAGCCCAGAAGAAGAGGGCCATACCACAGTCCTCAAAGGGGCTCAAGGAGATCAAAGCAAAAGCTCCAAAACGTCGGATAGGTATTGGTTTCCGATACCCATTATAGTGCCACAATGCAGATACTAACACATCACCTATAGCTGATCCTTTTATCGGCCCAAAGGGCAAAAGCAAGCGTAAGCATGATCCTCACACCAGATGGCATATCCAGGTCTAACAGTTATCCCTCCCACAGCGGTGCGTCAGGTGTACCAGGACAGAAAGACCAACATCATTTACAGCACTACCTTATTCCGCCCATCAAAACCTCCAGTCACTAGCAGGGAGAAATATCAATTAACCGTAAGTGATATTGTGGTACCATGTGAATGTTTTCAAGATATTGAGATATTACCTAGGTTTTTGAGTCCACCGCCGACCCACGCACCTACTCGACCTACGCCAAATTCAGCCGAGTTGGTACATCCAATGTCGAACTTCTGGCCGGCCCAAGGTGCAAGCTCGAGCTTGCCGTGGACAAATTCAAGCAATTCTTTCAGGAACAGACTGGCAAGGGATGGGACGAAAGGGCAAACGGAAAGATGCCACCGCCAAAAAGTGACCAAGATGGCAAAATATTGCCAGTTCACGAGGGCTGGTTCTATCTTGAGGAAAAGACGACCATTATTGGTGCATTCCTCAGGGAACACCAGAGAGCAAGTCCTCAAAGATCGACTGCCGACACCCCATACGACGGTACCCAAGGGGATCATATCGTGGACAAGATGACAAACCGTCAAATCGAAGATGGGGGCCAAGATAGATCCGAAGCTGATGAGGACGACAAAATGAACAGCTAGGTACTAACTGCATGTGGAAAAAAATGATGGGAATCCCTCCAGGTGGACAGCACCTGTACTCTTGAGTGGATTTTCCGAAGGACGTGGATGGGTCATGATCAACACAAATTTACGCCGAATGTAACTTCGATGATTTTAGGACAGCACATATGAAGATATTTATGCGCTTATTCTTTTCCTTGTGTTTTTCTTCCCAAGACAATTGTAGAGACAGCAAGCTAGACAAGCCACGTACTAAGTGATGTTGAGTCCTACCAGCCTTTGCAAAGTTCCAAAATATAGCAATGGAGCCTCCGGTGGGGCCGATGGATGATCATGGCTTTTTAGGGCTAACCCATGCATGAGCCGCATGTCTCCACTCTTCAACTGGCTGCAATCGCTTGAAATGATAGAAACCCATGTTGGCTTTGCCGTACCTGCGATGTACAAAATAAATCCACTATATGCATGATATCTTATAGCTTAGTATAGCCTATAGGCCAGAGCTGATTAACCTTAGCACTCATCTCAACATATAGTGCCCTATCAAGCTTGGGGAGGCCGCGAGTTTGGGTTTCAGCGATGCCCCCCGTCTTCCCGTCTCACTGCCTAGGTAGGGTTAGGGCTCTTACTTCGTGATTTCTGCTATGTTTTTCATTCTGGCCAGGCCACGGAGAAGGAAACGAGAAATAATATAAACAGCCCGGGAAGAAGCTACTAAAACCATATACCACGGGATGGGCCACACCGATGTTTTGTTTGTTGTGCCTATAGAGATATCATTTGTCTTATGTTCGGCAAAACCAAGGAATCATCCTACATTCTTAATTTAGAAATCTTCAAGGGGTTAAGGGTCAGATTGTATGTTTTCATACACTATAGCATAAATTATAGATTGACGATCAAAGCTGCCAAAAATTGGGTCATGACGGTCCCAGAAATCTGCTGTACATGTCTTTAATATTTTGTTCAGACATCCTCAAAATCATAAACTTAAACATGACAAAAGAACCCATTCTAATTGCCCTCTAACGCCAGATACGCCAGTCGATCAACATTGTGAGGAGATGTCCTGCTTTGGCCATCTCCACCGCAGTCAATGTAGTGATGCGAGTTCGTAAAGAATCACAGGTATTCCTTCTTTTTGCTGGTTCTCGTGTATTGGGTAAGAGCCCATTCGATGTCGCCGCTCGAGCCTTTCTCCAATGTACCTCCACGGATCTCGAAAAGTCGCATTGTCATGCGAGGTCCAACTTCAGCCAGCTCCACATCACGGTACCCAGTCTTGACGAACACATGGTGGCGCACTTCGATGTTGTCATCCTTGTTCACGAAGCTTACAACACGGTTACCGACCTTTCCAGTCTCGCGAGGAGGGAAAAGGTGCTTGAGAATCTGAACAACACGGGCACCCAGCTTCGTCTTGAATCCCTCAAAGATCAAGTGCGGGTAGCTTTCTGACACTGTACCACGTGCGGCATTGGGAATATCCTGACGAAGGACGACGTTGTGAAGAGAAAAGCTGGCAGTTGGGCCATGAGGAAGGTGTGAGATAGTGAGTGCGGTCGGGGTACCACGGTGCTCGTGAAGGAGGATCATGTCGGTCAGAGCCGCGGAGGTGGCGCTGGAGACGAGATCTCCAAGAACGAGAGTTCCACGGTTGAGGCGAATGGATGTAGGTAGGAGAAGGCGGATTTCTTTCGCGAATGCGCCGAGACGAGCGGAGGGTGAGCGAGAGGTGGTAACCAGAGGACGGGGATCGATAATGCCGGAGGTTAAAACATATTCATCATCGATGTCCATCTCAGCGTCTTCCTTGTCCTTTGATTCGTCATATTTGAAGTCTTCCCGAAGCGTTTTATCATTTGCGATTGTAGGATCTAAGGGCTTTCCAGAAGCCAGTGAAGCCTTAAGTTGCGATCTTTTTTCGGCAATAGAGGCATCACGGAGTAGCAAAGCTCTGCGATAGAGATAATCGCGACGCTCGCGAGTTTGGCGGCGCTACTGATTGTAAGTCAAATATCAAATGTGTCAAATTTATCCTTGACTTACCAGCATTTTGAAGATTGAAGTAAAAGTGGTTAAGCAAAGAAGAGCGGGCAACTTTTTTTTTCTCTGTTAACTCCGGGGCTGCGTTCATGGTTTATCTGCGCTGCCGTAGTGGGATCGCACCGATAAAGAATCTGGGCAGTTGCGGAGACGCTTTTTGCTCATCTTTCGAGACAAACTCATCGACTTTCTTTTGTCAGTCCTCTGAGACAGAGAGCTGGACTGGTTGTAGGTGGTCATCCGCTGTCGTCAATACCATAGAGCTAATCCCATATTTCGATATAGATCTCCGTTCGTTTGCCCCTCAGGCACACCCTGGAGATTTCAAACCTTGAATACCCCATAGGACGACCGGATTGTCCTCTACATTCTTTTATCGTTTACGACTGCGAGCATTACTTCTGATTTAAAATCCCTTTTGCTTTTTTTCCTGCTTTGAATCTTGCTCAGCTTCATAGTCATCCCTATCAGCGTTCCCAAACGGCACTCGTAATGAGCTACCAACCGGAAGGCCCCTCGGCGGGAGCTGAAATTGACGAGATTGATTCAAGCGCACTTGGTCGCGCGCGTCCACGTCGACATGATGACGAAGATGAGGGCTCTGATACCTTCGAAGATGACGACATGGAAAGCACAGTCGGTGCACCCACAAACGGGAATCAGAAGTCCCAAGGAAATGGAGATGAGGAAATAGAGCTTCCTGCCCATGCATGCGCGTCAGTTCTTACAACTTCTTTGTGTGGTTGAGCATTTACTAACTATATTGTAGGTATTGTGGCATTCACAACCCGAGTAGCGTCGTCAAATGTCTGTCGTGCAATAAGTGGTTCTGCAGTGCACGTGGCAATACCTCTTCCTCCCATATCGTCAATCATCTTGTCCGAGCTCGTCATAAGGAAGTCCAACTTCACCCAGCCTCTTCTTTGGGTGATACTATTCTGGAATGCTACAACTGTGGCACCAAAAATGTCTTTTTGCTTGGCTTCATCCCCGCCAAATCTGATACCGTTGTTGTTTTGCTTTGTCGGCAGCCATGTGCTTCGATGCCCTCCTCCAAGGACATGAACTGGGACACCTCACGCTGGCAGCCTCTTATTGAGGATCGTTCTTTCCTCCCCTGGCTTGTTGGAGCACCCACTGATCAAGAACAACTCCGAGCTCGTCACCTCAGTCCTCAATTGATTGCGAAATTGGAGGAAATGTGGAAAGACAACTCTCAGGCGACTCTGGAGGATCTAGAGAAGGCGACAGCAGTTGATGATGAGCCTGCGCCAGTGCTACTTCGCTACGACGATGCTTTCCAATACCAGAATATTTTCGGACCACTTGTTAAGATTGAGGCTGATTACGACCGCAAGTTGAAAGAATCTCAATCTCAAGATGGGCTCATCGTGCGTTGGGATCTTGGTCTCAACAACAAGCACCTCGCAAGCTTTGTATTGCCCAAACTTGAGCTGGGAGATGTCAAATTGGCCGTAGGTGACGAGATGCGCATCAAGTACAATGGTGAACTGCGTCCCAAGTGGGAAGGAGTAGGCTATGTCATCAAGATCCCAAACAATCAGTCTGATGAAGTCACTATTGAACTTCGCGCCAAGGGCGACCACAAGTCAGTTCCTACCGAATGCACGCACAATTTCATGGCCGACTATGTTTGGAAATCGACTTCCTTCGACCGCATGCAATGTGCTATGAAGACATTCGCGGTTGATGAGCAGAGTGTCTCAGGCTACATTTTCCATCGCCTCCTTGGCCATGAGGTTGCTGCAGCTCCTATGAAGACCCAGATTCCGAAGAAATTCAGTGTTCCAGGCCTGCCAGATCTGAATGGCAGTCAAATCAACGCAGTCAAAAGTGTCCTCCAGCGACCACTCAGTCTGATCCAAGGTCCTCCCGGAACTGGCAAGACCGTTACCTCAGCCACCATCATTTATCATCTTGCCAAGATCAATGGAGGCCAGGTTCTTGTCTGCGCTCCGTCCAACGTTGCCGTTGACCAGCTCTGCGAGCGTATCCATAGGACGGGTCTCAAGACCGTGCGAGTAACTGCTAAATCTCGCGAGGATGTAGAATCTGCTGTCGGTTTCCTTTCGCTACACGAACAGGTTCGAATGAATGATAGCAACATTGAGTTGGTGAAACTCAATCAACTCAAGGCCGAACTTGGGGAATTGTCCAGCCAAGACGAAAAGCGCCTGAAGCAACTTACTCGCTCTGCTGAGCGAGAAATTTTGACCAATGCAGATGTCATCTGTTGCACCTGTGTTGGTGCTGGTGATCCTCGTCTTTCAAAGGGGAAGTTCCGCACTGTCTTGATCGACGAATCAACCCAGTCTGCTGAGCCCGAGTGTATGATCCCCTTGGTTCTGGGCTGCAAACAAGTTGTGTTGGTTGGTGATCACCAACAGCTTGGCCCTGTGATCATGAACAAGAAGGCCGCCAAGGCTGGCTTGAACCAGTCTTTGTTCGAGCGTCTCGTCATCTTAGGCTGCTCTCCTATTCGCTTGAATGTCCAGTATCGTATGCACCCGTGCCTTTCGGAATTCCCATCCAATATGTTCTACGAAGGCTCGCTGCAGAACGGTATCACTATTGCTGATCGTGTGCGCCGTGATGTTGACTTCCCTTGGCCTATCATTGATGATCCCATGATGTTTTGGTCAAACCTTGGTAATGAAGAGATCTCCGCATCAGGCACCTCGTATCTTAATCGCACTGAGGCTACCAACGTCGAGAAGATTGTCACGCGCTTCTTCAAGGCAGGTGTTCAGCCTAGAGATATTGGTATTATCACTCCATACGAGGGACAGCGGAGCTACATCGTCAGCTCCATGCAAGCAAACGGCACTTTCAAGAAGGAACATTACAAGGAGATTGAGGTTGCCTCGGTCGATGCATTCCAAGGCAGAGAGAAGGACTACATCATCCTTTCTTGTGTTCGTTCCAACGATCACCAGGGTATTGGTTTCCTGAGCGATCCCCGTCGTCTCAACGTGGCCCTGACTCGTGCTCGATATGGTCTGGTTGTGCTCGGAAACCCCAAGGTGTTGTCTAAGCATCCATTGTGGAACTGCCTTTTGCAGCACTTCAAGGAACGCCACTGTCTGGTGGAGGGACCCCTGTCCAACCTTCAGGAGTCCTTGATTCAATTCAGCCGCCCTAAGCAAGCATACAGAGGCCCGCAGCGCTTCCAGATGTCTTTCAGTCAGACAAATAATACCCCGAACAATGGAGTGAATGGTCGCAACGGCGGTCACCGCAATGAGTATCACGACTCTGGGTCTGTGGTAGGCTATATCCCCGACGATGTGTCCTCTGTTCACGGCTCGGCACTTGGTGGTGTTGGTCTTCCATCTGGCTACCCCCCTATGTTCCAGAATTTCGGCGAGTCCTGGCCTGCCATCTCTGGCGGTCGTCGGGCCAACGGTGCCCGACCCAAGGGAGCCCCCAGTGTGGCTGGCGAGTCAGTCGCTGCCACTGAGTCTGATGTCACCTGCAGCGTCACTGACGGACGGAGCGTTGATCAGGGCGGTGTCAGTCTCACTGGCCTGAGCATTAATGATATGAGCAAGCAGCCCAGTCTCAGTCAATCAGACCGACTGAAGCGCTACGTCGAGTCTGGCGGACGCGAACCTTATAGGGCTGGAGTCCCGGACAATGGCAGCATCTTCGGAGGCAGCTCCGCCAGCATTCGCGTCACTCGCGGTGTGCCAGGCCAGAATTCTCACGACGATGATGACGCCCGTAGCGTCTCCACTGCTTTCGCTAGTCAAGTCGGTGGTAACTATGACTGAGTGACATTTTTGTCCCACATCTCCCAGGGCAACCTCCAACAGGTTCGCCCGTCTTACCAATCGGCGAAGCAATGTCCGTGCATACTATCAGGGTCCTTTCTAACAGAGTCTGCCCGCCCGTTTCTTTTATGCCAACCAGGACTTTGGATCGGCAGACCCAAGACTTTTCGGATGCTTATTCCCGGGTCCTTTTGACCTACCACCAGAGCACCGTTCTGTCTGTCGAAGGATTGTTCCCTGGCTCTGATCCCTCACCATTGTCACCGTGACATCTTTACAAGGCGTGACTTTTTGGGGATGGGGCGACAGCCAATGATCAGTATCTTCCGGTTGAAGGAATCACTGACCACTCACCCGTCGATTGCGATGCCCAGTTCCCATAGCCCCGGTAGCAATTACTGGGCAATTCCGCGAATTTACCCCTATCCCTTGGCCGTGTTTCATACTTGCTACCTTCATCTTTTAGGTAGTCAGGTTCCTAGTTTAGAAAAACAATGCCAATTATGATTCCACCTCTCTTGAATATCCGTAAGCAGGCCACATAAAAACCAAAACTCAGCCGACCCATCCAGAGTTGGAATCTGCGTCGGCTTATATTGCCGAGTTAGGGCTTAAGCCGTCTCTCCGCATCAGCTTGTACTCATCAGGCCCATCAGCCCCATCAGCCGCTCCTAGTATCAGCCTTACTGTCGTACTCACTCAGGTTCATGATGTCAAATAAGCCGCAGTTCATTTCAGCACTTATCTTCTATCACTCATGCTTATTGTGGCAAAGCGTCTATAGTGGAATCAACCAATTGACTCAAACGATGTCTATGTTACAATAGGTGAGTATACTAGGTACATGAGGTCCATTGGAAATCAGTGACATGATTTTCCATATTTCCGAAGACGCAGGTAGTTATATGGCAACGGTGCCAGATAGCCAGCACCGACCGATACCACCGCTGCCATCCAGAACTTCGGATCTCCCAACGCAACTATCCCACCGGTCAGATGATAGTCAACTGCATTTTCAGCTAGTTCCATGGCCAACATCGAAAACATACTCATGCCCATAGCGGTCCGGGCAGCCATCGGCCAGGACAGCTGGTCAGCCCCCGTCGGAGAAGGACTGTCTCGAGAATAACCGAAGTTGTGATACCAGACACCACTAGATGACTGTTCTTAGTACACAAGATCCAGTTCAATTTCATTCGTCCAAGGGGGGGGTCAACTCACTCGACAAGGCCATTATGCTGCCCATACCCATCTCAGCGTAGTAGGTCTGCAGGATCCATAATGCGGAGAAATCTCCGGCTGTGCATCCCACCAAACAGCGGAAAGTGTTGATTCCTGCTCGTTTCCAGGTGGATCTGCAGGCCCAGAATGGAAGACTGAGGGCCGAAAGGGGTTGGGCTGGCGGCTTGTTGGTACATTTTGGGGCCTGAGATAATTGGTTTGCAGGCTCTATGCTCTTTGGGCACTGTTTTTTCTCTGTATGGCAAGCTTGTACACGAGCGGTGCCACTGAAGGCGCGTCTTGGGGCCCAGCAAACGCCTCGGCTCCGCTGAAATAAAAATTGGCAGCGCATTTGATTCATACTCCTATTTTTTGAAATATTATGACGATTCCAATTGAAGGGCAATATACACGAGTCTGAAAATGAAAATTTGAAAGAACAATGTCAAGGGGTGCCGGGTTGGTAGGGATGGTGGAGCATTGTCCCTGGGCCTGTAGCACAAATGCCGCAATGAAATAGTACCAGATATACAATTTACACGCCTAACCACATACTGAGGAATATATCACTTCATGACATGATTTACATGATTCCACGTCCTCTCACACAGGCGAGATAATTGGGAAAGCGGAAAGACAACAATATAGGGCGAAAATCGAATATCAAGTGCTGAGCACCTGGAGACTATCCGGTGGGGCTACGGGAACAGGAACATCTCACCTTGACAGCACGATGAACTCATTCCCAACATTTGACGTGGATGTGGTTGTCATGCAATCAACTGTATGTCTATTAGTCCACGTCGAATGGTGGCTTTGTGTTTCCAGTTTGGGCGTCCTTTCGTATAGATCTGGGGCCTCCTACATCCGTTACTTGCTTAGAACATAAATTCAAACTGGGCAGAAAATTACTCCAAATAGATGAACATGCATTAGACTTGCCTAGTATCAAAGACTGTTCTATTATGGTAGAGGCTGTGCTAACTATGCTTTAGAATCTATCCCCTCGGGGAATTCTTGATGCTTGGATGAATACATGACCTTGAACTATATGGCAAGTTTTCTAGCCTTGTATATCCGAAGCTAATCCGTAGGCTACAAGATTCTCCATACATTGATCTTCCAAGCATATCCGTGCAGGCCACGTTGTTTCTGTGCTACCTCCTTGGGATCCCGCATAGCGTTCAGGTCCTAATTTTAAGTGTTTGCATAGCCTGGTTGAAGTTGAGACAGCGTTCCTAGATGGATCCCTATGGCTGGTACTCCTTTTAATAGAAACGATGGATTGCGTGGACATGCAGAGTATTGAATTTTAAAGCTTGTTAACCACGAGTTTGTTGCAGCCTAAGATCGGGCATAGCGAACGGGCATAGCGAGCGGACATGGCGAGCGGACTTTGCAGAAAGGCACAGCCCGGATGCCCGATCTTGAATGCTTAAATAAGCATACTTGCCATGCACGTGATGGGAGATCAGGCCGATCAGTATCACGTGCACTCACCGCCACTGGATTTGTCACCATTTGTGGCGACCCTCAAATAATATTCTAGACTGGACGGCTGCCTGACAGGCATCTTGCTTTGATACCTAAATCGGATCCGCCGATATGGAGCAATGGGACTGGTACCTCCGTAGAGACTAGGAGAATATACAGTCATACACTCGGTGTCTGTATAGGGTATGAGTCACTTGTGTTCCTTGGCCCCCTCATCTCAACCTGGAAAAGGCATTAATAAACCAGTGCTGTCCACATTTTGACACATTTATACCTGCATGTATATAAGCTCCAGCCAGTTATGAGTTCATATGACATTCCAGCTGCTTGGAAACTCCACTAGAAGACGAAAGAACCAATATTCTGCAGGGCCGCTGAGCAAGGATCCTGCGCCACAGTGGCGCACCGCACCTGACGCAACCAGTATAAGTAGCCCGGCTGATGCCTTGCTACCTGAAAATTTTGGCACTTCTCATCTTCACCCAGAATCCATACCCATCGACATCTAAGCCTTCACCGCCAATTATTTGATTTTTTTTCTTAAACAACCTTATTCTTGTTGTTTACCTCTATCCAACTACTTGTTGCTTCTACATTTCTCGTTGTTGTGAATCGACGACGCGTCTTTCTGGTATCTACTACATTCTACCACCATCCCCTCAGTAGTGTGGGGTATCAACTTTGCGATATGGGCGACGGGTCTGACTATCCTAGCCCACGAAGTGAAGGTCCTAACGGTGCTCTCGCTGCGTCTATTCTTGCCTCTACATCTGAATCCTCGCAACCAATTGCCAGAATGAACGAATCCCAACCCATGGCCTACAACATTGATGGCGCGCGCCCGCGCCTTTCTGTTCGACGCGCCCGTGATCCTCCTAAGAATTCTGAAGGTCAGATCTTTTGCGATCATCCTGAGTGTCAGGCTGCACCTCCTACTTTCCGCCGTCCATGTGAATGGAAGTAAGTAGAATGCCCTATTGTTCTTCCTTCTAACGTGCCTAGTACTAACATGACTCCAGCAAACATATGGATAAACATGATCGTCCCTACAAGTGTTATGAACCAAACTGTGACAAGATCCAGGGCTTCACCTATTCTGGCGGTCTTCTTCGTCACCAGCGCGAAGTTCACAAGAAAAATACCGATACCAAGAAGGCCCTAATGTGCCCATACACCGATTGCAACCGCAGCACTGGCAATGGATTCACGCGCCAAGAAAACCTGCGCGAACATCTTCGCCGCCGCCACATGCACAATGACGAAGCTCCCCCTATGGTCGATATGTCTTGGGACCGTGCTACGGAACTTGATGGCGTTGAAGGCGTCCGTGCTCCCTCCCTCCCTATCACTGGAATGAAGCGTCGCCACGACTCTCCTCCCGTCGGAGATCTCCGAGATCTGCCTGAGACCGATGAGCATGGAATCGATCTGCACAATGAAGTCAAGAGACTCCGCCGTGAAGTCCAAGAGAAGGATCGCCGCCTTGAAGAGCTGGAGCGAATTGTCGCCAACATTCAGCAGGCTATCCCTCAGCAGTCTCCTCCCGTACCCGACCTGCAGGAACTTTCGCAGCCCGCTCCTCAGCCTGCTGCGGCTCCTCCCGTTTAGGGTTGCTCCTTTCAGATCGAAACGTCTACGGATTTAACCTATGCATCATGTGGGCGTTTACCGAAGCAATCAATGGGCTTCAAAATCTTTCATCTTTGCTTTTTCTCTTGTTCTGTGTCAATTTTGCGACTTTGCTCTCTCTGTTTTGTGTAGCATTTGGGTTCGGTCTCCAGGGCTCTTCTCTGAGCTGAAATCGGATCTTGGAATCTGTGCGTTCTGCAGGATTTCAAGAATTGACCCCCCAGTCTTTACGGCGTTCCAGCTTGATGGTTTCATATGGGCCAGGCGGTGTTGTTTCCAGAGGCGGTTTACAGCCATGTCTCGCCTCATATACCCGAGTGTTTAATTTGATGTGTCCCTTCAGAAACATCATTTTACCACTCAACTCGACTCTTAGTTCGATTTGTTCCTGATTAATAGCAGATTGTACGAATAATATCATCTTTACGAGCTCATATTTTTTAATCACTGTAGTCTTACTCCGTATTCCAAGGTAATTTCAACAGACCATCTGTTAGCCCCCAAGTACGATGGCTCTTCGTGGTATTGAATCCGATATGCACGTTGGCAGTCGAAGTATAGGGCAGCCAATGATATCCATAGACAAGAACAGGTATTATTCCTCAGGCACCCAGGCTTCCACGCGATAGCGACAGTCCTCAGGCAAACATTTCCGCCACACCACTTCCAACCCGGACTCCCTTGTCTCGCAGTTCCCACGAGACTCTGGCGAGGCCCTGAGCACGGCCGTCTCGGGAACCATATAGCCCCACTGGCGGCGTCCACATCCAGAAGATCGGAGTTAGGAGAAAAGACCGCTGCTAGCGGGCTCCGTACGGAAGTCGAGACTCCTCACGGTGGCCTATGAGGCGTCAAGCTTGGTTGGATTACCCTCAGGCAACAGATCTGACTCCTTGGCTGATACCACTAGGCTGTGACTCATTATTGCGTGAATCGCGGGTTCGGTTCTTGACTCGACGCGAGCGGCTCAACGCGATATCACATGATGGGCTTGATTCGTATCGTGTCAAGTCATTATTTCTCGCGTATCTTCGTGTGGCTTTAGATGGAAAGGTAGACCCTCGTGGATGTAGGGCGTAGGCAACGCTCTAGGCGGAAGTGTGGTTGCTCGGGAGAGCACGATAGTCGCGAGAACGACAAAACGTATGTCACGGTGTTTCTTCCGGCTTTTGCCTGCTTTTGCCTGCTGCATTAGCTCTCAGCATTAGGTATGACCGGGATGTGTTGGTAATAAATCTCTCAGATGACTACTATGAAGTCGGGTGCATCGCATGTATCCTTGATCGAAAGATAGGTATATAGTTTTGGATTTCCTGAATTTCAAAGCACCCCATTATGAACTTACACATCTAGATGTGACATTACGTACTCTCTTGGTGGTATGCTATAATTCTGTGTGAAAATCCAGATTGACTCGGATGTATATATATCCCCCGCAAGCACGAAAGGCATGAGTGCTTGTTTCGTACTGGCAGCCAAAACGTCCTATGCTTCTATCGATCAAACAAGCCAAGGCCACATTGATTACTTCCTAGGTATTACATGCGGGTAACTATTGTAAAGGAGGATGTTCTAAATCCATTTGTCGGCTTTAATGTCTCAATTCCGTATTGCCCTGCTACTCTAAGCCAGGATGTTGGCAAGGCAATAATTCTTTCCGTCAACCTCCTATTGCAAATGCTTAATTACACGAGATATCGATTCTATTTTAGTCCTATACACCGCCATCATGTGGCTTTTTCTTGGAGAAAATGCAGCACCTTGATCAACTCTAGAGGCGGCGTCGATAGGTCCAGGGCCGACCTCATGTCTCATCGAGATACTATGGAATCAACACATAAGGCTGATCGAGAGACACTTGGTCATTATATTGAATACTATGAAACATTTTGAGTTCTGACGATTGTGCTTAGGACTTCTACGCGCTTGGTACTCTGATTCCGGACTAGAAAGATCCATAATGAAGATAGACTTTATCTAGAATATCTTGATGAATGTAAGTTCCTGAAATGCAACAAGCTTACATGCCCCTTTTACTATTGTAATTCTCTAATTTTATGCATGAAATCCTAGAAGAAGTTCGATTAAGTCCTATGTCGAGGCCTAGAGGGTTTATAGACCTTGATAGTGGAGGCGCCGATAACGATAAGGAAAAAAGTTCAAAATTCCACCCCACGTCCGATTAAAGACAGTCCCGTTTCTCACAAAAGATCAGACAAAACGAGTCTCTCTTCGAATATATATAATGCCTCACGCCCCACGTCAGGGAAACCGCAGGAGGTCCCCAGGTCCGAAAGCGAAGTCGGCAAAACCAAAGCAAGCACCACCAGCAAACAAACAGCACGCCAATCGCAGAGCCGAAATCGAAAAAGCCAAAGCTGACGCCGAACAAGCTGAAGAAGATGAGTCTTCCGGACTTAAACTTGTCAGCACGATTCCTCTCACCCTCCAGCAATTGGTTTTGGACGTATTTAAAACAGCCCTCCTCGGTAACCCAGTCGCAGAATTGGAACCTGCAACCCAGGATACCAACCCCACTGAGCCACAAAACGAAAAGAAAGATGAACCACTAGATATTAAATCTCTCATTCAGACAATCAAGGGACTTTTGTACCAGCGCGATTTTGACTCTGCCTTCACTGAGGCAGGCGAGGATCTTCTGCGCGCGTATGCCTTGCGTTGGAGTGCGTCCCGGTCACTTGGATATGCCGGCCTGTTGAAGGGAGTTTTGGCCTGGATGGGAGAGAAAGGGGAAGAGGAAAACACGCGAGGCCGTGCTAGAAGCAAGAATCCCTGCACCCGTGTTGTGTCAATTGGTGGCGGAGCCGGTGCAGAGATCGCTGCTCTTGCAGCTGCGTGGAGAGATCTGGGCTTGGGAGCCCAGTCGCTAGAGGAACGCGTTGCCAGCGTGTCTCTTGAAGACAAGGAATCTCAAGATGAGAAGAAGCCTGAAGTTGAAGATCAAGGTGTCGGCGCACCCAGTCTCTCTGTCATGGCTGTCGATATCGGAAACTGGTCGGACGTTGTTGACAGACTTTCACGAACCATCACTTCATCTGATGTACCGTTTTCGCAGACAACAAAATATCGTCCCCCGTTGTTGTCGGAAAAAGTGGCCAGTGAAACATTCTCGGTGGCATTCCGTCGTGCGGATGTCTTGACTCTTCCTGAGGAGAGCCTGAAAGAAATTCTGCTCGGCTCCTCCTCGTCCTCCCCTTTCACTTCCATTCTTGTTCCTATTATGTTCACCTTGAATGAGCTCTTCTCTACCTCCATGCCAAAGACTACCGGTTTCCTGCTCAAAATGACGGAAATCCTTCCTGCCGGTGCGGTGCTTCTGGTTGTTGATAGTCCTGGCAGCTATTCGACTTTGAAGCTAGGAGCAAAAGGGCCGGATGGCGAACCACAAGAGAGGAACTATCCGATGAAGTTCTTGCTTGACCACACGCTGCTGAATGTAGCGAAGGGCAAGTGGGAGTGCGTATACACTCAGGACTCGAGGTGGTGGAGACGGGACGCAGTGCGTCTGCGGTATGAAGTTGGGGAAGGCGCAGGTTTGGAGGATATGCGCTTCCAGATGCATGTGTATCGCCGTTTGTAGACTTGATGTGTTCTATATCACGATATATAAATACCCATTTAATGAACAATACGATTTGACTCTTCCAGAGAAATGTGGTGTGGAGTGAGGTATGGTATTGCTACAGATAAGAAATGTGGTTTGGTTCAGACCACTCCAAATTCACGCCACGAGGCCAGATTCGCCCCAAGTCGCGGCAAAAATTGCGATTAATTGGTACATTCAATGAGTTGTGAAAACGGGGCCCATAAATCCCCGAGCCTTAAAACCTCCCCTTAACTCCGCAGACCCAGCAGCATGTTAGTACCCTTGTTTCCATCCTTTCCATCTCCTCCGCCAGGCAAGTAAGTGACGTTGGGGTTTGCGGACAGAGTCTGGGCGATCTCCTTGCTGGCCTCGATACGACGGATCTCAATCAATCCGCTGCCAGCCTTGGCGACGGCCTTGCTGATAATTTCGGCACTCAGGGCTTCACCCTCAGCGCGGATGACGTTGGCCTGGCGCTCCTGCTCGGCACGCTCGACGATGAACCGAGCACGCTCGGCATCCTGTTGGGCGATCTGCTTTTGCTCGACGGCCCGTGTAAATTCCTTTCCGAAGGTCATGTGTGTGATAGAGACATCCTCGAGGGCGATGTTGAACTGTCCGGCACGCTTCATCAAGTCGGTACGGATACGATTGGATACAGCTTCACGTTGTGTGATCAGCTCGGCGGCGTCGAACTGAGCTACGATGGCCTTGAGGACTTCGTTTCCGATGGATGGAAGGACACGCTCATCGTAATCGGTACCGTATGACTGGATAGCTTTGTGTTAGACATTTGCCTGGGTAGATGCTTAGGGATTGTGAGAGTACACACCTGGTAGATCTGCGGCAGCTTCGGCACCTCCGGGCGGTGCAACACACGCAGCGTCAAACTGACCATCTGCAAATCCTTACTTCCTGTAGTGGTGGAGATGTTACGAGGCTTCGTGCGGACATCGTAGACAATTGCGCGCTGCAGCCAGGGGATCAAGAAATGTGTTCCTTCGTTGACAACCTTCTCTTGCACACCAGACACTCGATCGAAGATGACAGCTCGTGTGCCGCCCTTGACATCGTAAAGGGAATTTTGGACTAGCATACCCCCAATAGCCACTGGGAAGGCCAGCCTGTAAACATTTTGGAGCATTTGAGCCATGGTTGAAGGTGGAGGGCGAGGTGATGAGGACGGATGATGGAGATGATGTCTGCTTTTCCCGTTGCTCACTCTGAGTGTTCCCAATCGGGTTTAGTGCCCATATTCCCAAACCTCCAACTTCGCCCGACCTTCGTCTTTTCCTCACTCATTTCGCTACCTCCATACCCTTCCTCCACCCACTCTTCTCCTTTTACCAGAAATCATTCACAATGGGTGGCTCTGTGGACCCTAAGAACGGACAGTAAGTCGTTTCGCGTTTCCTCTTGGTGTCATGGGTCGAGTACCGGTCTCCCGGATGCGTTACCCGCCCGGCTACACAATGCAATTCCCAAAAGATGCCAATTGAGCCGGGTTTCAATAGAGCCAACGACTTCTGTTTCCTTCGACTGTTTAACTGACAATAATTTCTTTCTATAGCTTCATCGGCAACTGGGGCGAGTTCGGTACGTTTGACAATAACCCTTGAACCTTTCATATACGGACCCGATGCATGCGCAGTCGACCGGCCCCTTTCGTGATATGAAAGATCGCGACAAGGAACGGAGAAAGCCCCAGAGGAACAATCCGGACAACTCAATTCGGGAGGGTCGCTAATATCCATTTTCTAGGTTGCCCGACCCCCCAGCGCATCGCCACCTACTCGCTGTCCGCCAACCGTCAGAAGCCTCTTGCCGGTGCCGGCCACGCTGCCATCTTCAACGTCTTCCGTCGTTTCCGTCACCAGGTTCTCTACGTCGTTCCCCCTTCATTGCCGCATACGCTGTCATGAACTGGGCCATTGAGCGGTAAGAATGACCGTAGGAGCCGCTTCGATCGATGCGCTAATATGATGCTTTAGCAACGAGTACCTGAACTCCAAGCCCGGCCGTCTTCTCGAGGGTGGTAACGAAGAGTAAATTATTTCAATTTGTTTCTTGGAGTGAGGTTGGATTGGTATAACAGAGTATGATACACCCAAGACTCTGCAGTTTGGGGGAGCTGTATGCTTGTACAGTAACTAGAAAGCAATCGACCATGTGATTTTCCTTTTATCTACCATCTTCTTGCGCTTCCGATGGCTCTTTTTTTCTTATCTTCGAAGTAAGGCTTGCCCAGGTGAGTAAGCGTCTTTCTAGGGCTCTCTATTGGTTCTTGAAGTGTCCCATACCCAATTGAGGACAAAAGGTCCTATCTACCAGTTGGAATTCCAATCGATCAAGGACTCTTAGGAGGTGATCAGATCAATTGCCTAGATTAGAATTGATTCAGTCCTGTTTTTAAGGATGTTTGGGGGGGGATTGGCAGCCCAGCACTCGTTTCCCCACTTAAGCCGGGAAACAAAAAATTCGCCCAAAACAGCCAAACTTCCGCCGTAGCCTTTTTCTTCGAATGCTTCGTCTCTCCAGACTCTCTTCTGCTTTCTACTCATCATCTATTTTCCCCCGTCATTTCTCTTCTTTTCATATCAAAATGAGCGAGCTCACTCACCCCACCATCGTGGGTATGTGTTCATCCCCCCTCCATTACCCCGCCTTCTGGTTTGATATGCTGATGCCCTTACAGATGGCTGGTTCTCTGAGAAGTCCGGCATGTGGCCCGGTCAGGCCATGAGCCTCAAGGTCAACCAGATCATTCACCACGAGAAGTCCAAGTACCAGGATGTCCTCGTCTTCGAGAGCAGCGACTACGGTACCGTTCTCGTTCTGGACAACGTTATCCAGTGCACCGAGCGCGATGAGTTCTCCTACCAGGAGATGATCACCCACCTCGCCATGAACTCCCACCCCAACCCCGAGAAGGTCCTCGTCATTGGTGGCGGTGACGGCGGTGTCCTCCGTGAGGTCGTCAAGCACGCCTCCGTCAAGGAGGCCACTCTTTGCGACATTGATGAGGCTGTCATCCGTGTCTCCAAGAAGTACCTGCCCGGCATGGCCATTGGCTTCCAGCACCCTAACGCCCACACCCACGTTGGTGATGGCTTCGAGTTCCTCAAGAACCGCCAGAACGAGTTCGATGTTATCATCACTGACAGCTCCGACCCAGAGGGTCCCGCTGAGAGCCTCTTCCAGAAGCCCTACTTTGAGCTGCTCAAGTCTGCCCTTCGCGAGGGAGGTGTCATCACTACCCAAGGTTGTTCGTCACTTTCTTTTCACTCCCTTTTCGTCGTAGAACAATCACTCCTTGATTGTTTATTCCCCTCACTTTATCATATTCCAAACAAGATCATATGCTAATTTTGTTCGCACGATCCCCGCAACCAACCCGCTTTACGGGCTCGGTTTTGCGGAGCTGTGCTTTTATCTAACAGCCGAGAACCAATGGCTCCACCTGGACATGATCGCCGAACTTAAGAAGTCCTGCAAGGAGGTCTTCCCCGTCGCCGAGTACGCCTACACCACCATCCCCACCTACCCCTCCGGCCAGATTGGCTTCATGGTCTGCTCCAAGGACGCCACCCGCAACGTTCGTGAGCCCCTCCGCACCTGGACCGCCGAGGAGGAGCAGAAGCTCTGCCGCTACTACAACCAGGACATCCACCGTGCCAGCTTTGTTCTGCCCAACTTCGCCCGCCAGAAGCTCGGCAACTAAATGTTGTGATCTTTGAAAAAGCTTTTGTGGTCTTTATATTCTCATGACGATATTGAAATGAAATCATGGATTTCCGTACACTCGATTTTGTAAATTTTCCCTTTTGCTTCCCCTGTTTTAGTGTAATGCTGCTTTGTGCTTTAGCCATGAATTTGACTATAGATATCATTGTCGAGGTAAGATGATTCCGAGCTCTTCAGGAGCCCGGAATCTGGACCCTAGGGTTGCGGCAATCTGAAGCCTCTCGACTAACTCATTTTTGACTAACTTGATTAACGAATCTCTCATGATGTCTTTTTCGCGGGTTCTTCTTGCAGCAAGGCACAAGACACCGGTTGTCAGAACCAAGTCTTCAATTGTCGGCTCCCCCGGATCTCGATGTCCAACAAACACTACGACGGAAATGATATGCGGCGATGACCCAATGTACCTGGCTAACGATATATATTCATTGGATGTTGATATCATTAGCTTTGAAAATTCTGCGGGAAAGAGAGCCGATTCAATAAAAGGTAAGGTTGATAGTGTTGACGCCCATCTATACGACAGGTTTACATCATGGCTTCGGTCTATTTTTCTACAAATATTCAGCGAAAGTCGTCGCCGCAGTGAAAATGAAGATTCTCGTGCAATTTACTTGCTCCCAATTGACCTCTCTAATCCATCACAATGAAGACCTATGAGCGTTGCGTTCCATTCGCTCTTTCTCTCTTCCTGGTGACCCCGATCCTGGGGCAAGGAACAGCAGAGACTCTTAATGTTACGAATGACACGAGTGCCAGCCTCGTTGACATCGCACAGGGTGGACAAAACCTCTGTACGTCAGATGACATTGTCAAAATGGACGTGAGCGGCTGTACATGTCCATCGACTTTCCCACCATCGCCCAGGGACTTGATCTGCGTTACACCATCGGGACAATATCCTATCAACTGCAACCCTCCACCCCCGTATCCCCCGTGGTACCTCGAGCAGAGCTCTCCCAATGTTACTCGGGCTATGTCAGTGCTAGTTCCGAGTGTAACGGCTGCTAAATTTGGTTTTCCAGTCTATGCAGGTGTATTCGCGACTTCCAAGCTGGAACCCAGACGGCTTATATCGCCAGCCCGACAGTTAGCGCTGGACCGCCTCAGCCCAACCAGCCTCCTTCGAGGGTCGTCCTCGGTGGTGGAGACTTGATCACTACGACGGAGTTTGATACCTGGCATCCTGCAATTGAGTTCAGCTGCTGGCGTGGACGGGGGATTCCGGCTTGGTCAGGTAACATTCAGAAGTAGGGGTGTTAGGGATACAGGAACACTTGCGATGAACACTGTTAACACGCGCTCTGAGGAACAGATTCAAATCCATGTCTGTGATCAGCCTGGTAATACTGTGCGTGGAATCCTTGTCACATTGCATCGGGATGATTATAAGACAATATCTTCGGTCAACCTCTCTGCGTTTCCTAAGCCGGTTGCTGCTATGTCTTGTCGGGCGTCGCCGAACAGGGATGACACAATAAACATGGGCTGGGGTATAGTGGATTGGATAAAGCAGTATGTTGGTACAAGAGGCTGTGTTCAGTATAATTTCGGTGCTGGTGTCGTCCCGGATAGTAATATACACTCTTGGGCTTGTGTTACTACGGGTCATAGGGCTGCTGAGAATATGTTTTGCAATGATTGAATATTGGATGTCGGGGGCATTTGGTTAAAGGATATGGTAATGCATCATTGATACACAATCTAAACCCGAGTCCTCTATATCGCAGGTTCACGTCTAATCAAGTGAGATTAAGATAATCCAACGTGACTATTGAGGACTACATATGGAGCTACTTAGTCAGCGATCACTTGCTTGTATCTAGTAGTCAGGTGATATGTTATTTGGTTATTCATAAGGTATGCTTGGTAATTTGGAGATGCTCGAATTGGTAAACAGAATTATAGATCTCAGTGATACGGCTTGTATCCATCTGCACATGCCTCATACCATACATAACATTTCTTGAACGTCGTTTTGTTGATGCCAGCGTATAGTCGTATGACGGAGTGCAGGATACCAATAAACATTGGTATGTGTGAACAATGTATAATCAAGAGCCAGCTCGTAGATTAATCCGCTGATAGAGTGTCTTTCTGAGTAATCCGAGTGTCCAGCCCTGGAGTCGTTTCCTACCTACCAGTGCAAGCGGCGATAGCTGGCATTTTGACGATGAGCATTACCAGAGCCAACCTTAGGCGCGACGAGAGGGCGCAAGAGTCCCTAGGATATATCAAATATCAAGGATTCTAGCTTTTTCTTTTCGGTTTTGGAGATCTTGTGGAGTGAAAGGTTCTGCTTAGCACCGCGTCCAGCGACGAAGTATATATCGACCATAGCAGCCCATATGTTACCAAAAGCGGCTTAATCACAAATTTAACATCACATCATATAAATGGAAGCAGTTTCCAGCCAACCTTTGAGCCGAAGATAAGCACCCATGGCCGGAATGGACAAAGCTTGAACGGAGTGAAAGGAAGGAAGCTTCCTTTGCTGTGTAGGTTGTGGTAAATTACAAGAGTGCCGATATATAACAACAAGGCACTTTGGCGGAGTGGTTAACGCGATGCCCTGCTATGCATGAATGTGTAAGTTTAGGCATTTCCCTCGGGAGCGTGTGTTCGAATCACACAGGTGTCGCTTTGTTTTTAGATCTTTCTTTTTTTACACACCCCAGCTCTTTCCCCTCAATCTGTTTATTATCAGAATGCAATTACATTGGCAACTGATAAAAATCACGGGTCATTGGAGAAGGTTATTTTACTAAAAGACAGTTCACAATGGTCAAGTTTCGTTGATACGTTGAGTAAGTGGGTATGGTAAGCTTTCAAGGCCGCATTGGTCAGTTAGTATACACGTTGGTACTATCGTATATACATAGAGGCACTGCGCCTAACTAGCTCATTTCACTGTAAAAAAATTATCGGTTGCCTAGATTACCTGAAATCGGATTCCACAGAAGACAGGGAAGTTGGGGCTGGCTTTTGCGAGTAAATTTATGCGGTGTGTATGTCGGGAATGGATTTTCCAAAAATAAGAGAATTTATAAAAAAAAATATAACTAAGAGAAAGACGACACCTGTGTGATTCGAACACACGCTCCCGAGGGAAATGCCTAAACTTACACATTCATGCATAGCAGGGCATCGCGTTAACCACTCCGCCAAAGTGCCTTATTGGTTGAAAAGTTGAAAACAATCTCAGTTCATCAAGACCCAATCTGTCTCACAGGGGAATTGGATCGCAGCATCGTTAATGTATTCACTCCATCAGAGCTGGTATCATTGGTGCCCTGCCGCGCACGACATAATTACTAAGGTCAAAACTTTATTGGCTTCAATTGGTCACCCCCGGTGTCTTTCTATAGTCACTGAAAAGAAAATGCGTCCAGCATGGCACGCTAGCCGGCCTTTGGGGATATAAGAAAAAAACCCACAAAACAATTATTGCACAGCCTGGAACCCGTAGGTTCGCGATCATAGATTAAGTCACCGAAAAGATGACCAACGATTTGAAAAAAAAAAAAACTCCTGCTCAACCCTCTGAAACATAACTCGATAATTCCTTTTCTTATTCCTGGATTTGATCGGGTGTTCCGCTCTATACGTCGTCCGAGAGCATGGTGCTTAGGTGGCTAGTGCAGACATATAACATGCTTCACTATTCAAGCGGCACGTTTATTATAGCCCATATAAACATATCATATTATATGGAGTATATAACTATCGCTTGTCAGAGATATACCAAACCAGAGACATCAGCTAGTGGAATTGGTCAAATGATATGGGCGTTGAGATCGATACGTTGGAGATTAATAGGCTGGTAGACATGGCTAGATCAGCGGAGAAAATCTTGATTATTGTCTGTTGAAATTAAGATTTGAGGGTGTCCGAAGAAAAACATGAACTCCAAGGCTTTGTTTTAAGTCTTAGAGTACATACGGAGTAGCAGCCATGTGACAATGTTGCTTATTCCTTCTATATGTAAAATGGGAAAGGGTCATTATGTCAGCAAAAAGGCACTTTGGCGGAGTGGTTAACGCGATGCCCTGCTATGCACGAATGTGTAGGTTTAGGCATTTCCCTCGGGAGCGTGTGTTCGAATCACACAGGTGTCGTTTTTTTTACCACTTCTTGCGCTCTTAACAAAGAAGTTCAGAAGTTGTACATAAGAAAATCGCTTACAAAAGGTATGCTTTTCCCGTCTTTTTCTACAGCTACAATAAGAATGGAATGTCGGGTTTGAAGATATATAAGAAGCTCGCTGAAAAGAGCTCTGAGAAGAACTCTGAAAATACCTGTAGGACATCATAACGCCGCTCGTATAAGTGGTCGTCTATTGTCGCAATCCAAGACTTAGCTTCTACTAATCCTAATTTTATGTGAACATCTAGTTGAAAAATCTAATGTGTGATAAACAGTTGTAACTATAGAGATTAGTGGTACCAGAAAACTTTAAGATTTGAGGCACTTTGGCGGAGTGGTTAACGCGATGCCCTGCTATGCACAAACGTGTAGGTTTAGGCATTTCCCTCGGGAGCGTGTGTTCGAATCACACAGGTGTCGCTTTCTTTTTTGTTTGTTTGCCTTTCTTTGAAATCACTTATCACATGGACTTGTTGCGACTTACTGCCGCGAGTAATTGTCTGATGAATGTCTCTATGTATGTATACTCATGTCTGCATATCATGGCTAGATTAAAGGCAAACTTGGCTTACGATACCAAAAAATGTGACCAGTAGCGTCAGGTTAGCCAGCAGTCACGCCAGCTGTACAATAGCTTTGACTATTGTCGCCAGGGCCTTAATGCCACATAAGGCAATATGATATTCCCCACAGGACAGGCTCCTCGCCACAGCCCAAAAATCGTGTACTGACTGAATAGTCAACGAGAGGAGACTAGGAAATCGTTTGCCACAAAGAATTCCGACGTTCATTCTTTGAAAGTTCTCGTGGCCTTCGTGAGAGATTTTGTACTGTATCAACTTGTTGTTTCTGTTTAGGATCTTGAGAAAACACTGCATATATTGGGCAGCGAACTAAGATAATATCTGAGTATCATCAGGGCTGTAGCTACATTCTTTGGCAATTCGGTCTCTAATCTGGAGTGATGTCTCTCGGTTTGTATTGGTAGGACCTGAGGAAAAGAGTGTCCATCATCCCATGCTTATTTGATACGTACGGCAATGTTACATCTATAAATTCCTACATGGGCCCGTAATCAATATTCTCTTGATATATCAACTTCTCATCCAATTGCTATTACAAGCTGTAGTGAAATGGGCGAATAGCTTTTCGGCATAGATACGTACTCGAAATCCAGAATTCAAGTCTTTTCGGGCCGCCCGTACAATGGTTTCAGATGACGTAAGATGTTTGGAGTTTGATCTGTGATATCTATCTCTCGTTCTTGCTCTCGCTATGCTGGTGGGGGTATCAAACTGACAGTATTCGTCGATGAGCGACCCGAGATGGTAATGGCAGTAGCACAATAATGGGACCTCCTGAGGCTTGAGGCTCGGGGCAAATATAATAAAAGCACCTTCGTTTGCCTCTGATGATGTATTTCAAGCTCTTCCGAACACCGAGTTCTCATGCATGCACGAGTTTGTTGCGACATTCGCGTTCGCGGGTGGCATGAGGGGTTTGTTTGAGCGTCTCCTCAATGGATTCTAATTTCAATCATCTGCCCGGAAGTGGCTCAGGTACCTCCAGATGTTCAGAGAGCCGGGAGAGGCCTGACTATACAATATATTGTACACTATGGATATTTGAAGTCTTGGGCACCTTGAAGGGATACCTGGCATATCACCGCATTAGCCTAATCTTCATTGAACAGCAGAACGTCACTGCGCGCCCAAACCTCAGAATTTCTAAGCAAAATGATATATTCCCTTCTTCCTATGTATTTTTCTATCTGCAACCCTCAATTTGTCCAAGAAGACGGACAACCCAAAATGGTAGCCGGACCGAAGAGGGACCACGCCATACTTCACAAGAATGTAGAAGTCATCAAGTCATATCAGAATAACATACAAGATACATATTTTGAAAAGAGAACAATCTCTTTCTCGAGGGTAGCATCTAGTTTTCAGTGACCCATGCTGTTTGCTAAGGGCGAATTGTCTTTAGCTCCTATGGTCCCCCACCTCCTCCTCTCCCTCATGAACTGCGTGAGAGAAAAGATCAACTGAGGTATCCGCAAATTTCCTGGCGTTCAATCCTCGTTCAAAAAGGATATCGAGCTCGGCAAAAGTCCGTCCTTTAGTTTCAGGCAAACGGAAGAAAGTCCAAAAAAAACAAAGAAGACAAGAGCCGGCCCAAAAGAAACCGGCCTTGGCTTTCCAATTCCAGGCAGTTGGATTGATCATATACGGGGTCATAATCCCGCTGACAATGGAACAGATGTTATAAAGGTTCCGGGCCAAGCTTATAGTTTTGGCGCGAAGTCGAACAGAGGAAACCTCTGAGACGATGGAGTAACATACAGTTCCGACAGTGATCTGGTAGCAAAGGGAGAATACCAAGAGTAGTGCACCCGAGGCCCAATAAGCGGAACTCTTCCCTGGACCGCCAACGCCTGAGATTCCAATGCCAAGTAACAGCAGCAACAGAGTAAACAATCCCCAAAGGTACAATTGACGACGACCGACACGAACCATGAGTGCCCAGGCGACGAAAACCCCAACGAATCCAATGGCGTATTGTGCCATAGTCAGGTCAAACGCATTGGCAGTATCCATTCCAGCTTGTTGGAAGAAGTATGTAGAATTGTTCATCAAAGTTGTGCCGCAAATATTTTGAATGCCCCAGGTAAGACAGGCAATCTCGGTTCGGCGTAGGTTGTAGCCCTTGAAGCAGTCCGTATATGTCGCACCCTGGCTTGTCTCTCGCTCAAGCTCATTTGTATAAGCCATCACTTCCACAGTAGCGTCGACGTCGACGGCGTCGTCCACATCTCTGCGCGTCAATGATCGGAGGGCAGATTTGGCCGCTTCTTTGTCACCCTTTCGGACATACCACCAAGGTGAATCGGGAGCAAAGATAATGCCAACAATCAGGGGAACTGGCCAAATCCATTGCAACGCGTATGGGATACGGTAGGCCCATTGATCATCTCTGCCCAGCATGGCTCTCAGAACGCCCGAGGCCAGTAGCTGGCCCATCACCCAGCATATGTTGATGTAGGTCGTAAGCAAGCCACGGAGAGCGACAGGGCACACCTCAGAGGCATATGATACCGGTAGTGTTTGGAAGATACCCCATGGGATTCCCATCAAAACACTGCCAGCCTGGAGGACTTCCACCGTCGGCGCAAAGAACTGAATGAAAATGAGGCCTGTGATCAACGCCAGTGCCCCTAGCATCGTTTTGCGATAACCAAATTTCTCGGAGACAAACCCATTGAGGACGAGGCCTATGATTTCTCCCGCGGCAGCACCATTGTACAGTCCTGACTGCCAGGCTGCGGATACAGAGTATGTGCCATCAGGCAGGAGAACTCCGTATTTTTTCTTCCATGGATCCAGTGCAAAGAACGAGGTGATAAGAAGCAGGTCATAGCCTTCCATAATCACTGCTGTTGACAGCAGGATGGACCAAGCGACTGCTTTTGAATATAGTCGAAAAGCGGTTGGGATGGGCATCTCGCGCTCGCATCGAGTGGTTTCCCGAATTTGAGCTTGTCGATACGCTTTTTCATCTTTGCAGACAGGGTCTTCATCATGCTGGATATCTTCAGCCTTCTGAACAGGCTTGTTTGAACCTGTATCCATCTTCACGAAGGTTGGCAGAAATGGAAACAAACGTTAGAAGTTGAATATGAGACTGCTTTTTCAACAACTGGGTCAATAGAGCACTAAATAAGTGCTACATGAAGGCTTATTCACATCAAACGCTAAATCTCTGTCGTATCAGGGGTTTCTTTCCCTAAACTAGCAGGGCTAGCAATAGACACTCCCGGTTAATGGTATGTATGAAGTTTCTCTAGTATCGATCTAATTGGTGTCTAAATTGGCAAATACAGATGATCGGCGGTCAACGAAGGATTAGAAGTGTCTGATCGACCTTGTACCGGTATTCACATTCCTTGTCATATGCCTTTTTTGGGTGTTTAAGGATTCTTAATGCCCGACGAGGATCCCTAAGCCTCTATATTACATAACTACAGACGTAATATGAGGTATTAATCTTGTGAAGTCACTCAATACTAACTATTCTAGGTAAGGTTGGTGAGTACGGGATCTAGAGTCGAGACCTCACCCGCGTTTTGGTGGGATCTGCGCTGTTTCTGGGGCCCCGGTTACGCTTGAGGGTGGATCTTCGGCATCCCCGTTACTAGAAACCTGATCTGGCTTCATTTCGGCACCCAGCTAGTACAGGAGGAAATTACCTCACGATAGGAGCCACCACAATCCGAATTATGCACTGTCAGTTCAGTTGCTCAATTGCACACTGCGTGGCAGTGATCCACGGAGATCAAAGACTGTGGTGAAGGGATGACAGGTGGTTGTTCCTATATAAACCCGCGATCTACCCTTAAAATACTGAAGAAGCTCGTGTAAGTCTCCTTGTCGGGCGCTGAAGTTCAAGCAATTGAAGTCAAGCAAAACTTTTATGCTGACAAGCATCGATATTTGGGGGTGCTGCCACCACTTGCCGTATTAGGCATCTCGGCCAGCAGCTGAAACCCACTCGGGAAGGAAAGCCAATTCTACGATAACTTCAAATCAAACCTTCTAAGTAAGGGCCCCCAAACAGCTTTTATCGGTAGAACTTAGTCAAAAGGGATACAAGGGGCTGCGTAAACGATACATGATGATCACAGTGATACAATTTAGGATCAAGCACCAAGATAAAGTACAGAAGACATTCAATATATTCAATTTATTAAACAGAGGTGTAAGCAATCATGTAGCCATCAGCTTCTTATTGATCTGTCCGACGCAATACCGAACGATTAAGATGCTTAGGAGATACTGAGCTGATACCCGACAGATGGAGGGTCAGGTTGAAGTCTCCTAGGAGACTCTTCAGCACATGGCGTACTCCCGCCTCACCTTGAATCGCCAATCCATAAACGTATGGGCGACCAATAAGGACCATTTTCGCGCCAAGCGCTAATGCCTTAACAATATCAGCGCCACAACGAACACCCGAGTCAAAGATGATTTCCAAGTCATTTCCCACAGCGTCAACAATTTCTGGCAACATATCCAAAGACGCAATGCCTCCATCCTGTTGTCTTCCACCATGGTTAGATACCACAATTCCCTGGACACCATATTCCACCGCTTTCTTCGCGTCCGCCACCGTCTGGATACCCTTCAAAACAATTGGACCATCCCAATGCTCCTGGAGGAATTTGATATCTTCCCAGCCGTGACTCACGCCGGGGAAAACGGTATGTGCCCACTCTGTGGCGGCAGTCTCGAGATCCTCCTCGATGGGTTTTCCATGCTCTTTTTCAAACTTGCGGCGGTATACAGGGTCGGTAAATCCCAGTGCTACGCCAATGTCGTCTGGACGAATGAATGGGTTGTATGCATTGTTCAGATCGCTGGGACGCCATCCCAGAATGTACGTATCCAAGGTGACCACCAACACCTTGTAACCCGCTGCCTTTGCCCGAGACAACAGGCTCACCGTGATATCATTGTTCTCATTCAAAGGCCAGTAAAGTTGATACCAACGAGATCCATTCCCATTGGCCTTGGCGACGTCCTCGATGCTCGTGGCGGATGCGGTACTGAGGATGTACGGGACATTTTCCTTCTCGGCGGCCTTCGCAGATGCCGTCTCTCCGTCTGGGTGGAAGATCCGCTGCACTCCCACCGGTGCCATGGCGATCGGATAATCGTACGTCTCACCAAAGATCTTCGTTCTGAGATCTGGGAAGTCGCTCTTGACCAGGCGTGATGGCACAATCCCCCATTTTTGGAAGGCTTTCTTGTTGTTGTCGTCTGTGTCACGAGTTCCGGCAGATCCCCAAACATATCCATAAGAATCGGCTGAGAGCCGCTCTTTGGCTAGGGCTTCCCAGTCGCGACAGTTGAAGGTAATCGCGGGCTTTTGGCCCTTGCGACCGGCCTGATAAACCTCATTCTCGTATGTAAATGGAGTGAGTTTGGGAATCGGCTTATCCGATCTGGTGTCCTGTGGTGACGTCATTGTTGAAGCAAGTAGAAGGTTGTGAAGAACTGGGATGATGATTGTCGCAAACAGTGAAGATGAAGGGAATAGAAGCCGCTTTTATAACTTGCAGGGATGTCATGATTCAGATCATGGGTCTCCTCGAAATTGGTTCTCATTGGTGGGTTGAGAGAGACTACCAAACAACCTTCTCGGTGCTTAATGCGAACGCAGATTCGGCCGAGATACGTCATTGTGTGACCTTTCTGTGGTCAAACCTCGACAATACATCATTCGCCATGTTCCGGGGAGCAGCAGAGATACTCCGAATTCTTCCTTAAGATTCTTCGGAGGTTTACTGCGAGTCAACCTAAGTCTTTTCAGATATAAAATGCACCATGTCAGTCCTGTGAACATGTAAGGCAAGTTGAATGTCAAAAAACTTTTCGCTTTTCAATTAGAGCTCGGTAAATCTGCATCGAATATAACTAGAACCTCCAGGGTTCATGGATCTACCAGAACGGCTCAAAAGCATTAAACAGCAGCAGCAGCGGCGGCGGCCTCTCGTCTGGAAGCCCTACCCTTCTCCGACCACGGGAAGTGAAAGACAGGAATAATGAAAAAGCTGTTGCTATCGTCCGCAATACCTGCGAGGGCAGAATACCACGCCAAGAAGGCAGCAATTAACGCAAACAAACCACCGGCCTTGAGGATTGGTGGATTAGGGTTTCCCAGGGCATCGCGATGGAGGTGTCCGATTCCAAGCAGCATTAACGCCACATCGACACAAAGGAAAAGGGTGAAAAACACCGCTGTCGATTTGAGAGTGCACAGGAGGAGGATGAATGTGAAGATGAACCAACCCTAAGAGCTGTTAGGCATGATCGGAGTGAATTCCATGAGAGAATTGACTTACCATAAGGAACAGCCCATAAGAGTTATAGAACATGTCGGTTGACCCATTATCAGCCTTCTTAAGCTCTGACATAACTGACAGTCCGGGGGTAAATGTCATGCTCAGGGCTATCCAGAAGCCACCGTATGAAGATAGAGCAGTGGCACCAAATGTATTTCCAGCAGCCATTTCCCTATCAGATAGACACTTCGGTTAGATTTAGGTCATCTCAACGCAGAGAGAATATAATAATACTTACCACATGCCGGCGAGAAGCTGGACCAGCCCACCGTAAGCGTAACCAACACCGACAACCATGTTCGGCTCCGTAATATCAAGTGTTCCCATGTTGATACAACCCAGTACAAACGTGGTCAAGGCAAAGCCTGAGAGACCTAGAGGTGCAGGATTTGCGAACTTGCGAAGTTTGGGCGTCCGATAGAGACCTGGTTGCAATTCGCCTGCAAATGCAGGTAGCCGAGACTCCACAGTGTTCACGTGTGATAGTGGACCATAGTGCTCGAGGTGGGATGGTCGAAGGTCGTCCATATCGGCGTTGGTCGGAGCTGCATGGCTGATTTCCTTCTCCTGGCTGGAGTTGTCGGAACTCGAAAGAGCTGTCATACTTGCTTCTTTCTCGCTGAATGTGATTGAGCTGATGTTTTTCCTTAAAAGAAGTCACTGGAATATTGTATGAAATGTGAAATTGACGAAAGAGCACACAGTATTTTTAAGAAATTCAAACTGATATTAACAATAGATGGGAGGAAAGATCGCGTATAAATAGTGAGTACAGGATTGTGCCCTAGGGGTATCCTCGTGAAAATGATCTAAGCATCAATGCGGGGTGAACCATTTCCCCAGGTGAATGGGGAAAACTCAGACAGTACGGCACTACAGGTGAACTATTTCGGTATAGAGGGTTGTGGGGTACGTATCGGTGTCTAGAAAAATGCGGGGACGGAATGAAATGTGCACCGCGTGGTGCCTGGCTGAGAGAGATTGATTGAAACTGGTCTCGGCCGAGAGTAAGACGATGATATTCAACAAACATCGGCCGAGAACATCGCTCTATCTTACCAAAAAAAGTGGATGTGGCAAGCGAATGTGGATATGAACCCGAAACCATATATGTACAACATGACAGAGTCACAATCCTTTTCGAGCAATATCGATGAAATCAAAACCGCAAAAGAATATATACAATATAAGCATACAACATACGCAAGAGCTGGGACATGGAAATATCATTGACCATAGATAAGCTTCTGAGGCTGATTTAACCTTGGAACCATAATCCGATTATATAATCGCCAAGAATCGGGAGAGTGGAGACCCGGGAATATGAGCCACCCGTGGCCCCGATAGTAGCTTGTTAGCTCCAGAATCCAGGGTACAGTGTCTGAAACTCATTTATCATCGCGGCTCTAATTGGATGACAATAAGTTACTTGCGACAAAGCTATAACGAATTCGACACGGCTCCGACGGCGGTCAGAGCAGCTCCAACCACTCACAGACTACAATATATGTAGTACAAATGATGTGGATTTTTTGTACAGTGTATAGAGTATTGTGTACATAATATCAGGGGCTAGATCCAAGGCCTGTAAAGGCTTGGTCCCGGCATTTGTTACTCCCGAGCCATAATTGCTTACGGAGTACTCCGTAGATCAGTCGCGTATGCCCGGAAAGTCGGGCTGGGTGGCGGGATGATCGGGGTTGCCTGGCAGATGGGCAGGAGAGCAATGCCGAATTTCAGAGACTGCTTACATGGGGTTTCCGATCATCCCAACACGTAATTCCTTGCCTCACAGTATGTTCTCGATTAATATATGTAGAATAAGAAAGTAGATTGGGACAGAATATCTGTAGAAATTCATTCCCGAAAAGCGCCCGCATAAATTAACGGTCTTCGGTTCCCGACACTCATTGCTCAGGTCGGCCTCGGCATCGCAAAGTCGGCTACGAAAAGGCTTAGGTGGCCCCGGAGGGTTGTCCTCCTGCCAAGTTGCCATGACATACAACATCGTAATTCGACTCCAAGAACCTAACCTGCCAAGCTGCCATGACATAAAATATAGGACGGAGTATTTCGTAATTCGACTCCAAATCTAACCTGGATTGCCCGGGGTCTTCTGGCACAATATTGGGCAGACACTATGACCACATACTACCAGCAGAGTGAAACTTAATAACCACTCGGCCGAGAACACACTAGAATCGGCCTCGGACTTGCGTTATCATTGTTTATGTACGCTCGGCCATCATTATATTGTCACAGTGAAACCCGAGAAAAAGCGTTTGGAGGCCTTCAATAACCCACTGTGTGCGCTTCATTCGAACCTATCAGTCGAAGAGTTTTGTGGCCTATGATTGACAACGTCCGCGATATAACAGAGCAGATTCATACACCTTGACGCAAAAATGTAACGATTTATCATTACCTCTATTACTACGAAAGATACCAATACCACCAAGAACGCCACATCACCTTCGATTAACTGCGATGGCAGCCGGATTCCGGCATTGATACCAAACTCATCGGACCTGAGTGGAAGATGTAGAGGATGTGGAGGGCAAAAGACCACCCGTTGGACTTGGTCTCTCGAAAGGAAGATGCTGGCAAAGCAACGTTTCTCGGCTGCGAGGTTTGGGAAATCTTTGGGCTCTTTTAACACTAGACAAACAACAAACCTGTCGCATTTGCAAAGTATGGGATCAGGAGTTCGTAATTGGTGCATACGAGGTTTACCATTTTGAAACTGACTAAAAAGCATTGAATTAGGCCCTGTCGATTGAACTACACTTCGCGAGTCTTGTTACTGGCTAGGCGCTGTTACACGGCTATCAGTGATCAATGTCAGTCTCAAGAGACGCCAATCGATGAAATTTAGGCGCATCAAGTTGATTGGTATGGCTATGAAGTCGACCGGAAAGTGTAGTGTATGGAATAATGAAACGGGTTATCGCTCAACTAATCGAGCGAGTCCGTTGCCCCTGAACAATAGCTTCAATACATAGCTAGCAATATTGTTACCTCACATTCAATAGATTCTTTTTGATTTCTAGAGCGACTTGATGGCATACTGGGTAGTTGAGCAGATACATGTTGACCTTCAAGGTTGAGATGAGGTCATCGGTAGTGCTGAGTAATCCTCCTACCCGGCCCGGCCTCGGGCCCGGGGACATGGGCAGAACTCCACACAATTCCCAGACATCTGCAGGCTGGATTGTTTCACACACGCGATGATCATTTGATTATTTGCACATGTCACATATAATTGGTCACTGGATTGGAATGGAAAGACGCAAGTAAATCATCAATCAAGCGCGCCGAACATGCAGCCAGTGGCGGGGCCCTCCAACACGTCTAGCACCGCGCAACCGCATCCGCCACCGGCATCGGGAAGTCACCAGATTACCCGGAAACGTGTGATCTATAGCTGTCAAACATGTCGGCGACGTAAAGTCAAATGCGACAAGGTGATCATCTTTCACTCGGGAGCCTGGTGCCTGGACTGAAACTGAACATTTGTTCCTAGATACTTCCAGTATGCGGCAACTGCGCGAAAAACAGTACCGAGTGTGTCTACGACGCCGAACCCCAGCAAGATGACACACGGTCCAGCCGTGCCCGTCGAGCGAATAGAACCAAACGGCGAAGACAGATTCAAGATCAAAATGCAGATGAGCACACCCATAACAACTCGATGCCGGCGTCATTATCAAATGTCCAGAAAACAGACTTAAGCGCAGTTGAAGCCCATCTGGCTCAACTTGTATCGCTCGTTGACCGGTTAAAGAAGGATAACCGGGCCCACGAATCAACGGAGGCGCAAGCGCTTGCCTTGAACACCAGCGCGGAAACCGCGATTATCGGAGAGGGCAATTCTACTACCAAACCACTCGTTGGGCGGCCAGAAAGTCCGTTGAGTGCCCCTGCTGATTGTAGCAGCGATGATTTCCCCATCCCGAACGGTCAAACTACAGATCTCGTTGATCCACTGGGGACTTCAAACTTGGGCCACATGTCCTTGGGGGATGGTGGAAGTTCAAGGTCAGTACCGAAAACTAAGCTGCTAAGATGGGACTGAGTGTCTAATTTTGGGTTAGATATGTTGGAACGACGTATTGGGCTTACATTTCCCATGAAATGGACGAGCTCAATCAATTGCTTGGAAACCAGAATCGATCGCATGATTTAGCAGCAGGTAGCGACCATACTCCAGCAGATTCGGTTTCTAGCGAGCGAAGACAGCGGAAAGAATCAATAAGCAGTCAAACCACCAGCCAAACCACGCGCTCTCCGTTTCCGCTCGGCTTTTCGGGGCCCATCCAGAAGGCTGTTTGCATCCCACCGGGTCATTTCTCAGTGAATGATAAAGCGGTGGAGGCAGACATGCTGAAGCATGTTCCGACAAAATGGCAAAGTGACATCCTTTACAAGGGTTTCATGTCTGGTGTCCACTCACTCAGTCCTATGATCCATCCTCCGATGATCCTAAAACTCTACAATGCCTTTTGGGACTGGTACGACGTCAAAAGTTATGCGGGGGAGCCGTGTCCAACTCCTTCTTTCATTCCACTCCTATACGCAATATGGTTTGGAGGTTCAGTTTCGATTTCCATGAGAACAATGGAAACAGAGTTCAATACTTCGTCACGAGCCATCCTTTCGACAAAGTATAGCGACGAGGTTACTTGTTGGTTGGCTAAAATCTCATTCCCCCACAGCGTCACACTTCACGGTCTGGCGGCCTATCTTATTGCGCAAACAATCCTGTCAAGAGAGGAAGAACCTCTGGCAAGTAGTTTGTTTGTCAGTTTAGCAGTGAGAGTAGCGCAGACTTTAGGATTACATCGGGATCCCTCTCATTTTAATATTGACCCCTGGGAGGCAGAGTTCCGACGCCGATTATGGTGGCATATCATGCATATGGATGGCGTTATTGCGATGTCGAGTGGGCTCCCCCATTGCTCACTGATGACACTTACTGGGATGCTCGGGAGACGAGCGAGGTTAAGGATACCTTGTTGGGTACTCCCGAAGCAAAGCAGTATGAAGAAGCGGTTTCCTGCGGCCAGCGGCCACCTGATAATCCAGACGATCCGACTATCTGTGGTGGGCCGTCGATGGTGAACGTGTATTATTTGTCCGCAAAGGGCAAATGCATAATGGCTAGTGAGTGATACTCAGATCATTTATTGAGGGGGGGCGTGGTCTAACTCTTCGGCAGAGTCTGTTCGTAGAATCCTAAAGATCCAGCTAGGCACGAAGCCTTTAACAAGAGGCGATATGGTTGAGCTCCGTTCTGTTCTTCATGATCTGCAGGTCAAACTCAACTCCATCATAAACCGAATCCCAGAGACAACTGCAACTGAAAAGTCAGCAGCGTCCTCAAGGCGATCTCCTCGTTCCGCCGCGGAGGAACTTCCTATTGAAGGTTCATCTGGCTGCCCTGAGCAATACCATTCAGTAGTCCTCGTCTCGTTTCATAAATGGGCCAGGATTATTTTATCGCTATTCATTGATAAGGTCGATCTTTTTATCCAGAAATGATGTTCGCCACTAACATAGCTGTAGGCATTTTGTGTTGCATATCAACCATTCCTCAGGAATCCTCGAAGTCGAATCTGGCCCGTAGCGCGGCAAAGGTAAGCATTTGCGACTCATTGATCTACCGAATCTAATCCAAATAGTGCACTACGCCATTGTTACGCTTTCATGGAGAAGTTCATTCGATTGGCGACGGATCCCGATTTTCAACCGTTTCAATGGGGTTGGCCAGGGTGAGTATTCCTTTTCTTCTTATAGGAATTTTGACTAATAATCGCCAAGGAATCATCAGCCTATGCATGCAATGATGTATGTACAAAGCTCGAGTTATTAGCCATGCTAACTTGATCTAGGATTATTCTTATCGACTTGTACGAACGACCATTTAGCCCTGAGGCCTCCGTGTCTCGCGGATTCATTGATCAAATCATGTCACTCTCTGGACCCGACGGGGGCGTTGTAAGTGGCGGAGATGACATTTTCACACAACGTCCGTTGAGGAATGGGGGCCGTGAGGCCTGGGATATGATCCGTCGTTTGCGCCAAAAGGCCTGGCAGAAAGCTGGCCTGAACCCACAATTGCCGCGTATGGGACAAGATTGGTCAACAGAGTCCGGCTTTGCAAATACACCTTACTTCAAATTCCTATCATCCGCAATGGCGACCGAACCTACTACGAACGCAGCAGTGACTGCCACCCTTTCATCATGCGACAAAGTGTTTGCTCCCGACTTAGCTTATGCTCGTTCCTCTGCTGCCACTATCCCGACTCAACAATCTGTCGTCAACTCTCCTTCGGTCGACTTCATGAATGCCGCCCATCCGAACATGATGCCCGCGCCTGAGCATCCTGCTCCCTTCATGATTGATCCCAGCCTCAATTTCGACTGGGGTGAATGGGACAATATCTTCGGGCAATCTTTGCCCGTCGCGGATGAGCTTATGGAACTTGATCAAGTCACGGGACTTGCATTTGCGGACTTGGAAAATGGTGCTTCATGAGATGAGCATAAAATGGAGACAACTGAATATTTTCCAACAGTACGCCTTCCTTTTCCTTTCCTACCCCGCCCTAGATGAGATGTGGATCTCCATTTTGCTGTGGGTTTTCTTGTTCTTTCCCCCGTGGAATTCAGGGTGAATTCTCATGCACTGAGATTATGCAATGCCCACTTCCCAAACATTGCGGTAGAAAGCAAGGACTATGCCTCGTTCCGTGATAATCCCTGAATGCTAGGGGGAGCGGCTTGATCATATGCCGTGGGGCACACTGATACAGCACTCCTGCTCGTCGGGCGTGGTTGCAATAACTTTGTCTCCATCCTCATTCGTCCGCAGGAAGTATAAGAGGACGATACTTAGCTTGACACTAAATTGTGTTCCGCAGAAGCTGTGCGGCTAGTCGGAATAGAAGTCGAGTCAATACAAAAAAATTCATAAGATAGACACGCACAATATCTGACTCTATGTACTGTCTTCAAACATGATCTTTGGGCGAATAAGCAGAGATATCCTGTGAGGAATAACAAACTCTTCCGGCTCTAGCTCGACCCCAATTCGTTTTGTTTCAATGATATGCTCCTCGTCGTAAGGATCGCGCTGAGAGAGATGATCGATAATGTAGGTGTACCAGTATCCTTCCAAAAAATTCATCACAGGTTGGCCAAGATTGTCAAACTTGATTCTGAGTTTGTCGAGAAGTTGTTCAAGTTCCGTTATTCTGAGGCTTTCTTCGTCGCGAATCTCTTCAACTTCTTCTTCTTCTCTGCTTCGAAATACGAGAACACAACTGGGAGTAATGTATTTTTCGATGCAACATGAATGTTTCAGACCCAATGCATCAAAGGTCAGATATCGAATAACCTCCCAGCCAGTTTCTATATCTCCTTCAGTCCACCAAAGGAGAAATTGGATTAACTCTCGGAACCACAGTCTGGGTTCTTCCATCTCGCGAGCGGGGATACGACCAAGAACATATCGCAGCACTATCGACATTGTAGTACAACCACTAGGAGAGCACGCGCAAACACATTCATCCCGAACAGAGGGAAGGAGGAAGAAAGACTTGCCGAACTTCAAAACATTCTGCTTCCAATCTCGATCAAACTCCTGGGGATCAAATTCGCGACCAATGCGAGTGGCACCGAATCTGAGATCCAAATCGTCCACCATTCTCGCCCCGAGGTGATGTGCTACAGTTGCACTGGCCCCAGGCACTTTTTGATATGGATCAGCACCCTTTGAAACAAGCCAATCCAGTCGCTCCATGCATTTTCTCCACGCAATGAGTCCACGGTTTGTAAAAGTAGAAGAAGTTAAAGTCATGAGCGGCACAAAGCCTTCGGAGTCTAGCTGGGTAACCCCCCCTGAAGCCGACTTGGTATAAATCCCTTAGCGTCTCAACAGAGAAGTGTGAGTAATGATAAACAGATTGAAAATGATCATTCGCCCCAGAGACACCAATCTGTAGGGCTGGGTCCATGGGTATCCCTTGCTTTTCTAATAGAGCAAGTATCTCTGAGGTGTGTATGTCAAGTATTGTAATTCCGCCTGACTTCTCGTCCTTTGAGATCAATTTTGGAAGTTGGCTAGCGGGCAAGCAAGACTGCGCTAAATGCCAAAGTCTTTTCCTTCGTGCAACCAATTCATTGATGAGAAGCAGTTTTATTTTGCCGCTGCTTTTGAAAAATTCGCAAAGATGGATATCAACAAGTTTGAATGGCCATCCGGCCTCAATGAGGAGCTTGATTGAATGATAAGTATCCTCGGTGTAGTCATCTTCAACCCAACGGATGCTCCGTCTCGATCCAATTGGCTCACTCGGCACTGCGCCTGCCTCTAGTAAGATCTGAATCCCCTTTGGCCATCCAAATGCATATTCAATCAAAGTCGAAGTGCCATCTATAATGTCGTTCGGGGAAGCTGTTCCCGAGTTAAGGGCATCTCTCAATCCATCTTCAAACTCTTGGAGTATGATTTTGGCGATGCTCGGGAGTTGGACTGCTTGAAGCAAATTAGACCAGTTGAAGCGGATACAGAAAACGTTCACATACACTCATAATCTTGGAAAAGGAGCTCTTGAATACCCTGTCTTTCGGCTAGGGAACGAGGAGCGTAGATAGTGATGGGACAGCCCAGGTCGAGCAGACGTGAGCCTAAAGAGCTTTTTTTTTAAAAAAGCGAAATAGTGCCCCATCATGTATCTACTTTTGTGGTTATAGTTCATGTTTGGCTTGGAACCACAATCCAGTAAGAAGGCGACAAGTCTTGAAGGGTGCTCTATTCGCAGTGACATCAGCGGTTGGAAATTCCGCAAGTAGAAAAGCTGTCTGAGTAAGAAGAAGGATTGGTATCGGAATGGAGTTACACCTACGTCAAAAAGTGAAGTTTCTTCCCCGTTAAATTTGACCTTGTCAAACGGAGTTGCCTTTTGCAGATCGAATGCTTTTTGTAGATGTCGTATTGTCTGATCCACAAGTAATCCAAAATCTCTTGACGTTACACATCTATAAAATGAGTCGATATGAAAGGCAATGAAGATATGGTATGCCACACTATGCTTTGTGTCCAATAAAGGCTGTAGATGCAGCAAGGGAGCGATTGAATATCCACCAGCTCCCATCTTGAGCGAGAATGAAGCTCTAATAGCAAAATTCAGCATGCTACTACAATAGTAGAAGGATGCCTTGATGAGTTCTCTTTCCTTGCGGGATCGGCGTGAATAAGATGTACATCCGCCGTTCGCTGGATTTCGATGCTGGCAAGCAATGAATGTTCCATGAGCTGCTTCTGCTCTGCATGAATCTGAGCAAGGTTCGGCACGATTTGTTTTGTTGGAAGTGTTTTTTATCATATCGTCATCCCGTGTTTCTATGTGCGAAGTTGAGCTCAATCCAGGCAGTTGTCCTCGCTGGGCACACCATGACTGTAGTAAACCTGGTGGTGGCATGATGAAGCTCTTTGGTAGATTTTGTATTGTCAAGTGCTAAAATTAATTAGTATGAACCAGACTATGTGTATAGGATGGGATACCATAGCCTGCATCTCTTGAGTCATTTTCCCCAGTAAAGCTCGATTGCTTTGCGTCGAATACCTGAAATTGAGTCAAAACCATCGTCTTCACTTTGGCAAAATTGATTCAAGTTCGAGTAGTCATAAAGCAATAAACTCACACCAGTAACGCCGTATTGAGGACCGCCTGGACACTATCCAGATCACTTGCCATGTCACGCAACGCTTCCTTTCGAAAAGGATATGCAGCCTTCTTGAGCCGAAGAGATGCTTGGTCGGACGCGGATGAATATCGATCTGTCGCGGCCTTGAGCCGTTTTATCGCTTGTTCAATACTCTTCGCCTTCTCCTCGAGGTCGCTCGCAATCATGGGATCAGTGGTACGGAAGTCTTCAATCAGTTGCTTCAAATACCTCAGTGGCATCCGAAGCCCATTGGCTTTTTGATGAATCTTTTGGATATCTTCGTCGAAACCCTGCCATGCCTGGCAAAATGAAACAATCTCGCCACAGACATGCAGACCGAGTGATATGATACCGACAGCGCTACCGGCAATAGAAAAAGGATCAGACATGACTGAAGAAGGTGAAAATGGGAAGAGTTAATAGTGAGATCCGGGAGGTTGTCGCTCTTCAGAGGCCCAGGCAGTGCGTAAATACCTAGCGTCATGTGTCGTGGCACCAATCATGGGTGTAGATTGGTAGCTGGTGAGGCTGAGCAGGAAGGAGCCTAGCTAGGTAAGTATATGTACTCTCTAGGAATTTGACCCATATCATTCCAATATCATATGTGCGGTACTAAACAGGAACCAGTTATTCGAAGCTCTTGATATTCGTCGGGCAGGATATTTCAGGTGAATTTTAGATATTGTTCCAACAAATTTGGGTATTTGTCAACTATAACATGTATATCATTAAGATGTTGGCTTCGATATCATACCCAAATTGTAAATCTCGAGACAATATACGTAGTAAACCTCGAAGGACGACAGACAATCCAGTCCCCGCACCCCACGCACTCCACTCGGCAACATCTCCGAGACCTCCAATCCTCCCCTTTTCCTTTCCTCACATCCTACATCCACAGCTCGAACTCACTTCAAACCAAAAGCCATGGCTACAGAATACCCCCACCGAATCGCCCTACTAGGCCTAGGCACAATCGGCCTCTCAATGCTCGCAATGCATCTACGCCGCCCAGACACAAGTATAACAGTCTACGACCCCCGACCCGACTACGAATCCCAAATCCGGAGCACCCTCCCCTCCCTCCTCGATTCCCCAAACCCAGCCACCCTAATTGACGACTTAATCCGAACTTCCCGCCTAAAATTAGCCACAACACTCCCGGAAGCCATCCAAAACGCAACAATCGTTCAAGAACAGAGCCCGGAAGTCACATCCTCGAAACAGGCCTTGTGGAAGGAAGTCGCCGGCCTCGCAGGTCCAGATACCCACCTATGGAGCAGTTCGTCTGGAATCCCCGCATCGGCGCAAGCAGCCGGGTGCGAGGCCGCGGACCGTGTTGCTGAGCGCTTGCTTGTTGCGCACCCGTTCAATCCACCGCATCTGATGCCGCTTATTGAGATTGTGCCCGGGCCTGAGACTAAGGCGGAGAGTGTTGAGTTTGTGAAGAAGTATTTCGGCGATATTCCTGGTCCTGGGGCGTCGGCTGGTGCTGGTAGTGTTGGTTCGGGCGGGGATCAGGCGGCTTCGCAACATTACCGACCGATCACGCTACACAAGGAGATTCCTGGGTTTGTGGGGAATAGGCTTGCCTTTGCGCTGCTGAGGGAGGCGTGTTATCTTGTTGGGGAGGGGGTTGTTTCGGCGAAGGATTTGGATTCTCTTGTTACGGCTAGTTTGGGGCCGCGGTGGGCTGGGAGTGGTGTGTTTGAGAGTTATCATGCTGGTGGTGGGGAAGGGGGATTGGGGCATTTTTGCAGAAGCTTGCGCCGACGATTCAAAACGTGTGGGGGGAATTAGGGCAAGTTGATATTGAGGGCGATCAGGCGTGGAAGGACTTGGTTGTTAAACAGACCGAAGATGCTTATGGGCCTTATACTCCCGAGACGAGGAAGAAGAAAGAGGAAATGTTGAGGGATGTTGTGGAGATGCAGAAAAAGAAATGGGGAGAGTTATAATCGATATACGGGGATGACTACTCTATACTTATAATGGGTTGAAAAGTGAACAGTAGAGTGCTCTATTCGCATTCTTGTATATCTAGAGGGCCATAGCTCCCCTATTAAAAATCCAAAACATTTTGTTACGTCATATTCGTTCCGTCCCTTACAGAATCTGCTGGAAAGCACGGTTAATGGGAGAGCGCACGGTGTGGCCCTTGTAGAAGTCAATGGTGGCAAGAGCACGCTTGCTGATGCCCTCGGGGGTGAACTCGAATTTCTGAAGACAATTAGTAATTGGTCATAGGACAATAAGTGAAGATAACTTACGGCGTACACCTCCTTGTAGGGACCGGAAGCACCGAAGCGGTTGAGACCGAACTGCTCGTGAGAGTAGCGCTCCCAACCCATGGTGCACAGAGCCTCGACGGACAGCACGGGGATGCCATCGGGCAGGACCTGGAGACGGTACTCCTTGGTCTGGGCATCGAAGACCTCGAAGCAAGGAATGGACACAACACGGGCAGCAACACCGTGCTTCTCCTGGAGGTATGTGGCAGCCTCAATGGCGATGCTGACCTCGGAACCAGTGGAAACGATAGTGACGGCAGCGTTAGGGGTGTCAACAGCAACGTAACCACCCTTAAGAGCGTTCTCGAGGGTAGAGTTCTCAAGCTGGGGTAGGTTCTGGCGGGTCAGAGCCATGACGGTAGGAGTGTGCTTGGAGGTGATGGCGGAGTAGTAGGCAGCGCTGGTCTCGTTGCCGTCGGCGGGACGCCAGACCATGCAGTTGGGCAGAGCACGGAAGTGAGCCAGAGTCTCAATAGGCTGGTGAGTAGGGCCATCCTCACCCAGACCGATGGAGTCGTGGGTAGCAACGTGGATGACACGGACACGGGACAGAGCCGACAGGCGGAGGGCACCGGCAGCGTATGAGACGAAGTTCAAGAAAGTACCACCGGCGGGGATGATGGTGCCGTAGGCAGCCAGACCGTTCATGACAGCAGCCATGGCGTGCTCACGCACACCGTAGCGAACGTAGCGACCGGCCCACTCACCGATTCCAAGGTCAGGGGGCTGGAAGTCAACGGCGTTCTTCCAGCGGGTGTTGTTGGAGCCAGTCAGATCAGCGGAACCAGAGACCAGCTCGGGAATGACATCGTGGATGGCCTCGAGGCAGGCCTCGGAAAGCTTACGGGAAGCAACAGCAGCATCGGTGGGCTTGTAGACGGGGAGCTTCTTCTCCCAGCCCTCGGGCAGCTTGCCGGAAAGACGGCGAGCGAGGTCAGCACCCTCGGTCTTGTGCTCAGACTGGTACTTCTGGTAGAGCTGGTTCCACTCCTGCTCCTTGGCAGCACCCTCAGCGGCGTGCTTGTGGTACATGTCGTAAACCTGCTGGGGAACAGCGAAGCTCTCCTCAGGGTTGAAGCCGAACAGCTTCTTGACACCCTGGGCATCGTCAGCCTTGAGAGGGTTGCCGTGGACACCACCGGTACCGGCGAGCTTGGAGCCGAAGCCAATGGTGGTGGTCAGCTTGATGACGGAGGGCTTGTCAGTAACCTGCTGACACTTGCGGATGGCAGCCTCGATACCCGCGAGGTCATTGTCACCATCCTTAACCCACTCGGTGTGCCAGCCGTAGGCCTCGAAGCGCTTCATGACATCCTCAGTGAAGGCACACTTGGTGTCACCATCTGTGAAAATCAGCTAGTTAGCATTTTACATCTAGCTTTTGTGGCACGAATATTCATCTTACCAATGGAGATGTGGTTGTCATCGTAGATGGCAATCAGGTTGCCAAGCTTGAGGTGACCAGCCATGGAGGCAGCCTCGCTGGCAATACCCTCCATAGCGCAACCATCACCGAAGAACATGTAGGTGTAGTTGTTGAAAAGCTCGAATCCGGGCTTGTTGAAGACAGCACCAGTGTGAGCCTGAGCCATGGCGAGACCGACGGCGTTGGCAAAGCCCTGGCCGAGAGGACCAGTGGTGACCTCAACACCGGGGGTATCGTGAGCCTCGGGGTGACCGGGGGTGATGCTGTCGAGTTGCTGCTAAAATGAGTAAAAGGCTGGTGGTCTATTGCTCAGGAGCACTTACACGGAAGTTCTTCAGGTCATCCAGGGAGACGGCGTATCCGAACAAGTGGAGCAGGGCATACTGCAGCATGCAGCCGTGGCCGTTACTGTTCAATGCAAGATCAGCCGGTATTCCAAAGGTCTGGTCATTGGGGCTGGGATGGAAAGGCCGTTGTCGAGTCACAACCTGCGGGGAAAAACACTTACGAGAGAACGAAACGATCACGGTTGGCCCATTCAGGGTTCTTGGGGTTGAAGTTCATGAACTTGTTGAACAGAACGTGGGCCACGGGGGCCATACCCATAGGGGCACCGGGGTGACCGGAGTTGGCCTTGGAGGTGGCATCAATCTGATGGCGAAATGTCAGTCAAATTTCCCAGATTACACGCATTGAAGCTTCATATGAGGCCAGAGACCTCAATCTTGCTCTAATTGAACGCATGAAACCGAGGGGCTATTGCCCGGTGAAGTTCAACGTACCGCAAGAATACGAATGGTGTTGACAGCCAACTGGTCCAGATCAGTGTAACCCATGATGGCGGATTCTAAGACCGTTAGAAATGAGAATCACTTGGAGTTCTAGATACGTACATTTTTGAGTAAAGGGAGTGATTGGGAGGAGGATGAATGAGAGAGGAAGAGAAGAGGGAGGGGAATGTTATTTGTTGGTGGGGGTATGATGTCGGGTGGGAACTGGTGGCTTGCAGCTCAATTCAACAGCCACTTTTACCACGCATTTGGACGAAATTTTTGGCAGAAATCTATTTACGGGATTGTGTACATCTGATTTTACAGGCTAAATCAACTCAATTGATCTCTTTCTCTGAGATTTGTACTTCGTAGTAGAGATTCTTATCTAGACATTGCATCATTGGCTGACTCATCACCGAGGGGCAGCTTCGCTACTATATAGCTACAACGCATATGTTGTACTACTATCTCAACGTGATATCCCAGTGCACATTCTACCGACCTTTTCTTCTGTATTTCTCAAAATACATCAATAGCCGTTTCTTCCGTCGTGATCTCAATGGCCCGCATTTTCCGACACTCTTCCGGGTTGACATCCACACGTTCTGTTAGTATACACCGGGAGCCGCCCGGAGGACCCTGCTCCGACTCGCAACCGGCCAATTCCACGGAGAGAAATTAGCCGAATTCCCATCTATGGCTGCTCAATAACCGTGCCGATGTGATCAGCTGGTCAACAGAAAAAAAAACGGTTCTGATCGAATTGATGCTCTGGACCTCGGAAGACTCTTAGACAACTCAGCGCTTACAAACGTACCTGTACCTCGGATTCCCTAATCCGGCCAATCCGTGGGTACCTTGAGAAGACCAATAACATTGGAATTCTGCAGATATAAGTGGAATGATAGTTCCAAGGAATCTGCAACGTGAGGCCCCCCCACAGAGAAAGTAGTCCCCGGAACGTGTTGGGCAGTTCAACCATCAACATCTCGGTGTGCCGGAAGAAGAGTAGCGCCGGAGAAACCATCGGGTCACGTGAGAAGCATTTTGAACTATACAATGTAATATACACCTCTTATAAAGGGCGTCGTTTGTTGCGATCCAAATATTTCATAACATAAGCATTGAGCCACCCTTGGATACTCATCTGAGTACATATACGACATGATCCTTGCTGTGTCTCCCCAGAAATCACCGTCACCAGCCAGAATTAGAAAGAGGAGAACCTCTCAGTCCAATATCGAATTTTGAATTTGATACTTGCATCGAATCACTCACGTTACTTCCTTCCTTCAGATCATTGATAAGCACCCGACGACTCTGCGGTATCTCTAAGCAATCCTCACCCTCCGACGACTTGTGGGAAGGAAGATTCCAGGCAAAACCCCCCCACCTGAAATCTAGCCTAGGTTGAACGACGTGTTAGTCGAGTCAGCTTGCGCCATATGCGCACACTAGAAACTGGTCAGTTCTATTCAGCTGCTGAAGTTGCCATGACACAACAGAAAAGAGACTAGGGCATCTGACTGATATGGCTTGGACATCAAAGTATTTTGATTGGGACTCTTGATAAACCTCGGCGTATATCGAACCCCGAGGGAAATTATTGTACAACTTAACACGGAGCATCCTTGGATTAGGAACCATTTTAGAATGCTTGCAACCCCGGACCTCGTGATTATCTGTAGCTTGAGTCAGCTTGCAGGCGGCTGGCCCTCTTCTGAGGGTTATGTAGCTCAGCATGCCCATATTCCTTTAAGTAAAGGGCACCGCCATTTAATGGAGCATTATCCTTATTCATATCCACGGGTCACCATTCAAAATCTACTTAAATATATCGAGAGATCCTTTCGCACGCCATGGTGAAAGAAGACAACTCTACTCAATCCGAGACCGATGTGTAAGTTACCCGCTGCTTTCAATCATCACAGTCTGATATTCTCCTGCAGACTCATCATCGGTGCCGGGCCAGCCGGCTTGATGGCAGCCTACTGGATGGCGCGCTATGGAGTTAGCGCGCGTATTATCGACAAGCGTGATACGAAGGTCTTCCAAGGCCACGCAGACGGACTTCGTGCACGCACTCTGGAGTTGTTCGACAGCATGGGCTTCCAACACCGTGTTATGCAAGAGGGATCCATCAGCACCGTGGTAAACATTTGGGTATGCATCAGCTTGGTTTGTACCAGGATCAGGGCCTGGCTGACGATGATGCGCATAAATAGGTTCCCAGTCCACAGGGAGAATTAGTTCGACAGGCTTCCATTAATATCTCTAGGACTGACGAGTCGCCATTCTACAATACATGCTTGACCCAGGGACGAATTGAGCGGTTCATTCTTGATAGTATTCGGGAGCACTCTGACCTTGACGTCGAATACAGTGTGGTCGCCGAGTCTTTGGAATATGACGAGGAATTGAGTAACGATCTCAACTCATACCCCATCACCGTTAACGTCAAAGTCCTTGGTGAAGATGATACGAAAGTCGAACCTAGATGTGAAACTGTTGGCAATGAGGTGACCCGCGACAACTTGCTTCCTGATGACTGGGCAGATCTAGTCCCACGTAAAAAATCACGGAAGACGCAGGTTGAGACTATCAAAGCCAAGTACCTGATCGGGTGTGACGGTGCCCACAGCTGGACAAGAAAACAACTAAACATCCCTGTAGAAGGGTCTAACACGGATCATATATGGTTAGTGATACTCATTGTCCAATCGGGCTACAGCAGCCAATATAACTCTGTACACAGGGGTGTGATAGATGTGGTACCACTGAGCGACTTCCGTAAGTATTTTCCACTGTCTACGCTGTGCCCTCAACAACATCCACTAACTCAAATCTTCCCCAGCGGACGTCCGCCGCCTGAGCGTTGTGAATAGTGTCACAGGTACAATACTTGTAGTCCCACGCGAGCGCGGCCTAGTCCGCTTCTATGTCCCCGTTCAAACCTGCGAGGTGGGCGCGGCCGACAGATTCGACCGCTCAAAGATCACGCCAGACCTAATAAGAGCGCGTGTGCAAGCCATCTTCGCCCCCTTTACCTTCGACTTCAAGGAATGCAGCTGGTGGACGGTCTACCAAGTCGGACAGCGTATCTCTGCACAATCCACGAAAGATAACCGGATCTTCCTTGCTGGTGATGCGGTACATACGCACTCGCCCAAAATGGGTCTTGGGATGAATATGAGTTTGCAAGATGGGTTCAATGTTGGGTGGAAGATTGCTCTTGCTGTGGCTGGTACCCTCAAGCCTGAGGTTCTTGAGACCTATGCTTTGGAGAGACACCCCCTTGCGGAGATGTTGCTTGAATTCGATCGTAATTGGTCACCTATGTTTAATGATCGGAAACCTGAAGGGGTGAATACGAAAGCTTCAGACATGGCCCTCATCGCAGAGAGATTTGAGGACTTCGCGGATGGGTGGAAGGTGTTTTACCCTGCGAGCAGCCTTGTTCGAAAGGCTGAAGACAATACTGAATTTGCTTTTGCACGGCATATGATACCCGGGGAGAGAGTCCGTCCGGTAAAGCTTCGAAATCAGGCCGATGGCACTCTATTATGGACAACAAGGTCTTTGGAAAGTGATGGGCGCTTCCGCATTCTAGTCTTAGCTGGGGATATACGAAACCCAATGCAGAGGCAGCGAATCGAGACATTGAATCGGGCTTTGGCTGAACAGTCTGGATCGAGTGTCTCACCACTGGGCCGTTACATGGAGATTCCTGGTCGATTCAAGAGCCCCGTTGATGTGCTCACCGTCCACGCATCACCGTGGAAAGAAGTAGAATTCTTTGATTTCCCAGAGATTCTGCGTTCATTTGATCCGGTGAAAGGATGGGCATATGACAAGATTTGGTGTGATGATGCTTGCATATCGGATCGATATTGCGATGGAAAAGCGTACGAAAAATGGGGAGTGCACCGGGTTCTTGGAGCGCTGGTGGTCGTTCGCCCAGATCAATATATCGGTTGGGTGGGTGAGCTTGGAGACGTGGAGGGATTAACGCATTACTTGGATGGCATTCTTGTGAAGAAGTCACCGACAGACGAGACTGACCTAGCTCTGTAGAGAATTTTACACAGGACTATAGCCGACGGCAATACTATAAGAATATAAATTGCTGCAAGCTAACGCTTCAAGCTAGCCGAATGGTTGTGCAAAAAATGATGTTAGAAATAAAAACAAGGAAGATTATTGGTACATGCACAACTGAACTATCTAGGTAGGTAACAATACTCTGCGGCGCTCCATCACCATCTTCATGATTGCGCGTGCGTCTCAGGCATCCACGATCCATCTTCTCGTAGCTCAGTATTAGGATCAGCAACATGAGACGACATAGGAGCATTCTCTTCCTTGTTCAATGAGTCCTGGTTGAGGTCTGGATCAGGAGGGAACTGGAACTTCGAGCTTTTCCACGGCTTCACTCCCATCCGGTACATAGTATCAATCTCCTCCAGTGTACGGCCTTGTCCCTCGATAACAGCGAAGTAGACCAGAGCCGCAGCAAGGAAAAGACATCCGGCGAACACATACCCGAAGCGGAAGTCAATGTCTCCGGTAATAAAGGGAGTGAAGAAGGCAAGGAGGAAGTTCCAGAGCCAATTAGATGCAGTCGCCAGAGACATTGCACGCGCACGGTATTGCGAAGGATACAACTCCGCGATGATTGTCCATACCATGGGACCCCATGTACTAGCAAAGCCAAGAATGAATAGACAGGCAAAGACGACCATAGCCACGCCGGCAGATTTTGTTTTCTCTGGATCCTCTCGATCTAGGGAGAAATGACCCACCGAGGCAAAAATCATAAAGCACACGAACATCCATAGCGCACCGGCTATAAGCGAGCGGCGCCGACCATAATGCTCGATCAGATAGAGGCCAAGGAACGTTGTTCCAAAGTTGACGCCACCTAGAATCATCTGCGTGACATAACTGTTTTTAATTCCAGCGCCATTGAAAATGGTTGTTCCCTAGCAGATGTCAGTTGGTTCCCTCTATGTCGTACTAAGATCTCAAACTCACATAATAGAAGAAGTAATTAGCACCTGTCAACTGTTGAAGAGCTTGCAAGGCGACACCAACAGCGACCCGGTACCCCATCGTCGGAGCACTGAACATCTGTATCCAGCTAACCTGCCCATTGCGCTTCTCTTCCTCGTGTTTCTGTCTGATTTCATCAAATTCGAGGTGAAGAGCGCGGTGGTTATGAGGGATACCATAGATTTTGGCAAGAGTGCTCTTAGCTTTATCTATCTTGCCATTTCGGTAGTCGTAGCGTGGACTTTCAGGGAAGAACATCATGCCAGCTCCGAGGATTATCGCCCAAAGATAGGTGATACCCATAGGGATACGCCATGACCCGGTGTCGGTGCGAGCCTCTGTTCCGTAATTGATACAATTGGCAACGAAGATTCCAAGTGTAATGAATAGCTGGTATGTACTGGGAAGAGTTAGAAGGCGATACTTGCATTCTGGAATGGTCCTAGGGATGGCTGTCCAACATACCTAATCAGCGAGCCTCGAATATGCCTCGGTCCTGACTCGGCTTGATACATTGGTACTAGTAGAGAAATTGCACCGACTCCGAGCCCAGCAACCCAACGACCCATGGCGACCTGGTACCACTTGCCGAAAGGCGAGGAGATCTGAACGGTGATTCCAATACACACCATCAGAGACCACCAGCTGATAGACCACTTTCGTCCTAAGCGGTCGGCAATCGGTGCTGCGACCAAAGCCCCTATCAGAGTACCAATCGATAGCTTAGGCTAGGTGTCAGTACATAAGCAAGAATAGCAAAGACCACATCGCTTACCAAGGCAACAATGAGACCCGAACGGACATTGCTGAAGTGATAGGTACCATCTGATTGGGGTTCCCCATACCGATGGAGGAAGTCTTTCATCTCCAGGAAACCGGAGATCTGACCAGTGTCGTAACCGAAAAGGAAACCGCCCATGGAGACAAGAAGGCCCATAACTAATGAGCGCCATGTGAGGAGTGGAATAGGGGTATCGACAAGATCACTAGGGCCTTTCTCGTGTTCATTTGTGGACATCGAGTTCCTAGTGACCTGAGGGTCTGCATAGAGGTCCTGCGGACGTTTTTTGAAGATCTTATCGAACATAGCGCTAGCGAGTACTATTTGACTGTAATATTTGCTATTTAGCAACTAGGCTTTCGAATTTTGTGCTGTGCCGAACCCGCCGTTCTTATACAGCGCCTGCCCAAGGAATTCAGAAAGCGTGACCGAGGCCGAGTTCTGAATTTCTTGCAAGAAACGGACTTCTTGCCAATTCAGGCAGGCAGCATCATACCGATGACACGTTGATCCAAGAGCCTGAATATACGCGAGTGATGGCCTTCGCTTATGTCCGTCTAGGAAAGACAGAATCCGGGGAATCTGACGCGCATTCGGCAGGTTTGCTGGTTCAGCCACGGGTTGTCCGAGTGGTTCATCGTTGCTGTTGGTCAGCATATCAACTCCAGACTCCACACCTTCGAGTTCTGAGTGGCGTGGGTCTCGGCTTCCTACACCTCGTGATTCTTTCCGGGGACCAATGACATTTATTGAGAGAATTATCTGGGCGATGTCATCGAGATCCGGGGAAGTCATGACGATGACCGCCACAAAAAGCTTGGCATTCATCGGCCCCATTTTTAATGCTCACTAGAGAGATTATGCCCAATACAACTTCGAAAAGTGAGTCGGTGATGGATAGTAGAAGATGTTTTCGAAATAAGCCGAGACTAGTCTTAATAGGCAAAAAAGACTGTGTAGAAATAATGAGAGAGGCTGTGACTGCAATATTTTCAGTCGGCCATACATAGAGAGATGACCTATTCAATCGAACACACTCCGGCTCGAAAAATCTAGGTTGTACAAGAAAAAAGTCCAATGCCGAGAAATGTGAATCAAGTACTGTCATGTCTCTGCCGCCTACTATAAATGTAGTCCCGGATGGGGGAGTTTCTTTCGATTCGGGTACTTGAAATGAATATACGGATCGCGAGGTGGTCAAGCCATTGCTATGTAAGGCATCTTTCCTCTTTCTCGTCAACTCCCAATATTTCCAAACGGCGATTACCAATACTCGTCACTTCTATTGGGGCTCCCGGTGACTCTCTGCTTATGCAAGATGACGAAGAGGAATAGGCTCAATTGAGTCCCCATGTTGCTCAAATTCGCGAGTTAAACGACCTGCTGGCGTAGCGGACTTGGTACATGCTAGCGAGATAATCCGGCATATTCCGGTTGCGAAATAGAGCAAGAAAGAAAAGGAGAACCTGCTGAGATTTTTAGGCGGCATTATCAATCCACAGGGCGAGGTCGGATTTGGGAATTTTAATGCCGTGGCATGACTAGCGGGCTTAGGGCGACTAGGTATGCCACCCGGGGCATAACCCTCCCATGATAATATTGCCTGGCAGTATTTCAGTAATCCGAAGGTCCGATTAATTTTGCTGTCTTATATTGGAACATACCGGACTTCTGCCTTATTTAAACACCAAAATTTGAATGACACAGAGAGGGTGTGCAAGTATGTACGAATAATGGGACCGCGGAGGCACAACTATTCACTTATTAGTGGATATTACCCAGCAGTAATTGAAATCCACACTTTACAAAAGCTAACTATATACTTATCGAATCCAAGTATATCGAATCGAAGGATTTACCGTTTTTAATGTTAAAGATACATAGATACTCGTGGTATTATGAAGTATATAGGTATAGAAATCAAAGAGAAGTTAGAATTGACACTGAATCTACTTGGAATTAGAATGAAGCCTTCGAGAAGGTGGTGATAAGGACGGTCAGGCAAGATCCAATGGGAGGGTTAGACCCCGGGTGGCATACTTAGTCGCCCGTAAGCGGGTACCTACATCTCGATCCAGGAGTGGGTCATGCGTGAGACCAACATTTCCAACCTTGGGAACTATATGGACACAGACAATTCCGCTTTTACTGCGTATAAACACGCGGAGAACCCAATCCAAGATTCCTATATCCAGGTCTACTTCGGCTGTAGCCACCCCGTTGTTATGAGAGACTGTCGTGATCATCATCAAATTCATATGTACGCAATATCACAGTATTGCCATCCCAAGAAACTATACTATCTACCAGCTAAAGCAGACAGAACATATGTGCAAGCATAAGAGAAGATGGAAGATACAGAATAACAGAGGACAGCAGACAGAAATCAAAGAGAAAATAAACGCCCCGAATCCACAGGTATCATGAATAGAACAGAAAAGCTCAAAAGCCGTTTCAAACCCCAAATCCCTTCCAGAAAAAGACCATACCCAGCGCTAGATAATCAGACGGCCAGCCGTCGGTCCCAGCCATTGACTAGAGAAAACTCATCGACTTCATCCCCACCGTGCATAGCAAAACCATGGAAAGGATCCATGGTATTCATGTCCTCAGGACAAACACGGACATCGGGATAGGGCGCCAGAGACTCTTCAGCACTGCCCATACTTTCGCTTGAATAACTCAGAACGCTCTGTGTGGTATGTTCTGGCTTATTTGCGAAGTCACCACTACTGGCAGACCACGCTTCAGGGGAAAGGCCATGCATATCACTCTGCGGGTGATTGAGAGAAGAGAGGTCGTCTGGTTTGCGGCCGTATTCTGCTGCAATAGAGGCGAACGGACCCGGGTCTTCGCCGCATTCTTTGCCACCGTAGATGCCTGTGAAAATATTCGAGTAACCACGGTCCATGTCGCTCAGAACATATTCCCAATCGGCCATAGTGATGGCACCTGCTGTGGGGTCGGAGGGCGTAGAGCAGGACATAGAGCGTGGGTGCTCATAACCCAAGGATGCGGCTAGGCGATGGTCTGAAGCTAGGTCCAAGGGAGAATGGCCCTTGTCGTTCAGGTAATGTGAAGGGAGGTGGTCGGCTTGAGAAGGCGGCAGGCTGCTCCAGCTAGGAGAACGGAGCGACTGGGGTATAAGTGGGGGCGTCGTTCCGGATATAGTGTTCCGCCGAGAGGACTGTGGGGAAGATTGGGTTGGAGGCTGCTTATCGCGGGTGGAGCAGGCGATAAGGCGGGACTTCAAGGCCTGCAAGTGCTTTTTGGGGGATTTGTTCGGTTTCTGTGTTGGCGCTACCATCTCCGGGTGCTGCTTGCTCATTGAAGGGAGTCTCCCGTCGAGACAAGTCAGAGTGTTCGACAGCATGCCAAATTCAGCAGCCGCCACACTCGACTCTGTTTGAAGGTATTGCATGGCGGTTCCAAGCAGTTTCTGGCTTTCCTTGCCCAGTTTGCTATCGGTTTTCACATCAAGCATCTGCCAGAGGAGTCCAAGACCAGAAAAGAAAATAAGCTCTCTTCTGTTGATACAGACAGACAGACACAAACGCCTTTCATCAAGTAGTTCAAGAATTTGGATGATATGTTTTGCTGAATCGCTCAGCGCCAGGACAGACGGAGAGCGAATGTTCCCATCAGCGTAGCAGACAGCCGGGCGATGTATCAATGATCGAATGAAATAGTAGACGAGTGACTACAGTAGGGTCAGTATTTTTCAATCAAACAATAATGAATCCATGATGGGGCTTACCAGAAGTGGGGACCGACTACTCGTGACGCTCGTACTAGGCTTGTCTTGACTGAACTCGAGACGAAGATGTGGCGGCAGGGTGTGAAGCCACTCGTCCAATTGTCCGGTCAGCGAGCGCATCTTCGAAACATACACATCGTAACCCGATTTTGAAGGGTAGAGATCCTCCAAAGCCTTGTTCAAGATCCTTGCAGCTCCAAAGAGAGCAATTGCACTGGAAATGCGAGTGGATTCACCAGGGAGGGTCGGCAAAAACCCCGTTTCTGTGACATTCTCATCATCCACATCAACGGGATACTCAGCCTCGATATCCTCCTCACGCAACAGGACAGGCAGCCCAGTAAGCGCGGAGCAGAATCGATCAAGCACATATTGCGACCAGAAAACCTTCTTACGGGTCTCATCCTCTAGCGGGTTGGTTGAGCTTTCTTGGTTTTCGTGCATACCTAGCTGGTGGCAAATATCCACACCAAGGGCACGGTAGCGGAGCAAAGTGCGGTAATCGCCTTTGGTCATGCAGTATATTTGACCAAGAACAAAGCACTGCAGGCTGGAAATTGACGCTTCACTTGAGAGCGAGTCAAGTGTTGCCGACCAGTTCTCTTCGAAGAAAGTCGGGTCTTGATTGGTGCGCGAGATTGATGAAAGAGCAGCGATACCAAAAATCAGGTTCAGCTGCGCCATCACATGGGCGTCGCGCTGGAGGATTTCAGTATTGTTGAGGTACTGTCCGTAAGCTTTCAGAATGGTCGGACGATGTACTACAGGGTACAGCGGCGCCCATTCTTGGAAGAAGATGTTGATCAGCTGATCCGACACCAATCGGGGTGGCGTTTTCACATTCTGGTTAGGGGCACCTTGGAGTACCGAGGTAGACAAGGCAGTGAGAGCCCCTGTGGGAACCTTTGTTGCAGATTTGCCCTCAGTGACAAGTTTGTCGGTAAAAACATCTGTGCATATGGGTTAATTCTATTTCCAGCCTGAAAAGACAACGTATAACATACTAGCAAATCCCAGTGTGCTAGAAAAGCCCACGAAAGGGTTCTCAGACTGCCGGGATGGTCGGATAGTCGATCGCTGTACATGAAACACACCCTCCGATGAATCCGGAGTGCTCGACTTCACTGTGGCAGACGCAGAGGGAGACCGAACGGAGGCGGCTCGGTGAGGCGGCGAAAATGAGTGTATCCGGGACAAGACATCGATCTTCTCGTCCTTCTCGTCCAACAGGTCTTTCAAGTCTTTGACTTCGGTTTCGAGAGTCCTCACTCGCTCTTCTAGCGACTCTGTATATCCACGCGGGAAGGCGCGGCGGCTCAATTTGTCGCTAGTGCGGCACTCGAAGCCCACATTGGCACATTGCGAGCAGCAAGGTCGTACACCATCACAGCGGATTTTCTTGCTCCGGCATCGATCGCAGGCTTGGGCGATCCGGCTCGTTGTGCCAGTTCCACCGACTTTAATCACTTTCATAGGCAAGATACCAGGCATGTTGTGCAGAAGAGGCACATGGGCCGCCTGGGGTGGAGTTGGTTGTATTTGAAAGCCAGAGGTGTAAGCACAACACTCTGTATGAATTTCCTGAAACTGAGACAATACTAAAGAATCGAAGAATCTCGAATAAGAGTATGCAGGAAGAAGCCTAAAAACATGGGGGGGGAACTCGGGAGGATGGAGACACGCCAATGCTGAGTCAGTTGAAAGTGGGGCTGCTGACCTTCCTCGGGCGCCAATAAGCTCGTTGTTATTTCGGTGGTATTTGGTATTGCCTGCGTATCGACCTATTCACCTTACAATTTGTATTTTAAATTTTTGGCCCTGGCATTTTGGCTGTTTGAGGACACACACATTTACCCCGTAAACCCCGTAACCGGTGAAATTCGCCCCGGATTCTTTTCGACATTCCTTATGACGGTTAGACCCTCCCGATCCCCCCCGCACTCCACATTCCATGACTTGGGATATGGATGTACATGGTGAGATGGAAATGCACATTGCCTTCTATGTCAGAGGAACAACCTTTAGGAGAATTTGTAGTCAAGTTACGAAGTACGGAGTGCTGAGATACAATTGTCAAGTACAACGTACTAAAAAGCTCGCTCGGATCCAAACCGGTTGCGGTAGGAATTACCGCTTCCGACTACACCCTCCGGCGCCGATGTACAGCCGCGTGTCTCCTTTGCAGGTTGCCCTAATAGGCCACATGTTGCACTATTGAGATTTGGTCCAATGATCGGCCACTATCCTCTAATATGTCTTACTTTCCACTAAAAAAAATCGAGATAATTCCGTGATCCTTCCGGTGAATAATGCGATAGACATAGTCCCATCATAGATACGGGGGTCCTCAAGTCGGTGTTGTCGAAGTTACTAGAATCCAATCCAATCCACCCTGATCATGAGAGCCGAAAAAAACCGAAGACCCCCAGAAGTTTAGAGTTTATACATTCTAAGGCGAAGTAAAATCGACTTTCACGACAGTGGCGAACCGTTCATGGGAGGATCGGCTGCGGGGTGACTATTTCTTAAAAGGATATGTGTTCATTATATTTAGTCCACGTAAAAGCCTATTAACTGAAATTGATTAATACTTATTAAGAGCCTAAAGACGCGGGATATAGTTCAATATAAGCAATCTAACCATGTGGCTAATCTCGAATCAATACATGTAATTCTGGTATTGTACCGAAATCTCGTATCTTCAACGCAGCGAGTTTTGCCCGAGAGATCAGCGAACCATGGTTATTGAGTCAATGGCCCCACTAGGCTCCGGCCTGTTGGATTCATGATCTACAGTCTACTCCTGCGCTCCACTACGATTTACATCCCGGATCCCTCAATCTTAGTTTCTAATTGACCACTGCTTTTCTTCTAGTGTGTCAACGTCACCGGTACGCTTGGGAGAGTTTGTTTCACCCCATGCATCCAGTGCTTACCCGGTCCAACGGAAATTGGAAAGTCGGGGTTCCTGCAGTTGGCTCCCCCCGCATACAACCCCCGACCCTGAAGATCATGATATTCATCACCCGGTTCCCTTTCGCAACCCCATGATTTTCGACTACACACGTCATAGCAATGATTTTCCTGGCTTTTCGTCACAATTGAGCGCTAGTAGCGCCTAGCCCGATCCGCTACCGGGGTGTGGGGTTCGTCCTTTTTTGAGATGATCTGGCGGGGATTGGGGCTTTGTCGCAGCCTATGAGCCAAACAAAAAGTGGGCTCGAGAGGGATTTTGAGGAATGAACCGGATACTTTGACACGTCTGTTAGGCTGATATGCATTATGTTCACTAACTGTGGTCTAGTCTTCAACGGACCCATCAAGATCTTGGCCTTTGATTTTGAATCATGAAAAGTCCTCGGCTTCATCCGGCTCCCCTGTCTGTGCACGGAAATATTCGGCCACCGTTTCAGAAGCCAGGAGTTCTGTTCTCTGTATCCGATAGTCAGTTGCTGGATATTAGAAAGGGCATGACTCCCTGAGGAAGTCAAAATAATAAACCACTTACCTGTTTGATTAATTCCTCGACTGCCTTCTCCAACAGCTCCCCTTCCAAGATTCGGAGTTGGGCAATCGAGGTGAAGATTCCAGGTCGAAACATGGAATCCAACCCCGCTTTGTCCTTGTGCATGTTTGTGATGATCTCCTCCGTCTCCTGAAGGAGGGCGAGCTGAGTCTCGAGCCTTTCGAGGAGAAGCACCGCAGCGCGAAGCTGAAAAATCTCCCACAAGGGATCAACAGCGAGCAGCTCGCGGAGATGACTGACTGATTGTATCTTTTCGCCTTTCCAGGTCACTTCCAACTCCCGGCCGCCGTCGGTTGTCTGCGCGATCCCAAAGTGGAGCCCGTCCTCTTCATTGGCGCATGCTATCCAAACTAGGTCACTCTCCCAGGTCACTTGTTCAGAGCCCACCACGGCTGAGATACGAATTCCAGAATTGTTCTGGCAGAATATCTTCTTTGGTATGGCGAGAGGGTCATCCTCTGGGATATCTAGATTGAGGGATATTTCCCGTGCTTCCGTCGTGCCGCTTTCCAGAAATCCATAGGAGAATATCATCTCGGAGGCGGGCTTTTGATCGCCGTACCTGCCATACCATGTGTCAGCCAAGTCCTCAATGACCATGTCTACTGTAGAGAAATCTCACGAAATCGTAACCTCTTCCCCAGGCTGGAGAGCCTTGCCCCATCGTAATTGAAGAACAGCGTTCCCCTCAGAATCTGCATCATACAGCGCCTTGACCCCATCCCCGGAGCCATGATTGGCCATATCAACACATGGCACCATCGCCAGACCACTGCCAGGTAGGTCCAGCATGCGCGACCGATAAGCAGCGTCAACGTATTTCCAGTCATGAATTGTCAGCGAGCCAGTCTTCTCATCCCACCAGCTCCGCTGGCACCACTCAATGCTCTCCGTAGCCTGGCGGAGGTGTTCAAACTCCCGCTCAAGAGATGAGAATTTCGCATCAAGAGCCTCCTCGAGTGACGTACCGCGGAGTAGCTCTTGCTCCTCGGGAGTGTAAAAGATGGGTAGGGGGAACGATGGAGGCAGGAACTTCACGTATTCGGTCCATGGATTGGAGATACCGACGGTCTCATGTGCTGAGCGTACATCGGGACTGCTATGGGTTAGCTGGAGGAGTAGGAATATGAGGATTGCTCCTCTAGCTGTCTGTGTATCTTAGTTGGTTTCTCCATTGTAATGTAGATGTGGGGGGAGCAGCAGCCCATACCCTTCCAAAGTCGCCGGTTGCCTCCAACACGTCGCGCAAGTACCTGTCGGTTTTGGCATGATTATGGACAGTATCTAGGGATAAAACCAATCCTGAGGGAATTTGTAGGAGAATTGTGGGCTTTGCATCGTTCTCGCTGCTCATCTGGGCTTCTGTTGCGATGAGGGCACTGCCTTTGTCTGCGCCATGTTGATCAGACCCAACCTTGCGAGCTGCGATGCCTCGAACGACAATCCCATTGAGCCGCTGCCAAGCAGGCAGGGATTCGACCGGGAGGTACTCGCGTTTCATTGTGAAGTGAGTTGAGGTTGATGCTTGTGCGCCTAAATTGTCGCGTCGATGACGATCGATCGTCTTATCGATAAGCCTGGCCCCCGAGCTCCGACCAAGGTTGTTACCTTTTTTTGGACAAAGTCGAGTTACAGCATAGTAACGTCATATGACGAAGCAGGTAATCATCACTACATGTAGGTGAAATTCAACACTAAGGCATTTCAAGTCTCTACAATAACTCGCACTTCACTAAGCGCGATCACTGCATCTCTTCTGCTACATCAATGCTACATAGCATGTCTATTTCACGACATCCTTGGCGGGTCATTCTACCGTTACAGTCCGTCATTCATCCACCAGTTCACCGGGCACCACCTGGGGTCCGCCATTACTCCATCTTCGAGGATTGGAAGGGAAGTTCAGCGGAGGATCACACACGCAAACGGGCTCAGAGAGGTGATGCAGAGGATGTACACTCAGAGTCAGCGGCCACTGGGTTGAGGGAAAGGAAAATGAATCAGGGTATTGCAGATGACACCAAGTCACAGGGTATTACGGAGAGAGGCGGGACCAAGCATGGGAAGAAGGCCAAAGAGGAGCACCCCAAAGCACCAGAGCCAGTCATTGGCATGAATGACGAACGCGCAAAGGTCAGTTCATACGAATGATGAGGGACTTCATTTCACCTTGCTGACTGCGTCTGCATCTTCGCAGAAGGGTGGTTGAATCCAAGTATCTTGTGGTGTGCTATGGCGTTGTTCGAGCTCGACACGTTCACTGTCGACGGCTCAAATTTTGTAATAATAGTGAATCGGAGTAGAGAACAAGGTCATAAGACATTTTCATTACTAATGTCATATCATGGGAGAGGCTGTACATATGTCGACTGGTCTACCGACCAACCTTGAACGATAGGATCTGCAATGACAAGTCAGTCAATCAACCGTATTCTATACTTTGGCAGGGGCACTCACATCGTTTTTCCCAACTGCCACAATGTCGTCTTCGGAGACTCGGGTTCCCCCACTCCTTCGACATAGCTGATGGGTACGTCGCCCATCACTTTCCGAGCAACATCACCGACAGTACTATTCCTGTGGGATGTTAGACATCTCATGTCAGCTAGAATGGGGAATACTTACTTGTTAACCAGAACACAGTCACGGAATACGGCAGTTCCAGTGCCAGAGTTGAATGTCGCCACGTTTCGGACGGGGAAAACTGGCACGAGCCCTAGAAGCTCTGCAGCTCGGGACAGACATTGGACGACACCGGTAGATCCAAATCGATACAGAACCATGTCTTTCATGTTCTCAACTCGACTAGTAGGAAGTCGTTAGCCGGGTTACGCCCCTCCTATCGGCACGAAACATACGTTTTCAATTTCTCGTCCATTTCTTTGAGGCCTCCTCCGTCTGGGTCGCCCATCTCGATCAAATCTTCTCGCGTGTCGACAAACTCACTCCCTTCAACGTACTTGATGTACTGCTGCTTTGCTAGCTTTCGGAGGAAAACCTCGGAGATAGCGGAGCAAAGCACAATGCTTTGTGGATCTTGCATTTTGGCAATTTTGCTGATGTTCTGTAATATATGTCAGAACGATATAGGGGTCAACAGCCGTACTCTCGTACCTTGTCTGCGTCTGGGTGGTCGATCTTGTTCAACGCGAACACTGTGGGAAATTTCTCGTCGATGAAAGCATTAACAACAATCTCTACCGTCTCATTTGACCACTCTTCCAACGGCTCTTTTAGGGCAAGTTTATCCATAAACCGTGCAACAGTGGTGTGGGTACTTCCATAGCCGGCAAACTGTTTCTGCAATGTGTCAACGGGGTTCGCCTCTGTGCCGAGAGTCAGTTTTATGTCATTGCAGATAGTGTTTCAGAAATTCACTGACTCAATGCCTGATGTCTCCTTTTGATGGAGCCCCTAAGGAGAGATCAGCACTTGTCCGTTGTTTCGTTGTTGGCACTTGCAAACGTACCACTTCTCCATCAAGTTTCCTAACACCCATCGCACGATCTCTGATCGCAACCACTCAATGTCTACTGATGGATCATATCCTCGAGTAGCCTTTCCTGCAGATATTTATCAACACCTGATTTGCGCCATTGTATATACTCTGGCACACGCAACCAACCTTCAGCATCCGTGGTCCCACTCACATCCACGACGTGAATCAGAGCATCGGCGTGACGCAGATCATCCAAGAACTTGTTACCGAGTCCGCGACCCTGATGCGCGCCTGGCACAAGACCTGCGACATCTAGCAATTCAATCGGCACGGAGCGTCGCCCTTCGTGGCAGCCTCCATAATTAGGCTGGCAGCGGTCTGAAACATTGTGTCGCAGGCATGGGCAATCAATTTGAAGGTATCCGATGGCTCGCTGGGGGTCAATGGTTGTAAAGCTGTGCGGTGTCAACACGGCCTACGGGATCAATTGCGATAAGGTGGATCTGCTCATGCAGAACAATCGGTGCGCACATACGGGAAGTTTCCTGTACAGAGTATAATTGATTAGATTTCCCAGATCGGGTATAAAAGTATTCTGATCTACTTACCGACTTTCGAAGTCGCATCGGTCAAACTGTTCAAGGTGGTGGATTTTCCACTAGACGGCTGTATGCCCCTCACATCTGTGGTCAGTGGGGTGGTGGAAGATTGGCTGGGAGTGACACACCTTGCCCACCAGTCCGATCAGTGGATCTCGAGGCATATTGCAAGATATATGTGTCGAAGAACAAAAAATCCTCAGGATAACACAATGATCAGGTTCAAGTATCCACGTGCCTCGGAGTTGGCTGTCTTTCGATAAGAAACATTTTCTGCCGTGTCAAAATGGAAGGCGGTGTTGCTGATCGCCTAGATGCTTTGATGCCGCTTTAGGACGCCGACCACCCTTGAACTCCTCAAAAGCTTTTTACTTCTATACAAATGTGTTTATTTTTACACTTGGAGATCACCATATCTAGGAATTTCTGAGGATGCAACGGGGAGTGGGATCTGTTGGCCATAATTCACCGTGAAACGCTATGAGCGACCGTTGTATATTCAATAGATCCACATCTCAGCCATCCAGCTTCAAAATATATTTTGACTATTCGACGGCGCTTGAAAGATAAGCTCAGTTTGTATGCATAGCGTATTTCATGCACGCAAATCAACAGGTTTGCCACCTTAGGTGACCCATCAGCTACGACCAATCATTCAGTATGCTCCTGTCGACCAGACGGCCTGGAATCTCCAATCGCGACAAAGTCCCCAAGATGAATTAGGGCCCAGCTGGTTCTGGAGGGTAGAATATCCATGGCCCTAAACACATGTCGTCATTGTAGCAAACGTCACAGAGTCTTGCCATCGACAAGGAATATGGTACCTCGATATATAAACCCTTATTCCTCATGATATGCTTCAGTGTGAGTATCATACTCAGCCAATTCTGACACTTTATCAAATTCACTACCGAACTACAAAATGACTGATGCTACATTTCACACCACCATTCAGGACCTCCGCAGGGCCGAGTCCAAGCTTTCCTTGCTACATGGTGGCAACACCCCAGCAGACTCAAATGTATCGAGAATGAAGGTGAGTTTCCTGTAACGCAACACTGAGTCGGAAACAGATCATCTGACATGCTCTCTACATAGTCGATCATCGATCAAAACACCAACAAGCCCGCACAAATTGACAAGATCAAGGCCAATTTACCTCTACCTGATCAACCTCCAGTTGCCAGCGACTGGAATTCTCTCGACCAGCGTATCACCGGTGTTGGCTCTGGACGTGTCGAATACCCTCCTGACAACAGTGGGTTGCGTGGTGCTCCGGCTGCGGGCAGTAGTGCTGAAGAACTTGGACTGTAGAGTGTTGAGGACCCTCCTGATTCTACAACCCGTTAAGACTATCTGAACATGAGGATTTAATATAGGTAAAATAGTCATTTTTACGAGCGAATGAGTGAATTTCGGACTTTCATTCCGGTTGATTAGTATTATGTCTAAGAATATAGTCGATTTTCAAATTATTTATTGTATCATTTGTTTCATGAAGAACTGTTGAACGAAGCAGGACTAGCAGAGTCTGGATGCATCGCGCTAGGCCTTCAAGTGCAATTACCATATAAATCTTGTTTCACATACAAACAAATGTACCATCTGCTCTACTTACAAACTCACATTAAAACACAAGGTTCAAACTGATATTTGAGATAACGAACACATCGTGTGCAATATAGAATGAAGATAAAGGTGTTTGCATGGTTTGTACTACTGCGAGGGTCTAGACCTGACGTCAATTGCCTCCTAACAACACCAACTTTCGGTCTGGAGATGAATTTCAAGATAGCATCCTTGATAGGCATGTGGGGCATGAGACTCTCCTTTCAAAAACCTTCTATAGAAGCATGAATACATCAGAGGGGAGACTGTGCTCCACATGCTCCACACCCTCCTTTCCATCGGTTTCTCCAGCCACCAAACAGAGTGCCTCGAGTATAACTAGTTAATCTGACGGCGACTGGCAGACAAAATTCCCAGGTTTAAAACTGCATATTCTTGTATAACCCCTACTGGCTAGCGTAAGTATGACATCAATGCTGTTTGATTCGTTTCTATGAGACCAGATACTTCCAATATGCGGTTCGGTCATAGCGCATTGCTTTCCTATATAGATCTGCCACCGCGGCCTCGTTAGCATTCATCAGTCAAATATTTCCTTTCTATATTCTACCACACATATCTTCAATATCAGAAGTCTACCTTTTTGACTTTTTCCATTATATGATCATGGACATCCAAGGCACCCCTCTTCCTCACGCAAGCCGCGGCACTAAGGTCACCACCGACCCTCGTTCACAACAGCCCATCGAAGAACCGTCAGGCCCTATTACCAATGACTCGCTTGCCGCCGAGTCCGTCCGCCAAGGTGGCGGCTTTTCTGGCAACCGTGGCGCAGAGCCCATGGGCGTCTCAGGAAACCAATCCACAGTAAAGAATACCGACACTTCCGCCTCCACCAAACTTCCCTCTGCCTCATCTGGCTATCAACGCCAGGACCGCCATGAGGAACAGAAATATCCCGAATGTGTGGTTGGTCAGGGAAACTTCCCTGGCACACACCTAGACAACTCTGGGTACGCTGGTGGCTCAACTGCGGCCAAGAAGGAAATGGGCATCAAGGCTGGGGAATATTCTGCTGCTGGCGGCAGTGGGGGTCGCAGTCAGTATAACGAGGTAACCGACGTCCAACAGGGCGGCTTCCCCTCCGACGATGCTAAGAATGTGAGCTTCAACTCGAAACTTGGCTCCAGCGAGGACCCTGCCCGCGACTCTATCAATCAGTTCCAGCGTAGCAATGCTCGCACTGCTTATAGTTCTGGTCATGTCGAGCAGAAGGGTGTGGAGGATCAGAATCAATATGAGCAATTAGAGAGCGACCAGCGCGCTTAAGAGTCTCTGATTTGAGATCTGGGCCAATGTTTTCATCTTTTTGAGGAATGCAAGCGAGCGTGCTTTGGTTGGACTCAGCCTTGAGGCTGAGGTTATAACATCAAAGGTTGATGATTGCATTCATTATGTACAATAGCAGCTAAGAATACATGTGATCATTGCTTTTCCCCCCGATCTTTTCTCAATGTCTTGGGCATATATCGACAGTCTCCCTCTTTTGTGGGTATCGAGCACAAGACGGGCGACTATGTGTGCCACTTGATCGCAGGTCGTCTGCCTTCTCGAAGCACATGCGCCTTTTGAATTCTCAGTTTCTCTTTTATTCGATCATTTGGTAAGGCCCGAGAAGCCAATAATGGACAGGGTGGTAAGGCAGCATAAAGTATACAGTACATTAGTTCAACAAAATGAAGTATGAGCATTAGATTACTTCTTATCTGGTCTTTTTACTAGTCCTTTCTTTTCATTAAAGAAATATAGCAGACGGTCGACTAGCTGTCAAAAGTCGATTTGCTGGACTTCATACTACCGACTCCTTGTTTCCGCCCACACAATCCCCTTGGTTTTTGAGCGTTCAGGGATGTTGCGCCTGTATATTTGATCGCTACATTTTTTTTTACCACAAACAAAGCAAACCCCCAACCAGTGACGGGCTTAACCACATAAGGCTCCCACCAAGTTTGAAGATCACAGTCTCCAACACATGGCCAGCATGAATCGAAGAACAGCAACATGTTTTTGGTGATAACCAGCTTTAAGAGTTGATCATTAGGCTAACAAGGAAACCGATTCGAGTATGGCTGTTCCGAAGATCAATGGGTTGTCTCATGCCGTTCTTTTCGAACATTAAGATAAGTCGACAAACTGCGGCAGGGATAAAGTACCTAGCAGCGATGACAAAAGCATCTCCAGTCCCGATGAATAGGCTGCTTGAAAGGAGGACCGTGCCGAATGCAAGATGGGTTAGAGCAAAGAGAGAAGTGAGGAAAGACCAAGAGATGAAGGCGTAAGACTCCCACCTGAAGATCAGCATCGCCTGGGCCTGGTGGCTACAGAGCTGCATCTCGCGCCTAAAAAGTCTTTTGAGCAACTATGCCTGCACAGGGTGCTTATTACATGTAGTAAACTCTATACGAAGCATCACCGCAGCTGTACCGCATGCGTAGATCAAAGTGGTAAAAAAGTCCACAAAAGGGGCAGCCATGTGCTGTCAAACACCATGCTACAGACCGAAGAAACGCCGAGCTGCCGGATTGTGTGTGCAGCATTGGCTATAGCAATGCAGGCAAATATATATTCAAGCATAAAAATGGCAATGGTTGAATTTCTCGACAGCTTGGGCGTGTCAAGGCTGTCCGGCTCCTTTTGCAGCATTTGGATTGGGCCCTTGTACCCGAAAGCTGATATGGACGTAATACCAGGGGTCCCGACTCCCAGCAAAAAAGCCAGAAACGGCCGGCGCAATGACAAGAGACCAATCTCGAACGTGCTAGACCGTCCTCCTATAGCTAGTATTGTAGGCAAGAGGCCTAGAATCATCGCGGCTGATGCCACTAGACAACAGGACTATAACTAGCTTGAAGTGCCTTCAAAACTAATATGCAAAGAATTTTGACCACGGGATACATACTATTAGCCTTCCAGGACTCCCTCGTACTACTCAAAGACAGTCTACTATACTGCCTACGTAGTAACCCTCATCATCACACCCCGACATTGTTCTTTCTAAGTAGTTTGTGTACATGCCGGCGCATTCACTCCGAACCAAATTTCGCATGCCATCACTCCATTGATACCTGTACTGGAAGTGGCGTGAAGACGCCATGGCAATTGCGCATTAGCAAAGAACGAAAGAAAGAACTGGCCACGCAATACTAATAGATAGCGTGGAAAGCCCCAGGAAAACGCAGGGAAAATGGCTTATGCCCACCCCGTAGTAGAATATGCAGCCAGCACAACACCATTCATAGCTACGAAGTACGGAGTACTTATATCACACCTTTCGAGGCCTAGTGAGCCCACCGCTGGCTCCCGTTTAGAGCATAATTTGATTAGACGGTTATGCAGCTACCCACCTCAACGAAGGCAGGTCATTGGACATGAATTATATAGGCGCTTTGAGCCTAAACCACAAAGGGCCTAGCTAAGATGCCATGTCTATCGGTGCAATGGGGCCAAATCTGGCACCTGTCTTGTATGTTGTAGAAGGTACGTTTTACTGGTTATAACTTCCCACGAAGTGAAAGTGCAATACTAAATTGCAAGCAATTTAATCCAGAGAGTTATGCCCAGGTGGCACACTCAGTTGTTCGTACATGATGATTTTGAAATTTCCCAGCCTGTTCGAGTGCATCACTTGTCAAAAATAAACCTCTTGTATACACTCAGTTGTCAACCTCAATGAACTACGCAAAAATATACAATTGGATTGATCAAGGATCATGCAGTTAAAACATATATTCAAGTGTATCAAAAGATGCGATAATCATCCTCGTCAGATTCCGAGCCCGAATCGGTCTCATAGTCACTGTAAATGGGTCCTAGAAACTCATATCCAAGTTCTCCCACGGAGCGTGGCCGGGTGCTTTCCGAAGGAGCATCAACGATTCGCAAGGGGACCTTCATCGTCTCATCAACACTGACATTCCGCTCCTCAGTATACAGAACCCGATCATTTTCCCTAGCCAGAACCTGCCCCCTCTGTCTCCAAAGATAACTTCCCAATTCAAGTAGCCCAATGGTTAAGATAGAGACCCAAACCATCACCAGAAGAATAATCACTGTCGTAAAGACTCCCGGGAGCGGATAGTGTGAGAAAGTCAAAGATTTTGATTTCAAGTTCGGGAGTGAGAAGCGATACGTAAAGAAAGAGGAGGAATAAGCCAACGAGGCAGGGGTGGAGTGTTTATGCTCATTGTTCAATGTGTTTGCTGCATGCAGGTATTGTAGAACCTCGCTGTAGTCATCTTGTCTCTGGGCAGCGAGTGCATCGATTGAGCTCTTATCGCCTGAGGGGTGTTCGTTCTCTTCTCCTTTGTGTTGGTTGTAGGGCTTGTACATGTGCTCGGGTCCTTCTGGAGATGCTGGGATCAGGATTGAGACCGTCGGTTTCTCCGATTTGGAAGTTCCTGTTGTATAGCGAGTATTTGGTGTGTCTTGCTCTGTTGGTTCGTTATTTGGATTTGTTGGCCATGTCGGGTTCTATAGGTAGATACAGGTCAGTAAGTCCCCGAGTTAACAACCCACAATACAGTACATACCCCGTTGTATTTGACGTGAGGTGGGTCAGGTAATAGATCCAATCCTTCTTTCTCAAAGACCTTCCATATTCCACGGGCATTGGGATCTTGGATTTTTTCTGAGTTGACCAATTTGCTGGTTTGAATAGGGTGGGATATTGTTAATTGAGCCACGGCCAGAATGAGCGCGAGGGTTGAAATGGAGGCGCGATTGATCTGCATTGTTGTGGAAATAAAGAGAGAATTGGATGATATGACGGCCAAGTATATGCAGAATGAATGAATCGTCCGACAAAGAACGAGGGTATTCAGTTCCTTATATCATTTTCCCAAAACAGGGCAGATTTCGACCGCAAGGGCCGTGCCTTGAACACAAGGAAGAAGGTGTGTAGGACAAAAGGGAACCCTTCTTAGATCCGGTGCCCAATACGGAGTACCAATTCTGTTCCTGGATCTAGGCTAGCGCTATAAGATCTATGAACTTAGGGCCGGATTTATTCAGGGCACTATGCATAGTGATTGGCTGAAATTGATATCTCCTGGGCTTGGGATATGCACTATATCCCTTGTTTGACGCCAAGGGCGAGGGGACTAGGGATTGATCATATTGATCGCCTCAACTCAGAACGCCACAGCAATAGTTTATCCAACAATGCAAGGCTAATTGCCCAGGTTGAGCTCTTCACACTATGTGTACGGAGTATGGAGTATGAAATCCATGATTGATCACCGTACTAACTCTACCTGCTATCTAAAATCTTTGGGTTTGCAACCCGCTGTGACTGATTACATCCCTGATAGATTAGGATTTTTTTGGGGACTAAGGGAATATTGGAGGGCTCGAGACCAATTTCATATGCGGCCTGTCGGTCTGTCTCACAAGAGGATCACGAAGTCAGAATTTTCGAGGATATCAACTCCTACAGCAATCAGACACAACGTGGTTTATGCAAGTGCCACACTGCGTGGCAGTGCAATGAGTAAAAATTGCATGGGATGTCCCTTCGAAATTAACCGAGACCTTACTTAGGACCGAGTCTATGAGGTTGGTGGTATCTCATTGGAATTCTTGCCTTTTTCGTACACCATTGAAATAACGCCGAGTTGGAACAAAAGAGCAAATATAGAAAGATACCCATAGGCCGGACCCCATAAGACATGCACCGCCTGAACAGACGGTATCAGAAACCTGTACAACCAGAGAACCCACTCGCAGTGAAGTGTGGGAAGAGCAAATAACAAAAGGTAAAACAGACAAGTCGAGAACATTTTTAGACTGTCAGCTTCTTGAGCTCCTTCTGGGTCAAGCCAGCAAGCTCCTCGAACACCTTGGTGAACTCCTCATCATCCTCCTTCTTGCCCTTGGCAGCCTTGGGGGTGACCATGACCACACTGGTAGGGCGCTTGGTGGCAGCGGAAGCACCAAGCTCAGCGCGAGAGGTGACAAAGACGTAGGGAATGCCGTGGTCCTCGCACAGGACGGGAATGTGGGAGATAACATCCATGGGGGAGATATCGGCAGCGAGCACGACAACACCGCTGGGAACACCGATGGGAGCGTTGGCGGCGGGAATGGGAGACTTGCGGAGAGCCTTGACGACCTCCTTGACACCACGCTTGAGAGACTTGTTGACGGCAGCTAGAAGACAAGATGTCAGCATGGATGATATGAAGATAAGAGTAAAAAAGTTGCGCAGCAATGCGATCAGTAGGCATGGATGATCCGAGGATCCGATGAAATATCGACCGTGCACACTGATAGTAGATGGGTTAAGAGAGAATCGATGAGATATTGCACATACCCTTCTTGACACTCTTCAGGACCTTCTTGGCCTGCTTGTCCTCAACCAATGGGTTGGCGAACGGCACGAGGGCGCCAACGGGGCGGTCGGCAGCATCAACCTCAGCATCGGCCTTGACGGCGACAGCGCTGGTCTGCTCGAGGCCCTCCATGGCCTCAGTATCAATCTCCTTCTCTACTGCATCGACAAGAGCAGTCTTATCCTTCTTCTCCTTCTTCTCCTTCTTGACCTTGTGCACACCGTCCTTCTCCGCACGCTTCTCCTTCTTCTCAGCGCGGTCCTTCTTCTCGACCTTGTCCTTGCCCATAGTGACGGTTGTAGGGAATTAAGCGGAAGAAATTGAGTAAAATCGAACGAGAGACCGAGGTGGAGGGGGACGAGTCACGGGTGAGGGTGGTGAACTGAGAATTCGATGCCGAAATCGAAATAATTTTTTAAAACGGCGCTAACCCACTTCTAGCGCAGCTCATTGCTGACATAATCCCAAACAAGGCGGCGGCCGCCTTTAACCATCTTCCCTTTGATACAGCTCCAGGACAAGTTGTGCAGTGCTTTTTGCCTCATGCCCCATTAGACAGAAATATCCGTGGGGTGTAAGATAGCCCAAAACCCACCGTAAGCTTTAATGGGTCTCCATTCCATTTTTTTGCGCAAAAACTGACCTCTCCTGGCCCTTAATAGATGGACCACAGCCAGAACAACCGGCCGGCTTCCCAGCTCATTGCTGGATTCGGCTCACCGTCGACACCTTCAAATGTACGGAGTACCATGCGCCGATCGTCTGCCATGCGACAATCTGGCCGTTTCTCACAATCCCAAGCCCAATCCCATCAACCCATTCATGGTAAGATGAGACCCTGCTCGGATAAACTCGAGAGAGTTGCGACGGAAAATTGACTGGCTCGTCTAGATGCGGAAAAAGAAGAGCTACGCGTCCAATTGAGTACCCTCAAGTACGAGCTCGAGAATATCAAGCAGGAACGAGAGCTGGAAGCCCTTCGCCATGAAAAAGAGACCCGCGACTTGCAACTGAAAGCGGATGCGGATTTTCGAAAGGCTCAGGTGAGTCGCTATCAAACTCATCTTTCCACGAACTCAAACTGACCATATTTGCTGTAGACTGCCGAATCTTCGAGTAATCGTGCAACCCATAAGAGCGAGGAACTCGCAAAAGAATTGAAAGAAATTCAAGATCAGGCTCTGAATGACAAACTTGTGTTCGAACGCAAGATCAGAGGCCTCCAGGACGAGAATCAAAACTTGCAGGAAGAGTTTGACGACACTCAAGCTCGACTTTCCGACCAGGAACGGCAATTTAAATACCAGATCAGTGAGTTAGAGACAGTCCGTGCTTCCCTACAAAAGACAATCGAAGAGTTCCAGAGCGATATTCAAAATGCGAGGACATCGCAAGAATCAACGCAGGAGAAATTATCTCAGCGTGAAGCGGAGGTCGCTGAACTTGAAGCGGAGAATATTCGACTGAAGGCCGAAGGAAACGATGCCGAGGCTTTGACTGTGTTAAAGAGAGAACTTTCCGAACAAGTCAATCATATCCGGGAATTGGAGTCAACAAAACGTGATCAAATAACGGAGCTGCGCCACCTTCGAAAAGTCTCGAAGAACGTTGAAGTTGTCGAAGAACAGAAGAGATCAGTAGAGAACCAGCTCCAGTTGATGAAGGGCTTTGAAGCCGAACTCAACACAGTTCAGATTCAAAAACAGGTTTTGGAAGATGAGCGACAATCGTGGGTCAGCCTCTTACAGGAAACCGACCAGCCTGCAGAGTTTGACTCACCAGACGCCATCGTGAGGGCGGTAGTTCAAGGACGAATTGAGATCGCTACGCTCCTGGATCGCCTCGGGACTGTCGACGCCCAACTCCTTGAGAAGGACGAGGCGATCAAGAGCCTCGAGAGCGATAAAAACAATCTGCAACAAGAGTTGGAGAAACTCCGCGCTACTGCCGCTTCTGTGGGAGGACCAGCTGCCGCGGAGAGCCGACTTCGAGCTCGACTGGAGCGCCAGCGTGCCCTTGCAGTGAAAGAAGTTGAATACTTGCGCGCCCAACTCAAGACATTTGATGCGGAAGAGGCCACAATGCACGAAGATCCGTCACAGTTTGATGAACAAAAATCCGAGCAAATAACCCAGCTGCAGCAACTCGTTGATGAATACCGCAGTGAGCTCCACAAAGTCCATGAAGAGCTCTCCAAGCAGGAAGCACCGAAAGAAGACCAAGCTGAAGCTAGAGGCGTCAAGCGACCTCTTTCTCCGGCTAACAGCGAAGCCGAAAGCGAGCGCATCGCTGTGCTCAGCCGCAAGAACCGCAAGCTCCAGGAACATCTCACCAAATCGGAACAGGCTACGACTCTCGCCCGCCGGGAACTTGATGCCGCCAAGTCGCAGATCAAGTCTTTGAAGGCCAAGTCACGAACGCGTGTTCTTGAACTGCGTGATAATCCGACGGCCCAAACCGAACAAATCAAGATGACTACTCTTACAACTCTCCAGTCCGCGAACAGAGACCTCATGGCGCAGCTGCGTGGGGGCCGTACTGATGTCAAAGTCGTTCCAGTCAGCGCTCTAGAGAGCATCAAGCTCGAGATGCAAGACATGGAGCGCACCGTCGCCGATAAAGAAAAGCGTATGCGCCGACTAAAGGAGATCTGGACAGCCAAGTCCTCTGAGTTCCGGGAAGCCGTCGCCTCTCTTCTTGGCTTCAAGCTTGATTTCTTACCGAATGGTAGAGTGCGTGTCACTTCAATGTTCCACCTATCCTCCGCATACCGTCACGGTGACTCCGATGCGCCTTCCAACTCTGGTCCTGGTAGTATGGGGAATGGTGAAGAAAACTCCATCGTCTTTGATGGTGAGAACGGCACTATGAAAATATCGGGCGGGCCGAACAGTCTGTTCGCCATGGAACTCAAGCCTTTGATCAAATTTTGGGTCGAGGAGAGAAAGGATATTCCATGTTTCCTAGCGGCCATGACCTTGGACTTCTATGACAAGACCACCCGCGCTGCTAGGATGTGATATATCGGATAATTATCATCTTCGGCAACGTTTTTTCTCTTGTCTTTTCCGTCTCTCTATTTCTGTGATTCCCCAGCACATGTTGATTCGTGCTATGTTGTATTTTCTTGTCATTGGTTATCTACTATTTGGTTATGCAGCAATTCAATCAACACTGCATATATCTTCTTAGCTATCTGCATCTGATACCCCCTGGCAAAGGTATAAGGGGAGAACATGCTGGCACTTGTACTTTTCCTTCGAGTTCCCAGAATATCGCCGCTTCTGAGCAATACTGAGACATGCATCGAAGCGACCCTATACATCTCCCCAATCGGGAAACACAAAGCTGAAAATGGATCTAAGGTTCTCTATCTGGTTAGAGTCTTGGATGCTCTTGAATCCTGGCCCAAAGCCCCAACATTCAAGGCCCAGCCCAACCCAGAGCCCATCAAGGGGGCCCATCAACTACCCATCGAAGCCCATTAGTACGTCTAACTAGGGTCTTGGTACACCTGAAATAGCTGCTTAAGAACTGTTTTTTCAGTATGTTCCAGCTTATACATACCAACCAGTATATATTAGGATCTCGAGGGCCTGAGGCCGTAAGAGTAGACATATGTTTTACACAGCCAATTGCTGCAGTTTCTATGGATCAGCGTCTGTGTTCCCAATTGGCATGTTTGCATTGTTTGGTGTCTGTTCAGCCCTACTAAGCCCCCATTGGGCTGGGTTGTGTGGGCTCAGAGACCTACTCACCCCAAATGGGTTTCCAGTTGAGATCGATGATCTGCTGATATCATTAATAGCAACTGAAAATTATACCTCTAAAGACAATCCAGATCGTGACGATTGCGTTTCTCTCGTGGTTTGTCTCAGCTCCCACTCATATTTGAATTGAACCCCATTATGGATTTATCTCTTTTCCATCAAAGCAATCTACTATACACACAAGAATCCTTATCAAGATACCAGCCTGGTGGATATCATCCGGTTAAAGTTGGCGACACTTTCAAAAGCAATCGGTACAAGATTTTCCACAAGTTAGGGTGGGGTGGCTATTCAACTGTCTGGCTTGCAAAGGATACAGCGTGAGTACCCTACTCAGCCTCAGCTCGTCAAAACTCATTTTCTGGACAGAAAAGACCAATGGGTTTCTTTGAAAATAAAGACCGCAAATTCTCAAGCATCCAATGAGTTGCAGAATCTCCGGTTTCTGGGGAACCTTTCCCAGCAAAGCCTTTCGTCTAACTATATTGTTCAACTACTTGATTCGTTCACCCACAAAGGTCCAAATGGAGAACACGAATGCCTTGTTTTGGAGCTACTTGGACCCTCTGTCGATACGGTCCTAGCAGACTATCGTGAGTCAGAAGAAAAGTTTGAACCGGACGTTTTGCTCCGAATGTCTTCACAACTTCTGAAAGCTATTAAGTTTATTCATGGGGCCGGCATGTGTCATGGTGGTGAGATAGATATCCATAACTTGACATTGCTATGAATATGCTTACCAGTTCCCATTAGATATTAGTGGCCGAAACATCGCATTTAGTTGCTCTAACCTATCAAGGGCAACGGAGGAAGAGCTTTTCGAAGTCTTAGGCAATCCAGAGATTGAACCGCTAGTCTATACTGATGGCACGCCTTTACAACCTGGACTACCAACACAGATTGTCAAGGTGGCAGAATGGACAAACTGGATAGACGAGGACGAAGAAGACCTTCGGCTTCTTGATCTCGGCGAAAGTTTCACCCAGGGAAAAGAGCCTAGCAAGCTTGCTCAGCCCGGCTTTCTTCGAGTACCAGAGACAATTTTTCTCAATTCCTTCGACTATCGCGTCGATTTATGGCGTGCAGGATGCATGGTACGTGAATATGAACAATTCTCTTTACGCACACAAGTATTTACGAATACGTGTCATAGATTTATACTTTCATATTTACCAGCTATCCATTCTCGTATTTCGATAGGGACTCTTGGCTAGTTGCCCAAATGGTAGGCTTTGTGGAGAGCCTACCAACCGAATGGCAGGCTAAATGGGGATCAATGCTAATGGAAGAAAGTCATGATGTGACAGTGGAAGAAGGTAAGCGGCCTGAGGTCAAGAAATTTAGACACTGGCTAGCTAATCATGTCCCAAGATTCCAAAATGTCGAAGATTGAACGGAAATTTTTGGCGAATGGAAATCACCCAGCACTCAACTATTTTCTTCCGGTGATTCAGGGATTGATGAGATTTCTACCCTCGAACCGCATTTCTGCTGAAAAAGCACTTGACTTGCTACCAAAGCCCTATGATGCTGGTGAATCAATGGCAAGTGCCATCTGAATGATAGTATCGAAGGTGCCAAGAGCAACTCTCGAGGTTTTGCTGCCAATAAAACCATCTAGTGAGGACAATATTACATACCCATGCTAAACCGCTGGTGTGCTCTACCGAGATGATCAATCTGAATATGGCTTCATCAGCACTTACAACCACACCATCTTCCTACGACAGTTTCAGTTCCCTAGCGGGGCTTGGGAAGTGTGGGATTCCCCCCCATATTCTCCTCCTACTATTCACCAACAGTCCCTAACCCCCAATCGATTCATCTCACCTTTCCCCAAGTATCAATGAAACAATGCATGTTTTATGTCTGCACTCTAGCAAGTGCCGCCAATCCTGTTAACAACCAGACTGTGCCCTGGGTTGTTGCTATATCCTGATAAACTTTCTTGCTCATCTGATATCTGTATTCGGACCTGAATGACCAAGTATTCTAGTTTTGCGCTGAATGATATCAAGGTGTTTTACGTTGATCAACAGTGTAAAGGGTTGCCAGTAGCGGAAAGATACTACATTCGTATCATTAAAAGCACCAGTCCAGTGACAAATACATGCATACTGGGGTAGCTAGGCGTCATGAACAACTAAAAATTACAATCCCATATGCCAAAGGCCATTTCCACTGTCAAAAGCATCGCTCAGAGATGTACGGAGATCCACATTGGTTACCAGGTCCAGTCAGAGCTATCAAGATACCAATCCAGCCTGTCAGATGGCTTTGCCAATCCCCATAACGCGTAGGTCTCGTCTGAGAATGGCTCAGTGTCCATTGGTACGGCTCCTCGGAATCCGGAAATGTGCCTAAAGACAATTAGCTCATCGCCATCGGCATTCATAGATCAGTCAGGTGAATGAAATGCCAGAACTACCTACATAGCCTTGGTGGCATCATCGTAGATGAGCTTGCTCGGAGGGGTAAGTCTAGGTTGCCAAGAACACCTACTGAGTTCTCTTCGTTGTATTAGTATAGGTAGTTTTTTAAGGAATGGACGTATAGGGGTTATGATCTTACTCATAGGCAGTACGAAAGGCGGAACGCAGTCGCCGGCGATATTCAAAGTCGCGTTTCCAGAAAGAATAGTAGTCGACGGGTTCACCAGGTACCCGTGCCCACGCAACGTAGTTGATGTAGCCACCAGGCACGAGTTCTTCAGTGCCTTGTAACGCTTCCCCATAGCCAAGCAATTTTGGTACTGACGTACAGTTTTCACGATCTAGAGTCGCAAGCGCTTTTAGCTCCGTGTGGGTGCGCTGGCTGATGGCCTGCTGGGCTCGGACTTCTGGAGCGCTAGAAAAGGTACCATCAATAGGTATCTGCAAGTATATACGCATGAAGCCCTGCTGACCAGGTTCCAGAAGGTTGTGGCAAGAAAATTTAATGACGCCAAACGGAGGCCCCGACCCTTGATCATATATCCGCTGAGTCATCGTTTGGTAGTCTTCGGATATCTTTTCGTCGAGGACGAACGTGCGAGGGGGCGAAAGAGAAGGCTGGTCAAGTGTAATTTCAGTACCACACAGGTGGTCAAAGTCAAGAACCCGGGGCATCATGATGAGGAAAGGAGATGAAGGGGTGGGCAGCTTCAAGATTCTGAAGAAATGAAAACGCTTTGATGAAGTTGATAGACAGGTGAATTGTAAAAGGCAGGTGCTGAGCAGAGAGAAAAGGAGGGTGTAAAGGTGACAACGCGACTATTATGGATCCTAATGTCCAGGGTGTTAACCGTGGAACACTAACATATACCTCTCAGTTTCTCCAGCTCCAACCTATCAAGCACACACAAACATTCTACACGCAACTTTTACCCAACTTTTATCCACCAACTGGACTGGAGTGGAATCGATCAACATGTCTCCACAATGCTCCGGAGCTGATCTACTCATACGGAGTCCATTACGTGTGTGAGGTCTCAATTTGTCCACGGGTACCTAGGTACGCAGCCCACCTAAATAGGAAAGTCTGGGGCTTCGCGGGGTGCGCTTTCATCAACAGGGGTGATATCTTTCTGCAAACCAGGTGAAACAAGCAAGCAGGTTGTTCAGTAGCGGAAGATAGGAAAAGGAAACCCAGGGGTAGTCTGTTAAAGGAAGATTGGTTCAGCTTAGCTTATGCCGCCATTTCTTACAAGTAGTCTCTGATAAACCAATTTATTTCGACATGGCAGTTGCCTCTTCCGTATCATATCTTTGAAGAACTTCGAAAGTTCCTCAACCATGCCCATTCCGGAAGCATACGAGAAAGGAATTCAGGGGATGTTGACGAGGTAAATGACCACTTCAAAATCGAACACTTACAACGTCATCTCTACGCCTACGAAATAAGTTGACAATATCATATATACCTACAAACGTAAGGCATCAATGTTGAGAATATGTACGGCTCGATTGGCACAATAAAGAAGAGATCCACGAGAGTGGCCTTTAACCTCAGGGTCGTAAGAACCGGCCTGAAAACTATAGGTACCACCTTGCCTATTGATTCATATGCCTTTTTTTTTATTCATATGCCTTTTTTTATATGTAGAACCATCTCAGTTAACAATACACCGAAAGTCGATGAAGCATCTGGGGAAGATGGGTAGTGAGGCCGATGGCAAACCAGAATATATCAGAATACCTTCTCGGTGATTTCAAGAAAACCATTGGCGTTGATAAGGATATCATGTTTCCCTGGCCCAGGGAGTCGGTCGTAAATAGCAACAAATGGAATCCTTAACGGGACCTCGACAACACTGTTGAGCTCGACGTGAACCATCTGCACTGAGTATGTTTGCTAGGTGGGAATCGGTTGAACGGTAAGTGGAGGGATATTGAGAGATTGTACCCGGAGTTGATCAGGCCCCCGCCCAGTTGGGCCCCTGGCAGACCTGTACCCGAAGCTGGAGAGTGGGCAAACTGTGTCCAACGTCTCCTATGGGGAGTCGCGAAAGAGGGCGACTTAGTCAAATCCCTACTCATTCGATACAACCTTCAGATGAAGAGATTTCGCGAGCCCGTCGTCCGCCCGACTATGGCGATGACTAGCGAAAGGTGGAACGAGCAAATCGGTGGTCGGATCGACAATATAGAGGCTCTCTCCATCCACCACTCGCCATCTGCTTAGTGCGAATCTGATCAACTTCAAATCTAGCACAAACGATAGCTTCATTCTCGACTAAATTCTTTCTAGAAAACCCGCCTTAAGATATTATTAACATTATAGGGCTTTATGTTTTGTTTCGCTGTAGCGACGAGTGCCTGTCAATAGAATCTTGAGTGGTGATATTACGGCATAATAGGTAGTGGTTTGGTTTGGTAAGGAGCTGAGGCTCTATTATTCTCAAAATGGAAATAAACCTGACTTATGTACAAACAGATTATACTTAACATGAAGTATAGTGCTCGACTAAAGAAAATGGTCTTAGCGAGCATAGTCACGACTAGACTTCCGCAAAGCTCGAAAAGCCCGAAACCCGACCCGACTCGACCCTTAGAAGGCTAGGTAGGTCTAGGTCACTCCTAGCTATTGCTATATACATTTCGTACACTGTAATATAAGCTGAGCGCTATACTGCTGATTAATGTGTTCGAAATGCTTTATGATGATACTGTATGGGTAACTAGATAGAAATGTGAAGTTAATAAGTAAGGATTGTGATTGGCTGAAAGGGGGGAAAGGAAGAGAGAGTCTAGAAGGTGATTGGTAGAGTGATAAATAGAGTGTGGAGAGTGACCTTACAAATATAAAAGGGAGCAAGCAAAAATAATTATGCGGTAAATGTAGCCTCACTGAGAAATATTAGGACATTACTAAACAGACCCTGATCGAATGCTCACGAAACAATCATCCTTTACTGTGAAATACTCCGTGAGCAGGACCCTGAGCGCCCTCATAAAGCGGCGGTACCCCGATCGGGAAATTCATATTCGCGGCCTAAAATCTGGTACATACAGGTACATATGTGCGAGAAAATAAATGCCTAACTACACAAAGCATGATCCCAAACGAACAAACAAAAACAATTCATAAATAACAAAATTGTTATCTGCACAAGACGAGACTCAGAACACGACAGGCGAGAGAAAGGCAGAAGGGGAAAAACGAAAAAGAAAAATAATGGCATGACCTCCGTTTGGAGCCCTATTTGTAGGAATGCCTATCCTGACATACATAATCCAAACAGTAAACAGAGAATAGAAGAAATAAATGAAAGCAGGGAATATAAAGGACCAAGTGCAGGCAGCTTGCACCAGCCGTGCGCAAGAATGCCTAGGAAGACACATACTTTCCAGTGATCAGCTTGCGTGTAGTCGGAACGCCCAGCCATGAAGGCGCGGACGACTCGGACTCACGACCCTCATCGGCGAAGGGGTCTTCTTCCGTCTGCTCTGCCTCCAAGGCAGCGCGGCTGATACCCAGCTGAGAAACAGATTCAGCATTGTGAAGCTCGAACTTTGCTTCGACGACACCCTTGCGAGGTCCGGGGGTAGACGTCACGAAGCGGACGAGGAACTTGCTCTCCGTCCCTGGGGCGGTGGGGGTCTTGACCTCTAGCTCGGGGATTCTCCATGTGACGGTGGAAGTTTTGCGACGGAAGACGGCGCCGGTATTAGGGTACATGGCGGCGCTGGTGGCGTGGGCGACTGAATCACGCGGCTGCCCGGTGGTTTTGTCCTCAGTGGCTGTGTCCAAATTAATGGTCAAGACCAGATTCTTGAGGGTAATTGACTCCGATGTGTGGGAGGTGAAAGATGGATTGAGCGTATAGTAGATGATGGCGCTAGCCTGTAATTCTTCTAAGTTCCACACTGGCTTGAATATTACGGGGCAGTGGGCTGAGGGGTTGGTTGGGTCGATATGCAGTTGATATTTGAATGCAACTGTCGGCATGGGGCGGGAGATGCTACCCAGCTGGATATCGTATTCACCTCTCTTGTCGTCGCCAGCGTCTTTGGCAACCTCCTGAACAAAGTGAGGATTCGCCGCAACCTTTTCCAGCACTTGGAAGTTGTCGAGTCGGATGCGGGTATGGTCTACTGCATGACCAGGTATGGAGTTGTTTGCTAGAGCAAGCTCACCAACAACGAATGACCTAGTGACATTACCCTCTGAGAACCATGCATTGACAGTCTCGATGACTGAAGCATTCAGGCCCGATTCGTGTAGATCAGGATGAACTGAAGGTCCTGGGCCATGGATAGTGTGCCCGGACCGAACAGAGGTAGTATCTGACATAGTGTGATCATCCGTACCAGTGCTGGCGGCAATGCTAGGGGAGGTCATTTGCCTGGTTGGCGAGATTGGTTGCTGGGACTCTGATCCTGCTGAAGATGGCGGAAGGTCATTACCAGGTGAAGCGATAAACACTGTATTGCGAACATCACGGCGCCCGCGAATGGTGCCTGCATTGCGCCTCATTCCTGTCTGCGGAGCACGCATTCGGAGCGTATTTGCCATATCATCCATAGCCCGCTTCGCCTGGCTCTCGTCCTCAAAGATGGGCTGGTCTCGAATCGTCAAATTCATACCATATTCATCTAGGCCCGCTGCCTCATTCTGGGCACGCGTGATCTCGTCAATTGTTGCAGGACGCTGGGTAAATCCCTCTGAATCAACCTGTGGCGGATTTACGTGGTCATTGGTGAGCCCAAGACCTTCTGGGGTAGCTCCATTTGTGGCGTTCTCTGGGTGGGCTTCAGGCATCGCTGCGGCAGTATCTAATCCGGTGCGATCATGCGACACGCTAGGGTTCCTCAAGGATGATTGATCGGTGAAGGACGTCCCTGGACGGTCAGTTGCGGTCGCGGGGGGAGATTCAGGTATTTGCAGATCCCGAGAGTCGGCTCGCTTGAATGCAGCAAAGGGACTACGCTTCTTGTCTGGCTTTTTGTCAAAAGATCCAGTCGAGGGTAAGGCAACGCTCTTTCGCCTGTTCATGACAGTACCAAGACGTCTCAACCCCCCAAGGGGGGTATGTCGTGGCTGTGCTTCCGGTGCTAGATAAGTTGTGAGAAGTTGCATCTAGGGTGGGACCATAACATGGCTATAAAATTTACCTGGTGGCGTCTGAAAGATAGTGTGTTGTCTGTCAGATGCTTCTGATAGTTGGCTCGCCGCATCATCCTGGATGCGTGGAGGGGGCGGAAGCGGTGCTTCCGATCGTGGTGTGGAGAACTGAGGCTCGACTGGTGCAGTCGGTGTCCGCTCAGATACCGGTTCAAATGTGGAAGCCGTCTCTGCCGGTTCAGTCTGTCTTCTAGGAACGGCCTGCGTCAAAGGGACCCGCGAGCCCGTCATTCTGGTAGCAAATGTCTTGATCTCATCTGCTGTTTCCACATTGAGAAGCACATTCAAACAGCTTTCAGCGGCCTGGCGACCGCGCTCGACTTGATCCACCTCGTGAGTCTCCAATTGTGTTAGCACATCCCGAAGGTGGTTAAGTCGAGTCTCGTCGGCGGCCTGGAGTTGCTCGTAGACAAACGGAGCCCGCGAATCCCACTGCTGATGGACTTCCTCGGCATTGGCAATCTCGCTAGCAAGTTTGTCTGCACCTTTGGCACCCTTCGCCCTGGCCTTGTCTACCTTCTTCTGCGCGGCCTCCACATTCTTCGCCAACCCCGCCAGACTACTCTGGATACCAGGCATCGACTTCATCTCTGGATTCTTATTGCTGAATTCTCTGAGTGGTCGTTCCACATCCTCCTCGATCTTGTTCGCAAGGGTCTCATGCGATACGGCGAGTGTTTCAGTGGCACTGATGATGCGTTGCCAAGGGATTTGGAAAATGCTAGTCACAAGTCAGAATCGTTATCGGATGCATACGGACTTTAATCTTCCAGGGAGTGATCGATTTACCCCAGAGCAGCTCCATTGTCTAATTGTGGCCGATGCGCCAGCTTCCGCAACCCTTGAGCGTATGCTTCTTCAACGCGACGTCGTTCCTATCGCCGATCTGTTAACACCAATGTCGCTCCCCATCGTAGAGATCGTGCTAGGGACCTGATCGGTCCAGTCCCCAGGTTGTCATACCTGTAGGTAATCGGCAATATCCACATTGATCTTATTTATGAGTTTAATGCGATCGCTTAGGACGGTTGTAGCTTGGCCGGGATGCAGGGTGGCCTAAATGAAAGAAAAATCACCAATGGTCAGCATCTGGACGCTGTGCTCGCTAACCATGAAGCTCGCATTGGTCAATCTTACCAGCAGCGTTGGGTACTCCTGCCGTGAGAGATCCATGATTCAGATTCCGGGGTATTGAACAAGGTAGCGCACGAAGCGCATAACATGGGAGAGAAAACCAAGAAATTCCTGCGATCCTCGCGGCAAGAATAGCCCACACAAGTAAGTGAATTGAATGCGGGATCGGGACCGAATACCAGTGTCAGTTGGTAGCGTGTCATTGATGTTGGCCGGGGACGGAATGGGGATGGAATGACGGAGGGCGTTATAATAATACGGTACTTGGGGGTATCAAATCAGTCTCATTGCCTGTCGAATGTTATTTACGTTACAGCACTGTAACCACCTCTCGGCGGGTCACATGACATCATCCACGCCGTTGATGTTGGCGCCTTGCTGCCTCAGGTTGATATCGGATAGCAAGTCTTCGTGATAGAATAGATCTCCCCCTATATTTGCTGTGCTTTGAATATTGGATAATACATTGGTATCGTAACTGCAAGGCAGTATACGCCAGAAGTCATAATACCTTAGTTAGCAGTTATTTTTGTCCATTATGTCCTGGAAAGACAATTTTGGTTTCACAGACCGGCTGCGAGCCATACAGTCTCTGTGAGTGACCTTTTCTGTTTATGCTAATTGAGCACGCTATTGATCAGCACGCAGCACAGCGGCTTATCAAAAAGCTTCTTCTTCACCTGCCTCCGCATTTGCAGAAGCTATGGCCCAAGCAAAGCGGGTTGAAACCGAGGCGTATGACAAGGCGACCTCAAAAGTAAGTCATGAGCTTTCTAAGGGTGGATATAAAACGACATTTCAACTGAGACCTCCCATCCAGAGTGAATATGATTCCATCTGCCAACAGGCAATTGATGAAGCTGAATTGGCAGTGTCCACAGAGCTCATCCCTAGCAGTCTGCAGCATGCCGAGGATGACCATGAAGAATTGGAGACCTCGACCGGTGAAGTGATCGGCCAGTATCAGTCTTGTTTTGGTCATTATGATGGTCTGCACTCCTCTATCTACAAATCGAAGTTGGAAGATGGGACTGTTCGAGCAGTGAAAGTCACCATTCCTCATATGATGACAGCCCCGCATGACGCTCACCGAGAAGCACGGTTGCTGCGCGAAGCTTCCCACCCCCATATAATTCCATTACTCGAGACGTTTAACCTTGATGGTGGACGATTTGTCTTGGTCTTCCCTTTTGTGCGATATGACTTTGAGAAATTGCTCCGGCGTGACATGGTAACTGCTGCTCAAACACGATCGATTCTGCGAGACCTATTCCATGCCCTTGCCCATCTTCACAGCATGGGTATACTTCATAGGGACATCAAGCCCTCTAATCTTCTGATGGACTCTCCCAACGGACCAGCCTACTTGGCAGACTTTGGCGTTTCATGGAAAGAAGGCGATCCGGGATCTGAGCCATCCACGCAGAAAATCACGGATGTGGGCACAACCTGCTATCGACCCCCAGAGATCCTCTTTGGTTTCAAAGAGTATGGAACATCCCTGGACATGTGGGCTGCTGGCTGTGTAGTGGCAGAAGCCATTGCAGTCGGCCACCACCAGCTCTTCGACTCTGGGCCTGTGGGCAGCGATTTATCGCTGATTTTCTCCATATTCAAGCTACTAGGCACTCCAGATGAACGGCGCTGGCCGGTAAGTTTGACACTTGCGACCCATAGAAATATCATCAATAACCATTGCACAGGGAGTGAAGGTTTTGCCAGATTGGGGGAAAGTAGAATTCCACTCGTTCCCCACGCAGAACTGGGAGGATATCCTTCCGGGTGCATCTTCGAATGGCCGTGACTTAGTCAGCCGCTTATTGTGTTACGAAAGCAGTGAAAGACTCTCGGCAGCCGAGGTATGTGACCTGACCCGATCTCTTACGATAGCCTCTAACAATAGCCTCAGGCCCTTGCCCATCCATATTTTGCTCAGACTTGAAGCAAAATGGTATGACATGGGATGAAGGGTGCTACGCCACACTCACCTGCGCCTCGGGTTATACCGCACCAGTGGATCGGGGAATCACAAGCATGAAAGTGGGCCTATCAACGGTACAAGTGCACCAAGTTTTGTGCATCGGAGTACCAGATATGGATGTTTACTACGGAGTACGGAGTACAGAGCTCGGAGTACAAAAAATTGTAGATATGATTCAACCTTACTCCGTACATGTCGAGAACAAAATGTGAATGTGTTTTCGCGGTGCAGCCTAACCCCTTGGGACCTGCATAAGGACAACAACCTTGGCGCACAAAGGTGCCATGCATGACCCAAAAAAAAGAGATAGATTAAAAGTGAAATTTCGGCAACGCCGGAAATTACGGGCTCATGAGCGATCAATTAAATATGACGGTTTTGGTTAGGGTGAAACAACCATATAGTAGTCTGTGCCCCCGGGGCCCGCGTGCAGGGCTACCTTTTAGCGAATGTGCCGCTTGGGGGCGGGCAAATGGGGCTCGCAGGAGCCGGATGAGATTGACCCGTGCCAAGGACTCGCAAATTACATACTGTATCAGGAATATTTTTAGCAGAACTACGTCCACCATATACACATATCATATTGTACAGATGTTCTCCCGAGAAAATCTAAGGAAATGTCCATGGAAGAGGCCAATTAAAGTAAAGAGGGTCAGGGTTCTCGGCCGTGGGACTGGTATCTCCTTCGGGTCAGGTACCATTTTCACAGCCAATCAGAATGAGAGAATGGATGTATATCATTACCTATTTGGACTAGTATGTTGTCTATACACACAGGGTCCCAAGATCTCATTTCGGCTCTACCCCAGGGAGACTCTTTCTTTCTTTCTCTATCGAATTTCTCTTGGGCTGCTTTGATTCTTTTTGTACGACCTGGAAGTCGACGTCCTCTCTTTTATTCTCGACTTGACAATCGGCGGTGCTCGATCTCAGTCCATTCTTTCTATCATTCCACGGAACCCAGCGACGCGGGTGCTCGGAAATTACTCGCGTTGGAATTTGGGGTTATTTCTCTCTTTAACATACATCTGAATTCCGTCTCTAACTTTCATCACCCTGTCACGAAATCCCTGGGATACTGGAGACGACAACATGCACAGGCATGCGCACCACCATGCACGCAATGCGGAGGTACTAGACGAACGAGGAGTCGTCGAGGAGCGAGGCGATGTTGTGATCGTGTACAAGACCATAGAACCAGATTTTGAGGGAGAAGTGGGAGGCTACGTAACCGGCTACCAACCCGACACTGCGACAAAAGTGCATGCGGGTCTCGGTGATCCTGTCAGCGCGTCTGCAAAGACAACCGAGAAGGAAGAGACCACAACCAAGACGAAGGAGCAACCGACTACAACCAAAGAAACGGTGGCCCACACGACTCATAAAACTGAAGAGGAGACTACCAAGGCTGAAACAACCCACAAGAAAGCAACCACTACTAGTGAGTCGGAGGCTGCTATCACAACCTCTTCCTTTGTGACTTCAGCATCGTCTACCTCGCAGTCCTCCCAGGATGTCAACAGTCTCCTGGCAACCTCCACCGGATCGCCCAAGGACTCTGTCCCCTCAGCCTCGGCCACTGCTATTCCGACTACTGCTTCTGAGGGCATGACTGGTGGCGCCAAGGCTGGTGTGGCTATCGGTGTTATCTTGGGCGTTGGTCTGATCGCTGGCCTGATTTTCTTCTTTATGCGGAAGAAGAAGAGAAGTCAGGAGGGATATCAGAAGGAGAATGAGAAGACCTTCGGTGGTGAAGGCCTGCCGGAGGGTGCCGCTGCTTCTCTCCCACCTCCCCCTCCTTCCAAATCGCAGACTTCGACTCCACCGCAGCTTAATGTTCGACCCGTCACTCAATTTGCGCCTGATCTGACCGGCGGTGGTGCCTTGAACCCGACCACCGCTGGTGGCTCTGGAGGTTTAACCCCGGCCACTGCTGTAGTTGCAGGTGCTGCAGTAGGTGCTGCAGCTGGAGCAGGGACTGGAGCTGGAGCAGGGGCTGGAGCTGGCTCGGCCGCGGCCGCCTCTCGTAATCTCACTGGCGAATCACCGCCTCCTACTCCGCCAAAGTCCGCTGCAAGCGACGCCAACCCGTTCAGTGACCCTGTAAATCCTTTCAACGCAACCGTTAGCCCTGTTGCTCAAAACGCACCTTCAGTTCCCGAAGCAGCCACTGGACCGTCTGGATCGACCGTCGCAGCTGCGACGGTCGGTGCCGCGGCCGTGGGTGCTGCAACAGGTGCTGTTGCTTCATCTCGAGCATCCAATGATTCTTATCACTCCGCCCAATCACACGGCCATTCCCCCAGTGGCTCGACCCAATCCGCAACCATGCCTGGCTCGGCTGCTGCTGGCTCGGCTGCTGCTGTCGGCGCTGGCGTTGCAGGAGCTGTTGGTGCAGCGGGCGCCATGCCTGCTGGCCCACCGCCCCCTAACAATGTTTACCGTGTGCAAATGGATTTCAATCCCTCAATGGAGGATGAGCTTGGACTTCGCGCAGGAGCGCTTGTGCGTTTGGTTCATGAGTACGACGATGGATGGGCCCTCTGCATGCGCCTCAATGGCCCCCAGCAAGGTGTCGCCCCACGCTCTTGTCTCTCGGCTCGCCCTGTGATGCCTCGCGCCCGCCCGCCCCCTGGCCCTCATGGCTCTCGCGGCCCACCCATCATGGGCCCTGACGGTCGCCCAATGATGCCTGGAGGTCCTCCAGGCCCGAGGTTCTATCCTCAGGATTCCCGCCCGAGGTCCCCCGGTAATGCTGGCGTCTCTGGGCCGCCGCCTTCTCGCCCTTACCCCGGCCCCGGATCTGCCGTCCAATTCCCACCTGTCCCCCGGTCCATGTCTCCTGGGCCGGGAGGAATGCCTCGCTCTATGTCCCCTGGACCAGGGGGACGACCTGGCCCTCGTTCAATGTCCCCTGGACCTGGAGGTATGCCTGGCCCTCGCTCAATGTCTCCTGGTCCTGGGGGACGACCTGGCCCTCGTTCAATGTCCCCTGGACCTGGAGGAATGCCTGGCCCTCGCTCGATGTCTCCCGGACCTCGCGGAATGCCTGGACCTCGTTCAATGTCACCCGGCCCCGGAGGAATGCCTCGCTCCATGTCTCCTGGGCCCCGGCCCGGCCCACGCTCAATGAGCCCGGGTCCATATGGAGCTCCCGGAATGCAGCGTCCTGTGATGCCTGTCAACCAGCGTCAGCGCAGCAATAGTGCTGGCGGCAATGCCGCTCCTGCTATAGCGGCACCAGCTGCGCCTCAAGTTTCTAGCCCCTTGGCCGCCCCCGCTCCTGCTGCACCACAAGTTTCAAGTCCATTAGCCGCTCCTGATGCTGCCCCTGTCACTCCCTCTGCGCCACAAGTTTCGAGCCCCTTAGCTGCCACTGCTCCGGTCCATACTCCGGCCCCTGCTCCTGCTCCTGTCCCTGCTTCTGCTCCTGCTCCCGCTTCTGCCTCAGTTCCGGCTTCGACTCCCGCTGTGCCGGAAGTTTCGAGCCCTCCAGCCGCTCCTACTCCTGCTCCTACCAGCGAGCTTCCCGCCCTTCCAAGTTCCTTGCCGACTTCTCCGTCAGGCTCGATCTCGCGAAAGCCCGTCCCCACTCGGGACGCTTAATCTGAATGACCCTTCCATTTGCATAGAGCCTCAGTCTTATGCAGAACATAGGCATTCCCGCTGACGTGTCAGTGCCGCCGCTGGACGGAAATGAGCTTGCCTAATACGACCACACTGTTCGCCTCGATCTTGATATCCCCCTACACCCCTGCGTCCGTGACGAACGAACCCTCTTTAAATCTGTCCTTTGCGCTGGATGCATATCTCTGCGTCTGAATCATTTCATCAGTCTGCTTTTTCCCCCAATTTTCAATCTTTCGTCCGTGTCCTGGATGCTGTCTCGTCTGTGTTTGATTGGCATCCATGTAATGTTGACAAAATCCCGGTCGTCTTTTCATACGTACCTACCTTTTCTTTCTTATGCCTCATTTCTTACTTTTATTGTTCCGCCCCCCTTTTTTCCACTTTATTTCTCTTCAACTCGAAGTTGCAAGCATCTTCTTCGAGTTCCTCTCTTGATTGGCATCGATCTCGAATAATGTGCGCGTCACGCTGAGATGACCGGGAATACCCGGATCCTTCGATTTGTTCCAACACAGATAGTTTACATTCATAGCTATGTAGAATTTTACAAAGGATTTTACCATTAACATGTCACTTTGTGAATTCATCTAGCGTACACTGTGATTAATAGGATTGAGTCCACAAATAAGCGATAATCGCCGGATCTGATCACAAAAAAACGAAATTCTTCTACAAACACCTAAATAAAATCCGACGCAAAAGGTCTGTAATTAATCTCCTTTCACATCTAAAAGCGATACATATAAAAACAGTCTTAGTGAAAAGATGCTAGAATCAAATCACACTGGCATCACGGGTATAAACGAAATCCACCAACATACACGACCGACCAAATCTTCCAACCACTTAGGCCTTGATCTCGGCACCACTCTCATCACTATCAAACTTCGTGCCCGCATTGTGCACACTCGTACGACGGACAGCCTCCTCAAGATACTCAGGCTTGAGCTCGCCATGCTTATCGTAGCGGTATGGCGTCTTGATAGAGAGTGTAACGGCGTTGAAGACGTTAGTGGACTTCTTGAAGATGGCGTCCATCTCCTCAAGGGAACGGTAGCGAGTCTCAGGGAAGAAGAAGTATACACATGGGAACATGAACGCGTTACTGTGATTGTCAGCTTCAGGTTCTGGGTTCAGGCAGGGTTTGCGTAGGGATCTTACATGACGGCGAAGATGATATAAGTCTGATATCCGATACTGTCGAATGCAACAGGGGTAATCATCACAACCATGAAGTTGAAGATCCAGTTGGCGCTGGTAGCCAATGCGTTTGTTGGAGCACGGATTCGTAGAGGCACAATTTCGGCAGGGTACAACCAGGTCATTCCGAGCCAGCCGATGGCGAAGAAGGTATTGAAGACGAAAAGGAAGACGGCTTGGCCAATACCGGCTTGGCTATCGCCTAGTACGCTCAAGCGGTAGTTCGTACCAGCTAGGATAGCCATTGAAATTGACATGCCGGCGGCCTGATGGATAACTCTTGGTTAGCTGGGACATTGAAGGATGTGAGGAGGTGACATACGCCGAACAGCATCAGTGGGCGACGTCCAACTTTCTCAATAATGAAAATGGGAATGAATGCAGCCATCAAATACTCCGTGCCGTTGCAAGCGGCTAGCAACTTTGGAAGGTTGCCTTTCGCAAGACCAATCTGGGCGTACAGTGAAGGTGCCTAACGAGGTGAATTAGCATGGGGCTAGGATCTCGGGGTAGAGGGAGATCTCACATAGTAAGTGATGAGGTTAATTCCGGAAATCTGCTGGAACATCTGGTTGACGTAGGCAAGTGCCACACGATGGAATTCTCGATACTCGCTCATCTTGAACAGACTTCTATAAGAGCCCTTGTTCATCTCCTTGACAGTTTCCTGGATGGCGATGAGCTCGTTCTTGATATAAGGATCATCCCGAGATTTTTCATTCAGACATTCGAGAACATCCAAAGCCTCATCGTTCCGACCTTGCATGACAAGCCATCTGGGGGACTCGGGGAGGTTGAGAATCGAGCAGAAGATGATGATGGCGAAGATAATCTGGAAGGCGAGAGGGAACCGCCAGGCGACCTCTTTTTCTCCGATGAACGACATGCCTAATTCAGAGTGATATCAGTAATTGGATCTGGAGCGTGGTTCACATGGGTTTCAACTCACCGTAGTTAATCCAGTAGCTAAGAGTAATACCTCCGGTGATAAGCATACCCTCGATCATCACCATCTTTCCTCGATCGTGGGCCTTTGCTGATTCGGACTGCCACGTCGGTACGGTACTTGTATTCATGCCATTACCAACACCCGTGACGATTCGACCGACGATGAAATGAGGTAGAGAGTATGCGGTACATTGCAGGAGGGCGCCAGTAGCCATGATCATACAGCCACAGAAAATTGTCCGTCGTCGACCGAGCGGATTACCAATGAAGATAGTCAAGACTGCGCCGAAGAAACATCCCAGATTGTACGATGCGACAGCAATTCCTTGGTTCAGAGCGCGCTGCGACTTGATGGGCTTGGAAATATCATCTTGGATGCTTGGGTCTAGGGGATTGATCTCGGGGAAGTATTTGGTGAAGGAGGGCAAGTCTAATAGACCACCGGTGACACCTTGATCATAACCAAAAAGCCTTGGTAACGGTTAGCTTCCAGGTTTTCTTTTCGTAAAAAAGTAGTATCATACAAGAAATCAAGACTACCGAGGGAACTAATAGCCAAGTTGAGAGACCGGCCTCTCCAGCCAAAGTACTTCGGAATGCCGAACATGATGTCCTATGCAAAAGCGAACGGGGGGACATGATGAAAATGCCGATCAGCTGGTTATATAGCCCACTTTCAATTCTACGGATTGACAAAAGGGGTAACCCGAGATGACCGGGGTGTTCTCCAGCGAGTTCGGGGTGTCTGGGGCTGGCCAAGATACGGGGAAGGCGTCGGGGGCGACGCGGGGATGGGTGAAAGTCCAGGGTTGTATTTGGGGGCGGTTTATATGAGTTGTGAGTGGTCAAATACATTCGACGCTAACTCGATCTATATCGTACTCCTATGTAATTTACCGCTTTGTTGAAAGTAAATGGCTAGCGCTTGGCTTGGATATGGCGCAAGCCAAAAGGAACGTGCTGAAATTGGCATATTTGCCCAGGCAAAGTACGCACTATAACCCCAGACTTTTTTTTTCCATTCCGTTTTTCTCCGAGAAAATGATTGATCCACGACTGATCACCTTCATATATATTTTACGAAATATAAAACCAAAAAAAAGGAAACTAGACATTGGATAGTAAAAGACATGGCCAAGCCAGCCAAGACCGAGGCAACCACCCGGTAGCAAATAGGACGGGATACCCTCAAAAGTGAACCCTATAGCACCAATAAGAACAAAGTGACTAACACCACCCTAGTCGTTGTTTCACTGTTCATGACATGCGCCAAATACGCCAAAATACGCCAGCAGGGACCCGAGCGAATGGAAAATGGTACACTCAAAAAGTACGCAAAAGACAAAATCTTTATTTCGCCTGTTGAGGCTCAGAGAAGAAATATTCCGATACATATAAAGCCCTATCCTTGACCTTTGTAGACTAGTCCGAAGTAATATTCCGACAATGAATACGAAAGTCTCAAGATCTCGGCGCCTCAGCCCTCGGATACCGACTAAGCCATTATTAATATATTGAGGACGTCAGCGGCACCCGGCATGCTCATGCGGCTTGCCTAGATAGATAAACTCGGAGTACTTAACTTATTCTCAGTAAAACCTCCATAATACGCACCTGGGCCAAACTCCTGATCACCTGTGCCTTTTGACCTGGGTGTTTTAGGGCTAAACTTCCAATGTGACCATGTTGCTCCTTGTACCCGAGAATTCAATCTAAATTGATCATAACATACTCGGTAGTCCTTCTTTATTTAACATTTAACGTTTGTGTACGCAGTAAGCCTTCTTGCTATTGTTTATTGCACCAACATTCTGTCTTCGTTGGTCCGCAACATGATACCCATCATGATATCTTCACCATAACATGTACATTGAACTCTGATTTACGAATATCACTTCGTTTCTGTTCTTTGGGATTAATTCTGATGACTGGATAATTACCCTGACGAACGTGAGTGGGCTATTCCCAAAATGTCCCAGCTGACCCTTGTATTCGAGACTTCAAGCTACGTATCGTCCCATCTTGTCAGTGCTTTCCCTCTTTCCGGTATGAGCCCCGGGGGCTCATTTGAGCACTAGATGGGTTGTGATCTACCCTCGTCGAGATCCCGTGCCGGATACCATGGAGTGTCCAGCTTCCATGCTGGTAAAAATTCTATACATTGTGCTCAAGTGTTCCACCCCGCCAAGTTGTATTACGGGGAAGATGACGAAAAATCAGAGCTTTGAGAATCCCATGTCATGTATTCCATGGTTTGTTCGTGTCGTGCGTAGGCTGGCAAAAGGAGTACAATATGAAGTTAAGGAAAGCCTAAATCACGAAATGCAGTCCATCGCAATTTTCATCGCAGAAGTCCCTAGCATGCAGCTCAACATGGAAATTTCGCCCACGCAAGATTTTATCAAGGTTGTCTTTCGGACTAACTGTGGTTTATTCACATCTGAGAAATGGAGTCCAAAGAACGCGCTGGATCTGATTCATGAATTGCTTTCTTTAACAATGCACCTGTGTCTATCACATAGAGACTCGAGAATAGCAGACTACTTTGTGACCTAACAGCCTTGGAGGAACCGGACTTGGTAGACGTTTCAGCCCTTTCTTTGATAAAGCTTTCAAATTCACATGTGTGATTGGACAATCATTGTTGGACATCTCTTTGTCCGTCCCTTGTTCCATTGGATTTCCTATATCAGTCGTCCTTGTTGTCCTCCGAGTCTCTTTATGTTGCCTTGGAGTCTTCTTCTCTATATACTTGTTTCCATTGTTCGCATCACCAGCTTTTTGTCCAACTTGGTCTTATTTTAGGTGACCCTATTTTCGTGATGTTTCATCCTTCTAAGGGTAAGGGTCAGACCCATGTTAAGCAAAGATAGAGACATTAGCCACAAGGTATAAAGCTGAACTCATTTCTATCTGTTGTTCTCCATTCCAACATCACCATTCAACAAACACAATATATAAGATCTTATCATCGTTCTATTTTATTCTAACCACTTCCACCAATAACCTTTTTTTCCCAGTATACCTTACCTCAAGCAAAAATGAAGGGTTTCTGTCTCAATTTCAATTGCTTCAGGCGCCGCCGCTGTGACTGCAGCGACTCAGAAGAAGAGGCCGCCCATCCTTCCCCTGTTGCCCCTGTTGCCGATACCCTCGCTGCCGATGCACCCGCCCCGAGTGCATTAGAGGCTGCTGCCGCCCTCGCCCTCATCCCCACCCGCTCCTACTCCTCCCAATCAACCATTTCCTTGGTTGACGTAGTACGACCTAAGTCCACGAGAAGAGCATCCCCCAAGCTGACTTACCCTGAGAAGGCAGCAGACAAAGCCCCAAAGCCACCTAAAGCAAAGCCACTCAAGGCGCTGAAGCCATTGAAGCCAGGTAAAGTAGAGAAATCACGTTCACCCAAAAGAAAGTCACCTTCACCCAAAAGAAAGTCGCCTTCCCCAATGGGAGAGTCGCCTTCGCCAGTGGGAGAGTCACCTTCGCCAATGGGAGAGTCACCTTCGCCAATAAGAAAATCCCCTTCACCCATAAGGAAGTCCCCTTCACCTAAAAGGAAGTCACCTTCGCCCATAAGAAAATCACCTTCGCCCATAAGAAAATCACCTTCACCCAGAAGGAAGTCACCTTCATTCATAGGGAAGTCACCTTCATCCACAAGGAAGATTACTTGGGCGAACACGCCCACCAAGGCCAGTGAAACCAGCAGCAGCAGTCTGGACCTCAGCCAACTCCCGCCGCCACGAATCGGTTCTCACACAGACATCACACCTGAAATGAGTGATATGGACCTTAGCAGCCCCGAACAAAGTGACCTGGAATGGGAAGATGCCGAGCGTCCCAGTCAGGTAATCCCTCCAGAGCAATTGTTGAACCAGCCTCTCGAGAGTTTGCTGGTCTTTCCCACGCTCCCGGTTAACCCTATGATTCCTCTCCCACGGAGGAAGACTACCGGGAAGGTCATCGACTCTGAAAGTGAATCTGACTCATCGGATGGTGGTCACTTGTACATCGGTTCTGCAAGGCCCCGTCAGGCTCTCAAATCCTCGGTGGGGACTCAACCCTCTGGTAGCAAGAAGCGAGCATATGTCGAGGAACCCGAGCCTTCAGCTGAGAATGTCGAGGAATCTGAGCCTTCGAATAAAAGTATCGAGGACTCTGAGCCTTCGGCTAAACGTCCCCGTCTCTTAGATTCAGGTCATACGGAACATCTAACGGAGCAGGAGATGATGGAGTTGGGTAAGAGCTGGCCGGCTCTCCCGTGGGGATCATTACCCTGGGGACCAAAAGGAAGAAGAGGACCTGTGCTACCACGAGGAAAAGCACCAAAGGGACCTTGGGGAGCGTGGCCAAGTTTGGGGCCAACCCTACCCTTTGCGGCTGGTCCAGTACTAGATGCTCCAAAGCTAATGAAATCTCCAGAGGCCTCAGTATCTAGTGATGCGGGTTCCTTTAACACTTTTGACCAGTTGTATATCAAGCCTTCGGTGGCGGAAGTCGCTGAATACCGAAGAAAGGGAGCCCAACTACAAGCTTGGTTAGAAGACCCAAACGAACCAGGCTGCAATATTGCCCCAATCACAACCACCCTGGACGATTTGATGAACGCCGCGCCACCGGATCGTTTTGAAGTCAGCGATTCTAGCTTCGTAAATCCACAGGACATTATGGATGGAGGTGAACCGAGCACGGTAGGGCTCATTCCTACAGGCTGTTATTACCGCCGTACAACGATTGATAACAAGGTCACGAACCCGGCAATCTTAGCGGCAGCTGGTCATAAGCATCTAAATAATGGCTACTCCCATCTATGCGGACCAGACCTTCTTGTGGCTAATTCCATTTTTAGGTACGATAACGTTCAGTGGAATGTGGTCGCCAGGGCTGTCTACACGTTGGACCGTGGTATGGAAACCTTGAAGTTTATAATGTTCTCCCACGTTGTTAACAATGAGACTCAACCATATATCCTCCAGGAGCTCTACCCCAGACTCGGACTTGTCTTCGATGACACGTACCATGGGCCACTTGTGAAAGTCGAACGTGGCTCGCGTGAGTTTGAGGAGCTGCTCGGCACAAAGTTGGGCAAGGCAGCTGCCATCCTTCTCATATCAAGTCTCCCCAGAGGTACGAGACGTATCGCCCGAGCAGTCATTTGGAACTCTTTGTATAGAGTTCAGGTAAGATTTGAGATTGAGTCTGCCATTCCAGGTGAGGAAATTCCTGGAGACCCTGTACCACGACCAGGACCCGCACCTACAGCAAAGGAAACAAATGTATATTTTGATGTATCGGAATATCGAGAACCAGCTGGAGCTCCTAGATCACCTACAGAATCAGATGACTATCAAGGAAGCGAACATTGGGACGAATGATTAGCTTACAAAAGTTATCTAGCTACTTCTCTCGTGTTGGGGGGCCTTTTGAGTTCGTTTTAGCATTTTAAAGAAAACAAGCAACTACATATATAGATTATACAATAGATTCACTTTATCAACAAGGAAACCCAAAACAGCAGTAGACTCGTAATTACATAGTTCAGGATAGGCATAACAAGATTATGTGGCATCTTTGCTAGGCTCAAAGAGCAGATAGTCCTCTTTTATTTCACACAAAAACAAACGTATGGCATGAGATATTTATCTTCTTGGTAGCTATATTCGAATAAACAATCAAAAATCCTAGGAATCCTCAGGCGCAAGTTTTGATAATCCCCGCAGCTTTGGGCCAAATTTCATAAACAAGAAGGGTACCGGCAATAGAGCTGCAGCCACAGCTCCCACAATCGAAACAGCAGGCCCTATCCCCAAAGCTTTAATCATCGGCTTGGCTGCCAAGGGAAGTCCGGCAGCCAACAGACTTCGAAGAAATGTGATAGCCGCCGTGGAGCTAGCAGAATATATCTTGTATACATCAATTAAGAAATTCAAACACTGTTGGAAAATGCAGTTGAAACCAAATCCTATGCAGACAGTTGCCAGGCATGGCAGGATCCAGTGGTGAGGGGGTTCGGCGGTCCAAGCAAACCAAAAAAGCCCCACGACAAAGGATACCGCCCCGAATGCCATAGGTGGAAGTCGGGCTTCAGGCACTGCTTTCCCATTTGCCGCTCTGGATATTTGATTATAGCGATATTGATTCCAGATATTGAGACCCACCGAGGATATGACGCCAATCAACAACCCCAAGAACGGTAAAGAGCCGACAAGCCGATTCCAACCTCGCGATTGCTGGAATGCAATTGGAAATACCTCAAGGGTTAGGTACATGACTCCGTAGACAAAGGAGGCATAGAAAGCAATGCATGCGACAATCGGCTCGGTAAACAGCATTCTCAATGGGCGGGCGAGCTGTTTCGTGAGGACAGATTTCACATCAAGTTTCAAATGTTCATGCGGATGATAAAACCTCGGATCATTAGTATCTTTCCGAAGCCGCTGAGCTTTGCGCTTGAGTAGTACCAGCGGATATACCTCTGGTAGACAGAAGAAAGTCAAGGTGAAAACGACAAAGACCCAGATTGCATGGATATATGCAGTCCAGCGCCAGCCCATATGAGGATTCAACATGATCGCCGCGCCAATCACTGGGCCTAACGCCGGACCGCCATTTACTGCCACTGAATAGAGGCTTATTGCTGTCCCGCGGGTCTCTTTGCTCCATATATCACCCAGAGCGGCGGTGACATTGCTGATAGGAGCGGAGCCGAAAAACCCTGCAAAAAAGCGCGTGACAAACACAGAGGCTGCGCTGGTGCTTACGCCAGTGCCGATGGAGAATAATGCTAGACAAAAGAGAGCGGGGAGCATGCTGATTCTTCGGCCGCAAATTTCTGAAAGAGGAGCCCAGATGATAGGGCCAAAGACGAAGCCAAGGCTGGGATCAGGATTAGTACTGTCCCGTGTTGTGTTTCACAAAGCCCTACTCACATATACAGCGACACATCCAACACGCCAACCTCGCTGCTCACACCAGTATACTCCGCGATGGTATCATCGGCCGGCGTGGTGATGCTTGACCCTAGACTACCTGCCAATGCAAGCATGCCCAGTTGGAATGTCACCCACCATTTGTACCGCGGAGTCCAATTTTGGGGGTTCGATTTATCGTCCTGGTCCCATTTGACGAGATATGTTGGATCGAGGGGCGCAGGATCCTTTTCAGGCTCGGCGTGTACATTTAGGAGACTGCTTTTCGGCCATATGCGGGCCATAATTGGGATCAACACCGTAAAAAAAACAGATTGCTACTCTCATCGACAATGATTCATACGACATATGTAGCAAGATGATTTTTCGGCAAATCGATGTTCATGCCGATCGTTTTCAAACATGGGGTTGACAAAATGGTCGCTGATGAAAAGGGGTCTATTTGAGTATTTAGAGTCTTTCAACATTTCAGGGATGATCGACTTCGCTTGGTAATCTCAAATTCCTGCAGGAGGTGAGGCTTCCAGCCATCCTCGGATTTTCGGCTTTTTGATTTTCGGCCGGTGCCGGCCTAGGATGCAGGCGTTATCATGACCCTTGTAGTCTATCATTGAAAGACATGAAGAGATCAAGGAATAAAGGGCAAATGGTTAAGACATGACGTGGCTTCCAGAGCTGAGTTGTGTTGGCATGGGCCTTTTCTTCCTCAATTGTGCCTTTGTAGGGCACAAGCTTCTGAGAAGCCGTCCGCGTAGCAATACCGGGTTTTACGCCGTGGGCGTGAATTTGCCGATCTGAGTGCGCTTTATCCCTTTCAGTGAATGCGAAATTGCTCACCGCTCAGTGAGACAATCATATCATCATTCTTGAATTGACTCACTGCTTGGACTGATAACAAACAGAATTCTGTAGTTGATCGTACAGTAGAGCATGGGGAGAAGGTGGTTTTCTAAAGTGCAATAACACCGCGAAAGAGTTGGCATCCTACGGGCAACTAAATATGCCATCCGGGGCCTAACCCTCCCATTGGTTATTGCCTGACCATCCTTATCATAGCCTTTCGAAGGCTCCATTCTAATCCCAAGTAGATTCAATGTCAATTTTAACTTCTCTTTGATTTTTATACCTATATACTTCATAATACCACGAGTATCTATTGTAGAGGGACACGTGAGAAATAGCGGTGTAAGCCGACTGAGCGGAATACGTGTATTTAAGTGCTAGAAGCAAGAGAATAGAAGACGATCCCACCTTTCTTCTACAAACTACCCCTGGGTTTCCTTCTCCTAACCTCCGCTACTCAACAACCTACACTGGTTTTGCTCTAGTTCGCAGATAGGCATTACCGCGCGCCGATGATAGCGCTCCCCACTACACTATGTATCTTCAACAGTAAAAACGTTAAATCCTTCGATTTGATATACTTGAATTTGATATACCTGGATTCGATATACTTGATTTTCGATATACTTGAATTTGATGAGTATATAGTTTTTGTGTTAAGTGTGGATTTACATTACTACTAGGTAATATCCACCAATAAGTTATGCCTCCGCGTACCCATTAGTCGCCTATACATGTAAGCCCTCTCTATGTCGTCGTAATCTAGGTGTTTTGACTTATACTATGTTAAATAACGCAGAGGCCCGGTATATTCAAATATAAAAGAACAAAATCAGGTATTGGACCTTCGGGTTACTAAAATCCTGCCAGCCAATATTATCATAGGAGGGTTATGCCCCGGGTGGCATACTTAGTCGCCCGTATATGGGGTCAATCCCTCAGAATGCTGACGATTACACATCCTTGCATATTGTGTCTAGAATTCCCCCGCTTCCCCGCGATTTGGCTTCCAAAAATAGTGTGCAGCTCGCCCGCGAGATACCAAGTGTGCCAGGGAATGGTTAATGCCTTCAATTATACCATTACGGCGCTCAATAGGTTGATTGGCATCGTCAGAGCCATATGCTAGGCTGTTCATATAAATTTCAAATATCATTCAAAGTGCTAGTTGGTCAATCCTATGGAAGTCTGATTCAGAAACGTTCTTGACTCATCGGAGAAACCACCACGTTGCATCACTTGACCCTGCTATAAAGTAGAGATCGCAATGGCAAAGGACGAATTAACTGCCAATACAGCAAACTGGACGGCAGTGATATCGCCCGAAGCAATCTTTGCCTTAAAAAGCAGCGATCGCAGCGTCGAAGGACGCGTCAATCGTGACTTTAGCAGCCTTGATGGCAGCCACGTCGCCCGAAGTAACCTTCGCCTGGAGGTTGGTGGCGAGCTGATCAGAGAGATCTTTCAGCGTCTTGAGGCTGGATAGAACAATGTTCGTCAGACCAGCACTCGCGAATTGGGCTTTCTATGGCCTTGTTAACATTGTGCCCCAACTGTCTCTTTTGAAAGAGACACGATTACAGATTCAACAAGACCACGAACATACCTTGCTGACGAAATCATTGACGGTGGTGGTAATAATTGGGGTCAGGGTCTTAATACTATTTGTGGCAGCGGTGCTGTCGCTCTGAGAGAATGCGGCGGCGGCGGCGGTGTCGCTGATGGCGGTCTTCAGGTCAGTCTGAAGGACGTCCAATTTATTGACCAGAGGGACGGCCCCAAGCAAGGTTCCGTCCCAGCTTTTGACACCGGTGTCGAGGGCCTGAACGTCAGTGGTGATGGTTGCCAGGTCGGTCAACACACTGCGCTTGGAGATTGGGCCTGCAACAACAAGGCAGAGGTAGGGCAGGAGAGCAAGGCCGGTCTTGAGGAACTTCATTGTTGCGGGAAGAGTTTGTTGATGAGAAAAGATCAATTGATTGTAATTGTGTCGTGTGAAGGTACTGATGGTGTCGAATTCGAAGGGCTCTTGCATCCTTTTATACCCTTCTTTGACAAGGCATGCCTCGGCCTTGACCACATGTGAGGCATTCCTACTCTATAAAATCCCGTATACCCAAGCCTTCTATTGGATGAAGGCGAATAGCGTCTGACATGGCCCATGTTACGGTAGCAATGGCAGAGATACAATGTCGACATTTCAGGGACTCCGGTGCCAAATTGCTGAAAGATGCAGGTATTAGGCTATAGAGTTTTCCGGCGGCCCGCCAGCAGATCCCCCGACATCCAAGCTTATTCGTGGAAAGATCATCCAAACCCGCTTTGGTACAGACACAGTCCCCCCGCTAGTATTCTATCAATCCCTGATTCGTCAGGTACTGCAGTCCAGACTCACCAGACTTACCCCGCAATCATCGATCTCGATGGCGTGGGGCGTGGAACGAGCTGTTCTTCAGCGCGATGCTTCAGCAGCTTGTTTCTTGAAGACCATCGGCTACCGAGGCGTTGGATCAATTGAGGATCACATGTTTCACACTCCTAATATCCCCGCCACGAGCGGCTCCAGATAGTCAGATACCACTACCCATAGCGGACAAGATATGCTTATGATTATCAAACCCTCCAACACATCTATCAGAGTATCTGATATTGCAAAGGGTATGACCCTGCTTGTACTTTCGAACATTGTGGTTATTCACATGGCAAATACAGGAATGAAAAAGAGGGGGAAGACTGAGAGGGTGCCTGCGGTTTTTACGCCGGCCACCCCCAGACCTCTCTATCGTATTACCTATGGGCTCCGTGTAACATTGTCATAGGACAAGAGTTCTGCATCTGCAGGAGTCCTTTACCTGCAGAAGTCATCCACGAATGGTCTTCTATGAAATTCACCACGAGGCGATCCATTAGGAACATGGCTGGTCCATATTTTTCCGATCTAGTTAACTATGCCGTGCAGTTACATACTACCCCGGATGGCAGTGCTTACTTTCAACTTCAAGTCCCAAGATGATGTTGGAATCGGGATTTTGGTGCGCAGCCTCTGAAGAACAATGCTGCGATATACCTTTTCAATACCGTATAATTCGAAAACAGATTACTCCTTCGGCATTGACACTTTCTTGAGATAATGATGAATATGTATATGTTAAGAGGACTAGACAAGGCGCAAATAATTGAGATTAATTTGACAATCATCTTTCCCAGGTTCTGTGCTTACTGTACACAAAACACCCCAAAGTTACTAGCTTCTCTACATAACTGATATATATCACGAGGTTCGTGTTCACACTGTTTGTAGTGCCGCACTCCCGCTGCAGCACTGCAGTACCAAACCAAGTGGTGCTGCGGGACTTGTCAAGGCCTCCACCCAATCACAAGTGAGCGCTCATTGGACCTTCTGGCACTATCACGTGACGTGTTTGAGTCGAGTTTGAGCCGGACTGAGAATTACTCCTGACTCTGAGTCTCGTAAAAGCGGCGGCTAAGATGGGTCCCAGCAGAGGAAATATGTGTTTCAGTTTGGTATTGGCAAAGGGGCTATTAAATAGACTGAGTGCCATCTTGATCACACAAATCTGCTATTACAAGATATGATACTACATAGATATGGGGTAGTAGAATCCCGCAGTCAAGGCGGACCTCTGCCGAGGTGGACCTCTCCGGCTGCATTTGCTAGATATGACATAAGCGCCTCTATTGGAAGCGTCCCCACAAGATCGATGCTTGGTAAGTTGGAATATTTGACTTCACGCTCGGGATTGTGCCCTTTTATCATGCTATTCTATCCACTTTGTCATAAATTTGCATGTCACTCTCTTCTCAAAACATCATGATTGAGCATAGACGTCGAAATCGCACCCGAACAGCTTGTATCGCCTGCCAAATCCGCAAGCGCAAGTGCTCTGGCACTCAACCATGTTCGACATGTTCTCATCTCAACTCAGAATGCCAATACGATCAAAAAGGACGATCGGGTCGACCACTGCGGAGGTCTAGAAGTACCGAGGATGTTCGCCCCAATGGTGATGCAACTCAGTCTGCCCGTACCCACGTCAGTAATCGACATGATCATAATGTACATCTCAGCTCCACCGAAGCCAATTCGGGTGCAGCATTTGCGCGAAGTCTAGGTTTAAAAACTGACCCATTACTTGCACCAAAGTTGAACATGTACGCATGGAATACTGGGCTTCGACATTCAATGTCGGCTACGGCTTTCAATGTGGCTACGGTCCCTCTTGTGGAGATCATCTCCCAAAACGAGATGAAATATCTGGCGGCAATTTATTTCGAGAAAATCGACCCGTATTACAACTTCCTTGACCGTGACGAAGTTTTCCTTCGGACAGGAGAGAGATGGCAATCGTCTGGCGAGCCCGCTCCAGCCTTTGCGCCCTACGATGGAGTCCTCTGCGGGGTCGCTGCACTGGGCGCCCTTTTCTCTCAAAGGGAAGCTACCCCCAAAGAATACCAGCTACTGGAATTGGCCAAATTGGTCCTTGAGCAAAATCAACATTCTCATGTCCCTTCGACCGACCTCATCACGGCTTGGGTTCTGCGGGTGTCCTACCTACGCATTGCTGGTACTCCACATCTAGCATGGGTGGCTAGTTGTACACTCATGCATCTGATAGAAGCAGCAGGGTTGCACTTGGAATTGCCGTCGAGCAATATCAGCAACATACTAGCTGAATCCTCCGAAACAACCAATATTCAGAGTCGGCGAAGACTCTTTGGTATCGCTCGTCATTTCAATCTATGGATATCCTTTGAGCTCGGTCGCACCCGCGTCACATTCCCTTCGGCAACCACGCAACTTCCAAACACGAATCCCAATGGCATTAAAGTCATATATAGCTTTCTTGGGCTTTCAGAAACCCTCGATCCGGAAGAGGCGCCAGATATCTCGGCACTGGAACAAGCCTTGACTAATATCATGGATATGGATGGCCTACGACCACCAATGATATTGACACAATGCAACTTGATGCTCTGTATACATCGACGTCTGCAGAGTCTGAATGCTGTCCTTTCGGGAGAAATGTTTGATCGTTTCGTCAATATCATTAGACAGGGTCTGCGAGCCGCTCGGGAAATGGTCGTATCGCACTGTCCATGGCATCAAGTTGCCAACGTTCCATTTCAAATCATCTGTACTTTGCTCTCAATTGGTACCCATGCCTCTATCAGCCTACTCTCGGAGGCCATGCAAACGGTCCGCCAAATAGCAACCTCATACGACACCGAGGTGATGAGGGAAGCGCATCATACGGCGTACCTACTCATCAAATTACACCAAATGCAGAAGGAGCAAGATGCAAAGGCTTTGGACAGTATTGTACAAACAGAACTGCCCATCTCCACCGCACGAAACCAACCTGTGACTCTTTCAAACCAACCTGATTTGATGAGCCAGCCAAACCTTTCTTGGATGGGTAACGCAATGGCTGAGCTTCCAAATCTTCAAAATATCTATCTTGACCCCCCGTTGATGATGGATGACTTATGGATGGCTAATAGTTTCGAGATATGATTGAAATCTTGCCTTCGGTTCATAAACATCGCATTCCGTTCGATCAAAACTCCTCCAAAATGTACCGAATGGTACCTCCCGACTTGTTCTTGCTCCTACTAGCTTTTCCGCTGAATCAAGCGCATAGAAAGTTATTTCTCTTGCCCAGAAATTAATCTCCTTCTAAACAGATTCAAGCAACCTCGATGAGATGATCGTATTTTACTTGATTGAAACTTCAACCGACCAGTCATGCCGGTCTTGGGACCCTCATGACAATAGGGCTTTTCAGGTGGCTTGAATCTCTAATATTTTCGTCAAAATATGATTCTTAGCAGTCTCGCCATTGGCCGAAAATGCGACCAATTATACTCCTTCAGAAACCTCGATCTTTACATACGTCAAGGGATGTTCACCTTCAGGTGAGTATTTATCTAGAGGTAAAGTTGTCTATTCAGTTCTTGCTCGCATAATTGATACATTTCCTTAGACTCGGCACAATGGAAAACCCTCTATTGAATCGCACTGGCTGGCCATGTCAATCCTTAAGATGGATGATTCATGGCTTGACAATGTTGAATCCCTCCCACGAATCCAGAGCGCTTCTAATCTCACGCTTGTAATCCGCAATTCCACCGGTGTAGTTCAATTGTTCCTTCACCTTCCCGGGGATGTTTCCTCCCATGTATGTACTTGCGACTGTTGGGAAGAGCGTCCGATCGCTAAGCTCATTGATGTGCGCTTTCCAGGATTTTTGAGCTGCAACTTGAGCATCAATGTATTTGATTCCCTGCTGACCAATTTGCTTGATGACATCCCGTACCCATCGGACCTGAACTTCCACAGCAGTAGGTCCATTGCAAAGCAAAGTGGGACCTTGGGGTCCATAAATTTCTATTTGGTGTTAGCAATGCAAAAAACATGGCGTTAACGATAATTTCAAGAAACTCACGGAACATATTAGGATAACCACTGATCGTAGTACCTAAGTAGGTGTGGACTCCATCTTTCCACTCATCCTTGAGCTTAGTGCCATGGATACTCTCAAGACCCATATTTGTTAAGCCTCCAGTGTTAGCGTCAAAGCCTGTCGCGAGGGCAATGACGTCGAATTCGTATTCACGATCTTTGGTGCGAAGCCCCTTCTCTGTAAACTCAACGATCGTGCCGTCTTCGGTAACATCGACTAACTCGACGTGATCAAGGTCAATGATCTCGTAAAAGTTCTGTTCGAGACAGGGACGCTTGACTCCAAATGGGTGCGGTGGCTCCTCTGGGAATAGAACCGCTCTCTTGATTGGGTTGGTCACTTGAAGAAAGTTCTTCTGTCAGTGATTGCTCGCACGCGACAGCGTTATTCAGTGATGGAATTCGTTCTTACCACGCGAAGACTGCTTCTTGCGCCAGAAGTTATAAACCTCCCGGTTGGCCTTGATATCAAACAGATAATCTTTGTAATTTCCCAGCCAAAATCGGAAGCCTCCTTGCTCCCAAAGCGACTCCCAGAATTTTTCGCGCTCTTCCGGGGTATTTGAGAGCGTGTTACGCTCGTCCCACTCATAGGCAAAGCCACCAAAGCAACGCTCTCGGAGATCGTACAGATGGTCGTATTTGTCTTTCGCTTGGTTCTGCTTTTCGGGGCTGAGCATCTTGCGACGCATGGGAAGCGCAAGGTTGGGCGTCCGGTGGAAAAGACAGAGGCTCTTGGCTTCTTGGCCTAGTTCCTGCACGATTTGGACACCCGATGCTCCTGAACCAATGACTGCCACTCGCTTTCCCGCAGTTTCAACACCTTCGGCTGGCCAGAAGGAAGAATGGTGAATAGTTCCTTGGAATTTATCCAGTCCCTTGAAGTTCGGGATGTAGCGCTTGGAAGAAAAACCCGCAGCGACAATGAGGAAGGTTGCTTTGGCTCGACGACCGTCGGCCGTTGTCACATTCCATTTCGCGGCATTGGTGTCATAGACCGACCCGGTCACAACTGTCTGGAAGGCAGCATGCTTGGACAGATTCAAGGTCTGATCCACGTGCCTGAAGTAACGCTGGATTTCACTCCACTCAGGATAATTGGTCGACCAGTTCCAGGTGTTGTAGACCTCTGGAATAGAGAACTCGTAGATTGGGACTTCGGTGTCGGTCCGTGCTCCTCTATTGTTCATCAGTATGTGAAGTCAGGTTTTGGATGGGGCTTACAAACGGGTATGCGTTGAAATGCCAGACACCACCAAGCTCAGATCCAGCATCATACAAAACAGTATTGTAGCCTTCCTTTAGCATCTGGTAGAGCATGTAAGTTCCACCAAAACCACCTCCAATAATGAGGACGTCGACATCCAAATTGTCAGCGTAAGGCCCATCAAAGCCACGCCTGGCGGTGAAGTCCCTCAAATCGGTTTTCAACCCTTTCTGGTCCGCAGGAGACTCAGTTAGGGCAATAGGAGTGACAGTCATTGTGTCGGAAGAATTCAGACAGGTCCAAAAGAAAAAGGAGAGTAATGATCGAAGTTTGAGTGTCGATTTGACGGTCTTGTTCCATCATTTATAGGATCTCGGAATGATAGCATCTTAGCCTAGCCTGGATCTGACCCTCCATTTGCGCGAATTCCACGGAGGTCAAAGAGTACCTCAAAATCGAAAGCGCCGAGGATACTGATGATTCCCCACGATTCCCCCGCATTTTCCAATTTCGTAAGCTGTTATTCGATTCGTCTTCGTGATCAAACCTCCGAGTACCATTAGGGTTTGATATCAAACGGACTATATCCTGCTAGCGTCGAATCTTCGCGCTATGACGCTAGTGCTGATGCGGAAATATACGGCTCATATCTCCGCTCCGTTCCCGTTCCGCTCCGCTCCCGCTTCAGTTCTACGGCCCACTTCGAATAGCACACGACACAGGAATTGTAAATAGTTACAAGTTTGCTCGGCAAAATTCCTGGTGCTTTTGTGGGGCACTCAAAGCTAAATTGGGACGTTCACGATCTGCTTACCCAAATGCTTTCTGTGGAAGTCATACGCCAAAAGGTGAGATTGGGTTTCGATATTCCCCAGGCTTTAGATACTCGGCACATTGAGGTCATTCTCACGAAGCCATAGGGTATCCCTGTCAGCAATATCTATGTATATACCGACTGTTTCTTCTATCAGCTGCCGGAGGGATGTCGTGTTCTATGCTTCCGGGTGGCAAGATATCATGTCTTAACAACTAAGGTTTTTCATGCTTCCTGGAAAAATGAGAGGTTACTCAAGTAGGCTTCGGATTTTTTGCCGTGCAAATGTACGAAATGAGCTAAAAAATAGAACTTTTCCTACTCATCATCCCCCCAGCTCTCAAACTCACTAAGCATACTCTCGACGATAGCCCATTTGTCCAATCTTGCCCTGTGAACGAAATCGTCCCCAGTAAACCGAACAACACTCATGACCGCCTCCCGCAAGTTGTTCAATTGGCCCTTGATATGCTTTACTTCGTCAGTGTCACTGTCCGGGCCTTTTGCGCCTAGCATTCGCCCCATTCCTCGAAGATGCCAGTTACCAGGCCCGCCCAGTCCAAGACAGGAGATAGTCGCGTATACAACGGCTTCGGTCTCGAGCGCTGTCAAAATGTCAAAATCTGAGAGGTAGAGACCATAAATCGCGAAAATCTCGTTGAACTTGACGTCTTCCTTGTGGGCGCCCCAGGTATCGAAAATCTTAGGTAGAAGAGATGAACCATATATCGCGTTGATAGTCTTTGTACCTCGATCGTATATTGCCTGCACGTCCATGTTTTCAGGTTTCCTGGAGCCGAGAAATTAGAAAAAAAAGAAGAATATCGTTTTATGTCTTCTTCCCGGTGTCGCTGAACTAACCACTTCTCATCAAGTGAGCTTTTCGCGGACTTCGCTTTGACGTTTCCTTCGGCCTCCGCCAACGGCATCAAAACGCAAAGCACTCGCGGAGCTCCCACCAGGGTAATAAGCTTGAGAAGAATATCCCGAAATTTGATTGAAAGCCGATGCTGAGCGTCCTCAGACGAAAAATGAGGATCATGTCGAGTCAGGTAGGAATAAAAGTTGCCCATGAGGTCGGTGGATGGTGAGGCAGCTAAAGTTGCAGCCTTGAGAACGAGAAGAATGAATATCACATCAAAGGGTACTGGGATTATCGCGACTTACAGTAACTAATGTCCATGCCTGTTCTCCAATTTCCTCGGGCACTAGTCCCTTCATCTTCTCACAGAGTGCATGCCATTCATTGTCGGTGTGGGTCATTGCGATGAAAAAGTTACAATGTTATGAAGATTGATGGTTAAATTAACTTTGAAAAGAATGACTTTAAAGAATTGAATGGACATAAGCAACTAAAATACCTGTGTAGTTCCTCTGCTATTAGGCTTACTAGTAGGTAGCGGATATAGGAAACGGGAGCGGATCTGATGTCAGACATCCGGCACAATTCCGAATGACATCGGTCAATACTCTTCTTCATCCCTATCCGGTACACCGCAGGCTGAAGTTACATAAATAGATTGAGGATCAACCACTTAGACAACTTCTAATTTGCACCGGCAAGGCACCGGCAAGGCACCACCAAGTTGTAACTTTGGTACACTGGTGGATGCTTGAAGCGGAAGCGGAGTTAAAGATGGGAAAAGGCCCATACCATTCGTTCCGCTGTCTCAAATCCATCGTTCTTGTGGTTTCTTTCCAATCAACGCCGGTAGGTGTTATAGTCCTGAATAGATGATAAAGTGAATTTGCCACTTGGAAAATCAGCCTTATAAACGGTCCTATGGTCTTGGCAGATCACCCGTCATACACATCGATCATATTCACTTCAACTTACACACTTCACAAGCCTTGTTCAAAAAATGTCGGCCGTCAAGAGATTTGCTGATCTTGCGAATACCAAGATGACCTTAGGGTTTATTGGACTTGGGCAAATGGGTATAGTCACTTATTCCGGCACCAACGAAGCTACCGCCCAGCAATATGAACCGCAGCTAACCACAGGCCGTCTCGGTGATAGGATATCCTATGGCGAAAAATCTTCGCTCAAAAATGCCCCGCTCAGACAACTTGGTCATCCTCGACATCAATGAGGATGTTATGTCTCGATTCGTCAAGGAAACCAAAGAACCTCACCGCAGTGATGTGCAGGCCAATACATCATATGTGGAAATCGCAAGTAGTGTACGAGATCTGGCTGAGAAATCGGTAAGTGGTGGTGATTTTGGCTCGTTTACCTAGACATATTCATGTTAATCATCACGGTAATCAGAACATCATCATCAGTTGTCTCCCAACTGTGAAAATCGTCCAAGACACATATTCTGCCATTACCACGAAAGGCGCTTTGCCTCCTTTGCAAGAGAAACAGGAACGTTTGTTTATTGACTGTTCGACTATTGATCCTCCATCCTCGAGGCAAATCGCAAGCTCTATCCAGGATGCTCTCGCAAGCCACTACGTGGATGCACCTGTATCTGGAGGAGCAGTTGGTGCCCAGGCGGGCACTCTGTCCTTTATGTACGGTACCCCTGTTCAGTCACCTGAGTTCATCAACCGCGTAGAAAGTGTTCTTCAATTGATGGGAACCAAGGTGTGGCATATGGGAGGCCAAGGTTGTGGCGTGTCCGCCAAATTGGCCAACAATTACATCCTGGCCATCAACAACATTGCCACATCTGAGGCCTTGAATATGGGCCGGGCGTGGGGCTTGGATCTCCAGAAATTGACTGAATTGATTAACTCTTCCACGGGTCACTGCTGGCCGATGGAAGTCAACAATCCTGTGCCTGGTGTGGTCAAAAATGCTCCTGCTTCCAATGGATATGAACCCGGGTGTCCTGTGAGCATGATCAACAAAGACTTGGGTCTTGCGATTGCTGGAGCGACGGATTCAAAGATCCCACTTTTATTGGCAAACACAGCCCGCGAAGCCTACGATGCAGTCGATAAAGACCACCGTGGACGGGACTTCTCGATTGTCTATCAATGGCTTCAAAACAAGGGTTCGAAATAGACTCATGTTATCTCCCTTTTCTCGGATATGAAAGCAAGGCCTGCTGATAGTTCGAATATGAAGGAACTGTTCTGAATCAAAATAAAAAATGGAGAGGTCCAACCTAGGTATCAATAGTGCATGCTAACTAGCGGTGGAAGGTAATCCCCATTCAAGGTAAAGATACTATAGATGTTTCGAAGTAAAACTACAAATACTTATTGAGGGAACTTAAATAAAGATATACATCTTTAGCCACATAGCAGGAGGCTAATATAAGTTTCCCATTACAATGTTTCGTCACCCGCTTCTTTAGCATAACTTATCTTACTCCTAGACCTTGTAGAGCTTTAATTTGCGCATTTGAATAAGATTAAACAGAGCTGATCAACTCAGCGCTAATTCCAATCCTAAAAACAACCTCTATAGTGACAGTTCAACAGATGAGTATCAATATACCTTTGCTGTCATTGGCCTCTACCAACCCAACATCATGTAGAGTTCACACATTTCACGTAAAAGAATTTGGTCTCGGACCTTGCCACCAAATATCTAAAAAGCTTTCGGGGTCTGGCCAAGCGGAGTTAAGGACTTCAATCCCGCCATCCGCTACCTCCGCGTTTCTGGTCTATGTCTCGGCATCTGCTCTGGGATATCAACATATTAACGCCAACTCCTATTATTCCTATATACAGCACACGTTGTTCATTTCCCCGCATATTTGCCATCGCCAATACTAGCCCCCAGGAAGTTCAACCCACTTCTCCGCGGTTCTCCCTAAAATCTTAAATCTTCGCCAATCGAATCACCTGTGTATACGAATTCACTTTTGTGACCCCTCAGTCCAAGTAAATCTGTCAAGACAGCCGAGATGTGTACGTAGGCTTGCTAAGCGCGACGTATTTATTCTCTTTAGAAGATGTTCTAGTTGTTTTTCTTCATACGAATCCTACTCCTCTCGTACACCTCCTAATCAGACAACTACCAGATCAGAGGCATTATTGTTCATCAAGATTTCTACTATGTCTCTAATCGAGGAGAAAGGACACACATATCATTCATCGGACACGGAAAATGATCCTTATATTAAGGGCGAGCTTACCGCGCAGGGGTATGAGGATCCGGATGAAGCATTGGGAGATGCAGAAAGGGCAGCTATCGTGTGTTTCATCCTTGCATCTCTTAGGGCTCAGATGAACTATCTCTATATATATCTGGCCCTTCGATGTCATGGTTTCTAACAGAGATCAAAAACATCACAGGACCGCAGGCTGCTATGGAAACTCGATTTGCACCTCGTGCCGTGGTTGAGCCTTCTTTACCTGGTTTCGTTTCTTGATCGGCAAGCGCAAAATAATCTCTTCGTAATTGGGGGAAACAACTAACATGCTCCTAAGAACAAACATCGGAAACGCGAGACTTGTTGGCCTCGAGACAGATCTGAATATGACAGGCGACCAGTACAACCTCTCGCTCACGATCTTCTTTGTCTCATATTCAGTCTTCGAGCCTCTCACCAACGTCCTCCTCAAAAAGATGCGTCCTAGTATCTTTGTTCCACTCATTATGATGGCATGGGTATGTGATATACCCTTATTCTCCCCCTTCTCTATCACCTTCTAACCTATGCCCTAGGGCCTTTGCATGACATTTATGGGCTTTGTCCACAACTACTCCGGACTACTAGCGGTACGGTTCTTCCTCGGTCTCTCCGAGGCTGGCCTATTCCCGGGGGTAGGCTACTTACTCTCTTGTTGGTACAAGCGATCCGAATTCGGTCTCCGAATGGCGATTTTCTTTTCAGCAGCCGCCCTAGCGGGTTCCTTTGGTGGTTTACTCGCAGCAGCTATCGGTAAGATGGACGGTATTGGTGGAAAAGCGGGATGGTCGTGGATCTTCATTCTCGAGGGTTTACTCACGTTTGTGATCGGCATTGCATCGTTCTGGTGTGTTCACGATTTCCCCGACCAGGCTCACTTTTTATCCGATATCGACCGAAAGCGTGTGCTGAGGAGGCTAGCACTAGATCAACAGGCTAGTGCTAAGCACGAGGAGTTTAAAATAGGTTATCTCTGGGCGAGTCTCAAGGACTGGAAGACCTATTCTGCGTGCCTTACGTATATGGGCGCTTCTGGTTCAGTCTATGCTTTCTCGCTTTTCGTTCCCACTATTATCTCTGAATTAGTGAGTTAAAATGTGCCCTATTTAGAGATGTTAAACTAACAATTCCCCTCTTACTTTTCTAGGGTATTTATCTTGATCTTCGCTAATGTGGATAAGGCTACCTTCGTTTGCTTACCGTTTTATTTTTCATTGCTACAGGCTATAGCTCTATTCGTGCACAACTGATGAGTGTCCCTCCCTATGCCGCGGCCGCGGTTATGACCGTGTCCGTTGGATTTATTGCAGACCGCACACGGCAACGTGGTCTTTGTAATATGGCAGTCTCGCTTTTCTGTATAGCGGGCTTTGCCATAATAATCGGGTGCAAGTCTCCCGGCGCAAAATACGCAGGTGTCTTCCTTGGAGCCATGGGTATTTACCCAGCGATTGCGAACACAATTTCTTGGACTAGTAATAACACCGAAGGTGAGGCATATCATTCAAATTCCTAGCTTATCAGATATCATATCACTCTACCATGAACCACTGACTCATACTTGCTATCCAGGCGTATATAAAAGAGGCATCACACTCGGGCTCGTGATCGGCTGGGGAAATGTCAACGGCATCGTTGCGTCCAATATCTATCGGAAACAGGACAAACCACACTACTATCCCGGCCACGGGGTAGTGCTTGGCTACTTGACTCTGTTTCAATTTGGCGGATCCGTGATGCAGTATTTCCTGCTACGTCGCGAGAACGACAAGCGCAGACGTGGGGAGCGCGACCATGTGATCGAGGGCATGGATCAAAGTCAAATCGACATGTTGGGTGATAAAAGACCGGACTTTATTTACACGCTGTGAAACAACAGGGCCAGTCAGATGGGTTACGAGTGGGCGCTCAGGCCATGCTCCGTATGTGGAGTTAGGCTGCTCACATCACAGGGCAATTCAGAGCGCTCAGTTTGACTCAATGATCAAAGAGGGGCAAAGGGCAAGCACCAAAGTCGAAGGGAAAGCCATGTTGCGCGGACTAAATTGCGATGTCATGTGAAATACATAGTAACAATTCGAAGCCAGCATTAATATGACGCAGACCATGCTTAAAAAGTGGCAGTGTATTGGAAAATATGAGAACTCCCGAAAAACAATTAAGATCGTCCCAAAACATCGTCTCTAAGTATAATACGCGCTTAGATTCATAAGAAGTGCAAAATATACACGACGCTGAGAGCATGTGGTCGTGCCTTTCCTCACCTGAGATGTGGAACGCGTGCACTTGCAAGCAGAAGATTCACAATGCTCATAATACCTTCACCCAAAATGAGACCAGATGCAAGGACAACGATGGTCGACGAGGCGGCATCTTCTTTTTCAGACGTCTGCTCGGGTGATGTTAATGATCTTTGCCCAACAGGCAGTTCAGCCTCTGTAGGAGATCCCATGCTGGTGGAGTCTCCATTGGGGACTTGGTGGTTGGCCCTTGATTTGGAGTGCTTGCGTGACCACCACCATGCAATTATACCACCAATAGCCCTTGCTAGGGTGAATGAAGGCTCGTTGAAGATACCAACGGCAACAGCAATACCGCCAGGGATCCAGGCTCTCCAAGCAGGGGGTTTCCCGTTGCGTGCAAAGGAAGGAGACGCAGCCGCGATCCTCAGAGCAGTAAGGAATGCCCACACGATACCAGCAATAAAGGAGGCTTGTCCAGCCATTTTCGGCAACCCTTGACCAGTCACAAGACGAGCAGTAAAGATCCAGACATATGCGGTTGGTGTTTGAAACATCTCGCCCGGTATTTCGTAGACGTTCACGTACAATTTGTACACGGCAGTTGATAGAACTGCGCCAACAACACTACCTATGATCTGTCCATAAAACTGGGCCTTGGGGCTTGCGCCGAGTAGATGGCCGGTCTTTAAATCTTGCATCATGTCACCAGCTTGCAGGGCTCCAGACTCGGAGACTGCACCCGCGAGCAGGTTGGTCACTAGTGCAGTACGTCTGGAGAAATGGGATGCTGGCGTGGCGAGTGAAAAGAGAAGTTGCGTCAGCTTGCTGATACCCGAGACTGGATTGAGGTCAGTTTCGCCAAGAGCCCGGACACCCATAATGGACAGAAGCACTGCCAGCAGAGTGGCTAACGCCGATAGAAAGGGTGAGATGATGTCACCAAAGGCAAAGTGCATGCATACGACATTCAGGAGAAGGGTCAAGGGAAGCAGGATAACTACTGTACGAGTTGAAATGAGTTCAGAAGGCGGTGCATCTTCCTCGTCCTCTTCTTCGCTTGTAGTTATTTGTGTGTGGTGGACGTCATCGTTTTCATGAGATAAACGGTGAGACTCTGCCTCCAAAGCAGAGTAGTTGATATAAGAGTGCGGGGAAGATTGCAGTTGAAGTGCAATCCACTGACCAGCGCGAGTGGAACGGACCCAGGCTATCCATATTGGGGAGTTGTTCATGATGGGCTTGATCACCAGCCACCCCAGACTAACAAGCGAATCGGCAAGCATAATCGCTAGCGAGATCCAGACAATCCATGCTTTACTGCCCTCTTCCTCCCAGCTATCCACAGGGCCGGGAGCCCAGCCGCGGGTCTTGGCCAGCGGTGATAGGACGCCCCAACCTAAGACTGCCCCGAAAAGCATATGCATGCACGTTGATGGGCCCATAATAATACCTTGACCGATATATGCGGGCGACGGGTTAAGAGTCCACAGCCAGTTGCGTTTCATGCTCGCACCAAACAGAGGTATATCACGGACTAGAGGGACGAAGTAGGAGAAAAGAGTCTACTTTCGTTAGCATGAGGTTTGCAGAATCCAATTTTGGGATATTCACATATACACCCGACAGTGTAAACGCTCCGACCAAGAGGCGCATCTTCGAGCGCCAATCTTGCTCCTTGGAAGCTTGATCTTCAGCATCCTCATCTTTCAAGAGGCGTGTACCTTCTTGCCATCGTTCAGCAGGTTCGGCCTCTGTACTCAGAATTCCGGAGCTCTCCGGTGCTATGATCTTTTCTTTGCTCCCAGAACCATGCAAGACCTTGAGCATCAATGCCGAGGCGGTGCCGCTCGGAAACCGTAACTTCTCCCGGACAATAACCTCTTTTCGCAGCGGAACTGCAAATACTACTCCAAATAGACAGACTCCTAGACTCCAGGTAACTAACTTCCAAAAACCGAGCTTCAGAGGGCCTCCTTCGCCCTCCCCGCCATCACCTTTGGGTCCATCTTCGCCAGGTTTCAACAGGAACTCCAAAGCAGGGATGACGCCAACAAATCCGCATCCAAGTGGCATAGTTCCCACTGCCCCAGCGACCGTTTGTATCAATACATTCTCAATCGGTGTGAAGGGGAAAGACAGGTACTTGGATAGAACCTTGAAGACCGAAAAGCCAATCAAGGCCGAGGGCATGGCCATTGTGCTGATCCATCCTGTCTGCAAGCCAAAGTAGGTATTCGAGAATGTGATGAGTGCACCGATAATAAGACCGACGAGAAGTGAGCGCGAAGTGAAGCTCTGAGGGGATGTGGCGGGAGCTTGATGGTTTGTTGTGGGGTCATCGATGGGATCTATAGGCTGCTGGTCCAAAGACGACCTTTCCACAATTCGGTGGCGCTGTTCAGACGCATTGCCGTCCATACTGATGGACTGATAATTCATGGGACCGAGCGATCAGTCATAGTGTAGGTGAATGTTGGGGGAGAAGTTTAACCTCGGGGGGTCTGGCGGATTGATAAGCGTTCGCTGATTAATGCGATTTCTCGATAAGATCACCTGACGTCACTCTCATTATCGGCAAGTGTTTTCTGTCATTGTATTGAATTGAGATTATATGCATACGTTAAGGAGATAATATAGAACTTGAATATCCCGAGAAAGATAATTTGTTAAAGACTTGAAGGGTATGCCCCATCAGGATGCTGAGCCAATCTACAAAGCAACAAGTTGGGAGACAGGCCTACAACACAGAATGCTCCACCCAGCAGATGATTAACAGGCTCTAGTTGAGGCGATATTCTGTACCTGCAGGCTGATTTTCGAGTACTTCCAGTTGCCTCATCTGATCTTTAAGACAAATAGGAGCAAATGCAAAATATACAATGAATGTTGAAGCTTATCTGGCAGCACCAGTAGCGGGGTCTAAACCTAATTGGGACCAAGGCGGCGGGATCTAAACCCGAACAGGAACTGTATTGTTGGACCTGGCTCCTTCCAAGGTTATACCTAGGTATGTTTAATACTCCGGAGTCACAGCCTTTGGTCCTTCCTATTTTATATTTGTACCTTCCTCTTCCTCTCCTTCTTTCTTCTTGTTTTTCCTTTTCATCTTCCTTCCATCCTTCTTTCTTCTTCACCCTCCCATCTCTTCTGTGTTCGTTGTTGCCATTCTTTGATCGTGAGTGTACATTTTTGGAGTCTATTCCTTGACTTTTCACGCAATTGATCTCATATTACAGGTCCTCAAGATGGACGACCAGCCCGACTCTTGCCGAAAGCCTGACAGCTCGACTGTTGTCAGTCATACAAATTCGCGCGCAGATTTCAAGAAAGCGCAACTCGCTGGCGGATGGATACCCGGCATGGATATCAAAGTGGACTACTCGGAGGAGTTTGAATTCGGTGGTTCACTTGGAACACTGGCACTCATGATTGGCTTCCCGTTGCTCATGTGGTACATGTGGATCGGCGCTACCTACTATGATGGGAAGCTACCTCTGCCAAAAAGCGGAGAGACCTGGGCTGACTTTGGGAAACATCTGTGCTACCTGGTTTACACTGGTGCATTCCCGCACTTGAGGGCGTGGCGCATCTACTGGACATACTACATATTTGAGGCTGCATGCTACCTCTTCATGCCTGGATTTAAGTGCCATGGGAAGCCTCTTCGCCATTTGAAAGGCAGATCGCTGGAGTACTATTGCTCGGCCTACACTAGTTTGTACTTCACAATTTTCGTCATGGCCATTCTGCACTGTACCGGACTGTTCCCAATTTACACCATCTTGGATGAGTTCGGTCCTCTCATGTCGGTGGCGATTCTTTCTGGGTTTCTCGCCAGCTTTTTCGCTTATTTCTCTGCATTTGCTCGCGGTGCAGAGCACCGCATTACGGGATACCCAATCTATGATTTCTTCATGGGAGCCGAACTGAACCCTCGTTTATTCGGGATCCTGGACTTTAAGATGTTCTACGAAGTCCGTATCCCATGGTTCATGCTCTTGGGTTTGAGCTGCGCGGCTGCCACTCGCCAATATGAACTCTACGGGTACGTCTCTGGTGAGGTCTTGTTCCTTCTCATGGCGCATTTCCTTTACGCCAACGCCTGCGCCAAGGCAGAACACCTCATCACCACAACATGGGACATGTACCAGGAGAAGCTAGGATTCTTGCTGATTTTCTGGAACATGGCCGGTGTCCCTATGTCTTATTGTCACTGCATTCTGTACCTAGCTAGTCGCCACCCGTCGACATATGCGTGGGACAAAGATGTGTTGACGCTATTTTTTGTGTCCTACCTTTGCGTCTACTGGGTCTGGGACACTGCAAACAGCCAGAAGAATGCCTTCCGCATGGCAGAACAAGGAAAACCAGTGAAGCGCAATACATTCCCCCAGCTACCTTGGCGACATGTTTACAACCCAAAGACACTTGTGACCGAGGAAGGCGATACTATCTTTGTTGATGGATGGTATGGGTTGGCTCGCAAGATCCATTACAGCTGTGATATGTTTTTCGCTTTGTCATGGGCATTGATTACTGGGTTCGACAGCCCCCTTCCCTGGTTCTACCCAATCTTCTTCGCGGTCATGATTGGCCATCGGGCCATGAGGGATATCCATAAATGCAAAGTCAAGTATGGGAAGACGTGGGATGAGTACGAGAAGCAGGTTCCAAACCTTTTCATTCCGGTGAGTTCTTACTGCAACTTTTTGTTAACCTATATACTCACGTCTGACAGTACGTGATCTAAGCTTGGTGCTCTGACTTATGAGCCTCATGATTGTGGTTGGGTCGTTTCCGGTCCACACTGCCCCTTGTCTACAGCAACAAATTCCCCACCACTGCCTTTAGAGCAAAGATCGTGCAGAAATCATCTTTATTTTCTGATGTTCCAATTCAAATAAAGTTGTAGATTACGCTGTGAGGTAGAAGAGGAAATGTAATCGGAATGGTCTACGGGTTTCTGTGACTCACTAGCTCCGGGCCTTCAACCCCACAGTGGAAATTCGACAAGATGGGCGAGGTCCCGTTTTATATTTGATTTTATTTCTCCCCAATTCTATCAAACTGTCTCCGATCCCCCGCCCCAGATCCACAACATGGATCCCAAAATGGACTTTCACGTCAAGCTCTATACATCGTCAGATCTTCTCCACCAGCCCTGGATCTCAGACCTCACACACATGGTGAACGTCAGCTACCGCGTCAGCCACACCACCAAAATAAAGTTCGCCACGACCAAGACCCGACTACTTAGCGACTCCGCGCTATCTGAGGAGCTCGGTCCAGACGGTTTCACCGCGGTGGCGCTTGTTGAAGATGAAAAAGATCAAAATATCAAGGTTATTGGGACCGCAAGTATGAAGAAATGGAAAGACGACGGCCTTTGGACGCCTACCGCCAAAGATGGGCATGATGCGAATCCGGTTAAGGATGAGACTCATGAGACTACCAAACGTTGCCATGAGGATGAGACCGCAGCCAACAATCAATGTGCCGGTCAAATTCCGCACCAACATGCCTGTCCCGGGGATTATGAGTTAGCTGTTGTTGCTCTCCCACCAGACCCACAATACCGGGGCAGGGGCATTGCTGGGCATCTTGTGAAGGCATGTGAAGAGGAGGTTTTGCGGCGGCATCGGATCAATGCCAAAGATTTTTCGTCTCCGGTACGCATGATGATTCGGGTTGTCAAAGAAGACACTGGTGCCTACTGGTTGAAACAGGGGTTCACTGTGGTTGGCAGCCAGAGGTGCCCTAAGGGGTTCTGGAACTCGTTAGAGGAGTTTACCATGTGGGCTATGGTACGAGAAGTATCAACGATATAGATCACGGTTGTATTCTATTATGGCGGTTAGAGTTAGAAAACTACATGTGTCATCTATATATATATCTATATACTCATTTCTCTTTCACTCCAAGTTCATGCAGTCTTTTCTATCTCATTTGTCGCGGCACTCAACGTTGCTTGAGGTGATGTCCCCTCAATTGGAAATGGCTCAGGGGCGATCCGCATATTTCCGTAAGACATGGGCTCTCATTTGGTCCGGGTTTGATCATGAACTCCACAATATGCAGTCTTCTAGATGAATGATCTTGTCGTGGATAATCATGCCAACATGCCCATATATTCTAGCTATGGTGGTGGGGACTGGGTAAATTGTATCTTTGGGGGCTCCAAAGAAAGAAAGGATTCTGGATATTGCCAGTGATCAGATTCTTGCCGTTAATATTGCATTGTGTGTATGAATCTTTTGTCAACGGCTTCTCCTCCGTTGATAACGAAGATGATGGGAGTGGGCTATTGATCGATAATGGCCTCAAAGACATCTTCAGCCTCTGACTCCTCCGAGGCTAATGACTATCAGGAGATTCGACAAGCTCAACAAATTCCAGGCGAATCTCGAGTGGTTATTGAGTTTGGCGGGATGAACGCTAAGATATATATTTGGGGTGACTGCATAATCAGTCGACCAATAAGCAGCATTGATGCCTCTGTGGCACCCGGCTAATGCCTTGGGATAATTCAAACACCAAGTACTCCGTATCACCAATAGAAGGCTTTTAGACCAGGAAGGTTCTTGATAACATGTAGCATTGAAACTCATAGATCCAACCATTTAGGGCCAGGTGGACCTCGGGAGTCTTGACTAATCCCAATATCACGTGCACGGGTGCTGGCCTCGGTTCCCAACAAAAGGGGATATCAAGACGGTCGTCATCTATGATCAGCAGGCTTGGCTTTGAGACTCGCCAATTCAGGTGAACTTAGGCTTCCAATTGCATTCCTTGTCTTTTGTTCCGTTTCTTCTTAAATGCGGCTGAGCCAAGTCTGCCTGATTCCAACCGATCTCATCTTCCGAGACACCTGTAGATGAACCGGAGTATATCCTAGTCAATCCTTGTCAACTTGCCTGAACGAAATCATCGGACGTTTTTCCTGTCTTTGTTTTCCTGTGCCTCAATTCCCGGGGTTCTTATCATGGAGAATACACGCGAGATACTAGCAAGCGTTATGTCCCTCGCCTCATGGAGGAACTTGGCCTTGCTTCTGGCGGTGATTAACTTGAAAAATCTCCCATTTGTCTGGCATGTAAGTGTTTCTTGCTCCCTTCTTCAGCCGTCGATTTTTGGCTTTTTCTCAATGATATACTACATTACTGACCGAGTCAACAGTTCCGCATACTGTATCACTGCGTTGGCAACCTGCGTTTGAAACCCAGCGCACCACTTCTCCCCAAGGGCAGAGTTATTGTAGACTCCCAGGGAAAACCAACACATCCCATCTTCGTGCCATGCATGGTCACATCTCGCACACCGTTGCTAGAGACAGATTACAACCTGCATAAATCAAACAGCACTTACTTCACGGACCTGGACGTTTCGCGTACAGCGCTCGTGAGCCGGATTTACAGCCCCGGAGTCGGCAATGTGAGCAAGGAGCTAGATCAGGAGTTCCTAGCCGCAAGCAAGAAGGAGGGAAAGCCGGCGCCAAGGCGCAAGCCGGTTTTGATTGTGCTCGGATCTGTTTACTGCACATTCAAGCGGGAAATTAAGCCATTTGAACTCTATGAGATGCATTCCAAGGTGATCTCTTGGGATGCCAAGTGGCTGTACGTCTTGACCTGCTTCATGCGACCTGCGCGCCGCAGTGGCGGCGAAAAGGTGATCCTTGCTGTGGGCGTGAGCAAGTACGTGGTCAAAAAGGGTCGATTGACTGTGCCCCCGGAGCGGATTTTGCGCGCGAGTGGGTTCCTGCCCACGCCACCCCCGGAGAGTGAAGTCAAGACCGACATCGCCGACGTCGACTCCTCGGCCGAGGCTTCCGGCGTTGAGACTCCTGGTGAGGGCGAAGGTATCACGGCTACGGGAGGCGTGGATGGATCGCTGATTCGGGAGGTATTGAAAATGAACGATGATCAGATTCCTGCCCAGGAGACTCTGGATAAGCAGCAGAAGGAGAATACTGACTCGTGGGATGTCGAAGAATGGACCTGGGAGCGCATTGAACAGGAACGCCTGCGGGGACTGGAGGTTGTCGCTGGATATACAAATATGGATGCCAAGCTATTCGATGAATGGGTGTAATTTTAAGCTACAACATAGACAGCCAGTGATCATACAGAAGGTGATCCAAGCGCCCGGATGACCTCAATGTTCTAACTAATATTAGACCATGAAGATCGGTAACAACCGTCATGCATCCACAGATTTGCAATTCAATTTCCAAAAATGACTAGACGTGGTCCACTCTTGTGTATTTTTCTTTACATCTGCGCTAGTATAATGTTGAGTGTACAAAATGTATATATACAACATCAAGGTCTATATTTTTTGCATATGCGTTATATGTCGCCAGTTGTAGGCACAGAAATGCACCTTACCTACATACATAATGTACGTACAAGGTACCTTTCCTGTGCAACCCTCTTGGAATCTGAACGAACTGGCCAACCAACTGTAGAGCCTCAACAGACCCGGAACTTCATATTTACGGGACTTTGTAGGATGAAGATAGGGGGATTTAAGACTCAGAATAAGATACCAGGCTCTCCACGGAATCAAAACGTACATTGAACTTATGTTATAGGACACAAATTGTTGGTTTAACTAGAACCACATACAGTTACGAATGAATGTTGATCACTGATCTCATCAAGGGGCTCCGATGCTATCCGAGATTGGCTGAGCGTTGTATGGCATGTGACAATACCAGACGTATTTTGCCAAAGTGGACACGGGGGTTCAGCTATTTTGTAAATAACGGTAAATTAACATGTAAGTGGAATTTGAAATTACATGTTTGTCATGTGACTCGACAGCGAAAGCTTCAAGGTGCTTTGACCAAGCTCTATCTTGACCATCGTGATACCACCTTTGCTTCTTTTTCACTTATGGTTTCATAGGCTTTAACTGCCCAGTGACTTGGTAAATTCAAATTTGTTTGCAATACTCCCCCGAGACCTGGCAACCCTCTTACCCGAAACCGGATACGGGACACATCATTTCGCGGCTCCTTGGGCGCCCAGACCAAATTCAGTCCACTTTTACTCTCTGATCGGACGATTCCCACCCTTCCCATCTTAGTGCTCTCATTTGTCTAATTTCAAGCCCATCATTCCTCACCCTGTGCCCACCTGCCCCTGCCTTTCCTTTCAGTGTCAGCCCATTGTGAACTCCACCTTTGAGCGTCGCCGGCACCTGCATGATTGGTCTATTTCTGGTGCTGCACTCTACCTTTTCCATGAACGTAGCGCTACTTTTGCTGTTTCATGGGATCTTTTGCTTTAAAGGGTTTTCTCTGATTATACCTACCTAGGTACAACTTCTTGTTCTTATCTTTTGCCTTACAAATTCTTTTTTTTTTTTCGCCAGTGACTTGACTAAGACATTTTGCTTTTTCCGCTCAGTTCAGGCAAAAACAATCATCCGAAGGAGCTTATCGCAATCGTTTCAACTACCTCCGTTGGACACTCCTTAAGTGTACTGACAACCTTCATACCACCAACACTGGCGCCCTTTGACCTCAAAAATACCGCTATTTCTTTTACTCGGTCGCAGTTCTTGTTCCCAATTCCCCTGACCGCTGGGAAATACCCCCCTATCGCCGTCGATCAGCGGTCGCACTATCCGACGACGGCAACTACCATCAACTGAACCGTTTTTCCAACCCTCCTCTGTCGCCCTCGATGATGGCGGCAGTACTCGATCAGTCGCAGCGCGATTCGTTTGGAGGCGAACCCGTCGTCGACTCCGTCTCCATCACGCCGCCGCAGAGTGCCAACGGCAAGAAGGAAGCGCCCGAAGGCGTGCCCTCCGAGTTGTCTGACCTCGAGCTCGACCAACATTCTGCACCGGCACCCGACACAACCAAGATCAAGCAAGAGGAAGTTGAGGAGAAAGTCGAAGAAATTGAAGAAATTGAGCCCGACCATTACTATGGCGGCGGCAAGGTTCCCGTTTTCAAGCCGGTGAGTACAACTTGAATGCCCTGACTGCTCGAGGACCGGGGGTTGGAAATTTCACGTCTTATATCAGACTGGGCAGTAAGATTCAGAGTCAAGCTGACTGGCATTGTTTTAGACAATGGACCAATTCCGAGACTTCCAGGGCTTTATCAATAAAATCAATAAATATGGAATGCAGGCAGGCATCGTGAAAGTCATACCGCCAAAAGAATGGTGAGTCAATCAAATCACGACCAGTGTGAATCACTGTGCTCATGACGTTGTTCTCTTTAAAGGTCCGAGTCTCTTCCGCCGCTAGATGAGGCAGTCAAAAAAATTCGGGTTAAGAACCCTATCATGCAGGAGTTCCACGGATCTCACGGTACATATACCCAAGCCAACATTGAACGTCAACGCTCGTACAACCTTCCTCAGTGGAAGGGTCTGTGTGAAGAAAGCAGCCACCAACCCCCGGCTCGCCGAGGCGAGAGACGCCGAAACCAAGAACGCGTGAACCGTGCGGCCCCGACACCGCGGCCCCCGTCTGCCCGTCCGGAGGGTCAAAAGCGCCGGCCCGGTCGTCCACCCAAGCGGACAAATAAGGTTAAGGAGGAGCCTCCTGCAGATGACACCGAAAAGTCCAGATTGGAGGGCCCTCCGACGCCTGTATCACCCGAGACCAACCCCGTGCAGCCAAAAACCGAGGATTTAAGTGATGGCGAGTCCCTACCTACCACAAAACCAAAGGGACGACAGCCGAAGTCCGTGACCTCACGCCGAAAGAACAACCGAGGCGATGCCATGGATCAAGTTGATGAGGAAGCCTATACGGGATTTGATTACCGAATCCACGATCACGAGGATTATACCGCGGAAAGATGCGAGGAACTGGAGACTAATTACTGGAAGTCGCTCATGTACAACAACCCGATGTACGGTGCCGACATGCCTGGTTCGCTCTTCGAGGATTCTACCGAGACCTGGAATGTCGCCAAATTGCCGAACTTGCTTGACGTTCTTGGGCAAAAGGTTCCTGGAGTCAACACTGCTTATCTCTACATGGGCATGTGGAAGGCTACCTTTGCTTGGCATCTTGAAGATGTAGATCTTTACAGCATCAACTACATCCACTTTGGTGCCCCCAAGCAGTGGTACAGCATATCCCAAGAAGATGCGCCTCGCTTTGAACAAGCCATGCGCAGTATCTGGTCCAGTGATGCGAAGAACTGTGATCAATTCCTTCGCCACAAAACCTATCTCGTCTCACCTAGCCTTCTCAAATCGCAATATGGAATCACTGTCAATCGATTGGTTCATTACGAAGGGGAGTTTGTCATCACATTCCCTTACGGGTACCACTCTGGATATAATATCGGATACAATTGCGCTGAATCCGTCAACTTCGCGACCGAGCAATGGTTAGACTATGCTCGCATCGCTAAGAAGTGCCATTGCGAAGCAGACAGTGTTTGGATCGACGTGGACGAGATCGAGCGCAAGTTACGTGGAGAGACCACCCCCGAGTACTATGGTGAATTCGAAAGCGAGTTCGATGGATTCGAAGGTGCTTCGGATCTTCTTACACCGCCACGTAGTGTGCCTGAGAAGACATCCACTCGTGGCCGAAAACGGAAGAACCCGGGTGACGGGCCGAACAGTAAACGACCCAAACTCCACCCCGAAGGACCACGGAAACTTCCGTGTTTGTTGTGTCCTAACAATCTGGACTATGAAGATCTTCTTCCCACCGAAGATGGTAAAGGGCATGCGCATCGACGTTGTGCGGCATTTATTGAAGAGACCACAATTCTCCGTGACGCATCTGGTACGGAAGTGGTGTGTGACATTGATAAGATCCCCAAAGCTCGCCTGGGCCTCAAGTGTCTATTTTGCCGCGAAGTCCGCGGTGCCTGCTTTCAGTGTAACTTTGGCAAATGCACGCGCGCTTACCATGCAACCTGTGCTCTTTTGGCAGGTGTTCAGGTTGAGCACGGTGCGATTGCTGTGATTGCGGATGATGGTACACAATACTCAATCCCGAGCGTTGATTTGAAATGCAAATTCCATCGTCAGAAGCGACCGAATGGAGTACTGGGTGAATCGTCCGATGTGGATCGTCGGGTGATCGAATCGGCTCGTCGTTTGGTACAAGGAAATTTGATCCAATTTCAAGCCGACAAGGAGATTAATGGCGCCATTGTTCTTGAAAATCGTCCTTCCGAGCGAAGTCTTTTGCTCAAGGTACTTCCAAGAGGGTATGTTGCATGTGGTTTTTTTCCCCCCTCTCTCTCTTTCTCTTTTACTAATAAAAAATTACAGAGATGTGATTGAAATGCCTTATCGATGGATGCTAGTTGTTCGCAAGAGCAATTTCACACCTCTCGCACTAGGAATTCAACCCCTCCCAGCCCACCTAGCGCGAAAACCTGAACGAAAAGAGTTAGAATCAGCGGTACCGGCGGCAGGCAGTGCATTTGGTGATTCACGATCTCCCTATCAGTGGGCCGAATTCGAGACGGTGGATGGCACTAGAAATCAATTCGCCCCACTCCGTACGGTCAACCTTCAGGGCGAACAAATGTGGTATTATTTGGGCATGCAGTCCACCGAAAGTAGGGCACAGTATACACACAACCCTAGCGTGTCCATCCACAACCCTCGGGCCAATTTCCTGGACAGCGTCAAGTCGCTTGGCGTCAGCGCATCGAAGATCTCACCCCACCACTTTCATTATGCTGCCACCGCCCCTGCCCCTCCCCGAAACTTGAACCAAAATATTTACTCGAATGTCAACGCTCTACTATCCCGACCGCCCTCTTCTGCCTTGCAGAACGCCCCTCCCCCTCCTTTTATCCCTGCTACCGGTGCTGCTGCTGGAACTGCGATGCCGTCGGCCTTTCGAACTCTACCCAATCAGTCTGCCCGTCATGCCCCCTATCCTTCGGCCAAGTCGCACGCTCAGCAGCAGCATCACCTCTCCAATACTTTTGCCAATGTCCGAGAACTCATTGCTCGCCGCCGCCTAGCCCAGATCACCGACCACGCCAATGTTTTTGCCGGATACACTATCGTTAGCCCCGAATTGGTGGTAGAGACTCTGCTGGGTCCTATGGGCTCAATACCCCCCGCTAATGGTCTCGAGAAACTGGAGCTGGCCATGGCTCAGCAACGGGTTCAACCACGGGCTGCGGATGGGACCCTGTTACCGCCTCAGACTCTGAACATGCGGTCGGAGGAGGTCACTCGGCTCCTTCAGATGCTCCGGTTCTCGCTGGTCAGCCACCGCGAGCGACTCGATGTAATTCAGAAAAAGGAATCGGAGGGAATCAAGCAGGAGACCGTCGATCGAGGTAGCGTGGCCGCTGCCAAGATGCCTGGAAAATATGCCTACCTTGATCAGCAGCGGTCGCTGGCACCCAATGTCTACCAGTCGCCCTACAACATGCCGTCGGGTCTCTCCGAATATGCCAAGACTGCCTATGGATTGGTTCCTGCGGCAGATGACCCGCCCAAGCCATCCTTGTCGAATGATTACTTCAACAATCTACCACAAGAGCACCAGGAAAAAATCCTGAAAGCTTGTGGTAGTTTCGTGCAGCGTGCAATCGAGAGGTCGGCCAGTCACAGCCGGCAAAGTTCATCCTCAAATCTTCGGTTGTCGGCGGCCCTGGCACAGCAAACGGACAATCCGACTATTGACATCACCCCGGTGGAGGATCCTCCCCTTCTCTCGGGTCTAGATATGCCACTCCACGCCGATTCTCCGTGCTCCAGTTTCGGTCGGTCGCATCTACGATATCAGTCGCCAAATGAGTTCCCCATCCATGGTCCAGACCCTCATCCCGATCATCACGACTTGTTCGGAGATCAGCAAGCAAATACACGCTTCTGGCAGAACGGGCCGTGGGTCGGTGGGGATGGCAACACTCCCAATGACGAAAACCGACCGTTCTTTGGACCACATATCTTCGGACCGCACGAACGACTCAAACATGACTATGCATCCTCCGACATCTCTTTGGGCAAAGGACCCGGATCGTTGCACTCTGTCGACATGGCAGGCTTTGGCCCGGACTTAAATGATGACCTCGGACTAAGTCCATAGATGGTGGTCTCGACACTGGCCTCATCTTTTCCTTTTTTTTTTTTGAAAAAAAATACTCAAAAAAAAAAACTCGCGTTTGCCTCTGCGACTGCATTTGCATCTTCATGTAACGACTTCACCGGACTGACGACTCTGCATGAATGGGCGTTTTCTTATTACCAACCGACCTCGACGTTCATCACGGGTCCTGTTTCTTTTACGATTTTGGAGTTGGCACTAGCTGGCTGGTCACGACTCAGCGCATTTTCATTTCATTCGATCATTTATCTCTCCCGGCGCGACTCTCGGAAAAGGCGGCCCGACTGACCTACTTGACTATGGTCACATAGACGGAGTTTTTCAACTTGCACGGTTCCTTTGCGGCCGAAAAATGCCTTTCCCGTCCTTCTCTCGCCCCTTTCAACAACTCAGGGCCTACTTTCGCCCCCCACTGATCTCCCTCTTTGTTCTATTAGATATCTCATCAAACAAGAAAAAAATTTCTTTTCTTCTCGAGATCACCTTTGTGCTTTACCTTTGATACCCCCTTTACCCCCGTCCGAAGGGTGTGGATCTGGATTTTAACCCTTTGATCTAACTCCCCCCTCCTTGTGTCGATATATCCATCCTGGCGCTCATCGATTGCTCGGTCTCCCTGAAATCTTCCATGGGAGTCTTGGTAGCATGATGTGGCAGCCGTCACCACGCGTGACCTTGATGTATGTGTGCAATGAATCATTCCAAATATTCCATTTCCGAGTGTAGACTGTATTTATATAGCTTGAGTAGCGACCGTATTTTACCTTTTCAGTCATCTTGGCCTCAAGCCCCCAATCTCCGTTTAGTCAAAGTGTCCACCCTCTGAAGACCCCACACAAACCGGTATCGTCCTAGAACATCAACAACCTTACCTTGCTCCCTTTGTAGGGATTCAAGGTCGTATAGTCAATCCGGCTCTCTTGGGTGATGTCGATTCACACCTCTTTAGACTGTCGGGGCTCTTGACCTTGGGCCCATGTCTATATTGTACATTGTATACAACCTACAGTTTGGCACGGAACCCCGCTGTAGATCTTTTTATGATGTCAAACATGTTCTGAGGATCTCCACCTTGTGTTTAGTGCACTGGTGTATTCATGCATTCCGTATCTCGCTTAGCTCTAATGTGTCTAATGGGATTGTTATACGAGGCACTCCGTACTCCGGACATAGTTCGACTTTGGTGTAATTAGAGAGGTACTTTTGCCTTCGAGTTCGTATTTCTATAGCATTACTTCCCCAGGGTACTCTGGATCTTTAAATGAATTCTGATAAGGCAGGCTGATCTGGATGTGAGCAAGGGTCCAACGTGGAATTAGTATGGCCCAAGATATCCCTTTGATACGTCTTATATAGCCTTGCTATATCTTTCTATCTTTGATATCAAGATCCTTCAAGTGAAATAGGGGAAGTGGGTCGAACTGCCGTGTCTCTTATCGTGTCTAGCTATTAGGTCATAAGACGTTGGGCTGTGCTTCCATCCGAACAGAACATGATAAGCCAAAAGATGCCTATCATTCGTTCATTCGAGGCATCTCTTTTGCCTCAAATCTCCAACTTTTTGTTAGTGCGCGGTCCCGGACCGCGCCTTGTTTACCATGCGGGGTTTCTCCCTTTAAATGTCTTGAAACCGATCAAGTTCACTCTCCAAATTGCCCACCATGCGAGGTTCATCTGATGATGCCGCCAATGAGGCATTGGCTCGTATGGGCTACAAGAGTGAATTACCACGAAACCTGAGCATGTTGAGCATCCTCGGTCTATCCTTTGCGATCATGGCAGCACCCTTCGGACTGAGCACGACTTTCTACATCACCCTCGCGGACGGTCAATCTGTAACCATCCTTTGGGGATGGGTCTTCGTCTCCCTCATCTCAATCGCTATCGCCGCCTCTCTCGCCGAGATCTGCGCCGTCTACCCTACAGCGGGAGGCGTCTACTACTGGAGCGCGATGCTTTCGACACGCCGCTGGGCACCACTGATGTCCTTCATCGATGGCTGGCTTACCCTCGTCGGGAATTGGACAGTTACACTGAGCATCATCTTCTCCGGAGGTCAGCTGATCCTCAGCGCAATCTCCATCTTCGATGAATCCTTTGTCGCCAACGCCTGGCAGACCGTATTGATGTTCTGGGCTGTCATGCTCTTCTGTGCCCTAGTCAACATCTTCTTCTCGCGCTATCTCGATCTCATCAATAAAGTCTGCATCTTCTGGACGGCAGCCAGTGTCATCATCATCCTCATCACACTCTTGACAATGGCCGACAATCGACGAGATGGAGAATACGTCTTTGCTCATTATGACGCCTCCCAGAGCGGCTGGCCAGATGGATGGGCCTTCTTTGTGGGTTTGCTGCAGGCGGCATACACCCTGACAGGCTACGGAATGGTCGCTGCCATGTGCGAAGAGGTGCAGAACCCACATCGTGAGGTCCCCAAGGCAATCGTGCTATCTGTGGTAGCGGCCGGTATCACCGGCCTGTTCTATCTCATCCCAATTCTGTTTGTGATGCCCGACGTGCAGATGCTGCGCGAAGTAGCCAGCGGCCAACCGATCGGTCTGCTCTTCAAGACCGTGACTGGCTCTGCAGGTGGTGGCTTCGGCTTACTGTTCCTGATTCTGGGGATTATGTTGTTCGCCGGAATTGGTTCCCTCACGGCTGCCAGTCGCTGCACATATGCATTCGCGCGCGACGGCGCTATCCCGGGTTTCAAGCTCTGGCGTCGCGTGAACAAGAAACTGGATGTGCCTGTGTGGGCTGTAGTGCTCTCGGCAGTCGTGGATGGCTTATTGGGTCTGATATATTTCGGTTCCACGGCGGCGTTCAATTCCTTCACTGGCGTGGCTACTATCTGTCTGTCGACCTCGTACGGTCTACCGATTTTGATTTCTCTGGTCCGAGGTCGTCGCGCGGTGAAAGAGTCTTCGTTCTCCCTCGGTCGCTTTGGATTTGCCATCAACTGTGTCACCATTTTGTGGATCGTCTTGGCTGTCGCTCTCTTCTGCATGCCAGTTACCTTGCCTGTTACACCAGAGTCTATGAATTACGCCAGTGTTGTTTTCGCTGGATTTGCTGGTATCAGTATCTTTTGGTACTTCGTTTATGCGCGGAAGCACTTTACTGGCCCTCCTGTTAGCAGTGATGAGGCGCGCGCAGCCACCGAGCTTATGACGGGTACGCCGGTTGATACGGAGAAACCGTTGGAGACGATGAAGAAGTTGCCAAGCGAGTAGATGGTTTTTTTATTTTATTTTATTGCTACGGGGTTTTAAGAAATAATATCAGAAGAATAATTTCAACATTTGAATGTACAATTATCACAGAATGTAATTTCGGACAATCACGAGTGCCTCGATCGCCGAGAGCCGCGGTCCAACACAGGCCATTCAGATCATCTCCAGTTTTTGGAGGATCCTCGTCTCCCACATTTTTAATTGGATTGAATCTCTTCAATCTGGGGGTAAAAAGGACAACATTCCGGGGAAAGTCACAATCCGAGGCACAGGGGAATCTCAGGAATCTCCTATCGGAACTCAACCATTCCAATTCAATTCCCCCAAACACCACCCCCCGGCATCTCTCGAAAACATTCGATCTCCAAATTCCGATTTCCAACTTTCTACGCTCCCTATGAGGACCGCAAGCCGATGCCCAACCCCGCTCTCATGAAGACAGGGCCAAGACCGCTTATCGCGTCATGTCGGACTCTGTAGGTGCGTGTTGACATAGCGCCCGCATTCGGATTCTACTGACACCCCGCAGATCGAGTCTTTGTTCATGCCCTGAATACCGTTAAGAGGATACCCCGGACTGGCACTGCGCGACCTCCCGCTGCGGAGCGGTTGGCACTATATGGCTTGTATAAGCAGAGTATGGGTGAGTGCATGCGCATTACAGAACACAATGGGAACCGGGGAATCGGAAGAGCTAATATTCAATCAGAGGGGGATGTGGAAGGTGTAATGGATCGACCGATTGGGAACACGCCCGAGGTACACGCGGAGTGCGAGAAATGGTATGTCCTTCGCGGGGAAAAAGAAGCTCTTGAATGTGGATGTGGATCTTGCTCGGTCCATGAACATCGCTCTTCCTCTCTCTATATCCAACCACACACTAACAATGTCTTCTCTTCTAGGGATGCATGGTACGCGCAACGCGATTTGTCGCGCACCGAAGCCAAACGCCGATACATCTCGACGCTCATCGACACGATGCACGAATACGCCTCCCAAACCCCCGAAGCATGCGAGTTGGTCGCGGAGCTCGAGTTCGTCTGGGACCAGATCAAGTATAATGCCGCTTCATCGTCCGACTCACCACTGAATACCGTCGGCGTCCCGCCCTTATCGCGCAGTGCTTACGGGAGTATTGGAAGTCGCTTGGCGAAGTCGGAGGAATATGACCGTCCTAATCGACGGGATGATAATAGTCGACGGGACCGGGATTCTCGGTTACGGGTTCTTAGTCCTGTGAGTCAACCGGAGGAGGAGGAGTATTACCGACGGCGGAGGGGCACAGAAAACGGCGAGAATGGGGGTCGATATAATGAGGATGAGGATGAGGATGACGAGGAGTTTGAGGAAGCTCGTGACAGCTTATACGAAGAACGAGATCAAGACAACCACGACCACGATGACCCGGACACTAGTTCCCACACACATACAAATACCGAGGGCTCCTCACATCACCGTCCCTCACATCGACGCAATCCTGCCTCCGGTATTAGCACAAACAGCAGTGGGACTGGGCTCGTTCCGCGTCGAGATTCCCATTCGAATTCCGAGCCAGCGAAAGACAGTCGCTGGCGCCGTCGTGTCGAGCAGGCCTTGACGAAAATGACGGCTGAGATTGCTGCTGTGCGTGAGCAGATGGAAGCGCGATCTGTTGCGCAGCGCCGTCGGTCTGGTTTCTGGGCGTGGTTAAAGTGGATGATTTGGGTTACTGTACGGCAGATTCTGTTCGATATTGCTATGCTGGGTATGCTACTTATCTGGATGCGGTTGAGAGGGGATCGCCGTGTTGAGCAGCGGCTTAAAACTGGCTGGGCAGCTGTTAAGGCAAGACTTGGTAAGTTCAAGCGACTGAAGATCGTGGATATGCCTATCTTGCCATAAGAGGGCTTTTTGGCTGTGGCTCACTTCTCTTCTCTTCTCTTTTTTCTTTTCGGTCTTTGACTACTTACTGCATTCTCATTTCTGCATTGGCATTATATTCGGCTATTCCCACCCCCCTACTCATTCACCTTGGTGCTCTACTTTACTTTCTTGTGTCTATTCTTCTTTTTCTTTTGTCTAGTATATATGGGTTTCAATTTCAGGTTTGGGGGCTTCTTCCTCTTCGACTTCTGTTGTCGGTTTTCTTTTCTTGGAATGCGTGATACATGTTGTGTCCTAAGGTGGCAGGTTAATTATATCGAGTTACTGAAAGATGCGGACCTCAGTCTGGATGATGTATTGCTTTTATTCGGTGGAGCGGCTTGGACTTCAAGCTTAGATGGTCATGTATACCATATTGTGCTGTTTCTTTCGCTCTGATTCCACGGGAATATGTGTTTCCTATGTGCCCCATTAGAAGCCATTGGAGTTTGGCCTAGTTATTCATGTCATTCCTCTTTTCCTTCATCAAGATTATATAGATTTGATAACAATTCAAAGCCTCCCAACGTCAAAGAACAATTAATGGTCAGCCTCGATATCTCTATCGATGTCGTTGTCCGTATCTTATATCGCCAGTATTACTCCTCAGCAGATATCATGTAGTCACAGTCAAGACCCTCCGTAGATGCTAATTATCTTAAGCCAAACACCAGTGCTGCTTTCAAGACCAATTCAAATTCCAGGATGCGTCGTATGCGAAAGCTGTGACCCCAGTTGGGATGAAAACTGGTGCCTCTGTTGTCGTTGTGCAAGTGTAGCCGTTGACTGGATATACACCATAGCTATAGCTATAGCTATATAGGCTTCTAGCATTGCCATTGTCGGCACCAGCACTATAGACCGATGGAGAAACTTCCGAGGTCAGGACAGTCCTAACCAATCTCCGATGCTGGACAGGCGTCGTCGTCGCAGCCACCATAGTCGCAACCAAAGCCACAAAAACAATTGTAAACGGTAACCTCCCCAGCACCAAAAGAGCCGAAGCCGCAGACACCGAAGTCGAAGTCGAAGTCGCAGTCGGAGCCGGAGAAGGCGGTGGGTGACGTGAACTTGTATTATTAGCAAAGTCAGTGCCAACCCAGGCATTCCAATTCTGAATATCATCCAGACAAGATTCAGAGATCGATGCACCTCGCATCTCAGCAACAGTCTCTCCCCGACGAGACACCGTCACGACAACTTGTCCAGTATTACCATCGAACGGCACACTGCCATGATAAAGACCGACTGGGCCGTGAGGCTTATTTTTCCATTTCCCATCTTGCACAACCCCACCGATATCAACAGTCACTTCCACATCCTGGGCAGTCCGCAAAAGCGCAGAGTAGAAGACTTCATCCTGCAAGACATCCGTCGGCGGGAACTCCTTCTGGCCGTGCGTCTTTGTATTACCCGTAGTACCACCACTGGTACAAGCCTTCCCAGGCGACTGACGGAACCAAGCAGTGACGCCCTCGGTAGTGACATTTGCCCTGGTCCCCTTATAGACATCAATAATGAAAGGCAGGAAATCACGCCAGCCGTCATGGGGATGACCAGCGGCGTAGTTGTAGCTCGCATTACCGATCTCGAAGGTCGCATATGCACCCTCATGCAGCGGGCCGATGTAATGCGATTCGCCGTAGTCATTCCACGAGATAATCTCCACAAACTCCGGCTTCAGAGATATCACTTGCTGCCACCGGTCGTACCACAGGTTATCTCCGTTCCAGATCCAGTTCTTGCCGTAACCTGGCAGGTTCGTGTAGAACCACGGTGAAACGGGCATCATGTACGGCAAGTCGCCTGCGTCCTTGAGCCATTGCATGTAGGTTGAGTCGACGTATGTGGTTATCGGGTCTGGACCTTCGGGCCATGCGGCCCAAGAGAATAATCCGTCTGGGACGCCTGGGGCGACGGCGAGTGCTTCTTTTGCGCCTAGGGCGGACCATCCCGGTACGAGGAAGCAGTCTGTGTATTTTTTGATTGTGGCCCAGTCGGTGGCGTTGGAGGAGCCTTCGAACGTTGAGACGAAGGGTTTGCCCTTGTGCTGGTAGTAGGCTCTATTCCTTCCATATTTCCGGAGTAGGCCGATCACCTCGCCTTCTGGCCAGGCGCCATTGCCTACGTAGTCAAATGAGAATAAGAGTTGGAAGTCTAGGGTATTTGCGGCGGTGAATGCGTTTGCTAGGGAGCGGTTGTTTGTTGGGAAATTGTATGCGATGTTTAGGGCAAAGGCGTCGATGTGGGCCTTTTGCGCTTCTGCGATGTTGACTTCCCAATCGTAGACCGTAAAGTTCTCTGAGTTGTATACCTGGGGTGGTAGAGGTCAGCAGAGATATAGATCTTAGTCCAAGGGCTTTACCATGAAGTGGGCGAACACGGCCGCTGCTTGGACGTGTTGGATGCCTCTCCATAATGATAGAATGAAGAATATTGCCGACTTCATGTCAACCTCCGTGTATGGTTTAGGCTATAGAGCTAATTAGTACATAGATAGAGAGATTTACCAGGGAAATTTGAGCAGCTTTTGTAGAAATTGTGTACGTAGTTGCTTTCCTGTTGCACATGCACGGAATTCAGTGGAGAGTTTGACACCTGCATCTATCCCTCTCATCGAGATGTCTATAGATAGATGCCGGAGGTCCGCTATTTGTACATCGGAATCTATGCGTAATCTTGACCGTCTCTTCCTTTGTACGTCCCTTTATCTTGGGTCTTCATACTTGGGTTTTATAACTTGCCTTGAAAACTGAAATATCTTAGATACGTTCAATGACCAAACCAGCCGATGCTGATGATCCATGCTGTGGCAAATAAGATCGCTACCCTCGGCATAAAAGTACGTAGATATGTTTCGCATTATCTCAGATGCCTAGTTACACCATGTAGTAAGTCGGAAGGCCGGAATTAGGGCTCACTTACACATATTGACCAGCAGCTCAAACCCTGCAATCGAGTCAGGTGAAGGATAATGATAATTATGGATGAATTTGGATTTATACGTATGGAATGTAACAATTTATCATTTTAGTTCAGACTCTGCAGAACGGTTGATGCTAAGCCTTTGTAACAGTCTGGAAGAGTGCTCAGTCCAGATCGGTATTTTGAGGAAGTATCGTTAGACCAGATCCGCTAAATGATTGAGTTTCAAGATTATAGAGCTCGGTATGCTCAACATAATGCTAATTATAGAGATGTTCAGCAATGACAGAAGCACTGGCAGACAGTAGAGTTGGCAGTATGTACACACACCTAACCAATCATGATATTTCACAAGCGCTACCTACATGTATACTATCACCAACCCCCAAAAGTCGAAGTTGATATTAAGCGCCGGCTGTGGGGATGGGTAGATTCACACAGGCTCTAGGGCAAGAACCGGCCATACCCGGTTGTTATGAGTCGGACAAAGTCAAAGATCGGAAGGGAAACGTAGCTGGAACATGTTATATTCACGGTGAGACTCTGCCGTGCATGGGTGAGTCTGAGCGGTCTCCAACGTATTACGGAGTAGACTCCTCGCCAAGGAATGTCAGTGTGTGATACTCTCGACATGTAATGTACCTAGCTTCTTCACTGCAATGGTTACCTACATATGCACCAAGCCGAGGATGTATTCGAGCGAGCGGTCAGCATTTGAGTCCGTACTACTACCACCTCGATACCATGCCATTGCCATTGCTAACTGCAATGACTTGGAGAACATCTTGCCCAATCCATGCGAGTAAGGCAAGGCGGTTTCCAAGGAGATTGAGCAGAAAATCATGTGACCATTCATGATGCCAAGAGATATTTACACAAACGTAGACCGCATTTGGGGCCGAGCATCCAAATAAAACAGTGATATAGAAAAAGACGTTGCCCAGATTATGAGAGGGAAAGGTGAGGGTGCAATCAAGGGGAGTCTAGAGAGGACAAAGTATACCGGGGAAGTGTTTACCACTGGGGCCCGGGGTACTGTGCGTATTTTTGCTTGGGGCGCAAGTGAACAGGAACCTGGTTCTCGGGAGAGCCAGGAATGGTCTTCTTCAAGCCCTACAAGAAACAAGAAAAGTGTATGTTAGCTTCGATCCGGGGGTGACGGCGGATGTGATGGATGCGGGGTGATTGGGATGATTAAGAGCAGGAGAGTGTGTATCATACCAATTTGTCGAAGACACAGGTGTTAAGCTGCATCTCGGCCCTGCGGCACTCCCAGAGCTGGTGGTTGTTGTTCTCGAGACACTCCCAGTGGGCCTTGAACTGGCTGAGGCAGTGGGTGTTGATGTCCTTAATGCTGTGAGGGGTCAATATCTCCTTCTCAACGCAAACCTAAATGAAGAAAGGAACATACACGCTAGCGGCACAACGCGTCACCTTCCGACCTTCCTTCAAGCAGTCGATCTCCCCACGGCCGTTGGCCTCGGCCTTGCACTTCATGAAGTCGTCATTGAAAGCCTTGCAGCGGTCTCCAATGAAATAAGCTGCGCTCATCAAAGGCGCAGATGTGGCACCGATCTCCTCCACCTTGGGGATGTGATCGGGCATGGGCGTGGTGTCCACCAGGACAGTCTGGTTGAAGCTGTACGCGGAGGGATAAAGGTTAGCATTCCACATTGAGCTTGACAGTGACGAAGCGATTGCGATTGAGATACATACCGAGCATCTCTTTGGGCCATGGCGACGGTGGCTTGTCAGGACGACTGTGAGGGGAAAAGAGGTATAATTGAGACGAGACTTGGAGATCGAGAGCTGCGGGTTGCGGTGGAATGAAATTTGGCTCGTCAGTGATTGGCTGGCCGGGTTGTGCTTAGGTCAGCGTGACACGCCAGGTGCCCAGGTGCGGTGCTGGTATACAGCGTGTAGAACTATTGCCTTTGTTTATTGGATATATTAATGAGTAAAATACCATGAGGACTATAGTACAGAACAATGGACTAATACAGGCTCACTATTTATTCAGATCATTCATTCAATACTCAATGAAACGGTCTGCGAACGGTGGTCTATCACGTGACCCAAACAAATCGAGCTCCGGCTCTCATCTTTCTCGGCCTTCGAGCTCCATCGAGGAACCCCTCAGCTTTCTCACCTTGGATTGCCAACCTTCAATCCCTGGACTATGTACCTTGGACCTGCTTCTATTTCCATTCAGCGCTCCTAATCTGGCTGCGCCAGCTTCATTGATTCGTTGACGCGCTCACTCTTTATCGTGCTTTTTTTTTGTGCCTTTTTTGATCGTCCATCATGTCTCTCTTTGGCGGAACCCAGCCTCAGGCTAACACGTCCATGTTCGGCAACACGGCCACGAAGCCATCTCTCTTTGGCGCCCCGGCAACCACAACCACAACCCAGCCCAGCACCAGCACCAGCACACTGTTCGGCGGAGGGCAGACCCAACAGCCTGCATCGACAGCAACCGGTGCATTTGGCGCCAACACGTTCGGTGGTGGCGCAAGTGCCGCACCCCAGCAGCAAGCAGGATCGATGTTCGGAAATCCACAGAAGCCCCAGAACTCTTTCGGCTCAAGTGCTTTTGGGCAGCCTCAGCAGCAACAGCAAGGAAGCGCATTTGGCTCCTCGCTACAGAAACCACAAGGTAGCCTCTTCTCTGGAGGACAGCAGCAAACACAGCAAACCACGGGTGGATTAGGAGGACTCGGGGGTCTCGGTGCCAACACTCAACAACCAAATGCCTTTGGACAGCAACAATCGCAATTCGGCCAGAACACGATGACAACACCACAGCCCCAGCAACAACAGCCTTCTCTGTCATCGAGCCTTTGGTCTCCCGGCCGTGCTATCACTGGAGGTGAGCCTATTGTGTAATCTCTCACTACGAAGCATCACTAACAACAATGCTTTCTAGTGCACCGAACTGTTCCTATGCAAGTAGCCATCATCAAGGATAAGTGGGACCCGCCCAGCCAAAGCTCGCCATTCCGTGCCTACCTGTACAACAATGTCGGCGAGGAAGCCGCACCTTTCTACCAACCTGGTCCCGAGGATGACGAGTCAAAATGGGAGGAGGCTTTGCGCAAGCGGCCGGGTCCAGGATACGTCCCTGTGCTTGTCAAGGGCTTCTGGGACCTCGGTAAACGCGCGCAGCGACAGCGTGACTTCCTCACCATGATGCAGTCGCGGCTGCATGAGATCAACAATTGCTTGACTGGGCTTCTCTCGAAGCATGATCTCAACCTTTCTGTCAAGATCGCTGACTGTCGGCGGAAACACATTATTCTGAGCAAACGATGCCTCGCCCTTGCTGCTAAGACGCAGATCCTTCGCAACAGAGGATACGCTATGGATGAAGCCGAGGAACAGTTGAAGAAGAAGCTTGTTGAGTTGGAACGTGCCGTCTTTGACCCGTCTCTCAATGGCCGTGCTGAAGAAATCTGGGCCCGTATGTTGGCTATCCACGAACACTCTAAGCGACTGCAAGTGGAGATGGATCGTGCTGGAGTAAACGTGACACAGGCGGAGGATGACATTGATGAGCAGACATTGAAGACAGCAAAGAAGGTTCGTCACTCCTGAACTGGTAGATCATTAGTACCGGAAGAGCTTGCTAACCATACATTCCAGATTCTGGACGATTACCACTCTCAGATCCAGCATCTCCAGAAGGAGATGGAGTCCATCAAGAAAGACTTCACCGAGGTAGAGAAAGCGATTGGGAATTGAGTACATTTCTCTATAACTTTCTATTTCCTATCTCGATTCTCAATTTCCTCACATGTTTGGACTTAATGTCTACGGTCATCGGGGTACCGGCGTTCTTGGGGATCAAGCCATTGTAATGCATATCTGAATACAAACTTCTTTGCTGAACACTCTAAATTCCGCTTTGTCCTCTCGGTCGATATGCTCACCTGGTGATAATTACAATTATCCATGATAGGTCTATTACGCTTATTTCTAGGGCCCTCATGTCGACGCTACCTCGAATTGATAGTGCTAAATCTCTGTTGTGTGTACGTCACTGCCATCTTCAGCCCAATCTATCCCTTAAATTTGATGTGAAGTCCCACCATTGCATGCCCTTCGGCGTTAGTTACCTGGAATTAACTAACGCCCGAGGGCATTCTTCTCTTTTTGCTCTTGTGAGTAGGGTTGGTCTGTCGATCGTTCTCGGTCTAAATGTTTGTATTTTTTTTCTTTGCATGCTGCCTCATGCGTCCTTATCTCTGTCAGCAACACAATATCTATAAGTTATCTTTATACCGTCCCTTGCACTGTAGAACAACGCAGGTCTGATCTGAAACATTAGACGGTTTCGAAATTCAGATGCTTGCATCAGATATGTTTCCACTGTTCCATACAAAACACGGATGGAGTTGATCGTTGTGATTGTTTCCTCTTCCTGTGTACTAAGTATGTTGAAGTTTGACTGGTTTGAGGTAGAGATGTTGGCCTGACAGAGAGCATTTCCTCAACTTAGTCCTCCTGATCATCGATTTCGCTGTAGCCTTCGGATGATTATTCAATCTCTCAAACAGGGACCTACTTAACCTTTTCTATGGTGAGCATATACTCCCTGATAACATCTGTTTCAGACATCCCAGTGAAGAGAAATAACACAACGAAGGCCATTCCCGCGCGGTCTTCTCCACGAGTGAAATGTGGGGACTATCTCCAGGGGTCGAAGAGGCCTAATGTCCTTTGATAATCTAAGTATACTTCCTTTCATAACCTAAGTATACTCCGTATAACGTACTCAACGACATCTTGTCATTGATTGCACAATTACTTAGATCCTTGATACCACCGAGCCTACTACAGTGAACCTAGCTGGAGTTTTGTTATATATTCGACCATATTATATTATGTCTTAACCTGGAGATAGGCATGTATTGCGTCGATACTATGGAAAAAGTGACAACATCGCCCCCGAAAGCCACACATAGTATCAAACTACCGAGCCAACTAAAACGTTATCTTAAAGGGCGTTCTATGGTTATGTATCCATGTACGGATCGTCATGCATATAGAGACAACCCCAATACATTGCACTGGCCCTTTCGACAGCGCCATCAGTGTTGGATATGGCGTTGAAAATGATACCGCATGATCGTATTCTGTATGAGGTGAGGATCTCGTTTGATTAGCTTGTTCTTTTTCATTTGTGATATTCCTAACGCGGATGACTAGAGTGACCTTTTATATCCCCCGAGCTCAGCCTATCCGCCATTTGGGGGGGGATTAGAATACTATGAAATGAGTGCTGGTCTGAGAGAAAAGATGAATTCTGGGAATGTGATGCAGTTGATTCCTATGTTACAACCGTATCGAGCTGATCAATCGATAATCTGCTGCATTTCAGCGCTCAATCTCTCCTTCGATATAGTGGCTCACTGCTTCGCCCTTCCCACTTGCTTTGGAGTGGAACATAGTGCGACGAATTGAAATAAGCCACGTCAGACTGGCCATGCATATAGCCGGTATCAAGTCACTTCTTATGACGATCGTATCTATATGGAGTTTCCGGATGAACCGGAACGGATGTCAAAGAGCAGAATCACTAGAATATCTCAACCGGAATGGACCCGGTTTGCTGACATATATTATTGAACTTGATATGAACAGTTACTAATGTAGACTCATATATATATAGGCTTACTTGCAGACTTGAATGAAACCCAACTCAGCGACTATCATGGATTCATCTATTCACACCAAAGTCGGACACTTTCTAGTCGTCCATCCTGTCGTAGCGACACTTTTGGCTTTCGCCATTGTCCTAGGATCCACGTTCTTGTTAATCAAGGAGATATTTACTCCGGTGGGAAAACGACGAGCACCCTTAGGAAAGAAATGGCACCTCCCCCGGGACCAAAAGGGATCCCCATATTTGGGAGTCTCTTGGATTTGAAGTCTGGGCGTGACGACCTGGACTACAAGATGGTAAATCATATCTGCAAATTTGCAAACCTCCAAGCTTATTGAACATAGTACCGACACCTCGCGTCCTATGGTGAAATGACCACGATACACCTTGGTTCTAAGACATGGGTTCTCCTCAATAGCCAGCGCGTTGTGAGTGAGCTTATTGCCAAGAGAGGATCCCTTACCAACGGCCGATCGCCGATGCCTGTTGCTAGCGGCATAATCAGTCGCGATGGCCGTTCAGTGCTATTACCACCTAACGGATGGACCGAGAAGCGCCGGGTTATGCATTCCTTGCTCAGTGGTACCGCGCTAAACCAGTACGCTGCCTGGCAAGAACTCGAGAGTACACAGCTTCTAGCTGAGTACCTATATCAGCCCGAGCTATGGTATCGACACCACTACCGCTATGCAAACTCGGTGATACATCGTATCGCGCTTGGCGAGCGCTTGGTTAAGACAGGCAAGGAACTAGCTGATCTTCAAGATGTGGTAACGCACTTCGTCGGAAGCATAGGAGCGAGCTTGGTAGACTGGTTCCCAGAGCTGGACTCGCTGCCGAGGTTTCTTCAGGTATGGCGTAAGCACTGGGAGAAACTGGGCCAATGGAACTATGAGGTATATCGGTCGTGGTGGGTGCCAGTACGCCAGCAGATCAATGCTGGAATTGCGCCACCATCATTCGTCCGCGATGTTCTCCTGCATGAGAACACAAAGTTCACTGGAGATGACGAAGAGGCTATGTATGTTGCGATGCAACTCATTGAGGCGGGCAGTGATACCACGCGCGGAGCTCTAAACATCTTTACGATGGCCACTCTCTGTCACCCGGAAGCCTTTCAAAAGGCGCGTGAAGAAGTCGAGAGAGTCTGTGCCAATGACAAGAATAACTTGAGGCTCCCAAATATCACCGACATGGCGCACATGCCTTATATTTGTGCTTTTATCAAGGAAATCCTACGCTGGAGGCCTATGTTTCCTCTTCTGCCTGATCATGTGCTCACATCGGATTTGGAATTTGAAGGATACCAGTTTCCAGCTGGGGTGGGCTTTGTCATAAATGGCATTGCAGTTGGCAATGAATGTGAGGACCCTGATACCTTCAAGCCGGAGAGATGGCTGGATGGACATGAGGCAGATGTGGCTCATGGTTTATGGCAATTTGGAGGAGGGCGACGTATCTGTGTAGGGTACCGTCTTGCACAAAGGGGCCTTTTCCTTAACATTGCCCGCTTGGTGATGTGTTATGATTACGCAGCAGTAAGTTTACGATACCCCCTTTAACCTATGAGAATTATTCTAACAAGATAGGCTGGTCCTTATAATTCTCGGCATCTCAATCATCATCGCACCGACGAGCCATTCCCTGTCAAGGTTACAGTGAGAAGCAAAGAGTATGCTAAGCTCATTATAGAGGAGGCCACGCGAGAAGGTGTTCTAGAGTGTGCAAAGGGTCCTAATTGAAGCCTATGATACATAGTTTGATGTTTGATTGAATATGAGCATATTAATTCTACATCTACTTTAGCGAATCGTCTGAATCATCTGAAAAGGATAAGGCGCATTGGGGACCAAATCTTAGTTGTTTTAGATCTGAATCGCTCGAGGTGGAGTTCAAGGGAAGGCAGAAGGTTGACCCAGGAACCGGGAAGCTCATTTACACTATAGCATGTGAGGTCAATATGGTTCATATCGAAAAACGGCATGGGAAGCTTGCTGTAAGCGCAAATTATAGTGCATTCAAGATATATAGGAAGTTATATTACGACCAGAAATCCACACCCGATGATGGATGTGTCAATATAATTGCGGTATGATATAGTTCATACTAAGTCAATCCAAAAGAGCTTTTGCTGAAACACCATGAAATACTGCAAAAGGACACGAAAATCAATGACAATCTTGGTGAAAGGGTATCAGGTATTCGCAGATATCGTCAAAGGGTATAGGAAAATAAAAAAGACTCCAATCGACTTGCCCAGAACCCAACCTAGACCTAGTACTATAAGGCCCTAGCAAAATCCAACTTGAATTCAATTGGACCTGTGTTTTACACTCAATAATGAAGCAGCTCTATTGTCAAGATATATTACTTTGTTTATCTCTGCCCCCGAAATGCCGAGGACTAATGGAGCGTTAAGGACTCTGGTATCAGATTATAGGCGAATTGATCATAAAAATATATGTGGCGAGATGCCTAACGCATGTAATGTATGCCCCTATTTATTGGTATCACATTCTTCTATGTGGGTATCGACCTTTTTCGACGCTTTACTCTTGTGTTTGTATACAAGCTGTTCTCTAATCGGAGAGCATATACGCCCTCTTGGGCAGATTACCATGACTGGAATGTTGACTAGGGACATCGCCACATGCAGAAGACGAGGATAAAGTATAGTTTACAACGGATCGCGCTCAAGTGCGCAATGCTTGACCAGTCAATCTGTTAACAAGCGCGAGCTATGCATTCTTATTATGGCTGGCAGCTAGACAGCAGCAACTACTTTGGCTTCAATACCGAGGTAGTTTGAATACGTCAGGAAGATTCATGCCAAATATGCAATACACTACTCCTTCCTCCGCCATCTTGAGTCATTACTGTTACCACAACTTGGCAAGACCCGGGTTCCTGTTCCTGTGAAATTGGTACATTGCAATATCTTATTCTGGTTTGCTCTATATCCCACAAAACACAAATGACAACAAGCATATGCACAATAATAATACATCGCCCAACTAGAATTACCCAACAGACCCAAAAGGTATAGTAGATGAGTTTCAAGAGTTTTTCATAGATTAGGCGCCCATGCTCAATCTTCTCCAATCTTGGCTGGGAAAAAGTGATGCCAGGTGGAAAAATCAATTATCCAGTTCTCCTGCATGTCATCGCGAAATCAAAACCAGCGATTCGTCGATTTCAGTCCGGGGAAGGCAAGAAAGAGGAGCGGAAGACGGATCGCCGGCCTAAAGGAACTTGCGGACAAAGTCGACGGCGAAGGGGGCTATGTATCCGATGAAAATGTTAGTTTCCAATCCACTGTGCTCTTCACTGACTCATCTCGAGCTGTCTGCACTTCCGAGGCTTCTTGGATCAGATACTCGACTTACACAGGTAGAGGAGGAAACCACCGGCAAGAGCCATCTGGACGGTCTGACTGGCCTCAATCTCACCAGCCTTTAGGATATGTTAGTATCAGAGGCCGCATGGGGGAGAGGGCATAGCGTGAGGCTGACCTTGATCTCTTCCTTGGAGATCTGTTCTTGGCCTTGACAAAATTATTTTAGCTCAAGTTGAATCAAAGAGGTATAGCATTGGGATCCTACCTGGGGCAAACATTTTGGATATGATAAAGAATTAGAGAGTGAAAGAAAGTTCAGGTAATAGATGTTGTGAGAGTTGTATGTTGCGAGGATGTTCTCAAGTCGGACTGGAGAAATAAATCACGGGAGCACAGACCCACTGCTCTCCTTCACTTCTTGAGGTTTTGCCTTGACTGTCTCCTCTCTTTCTATCCACTGGGATTCTACTTAGTATTGTGAGAAGCTCGTGTTGTGCTGCTCTTTTTAATCCTTACCTCCACATCTTATTTGCATTGCTCAAATCTGCAGAGCACGAGTTGATTTTGCGGAGAGGCGTCTGGATCACTTAGCCAGATAACGTACCGTGACTTGCTTGCGATACTCCCCCTGACGGATCTTTACACCTTCGCATATTTGCTTTGAATCCATTCCTTCACAATTACCACCATCTGCACTGCCATGTCTGCTTCACCGGACCGCAAGGCTGCCTCGCCTGCCGCCTCACCCGATCCCGAAGCCCACGAGCAAGTCGCAACCCCGGTTGGTGGTGACGACAATGAGCGCGAGCACTCTACTGAACCTACCACCGATGCTAAGGAATTCGTCGAGAATGCCGATAACGAGCCACGCAGTGGAAATGACGACGAAGGTGATGATGACAAGCTTTCAGACGACGAGTCCATTTTGTCCGAGGTTGATGAAGCACAATTCGACAACTTTGATCCAGAGAACGTTGACGTTGAGGATCGCCCACAACTTGCTATTGACGAAGATAACTTGAAACTCATTGGCCGCCATAAGCGCAAGCGCACTGAGGATGGAGAGACTCGTCCGCGCCGGAAGGAAGGTCGTCGCGAGAAGAAGAGCCGTCGAGCTGAAGAAGGAGGCGATGAAGGCGGTTCATCTCGCCGAAAAGAACGCAAGCAGCGCGAGGATAAGCCCGATACAGATGAGGAGACTCTTGACCCGGAGACCCGTATGTTCTGCTCTTTACTCGCAACTAGTTTTCCGCCTCACCCAGTTTATACTAATATGGTTGCGATTATCAGGACGTCGCCGAGCCCTCGACCGTGCCATGGACGAGGCGATGAAGAAGCCGACGAAGAGACGTTTCCGCAAGCAGGATGGCATTGTATGTGTTGCACCTGGTGACGCCGTGTCCGCCTATGTTTACTGACTGCGCTATTAGGATTTGGAATCTATGGCAGATGCTGAAATCGAGGATATGCGCAAGCGCATGACCCACGCAGCGCAAATGGATGCGATCAACCGCCAAGAAGGAAAACCAGCTATGCACAAGCTCAAGCTCCTCCCCGAAGTCATCATGCTCCTCAATCGCAACCAGTACACCAGCGCCTTGGTCGATCCAGAGATCAATTTATTGGAAGCCGTTCGATTCTTCCTCGAGCCTCTTGACGATGGCGCAATGCCTGCCTACAACATCCAGCGCGACCTATTGACCGCCCTTACCAAGCTCCCTATTAATAAGGATGCTTTGATTGCCAGTGGCATTGGAAAAGTCGTTGTCTTCTACACCAAGAGCAAGCGCACTGAGCGTCGCATCAAGGAAATGGCAGAGAAGCTGCTGGCAGAGTGGACACGACCAATTCTCCAGCGCAGCGATGATTACTCGAAGCGAGTCTACCAGGAAGCCGATTACGATCCTACGTATGTTCACCTCTCTACAGCCTCCCTATCACCCATTAACACCCCTCTAGGAAAGTTGTCAGACGCGCTGCTCCCACCGCCGAGGAGATCCAAGCCGAAGCCCGCGCCCTCGAGATGCTTCCTCCCCGCCTTCTCAACCGTGCTCGTGTCGACCGTACCAACGTCAGTTATACTGTGGTTCCGCGCCAGACAGCTGTGCGCGAGGCTCAGTTTGCGCGCCCCTTGGGTTCCAGTGGCGAGGACCGTTTCCGCAAGATGCAAGCCCGCCAGGCTGCGGCACGCAAGGCATCTCGTCGGTAGATTCCAATGTAAATTCTTTTTTTCATGGCTTCAGCCACTTCCGTTATGTGAGATAATTTTGCGGTGTTTGGGGCGTTTCGGGATCAATCGGCGATTGAATAGGGATTTGGGAGTGTCACCTTTCACACAGTGGAATAAGCCGCAGTAACTTCAACAAATGAAATCGATATGAAAACAATCAAAATAAATTCAATTCAATTCCAACTATATCAGAGATCTATAGGAAAAGTCTTAAAAATCAAGGCCGGCAAGTTAGTTCCGTGCAAGACCGAGTGATGACCGGGGCCTATCACCGGAAAAAGAGCAGATCCCGCGATCCCGCAATTCCACACGTCATGCGATCCGGCCTTTGCTTTTTTGGTTTTATATCGGACAATTCGCTCTCTTCCTTCATTCCCATTCAACTCATATACATTTTACACAATGAAGATCCTTACTAAAGAACAAGAAGAAGCTCACTACAGGTACACAACCCCCCTACATCTTACAATCTCCATCCCATACTGACGCAATCCCAGCTCTGTCCTCAAAGGTGGCACAGTTGGCGGCCTCCTTGGTCTCGCCGGCGGCTTCGCAGGTGTTCTACTTGCCTCACGCCGTTACCACACAATCCGCAACCTAACAGTGCCGATGAAAGCCTTCCTGGTAACTTCTTCCGGTACCTTCACGGGTATTATCGCCGCCGATCACGCCTCGCGCGAGTACGAGAACGAGCAAAATGCCGCCTACCAATGGTACGAGAATCGCGAAGAGCGTCTCCGTGCCGAGGAGACTCGCGGACTCAGCTTCACCGATCGCGCTGCCGCCTTTGCCCGTCGCGAGAAGTATAAGATCATCACCGCCACCTGGGCTGCCTCCATGGTTGGCTCGTTTGCGCTTGTCAGTCGCATCCCCGGTCTCAGCGGCCAGCAGAAGCTTGTCCAGGCTCGTGTCTATGCACAGGGTCTGACACTCGGTGTTCTGTGTGCTTCGGCTGCTTTTGAGATCTCGGATCAGCGTCGTGGTCGTGGCTTGCTGGACTCGAAGAAGAAGGCGGATGCGGCTAAGGCCCAGGTCCAGGATGTTGATGAGGCGCCTGTTCGCCATGGTGGTCAGGCTAATGAAGGTGATCTCTGGAAGGATATGGTTGCTGCCGAGGAGGAGCGCTTGAGCTCTAAGCACCAGTCTCTCTACGAGCATCACGAGAAGCAGGAGTCGGAGTCCGAGGAGAGTGATGAGGAGAAGAAGGATCAGGACCCCAAGACCGAAAAGAAGGAGACAGAGTCCAAGAACAAGAAGAAGAGCTCCTAGATATCACTCTCTTTCGTTCTTGTTCGTCTCCCACGACCGCCATTGATCAAGGCTCATTGCTGACGTCACTGCCCACTTCCTTTCTATCCCACCCCGAGTCTGAAATCTCCGCTGGGTAACAAGGATAGACTGGAGGGCGTGGTTACGTTGCTTACATGGCCTTCATCGTACATATCCTCCCTTTCTTAAGCGTTTGTCTTTTTGTTCATGCCTCAAGGGTTCTAGAAGGACCCAAAAGTGACATCTGTTTGACTATGTCCACGTGTATGATAATATTATAGGATGTGTCCTCTTTCTCTCTTTCTCTACTCTTTAATGAAGATGAATCTACTGAGAAATTGCCATCGTTAATGACGTAATGCCATTGTCGGGTATTTGGTCCATGTTGGAATATGGAGAATGTAGCAGAACGTAATGGGCATGAAACTGAATTGCCAACCAGATCGACCTTGTTGATACACATATCCTTAGCTGTACATTTTTAATTGCCAACTCAAAATGTTTCATCTTCCAGGCGCTCCATGCGGCGGATCACACTTGGACTTTGATCGTCGCCAAAGTCATCTGTAATATCCCCAGCTCCAGCTGTAGCTAGTAAATCGGTCACAATTCGTTTAGAAGCTTCTCTTGCTATCAAGACGAGGGAGATTAGCATAAATGTAGTTTTGAGAAGAAAAATAAGGGCACAATCTCACCAGGCGTCCTCATTAGCCGGCTCTGCGGGATGTGGAACTGCATTGTCTTAGGAGGGCTCGGCCCAAGGTCCTCATCATCGTCGTAATCGAAATCATCGTCGCTGTCCCACATAGCCGACTTACCCGCAGACTTCTTTGCAGGTGTCAAAACGCTCATGCCAGGCTTGGGAATATCGCGCATACGATTGCTGCTAGTCCGTCGCTTGCGGTTCGTGCCTGGAGTATCGTTGATGCCTTTGATGGGCGAAGAGAAAACCTCCGAATGGAGTTGTGGTACCTCTGGCTCCGGACTAGAGATAGGCGAGTCATCATATGCATATTTGGATGTAGTCTCGGTCGGGTTTGGGGTGGTGATGTTAAATTTGGATCGAGTGTTCGTGCCGCCGCCCACATTGCGGAATCCCTTTCCGAGCGGCGTGGCTTGCACCCGGTACGTTTTATCTAGCATTTGGTGTAGTACTGGGTCCGAGGTCTTTTGGTATCGACGGTCTTGAGTCTGTGACTGCGACGCGGGCGGGAGGAATGGTGATGACATCGGGGTTGTGGCGGAAACGCCCCGTGGGAAGAACGGTTGGCGGCCTGGAGTGGATGGGAGGTTCGAGGAGTCTGGGAGGTCGAATGGGGGTTCGGATTCGTTGACTTGTCTCCTTAGGTTTTCGTAAGACGACGAGTACTCCATCGAGGAGGTTGTCATGTCGTCGTCGGCCTGCTGCTGCTGGTGGCCGGGAGCACGTGGAGTGCTGTGAGAAGAGATGGCAAGATCTGTCAGGTCAAGGTCGTCTGCCTGGTCGCGGCGAGGTGTTTCATGGCGCTGATAAGAGGGTGTTTCGTGGGACATGGTCTCGTCGAGGCTCGTGCTTTGGGTTATGTCGGTGGACAACTCTTCCTCCGTAGCGGTGGGGTCCTGCATCGTTTCTTCATCGGTATTTCTTTCTTCATAGCCGGATAGAGACACGTTGGCACTCGCTTCGAAGAATTGCTTCCAGAACTATAGGGAGTCAGCAAAGCTGTCTATAGCTGTGTATTCTGGTAGCGCTGACCTTGGAACCTTCCCAGACATCTCGAGAGTGCTCCGTATATTGCTCCACTAGAGGTAATATACTCGTAGTGACTATTCGATGAGCTTGACTGAAGTTGTGATCGATCTCTGTGAGGACATATGACGATGAGCAGTCTGCTGGACTGGTTTGTTTACTTTTTGCCTTACCTTGGAGTGTAAGCGTGATGGACTGTTCCAATTTCTCAAGCTCCTCGGTGAGGGACAATGGCCGCTGGGCCTGTGAAGGTTGGCGAGACATGATTGTACCACCCAGGTTCAATTGTTCAATTGAGTCGAGAGATGAGGGCTTTCAATCACGTCCATCACTCTGAGACGCGCGGGGAACTTTCCCCAAAGCGGTGTGTATTTAGGGCCGATGATAAGGGCGTGGCGATTCACGTGACAATATAAGGATAAGGTCCAGGCATCACTCTGTCCCGCTCGATGGGTGCGCGAGGTGAGTCCCAAAAACATTTCAAAGGAAAGACACAAGTACAATATTCGAGTTCATTATGCCAGCACCACTTGCGAAAGGTACGGTCCTCTACTTCCCTGGACTTTTACGTCTTCCCGGATCATCCGGGCGGTGTACTCGGCCTTATCAGTTCCCCACTTTGTAGAGGATGAGGCTGACCTTTGATGCAGGACTCATCATTACTGTGTCTGTACTTGTAGCGGCGGGTATTGCGGTGTACGAGTCGCCGCAGTTTCAACAATGGGTGACCACGTCGCGGCGTAAGATTGCCTTAGCTCTGCACAACCTCGGCGATGAGATACAACCTCAAACTACACCATTGAGGGAAGATATTTCTATGACTGAGGAGACTGGTGAAACTGCCGAAGAACGCAGACGGATCGCTCGGGCGGAGATCATGCGACGAGGAGCACTCCTTGAGTCACGACGGAAGCCCAGCCAGCCAGGCCAGCCACATGGTAGCTTTGATGCTCTTGTCGACGACGAGGGCCACCTACGTAAACAAAAAGACCTCGAATATGAGATTCAGTCTACTGACGGGCTTACTGCTAACTCAACGGGAGTTGATCTGGGCACTTCGGAGCCTCTCCGGCGAGGGGGCAAGCAAGTCGAGGCCGAGTCTTCGACTACACTGGCTCGGAATCAGCTGCATGTCGACATTCCCTCGTCCGCTGCCTCGAGCCATCCCTCCGAGTCTATCATCCAGTTTACGCCTAGATCTGAAGCACCTGAGGGGGGCAATCTCTTTGACCCGTATTCTCCTAACTCTCCCTTGTCTGTCTCTGGTTCCAGCCTCACAGAAGATCACCAGCAGATATATTATGCGCATCCTAATGCGCTCAGCGACAGAATCTATGAACGCGATCATCTTGCTGAGCTAGATGGTTTCGGTCACGAGAGTGTTCAGTCTGGCAATGATGTTTCAGCCACCCCTTCTACCAGCGGCAGTTTGAACCATGTCAGAGGATTTGAGGATGAAACATCAGATGGTAGTCTTAGTGATCTTGGAGGGCAATCTGTTGGTGGTGTGGCTACTCCAGCATGGTCTGATGTGGGTAGCGTCATAAGCAACGAGGATGCTGGACATCATCGGTTGCTCTGATGTGGGACTGGTGAACAATGGACACGGATGAATGGATGGACTTTATTGGCTGGGGGTCTTGCTGGTATGGTGCTTGGTGTTTGGCCCTTGGTTTGAGTTTGGCTGCGTACTGCACTAGGGGTTGCTCTGTTTTAATTGAAGTAAGGGATCCATTACCTGCAATACTTTTAATAATACTGCAAAGTGAACTTGGAGGACGGAAGTACCTGCGATATGGCGTCAATAATAATTTACACCTGTGAAAACAGGAAGGTCGAAGGCAGCTGTCGATCTTTGCAGTTCTGACCAATCCCCGTGGTCGCAAACCCCGAAATTTCCCTTGTATGTTCTACACAGGGAAACCCTCTTGAATTGGCATCCGATAATGGTATAAGCATTGTCCTGAAATACAGATTGACGCAATGGCCAAGAGCCAATCGGGAAAGAGGGAGAGTATACAAAGTAGGTGAGGTCCACATATACCTCAACTAGCCTCAACTAGTTGAAGTTACATATGTACATGTATAGCGAAAGCTTCATCGGGATTGGTCGGCTGGAACATCCGGCAGGTCATTTCTTATTACATGTGGAGAAGCTTGGAACCAACCTGGAAAATGCCAGATATAACAACGGTCACCAACCATAAGGCACAGGGAACAATCCACACCATCTATGACGTCGCCGCCACACGGCCCGCGGCCGGGGACTTATTTAGTATACAATGGAATCGTCCCTCTGTTCTAGTTCTTCAAATTTGCTTTTACAATGGCTGCCTTCGTCACACATGAAGTTATGGGCACCGCCCTTCAAACTACCAATAGGTATACAGACTTACAAGCACGAGGGGTCGGTACCTCTGGGATTATCTGGTATAGTATATCTCCTTGTAAATCCTCGTACTGGGAATTCTCTAACTAGTGTTAGTTCGGCACATGATTCAATGGCCAATCGAACAGTTGCCATCAAAAAGATAAAGAATCCCTTTGATAGTTCTTCCCTGATCAAGCGCACGTATCGCGAGGTTCACCTAATGACCAATCTAAAACATGACAATGTACGTGGGCAAAAAGAGACTTATGAATGTGAACTAACCGTCAATAGTTGATCAACATGACAGATATCTTTATCTCACCAGCGGAAGATCTGTACGTGAATCACTCTATTTTTCAAACTCCATTATCCTAAACATTTCGACAGTTATCTTGTAATGGACTGCTGCATGACAGACCTTCATCGGTTAATCCAATCAGCATCCAACCCATTGGAGGGCAAGTTCACCCAGTTCTTCACCTATCAACTGCTGGTATGTTTGCCCAAGTTTTCTCAAAAACGACAGCGTACCTGACTATCTCAGCGAGGATTGAAATACATTCACTCTGCCGGTGTGATCCATCGTGATCTTAAACCTAGCAACATTTTGGTCAATGAAAACTGCGACTTGAAGATTTGTGACTTTGGCCTAGCCCGAGAACAAGACCATCAAATGACTGGCTATGTGGCCACACGCTACTACCGAGCTCCAGAGATCATGCTGACTTGGCAAAGATACGGCTATGCGGTGGACATTTGGAGCTCGGGTTGCATCCTGGCAGAGATGCTCCTAGGGAAGCCCCTCCTACCGGGCAAAGACAATGTGGATCAGTTCAGACTGATCACTGAGATGTTTGGGAAGCCACCCAAGGAGGTTATGGAGACGATTTACAGCGACATTGTATGACTAAATTTCGAACGGCCCCGTGATGCAAGGAAGGAAAGATGCTGAATGCTGACTACAAATTTTAGACGATAAAGTTTGTGAACTCTCTGCCTCAAACGAAACCTCGGTCACTTGAAGCTACTATGGGAGACGTTGACCCGGAAGGTATGTCCATCTAAATCTTCATTACTATCGAGTGCCTCTTGATTTGTCCACCTCTTGATGATACTGACTTTGCTAGCCATTCGTCTCTCGGAGAGAATGCTTGATATAGACCCGCAAAAGAGAATTACCGCGGCGGATGCCCTTACCCATCCATACGTTTCGACCTATCACGACTCTAACGACGAACCCGAGTGTGAGAAACAAATCGATTGGTCTTTGTTGGATTCAGAAATGACTGCAGATGAATGGAAGTGCAAAATGTATGTATCTCCCCAATCATCTCCCCAATCTGCGGCGGATTGATTGCTTATAACTTGAAGGTATTCCGAGATCTTGAATTATCACCATGGTTCTTGCAACTGGGAAGACAATGACCCCAAAGCTCACGAGGGCAGCATTGAGAATTGGCTGCACAAGGAGATGACGGTGGGCACATATTGATACGTTAAGAACCTATCCTTGTATATAACAGCGCGTGAACACATCATTTAAGCATATTCATTTAGCCATCATTTCAAGATTTAATGTGACAATTTGACCGAGAGTTACCTAGGTATTTCGAGATCAAGTCCATATGACTGGCAATAGACCTCGTCTAAGTACTGTGTACTCCATTTAGTATGGGAGTATCACAGTAGTTTGAAGTACTGAGTACCTACTGGCTGGATAACCTGATAAGCGAAATGTGCCTCGGCATTTTCGGCCAGCCCGAAGCGGAGACCTTTCTATTTATCCCCATACTTCTTTCCACTCCTTTTCCATCTTGCTGATTTTATTCCTTTCCCTCCAACCTCTGTACAAGTTGTAAGTTCCTCTCCCAGTGCTTTGTTCATTTGTCTTCATTCTCGGCCATATCTCCGCAGAATGGAAGTTTCCCCCCATTAACACCAAAACTTCCATTACTGGCAACTTGAACAGAGAGAAGCTGCGTACAAGAAGAGCAGAAGACTGACTAAATCACTTTTCAAGTCTCTCTACCTTCATAAATCATGGCCGCAGATCGTCTAAGCTCGCTCCTGAGCCACCTCAAGCCCGGCGCCACCAACGGCCTCGCTGCTATGTAAGTCCTCAGACTAACTCTGTTGTGTTTCATGAGTCTAATAAGCAACCCAGTACACAGAAGAACCCCGACGATGTGGTCATTACCTTAGCAATCCGCACACCGCTGACCAAGGCGCGTAAGGGTGGGTTCAAGGACACAGAATTGGACTATATGGTCTACGCCTTGTTGAAGGAAACTCTGGCCAAGTCACAGATTGACCCTGCTCTGATCGAGGATGTCTGCCTCGGCAACGTATGTTTGATCTTCTTTCCCGCCTCACAATATTCATACGGGCATACTCTAACCCCAAAGACAGGTCAACGAAGTCAAGGCCGCCTACATGATCCGCGCCGCAGCTCTTGCCGCCGGCATCCCCCATACAGCCGGCGCCTCATCAGTGAACCGTTTCTGCTCGTCTGGACTGAAGGCTGTTCAGGATATTGCGAACCAGATCCAACTGGGCGCCATCGACATCGGTATCGCTGTAGGTGCCGAGCTGATGTCCGCCGCTGGCGACCGTCTGGAGAAGCCTTTCAACGAGGAAGTCCTGCGCAACCAGGAGGCTGCTGACTGCATGCAGCCCATGGGCCAGACATCCGAGAACATTGGCAAGGACTTCGATATTTCCCGCGAACAGCAGGATAGATATGCCGCCGAGTCGTTCCGCCGTGCTGAAGCTGCTCAGAACAATGGCTGGCTCGCTGATGAGATTGCACCCATTACTGTCAAGGTCAAGGATCCCAAGACTGGCGAGGTTAAGGAGGTGACTTTGTCCCGTGATGATGGTATTCGCCCCGGTACAACTTTCGAATCGCTTTCCAAGATTCGCCCTGCGTTCCCAGACTTCGGTGACAAGTCCACTGGTGGAAACTCCAGCCAGGTTACCGACGGCGCCGCATCTGTTCTTCTCATGCGCCGCTCCAAGGCTATTGAGCTCAACCAGCCCATCCTCGCCAAATTCTGTGGTGCTACCGTTGCCGGTGTGCCCCCTCGCGTCATGGGTATCGGCCCAACTGCCGCTATCCCCAAGCTGCTGAGCAAGTTCCAGCTCGATAAGAATGATATCGATATCTACGAGATTAACGAGGCTTTCGCCTCTATGGCTGTATACTGTGTTAAGAACCTTGGCCTTGACCACGCCAAGGTCAACCCTCGTGGTGGTGCTATTGCCATTGGCCACCCGCTCGGTGCGACAGGTGCACGCCAGATTGCGACCATCCTCAGCGAGGCTCGCCGGACAAAGAGCAAGATTTTGGTCACTTCAATGTGTATCGGAACTGGACAGGGTATGGCTGGTCTCTTTGTCAACGAGCAGTTGTAAATATTCAGAAATCACAATAATTACGCCACAAAATATACGATTTCCAATGGACACAAATGGAGCAAATACAAACTTGAGAGTATGGTATCAGATACTATGTACATGAATAATTTAAAAGCATGAAATCATAAATCATGAAAAAAGACAATGCACGAAATGAACAGCCATGATATCACTTAGCATCATCTTGCTTCCCGGTCTGACTCTCCCTCTTCATCCTCTCTTCCGCAGCCCGCGCCATGATTTCCCTACGAGAAAGTGTCCCGCCAGAAGCATCCTGGCTTGCAGTCGAGTCGCCCTGTAATCCACCAAGGACAAACTCCCCACCAGTCCACCCACACTCATCAACAAACTCCTCCCCACCCTGCACACTATCCCAATCACCAGGATTATAAAACTCCTGACTAGACAACTGATTTCCACCAGACTTCCAATCAGCCCGGTCAACCTCCTTCTCAATCTGGGATGTCAAATCCCAGAAATCGCGGTCATGAGGCCCGAACACGCAATGCGCAAGCTCGTGACACAAGGTCTTCCGAATAGTACGGTAATCACGGTATCCGTCATAAGCATCCGTTCGCAGACGCAACTCAATCACCTCGCCTTTATTCCGGTTCAGACCTAGCGTCCGCGACTCGCTCGTCGTATGTTCTGCGGGGTTCATTTCCGTCAAGAGCGGGACGGAAAACTTGTGTTTTATCATTGCGGCGCGGATACCTGGATCATCGCGGAGGCGTTTGAGGAAGTCGAGGGAGCGGTCTGGGTTGGGGAGGTAGGATAGTGGGAGGAGACGGTGGAAGGTGTAGTTGTTGCTTGAGGATGAGATTGTGTGGACGCCGCTGCTACGGCTGGAGGACGGTGTCTTTTTGTTCCGTCTAGCTGCACTTAGCGCAGCAGCTCGTGACTCTTGTCGTCGCTGTTCGTTGGCGGCTTGTTCGTGCAGATCGGCGATTGCTTTGGCGGGGGTGCCGAGGAGAGTGATCTTGAACTTTGGGGAGGAGCTTTGGAGGATTGCATCAAGCAGTGTTGGCGGGAATGGTGCTTTCTGCAGTCCTGGTTTTGGGGCTATGAGGAGCTTTTGGTTTTCGATGGGGATGTTTAGGACGCGCTCTATCTCGGAGGAGAGGTCTTGTAATGTCGCCGAGGCAGGGACTTGAATGATGTGCGCGGTGCCATGGTGGTGGACAGTCAGCTCCTTACGGGTGTCCATTATACTGTGCGTTTAGATAGGTGATTGTAAAGGAAGAATTCGCGAGAGGAATCGCGACAAGAAGAATCCGCTTTATGGCCCGAATAGGCAAGGCGCTGGCGAATTCGACTCGGTTCCACGGGGATAGGTTTGTCAGCACGGAGATAAGCACAGCAGCACGTGATAGAGAATTCATGTGATATCATGCCTCAGGCAGAACAACTATAACTGGATACGGAGTAGAGATTGATCATATTCGGCCTCATCGCTTATACTAAACAGAAGTACATTGGGTCATCAGAGTGAATCCTCAACTGCTGGCTTATCACTTGTTAGGTTGATGCCATCTGGGACGCCCTGCATTTCATCATCCTAAAAATACATCAGATTTGTCGAAGGTAGCTCAACTTACGAGACTTGAGTCATTCAAATCAGCCTAGGCCTCACGGTTATAAATATCGTTGTACTTTGACAACGATTGTCGCAGAAGCAGACCCGCTTCGAGGCCTTGGAAGCGTGCAGGATTCAAAGCGTCCAGGAGAGCCTTGTCTTCTGAAGTTGTTGAATGTTCACTATCGCCAAGAATCTCTCTTGCCAAGAGCTTAGCGGTGCCAGCAGCAGTGGTAACCCATATGGCGGCGGCAAGCCACAGATTCTTGACATCAGGAACCCGACCAGCGAAGGGCAAGTTGTCAGGCGTGACAGAAAAGATACCATTGAATGGCTTGTCCGCTACATAAGGCTCTTCTGGGTCTTTGTTCTGTCCCTGGACCAAGAACTCAGACTTGTTCTTCAGATGCGAAGCAGCCTCTGATAGAACTTGATCGAAACTTGATGGCCAAGCTCCAATTGCGCTTTCAGTGGGATCAAGCTGCATCGGGGGGGTGATCATAAGTGCCAAGACCATCTCGGTCTCCATGGTCTCTTGCATAGACATGATGGTCCAGCCAACGAACGAAGGGATATGCGGTACCGACACGTCTAGCCCGAGGCGGAGTAAAGGTGTAGGGATGTGCGACGGGGACAATGGGAATCGGGAGTTGCGTGACAGGGGTTTTATCGCTGGAAATCAGGGAAGATGTCCAAATCCCTGTAGCGAGAATCACAGTACTGCTTTCCGAGTTGATATCTCCACTAGCGGTCTTGATAGTGGCAATCTTTGACGTTTCGTTGTCCTTCTTGGTCACAAAGCCCGTTACTGCGGCTTCCAGGAAGTCAACCCCTCTGGCGCGAGCTTGGTTGACATAGTAGGAAGTAATGACGCCTGCATTTGCGGTTCCATCTGATGCGAAATGCAGACAGTGCTTAATCGAATTGGCGTCGATGAATTCCGGAGCAAGAGAAGCAGCTACCTCTGGGGTGATGAGTTCCGCAGGTAGACCAGCGGCCTGCGCTGTTTTCTGTCGGCGCTCTAAAGCCTCCAACCCAGAAGGCGTAGAGGAAAGTTCCAGGCCACCGACTGTTTCGAAGCCACCTGGAATCGTGAGGTAGTCCTGAACGGTGTCTTTGGCCAACCGGGTCAAGACAGGAGACTCATTGAGCTGGCCAACAAATCCGGGGGCGTGGCCCGTAGAGCCCAATAGTGTTTCTAAGCTCTTGTCGATAAGTATGATATGATTTTCACTTTTGGCCTCGGAAAGATGGAATGCCAGCGCTGCGCCGACAATGCCTCCCCCAACGATAATGATTCGAGAAGATGGATTGGCATTCAATTGCTCAATGTTCAATGTGGAGGGCATCTTGACGTATATCTAGATATTTATAGGGGCTGACAATATATGGTACTGTATGTAACTCTCTGACTAACGACTCAAAAGTTCGATTTGTCTGGTAATTGAGCGGTCATGTGACCTATGTAATATTACCCAGTACAATGTCTGTATTCAATTACTTTCGACACGAGCCCTAACAGCTACTTCCACATCAGCTTTTGAAGTGACCAATTCCTTGTTTATTCTCGAAAGCATTTGTTTTTCTTTCTTTTAACTAGCCAAATGTCTCTATTCTCCTCTGTCAAATTGCGACTTATCCTCAGTTGCCAATGCAAAGGTTGACAATCCCTCGCAGGCCGTTAGGCAGCGTTAAGTATTCGAGACTGCTTTTATCAGCGTACGGTTACTTGATTATTTATGTCCCTGGGTTGACAAAGGCAAAAATACATTTTCTTTAGTTTCGGGAACAATTGCACCCATAGTACGAGCGGAGAACATCTGTGCTCAAACTACCTGTGATCAACTGCGGATTGGCTCGAACAACCCTAAAGCTCAGGGGGAAACCCAATAAATCGACAGTCGAGGATGATGCCAACACCGAGCAGACTGTGTATGAATGACTCCGCGAGTCCGCCACCTAGAGCCACAACAAGTCCAAATGCTTCCTCTCCCGCTTTCTGCCACCCCAAAGTCCTGCACAAACAAGCAATAACAAAGGCCTACCTCAATCTGTGTCTTCGGCAACGGTAGCAGGCCCGCATCCGGCAACTTGTGCACACGAAAATGTAATGAGGCAGATGATGGTGACAGACCTCACACTGCAAATCCCCGCGCTCACGATAAGCCCATTGCGAACTTTTGTTATGCTCGCACCCGTCATCCTCGTGTCGCAGTAGATTATCAACTATCCTGTGAAACACGTCCTGGCGGACTTGAACATCGGCGTTGGCTGGGACTTCTTCGTCTACCGCTTGGTTTGCCACTTCCTCAAGCCTGTCCTCGTGCCAGCGTGGGCAATCGCAAGTCTTCCAGACCAAGCCGCAGACATAGCAAAACTCGCGGCCGCAGCTACTAATCATTAGTTCTTCCATGCACTATAATATACTTGCCGTGGGAGACATCGATTGCTTACCGACAGGTCATATGGTTACAGCCGAGGTGAAGCTCCACCATAGTTCGACAGTTAAAGCATCGTCTCCAATTCTCAGCCTCTGCCATCTCCAGCACAGCATGAAGAGATTCATCCATTGGGCAGTCAACACGGGGGTGGGCAAGGGAACGGCATGGCAGATGAGTCTGTTGGTGACATGCAGGGCAGGTGCCGTGCTCATTCTGGATAGCAAATGGAGGGATGAATTTCGAACATGTTGGGTCAGCACAGTAGAGGCGGTCCACCGCGGACCACTCGAGGCCTCTTTCACTGAAATTTCGAAGCTCCTCGTAGTTCAGAACTCGTAATGCAACACCGGGTGGCACAACATTGCCGCAACAGCGAGGAGGGTAGAGCTCCTCGTCATTCTAGCACCAAGGAACATCTGTCTCGTGCAGTCACGGCAAAACTCGTGGCTGCATGGGTTCTTGAACATGATGGTGCTGACCTTGGTGAAACAGGAAGCACACTCCCTCATGATGCTGGTCCCTCGGGATGGAGGTATGCGCGAAGAGCCTTCCCCGTTATCAGATGCGTTATCACTCAAGTTTATGCGGCCCATGAGGTCCCCCATAACAATGGAAACGGTGTCGTCATCGTCGTCTGTTGATGTGCTCTTGTTTACCGTTGAGGGGTCTGAATTGTCATTGGAGGTCGATGTCCCATTACTCAGGGCGAGAGCAAATTGATGGTCCTCATGAGCAAGTCTTTCCTCGTGTTGATAAGATGCTAGTATCTTTTGATCAGTGGCAATTGCAGTACTCGTGCTAAGTGCCAATATCTCATCATCGATGGAAATTTGCGTGATCCGAATATCCTCTCGCAAACACGCGATGCCAAGCTCAAGATCTGTCTGGTGCCCTGCGGTCTGTTTCCCTTTCTGTCTGTCTTCAAGGTTGTCCAGATCCTCAAGGAGAAGTTGGAGGATCACTCGCTTGTCCTGATCTTGCTCCATCTTGAGAAGACAGGTACTAAGAAGAGATGTCTAGTCAAAAGGGATGAAGGGAAAGAGGGAAAAGGGTTGACGTTGACCAGAGAGAAAGAAAAAGGGATTGATTCTTTAGAGCAATTGTGAGATAGTCTCGCAAGGCACCCAGAGTGTTCAGCACACAACAGTCAAGCAAACCGTGAGGTCTTCTAGTAGCCCACTGGTTCTGATGTGCCATGCAAACCATCATCAAAGCTTGGCTTCTTTAACGCTGTGAATTAATGTCCTTAGCCCCATTATTATCTGGAGCAAGCCATCCATTAGGGAAACAACGCCGTGATAGGGCAGTTTTTACTAAATTGGAGTTTTCTTTGCCTCCTCTCCTATAAGATGATTGTTATACTTACTATGACTCTCATGGTGTTAGTGAAAATGCTGTAGTGAAAAAACCTTGAGTAGGGGCCTAAAGCTTCATAGGTGAGATATTTGAGCCAATTTGCATAAAAGATTATCTGATCCTATATATTTTATTGCGAAATTCCACACGATGCTCAAAACGTCGTGTACTACCTCTAAGTCTCAGCTTCTCTGGGGGCCAAGCTGTATGCTCCGCTCCATCCATATGACAAGGCAGTCTTCAGGTGTAGTCCTCTCCCTTTCTTCAGTATAACGCAGAATACCAAGCATATTATCAAAGGGAGGGGCCATGCTGGGTTTTTAAAGAGGCATGATGAGAGAAGGATTAAAGACAAAGGTATTTGAGTGTATTTTCATCTATTCATAAACAATAAAGGGAACAGGAACGATCTACATCATCACCTTTTGCCATTAGAAACGAAAAAAAAATTGGCCAACGATCAAAGCCGATCGAAATCTTTAGCTCCGTGAAACATCTCTTAAAAAAAGTCCTTTTCGTCATAACGCGGCGATTCACCCCGATCCAAATGTTGGTAGTGGATCATGTTGGATCAGAGTAAAACGCAATTGGAATTGGGGTTTCCAATCCCGATCAGAAAACAAAAAAAAGAAAAAACATCAGTAAATCATGCCAATATCATGGGATGCATTTACTGCTTCTCCTCAGTCTCGCCCTGTGCCTCGCCTTCGGCGGGGGCATCCTTCATCTCGGCGTCACCCTCGGTCTTATTGGCGTTTTCTTCGGCCTTCTTGGCCTCAATCTCGGCGCGTCGCTTGGCGGCGGCCTCCTCGTCAGCCTTGCGGACAGCGTCACGCTCAGCCTCGACCTTCTCCTTGTAGCGCTGGATGATGGGACCAGCGATGAAGCGGATGTCATCCATCTTGGCGACATAGATGGACTTGGTGGCATCCTCGCCATCTTCGTAGAGCCAATCCTGGGACGATGCGTTAGTATGGTTGATCATGATTCTTGACAAATGCTTGTTCGAAACTCACCTCAGTGTCCATGAGCTTGGACTTCAACTTCTCCTTCTCCTCCTCGCTGGCGAACTCAGAGTACACACCGTCGATCTTGTCACGGAGCTCGTAGATGGAGGCCTCGAGCTCGTTCTTCTTCTCGTCGGTCTCGGCAACAAGCTTGTCCTCCATGTACATGGCGTTTTCGCGCTCGGTCCAGGCTTCCTTAAGGTCCTGGGGGAAACCGCCGGTGACGGAAACAATGGGGAGATCACCCTTGCGAACCTGCTTCTTAACCTTGCGGGTCTTCTTGGGCTGCTCCTCCTTGGAGTCGGTGTCCATGTCACCCTCCTTCTTCTCCTCCTCGACGGGCTCCTCGACCTCCATATCCTCGACGTAGTATCCAGACTCGACGTTGAGAATTCCGTGCAGGTTAAGACGAGCCTTGAGCTTGCAAATCATGAAGTCGTTGTTGGCATCAGCCTGGACACCCTTGACGGAGAAGCGGCCAATCCAGGGGTTGACCTTGCCGGGCATAGCATCGACATTGGAGTAGCGGGCCTCGAGATCGAAGGGCTGCTTGCGGTAGAAAGTGAGGATCTTGGTGGAAGGCATGACGTTGCCACGGCTGAAGACAGTGAGGCTGGTATCCTCATCGGGGATCTCGGGAGACTGCTCCCAGGTGAAGTCAATGGGGTAGTTAACAATGTCGTGAACGGCGAAGTCACGGACACGGAAAGCGGGAGAGAGAGTAGCACAGCTGAAAGCGCAACCGCGGGCAATGGCCTCATCCTGGTTCAAGGTGAAGGACAAGTTCTTGCCGAAGAACTTGCTGATGGTTTCCTTGATAGCGGGGACACGGGTGCAGCCACCGACCATCTCGATGTGGTCAATGTCCTCGATCTGGAGCTTGGCCTCGGAGAGGGCCTGCTCCAGAGGAGCGGTCAGGCGGTCAAGGAGAGGCTTGACCATGAGCTCGAGCTCCTCACGCTTCACCATAGCGCGAACATCAGTGTCATCCATAAGAGACTCGACGCTCAAAGGAGCGGCGGCGTTGGCGGACAGGACCTTCTTGAGCTTCTCGGCAGCAACCAAGGTACGGGTCCAGGCCTTGCCGTTGGTGTGGATGTCGACCTTGAACTTCTCCTTGAACTCGACGGCAAGGTGCTCAGTCAGAGCCTTGTCGAAGTTACGGCCACCGAAGTGACGATCGTAGGCGGTAGCCTTAACGTTGAGCTCACCCTTGCGGAACTCAACAATGGAGGCAGTGTAGTCGGAGTAACCGATATCCACGAACATCACACGGCGGGGCTTCTCCTCGGGGCTGGGGAGATCCAATTTGGTGATACCGTAGCCAAGAGCGGTGGCAGTGGTATCGTTGATGAGACGGAGGATGTTGAGACCAGCAATGTCACCGGCGTCAAGCATAGCACGACGCTGCACATCAGTGAACCAAGCGGGAACGCTGACGGTGACATCGGAGACGGGGGCGCGCAATTCCTTGGCAGTGATGTCCTTGATCTTGGAAAGGTAGGAAGCAACCAACTGAGTCGCGGTGAACTTCTCCTTCTTACCGAGGTAGTTGACCTCGACACCGGCCTGGCCATCGACGTCGACCAGATTGCATGTGTTGTATTCCTGCTCGATGGCGACATCGGGATCGTTGAAAGAACGGCCAATCAGGCGCTTGAGGGAGCTGACGGTGTTCTTCAGGTTAGAGATCTCTGCACCCTTGGCGGCTTCACCGAGATTTCGGCTGCGAGGTGTGAATCCAACGACGGAGCTAGAAGAGTTCAAGTCAGTCTTATGTTATCTGGTGGACAGTGAAGGGTGGAACGTACGGGGTCTGACGGTTAGAAACCTCATTGGCAATCTATCATATCGAAAAAAAAAGTAGTTAGCGCAATTGCTCGAACTTGTGAGGTCATTATTCATCTCGAGGGAAGACCGCAAAGTCCGCATCGAGAACATAGGATGATACGTACAATATCAATGCCCTTGTTGCGGGCAACACCAATCTTGGTGCTCTGCGCACCCAAATCAATGCCGACGACACTCATTATGAAAGAAAGTAGGGGAATATGGGAGGTAGGGAGGTGGAGGGAGATGGAAAGTTCAAAGGAAGAAAAGTGAGAGAAGTCGGAGGGGAGAATTTGCACGCCACTCCACTATTATTGGAGGGGCGATGACCAAGTGTCAAGCGGTCTGGCTGATTTTTAGGCGCCAAAGGAATTTCGAACTTGGGGTATTAATTGATAACGTAAAATGTGTCAGAGTGTGCTTTCTTTCTTTTTCTTTTCCTCTTTCCGACTGGTCTATATAGGTTTTCTTACCATTTGGACTATAGTACCTCATCGAACCTTCTGGCGGCTGCTAGACTACCCACCTTCACCGCCTATTCTTGCCTGGCAGAATAAAAATCAATCACCGCCCTATGAGGAATCTATGGTGGATCATTGGCTACATCATATACTTAAGTGTTTGGAATTCACACAAACTATAGAGGTGAGCATTGTTGCCATGCTAGAATAAAGAGAAATTAAGAATAGAATGATCAAAAAAAAACATGCCAAGGTGAATCGACCGCGGACAGGGGAAAAAAAATTAAAAAAAGGAGAAAAAAGGGGAAAAAAAAGAGGAAAAAGGGAAAAGTTGACGTCATGCACTGGTACATATGTTCTTCTTAGACAATAATATCATAAGGTGGGGTCACGGGGTCTTCACGGGGTCTGAAAGTAGCTCGGCGCCATGCCTTGTGGCTCTGAATTCGGAGGTACGTTCTCTAAACGACCAGTCTGGTATGCTCCTGGTGGGTGGGTGAGTCCCAGCTCGGAAATAGGCTGGACTCCAAAGTTGTTCTCCAAATAGTGACTATCGAGGCTCACCGAGCCCGACACCCGACCTTGGCGGGCATAATAAAGTTTCTTTTGGTCTTCTTCACTCATCATGAGGGTTTCCACGTTCTGTGGCGTGTCAATCGAACTAGAGCCGCAATCCGATGATGCGCTGAGCACAGAGTCAGTTGAATGGGAAAAGAGAGCAGGCAATTGGTTCTGGGAATTTGGCGTATTCTCCATTGCGTTGACCATTCGTGTGAGTGCGGGCCCACGGCCGGTTGTGTTGACATAAAATCCATCAAGTAGCTGCTTGGCAGGTGCAAATCGACCCTCTACTTTCTCCGATGGGCGGATGGGGACGGATCTTCGGCGCACAAGGCTGGTGCGGAATGTATTCACGTTGACATTGAACTCATCACCCTGCTCCTTTGCCCGCTCAACCGCTTCTCCCGGCGTAGTATGGTCATCAGCAGTAGCAGCATCGGCCCGTGGTCCACCCCAAGTTCGCTGACCGGCTGTGAAAATACCATAGACCATATAAATCCAGTTGAAGAACGGATTTACAATGAACATAATCGGGTAAAGCCAGGCTTTATAACGTCCGAGACGGAGGCCAAAGTATAGCATGAGTAAATAATTCAAACCCAAGGAGACCCCCATGAATCCCACAGGAAGGTCATCCACCTTCTTCGAGGTTGTAAGCAGCGCGATGATCATGATAAAAAAGAGCAGTGCGGTCGTTCGGATCGTGTTCTGCATGAATCGAACCAGACACAGAAGGGGATACCGTTTCCATAGCCGGGCATCAGTGATCATGCAAACCTCGTTAGTGATGAACCCTAGAAACCATCGGCGGCGTTGCTTCAAGAGAGTACTAAAGGTCTGGACTGCTTCAGTCTTGCAGAAGGCGCTCATACATAGCTGGATCTGATAGCGCTCCGTGGCGCCAATCATGAACAGGTGGGTGAGCCATCGGTCTTCCCCGAGATGACATTTTCCGTAGTCGAAGAGATCGTCACATTGCTCAGCCTTGTCTGAAAAGTAATACTTGGCCATCTTGCGGAAAGCGGAGAAGCGTAAAATGGTTAGGGCTCCGGGGAGGCAAGTCACTGCACCACAGCCAGACTCAACGGACCGTTCAAAAAGCTGCCCATGGACGTATTCCATATCTTGGAGAATTGTCAGCATGCTGTTTTTCTCCGTTGTTGAGGTAATGATGCCCGTCATTGCAAGCATATTATGCTTGCTGCCTGGTTTAAGTTCCATGTCGTACATAAAGTTCTGCAAGCAGACTCGATCAAGAATGCAGTCGGAATCGATGAAAAGTACGAACAAATTATCATGTCTCTTCAGGTATTCAGCATAAACCTTGTCGATCAGCTTGAAAGTATGCTTTTGGCAGTGTCTTTTACCGCCATGTTTGAAGCGCGACACCGTGATGCGCGCACCCTTGTAAACGCAGTCAATACTCTGAGGATAGCTCTCCAGTGAGATCGGAATACCGAGATGGTTGAGAACACGGAGATACGGCTCGTCTACCTTGCCACCGTCGTATGAAAGGAAGACATGGATGCAATTTGCGGGGTAGTCGCAGTCAACCACGGAGTTAATGGCTTTGATCAAGATGCTTGGCTCCTCCTTGTATACTGGCATCACAACCACAGTCTTCGGGGCCGTCCGATCATCAAGCACTCGTTTGATCCTCTTTTTTCTTCCCAATGAGTTGGTGGTGAGTCCGTAAACACAAAATAGCCATGGGCCGATCAGAAGAACAGAAAAGGCCCAGAAGGCGAACACTTGAAACCCATGCACCATTTCGTGTGGTATGTCAACCGTGATCTGTGGCGGCAACGGCAGTGTGACGAGCATGACTGGAAGGAACGCTAGCCTATACATTGTGCTCATCAGTCGATGTCTTTGAATAAGTCTGCTTAGCAATGAGGCCCCAATGTCCCAGAAGCCTACCGTATCACTGTGAACAAGAAAATCATCACCACGGCGAGAACTCTTATACTCCAATGGTCTGCTTTCATCCACACCTTGATCAGACAGTAGATGAAGGCGCTGAGCCAGAGAACCCATTCGAACAAGGCTGCAAGCATCAATGGGCCAACGATTGAGAGATATATTATCTATCAGGATGGTCAGAATGGCATCCCAAGCCCAGAGGGGAAGATCATACATCTTTGGTCAGCCAGGTCTCTCCAACTATCGCATCCCTTTGCGGTAGCGCCATGTTGAATGAGAGGGGTTGCTTTTTAGCCTGCCGAACGTTGAAAACCAACTCTTCAAGTAGACAGTAGAAAGCTATCGGCATTAAATTTCGTTAGCAAAATTGGGGATCTCAAAGTTGAGGGAGGGTCACTTACAACTTGGAACCTGGTGATGTTATGTACTATCTTGGGATGAATGGATTATCCCGATGATAATCGTCCTGGAAAGAATATTCAACTGAAGAAATGTAGAATATTTGATAATAGTGAGCTCTCTGTGACAGGGTGAGTATGAAATATTCCTGGGCAATGAAGGTGAATGGAGTTAAATCGAGAAATCACCTGGTCACAGCCTTTGGGAAGGTGCAATCTGCCTCAGATCCTGAGCCGCACGACGTTCGACGAATAATATGAGTACTACGGGTCTGATGCTGTCCTACTGTCCTCTGAGAGCACTTTGTCTATGATTCTATTCATCTATTGCCATATCAATGCTTTGAATACCATACAATAGACGACAATGTATAGAAAGTTGAATTGCCCAAAATGGAATAGTTCGGATTCGCCCTAACCAATCACAGAGTGGTTTATGCCTCAGGCGCCAATCGAGCTCAAAAAAAATTCCCAGATTCTCCCCGCTGCGAGATATTGTCACAAGCGCAATAGTGTTCTAAATAGCGCATTGATCAATTTATAAAGGTATTATTGTCACATCGTCCCAGGTTATCTACATATCCCATCCGATCTCTTGCTCATTTTCTGTTTCCTCTGACTCATCTCCGTCGCGTCGAATCCTCCTGCTTATCATTTTTTTTCACATCCGAAATAGTCTCCACATACAATTCGCAACAATGGCCGAAGAACAAAAGACCCCCGTTGTCAACACTGAGACTGAGAAGGATGTTCAGAATGTTCTCGCTGAGCTGAAGGAGGAAGCCGCCACTGAGCAGCCCGCTCAGGATGCCGATGAGGCCCGCATTGTCGCCGAAGCTGCTAAGCTCGGAGAGAAGTCTGAGAAGGCCGAGGAGAAGACTACAGAGCCCAAGACTGAGAAGCGCGAGACACGCAGCTTCCAGCGCGATGGCCGTGGCCGTGGCCCTCGCCAGAACAACGCCAAGTTCGATCCCTCCACCCAGGAGGTCACCGACGACCCTGTGCAGATCCGCAAGCAGGTATGACCATTTGGAAAGCTCTTTCCCTAGATCTTAACTAACGCGCACAACACAGGTCGAATTCTACTTCTCCGATTCTAACCTCCCCATGGACAAGTTCCTGCTCTCCAAGGTTGGCGGCAGCGCCAACAACGCCGTGCCCCTTGAGCTCCTTCACTCTTTCAAGCGCATGCGCCGCTTCCAACCCTTCAGTGCCATCGTCGAGGCCCTCAAGACCGCCGAGAACGTTGAGCTGACTGATAACGACACCGCCATCAAGCGCAAGGTCCCTCTCCCCGAGTCCGTGAACGAGCACGATTCCAAGGCCATCAAGGTCTTCGAGGATGCTTCCATGGCCCGCTCCATTTACGCCAAGGGCTTCGGCTTTGGTGAGGAGGAACCCACTACACAGCTCGACATCGAGGCTCTCTTCGCCCCCTACGGTCCCACAAACGCCATCCGCCTGCGCCGCACTCACAACGACAAGACCTTCAAGGGCAGCATCTTTGTCGAGTTCAAGTCTGAGGAGAAGCAGAAGGCATTCCTCGCCCTTGAGAAGAAGCCCCAGTGGAAGGGAAATGATCTTGAGTTCAAGAGCAAGAAGGAGTACTGTGACGAGAAGGTCGAGGAGATCAAGAATGGCAACGTCTACCCCTCCAATGCTCGCAACAGCGGAGGCCGCGGTGGCCGTGGTGGACGTGGCGGTCGTGGTGGTCGCGGTGGTCGTGGTCGTGGTGGTGGCCGTGGCCGTGGCGGCCGTGACCGCAACGACCGTGACGATGGTCGTGACTGGCGCGAACGCCGCACCGAGGACCAGCAGAACGGCTTCCAGGCTCCCCGTGAGGCCCAGAAGGATGCTCGGTAAGTCAAATCAATTTGATTTTTTCTCGGTGATTATATAAGTGCTGACTTCCATTATAGTGGTGTCCCCGTCGTGCAGAGCACCCAGAAGCGCGCTCGTGAGGATGAGGGTGCCAACAGTGGCGATCACCCTGCCAAGAAGGTTGATGCCAAGGAATAAGGTATTTAATTTCGGCGGATTGAATTGTCTTGTCTTTAATTCTTGTTCTCTGATTCGGTCAATCGGCGGGATTGATTCAAAAAGTATTGCGGATTGGAGATCCAGCCTCTGTTTTCCGATTATTTCATAGAGGGTGAACCTTTTCTCGGCGTTATGTCATTTCGTTACGAGCATCTACGGGTTGGCTAGGTAGGCCTCGGTGGCTACGATTGACCGGGGCCTGGGGTTTGATATGTACAAATGAGCCGTTTGAACGGACTGTTCTCAAATTTCCTCCTCTTATGGTAATATCTCCAGGGTTTAGGACTCAGCTTACGTATACTACTTGATATATCAGAAACCTAGAACTCTAGATCATAGGCCAACGTATCATCGCACAGCTCTTCCCGCATTTTATGAACCCTTCAAAAGTGTCAGCAAACCAGCCCACAGTCCTCACTAACCCGGCGAGGGAAACTTACTCTAAATGAGCAGGGTGCACGGCGTAGGTAGCGATATGCTCAGCCATCTCCAAAACAGCAACCAGTCCCATATCGAAGCCCTGGGCACGTGGAATCGAAATCGGCAGCGGAGCACCGCTCTGCAGCGACAGCAGTCCTATTACGAGGTATCTATGAGGCTATGTCTCATACCGAGATTCAGGCTTTCACTTACCAGGAATCTTCCCAACCATTCCCTGACATGTCTCTTTCCAAGTGGCGATCTGAGCGGGGGTGACGCCGGGCTTGAGGCGGAAGAGGACTTGAAGCGTGGTTAATGATCAAGACTCTCGTGTCCTTCCGACAATCTGCGTCGAACTTACCGATATGATAAACTGGCATTTTGGCTGACTCTACGCTGATGAGGCTAGACGTATGTTGTTCAAGTTTAGTCTCAGCGATTGTGTCGTTATAACCGGCGGGGTACCGGTACGGCCATCGGAGGATGTCCGATAGCTTGTATGGGTATTCCTCTGTGCCGGCGATCTCAATGGTGGATTCCACTGCGGGATCTGCTTCCTTGATATGTGTCTATATTTTGCACGCTTCTTTCATTGGAGGTTCTTTGTAATATAAGAGGCTAGGCCACCTTGAATTAACGCAGATATGATTCCCTCTCGCTAATGTATTTTTCACTTTGCCTTGAAAACCTCATATGCCCTATAACAGGCTTACTATCTATATCATTCCTCCTGTATACTCCAGTAGACCTTGCCCTACTTTTGGTCCAAGAAAAATCCTGACCATTCTGTTCCCTATCATTTGTGACCTTTTTCGTTCCCCCTGGAGCCGTGCTGGGTTTCTACATCTGTACATCGCAGTGAGGCGTATTTGAATCTACCCGATGCTGATTTTTTCTTCAACGGCAATTCCATGTGGAGGACCGTGTTTGAACGAGGCCACAGGTCTTACTCCTCCTTTCCTCATACATCTCGCACAATGTGTGAGGTCCACTTCACCAACCGGATCCCGGGGATATTACATACATATGTGTTCCCGCATTGCCAGAAGGAGCTGTTCCCTCACTTGCTTCCGGTGCCAAACAAAATCAACATGGTGAGGTTGTATATGTTACCAAAGGCAAAATTCTGGCCTGTGGTGGAACCGCTGTGCTCGAACGATTACCTTCCGGTGCCGTTATGAAGACCCCCATCCCGAATCCATATTGCCCTCTCGAAGAAGAGGATCATCGTCGAATTATGCGTCATGAAGCCAAGATATACGCAATGATAGGAGAGAATCCATGTGTCCCCAAGATGATCGGCTGGGACCAGGAAACCTACTGTCTCACAATGGGATATCTGGAGAAGGGGAATCTTGAACAATATGTTCAGCAGAACACGCAACATCTAACACCCCGGCTTCAACTTCAATGGAGTAGACAGGCTGCTAAAGCGCTCGGTGTTCTTCACGGGCAACACTTTCCTGACGTCTCTTCCATACTTTGTGGTACCGTTATCATGCAGTGTAGGTATCGACGACTCAAGTCTGCCCACACTGCATATGACGCCCTTGCCGCTGTTGAAAGACGACATTTGAAGATTGTGCCTTTGTGAGTATGATTTCCTATGTTGTATATGTTGGCTGATATAACCAATCCGACTTTGAATGGCGTAGATGTGGATCTCAGGAAGGATTCTTACTCGCTCCGAGCTTCATCCGTCCGGGGGTACGTGTCGTGTGGCTTTGCCAAGGCCTCCACAAACGCCTGGGTTTGGGATGTTAAATTCTACATATCTGTATGGATATGGATGGATCTTCATGGATATTGGACTAAACAAGAAGGAACCGGTCGTGAATAGATTGACTACTTCTGAACTCCAAAGTACTTCCCTCATGTGCTCACTTACTCTGTTAGTCTTGGTGGAAATATCGAGATACTCTCTGCCCTATGAGGATAAACAGACAATGCAGATCTTTTCAGGACATTTTGGCCACACTACCTTGGCACGTGTGGAGCTTCGGAGTCCAAGGTTCTTGGCTTGGAGCCTCCATTCTTTTTCTCGGAGCTGCTTGTTTTTCTCTTTTCTTGCCTGTGTTGTACTGTAAATGGGGAAATCTTGGTTTTATCAATTCGAGTACATTGCATGATTCGATCCATTCCTGTGCTTTTATATACATCATGAAACCTGCCTGGCAGCTGCAAGGGGGTCTCGGCCAACGGCTGCGCAGGAAGCTTGAATCTGCAGCTACTGTCGCCCTCACAATCGCCAGATCCCCCCAGGCCCATCTTGATCGTGGCTGGACAGCCTGTCGCGCATATTTCTTTTCCATCATTTTCATCTCCATCCTACTCTCCAAGGTATTCCATATCTACGTTCATCTCAATTCGCTCACAGTGTTCTCCCTTCTCGCATGGGGCCCCACATTCTTTTTCCTGGATATTATCCTCATTCTGGGCGCACGTGGCCTGGCCCGATCGTACGAATGGCGAACATTCCGGGATATAGCGGCCTTGTGCACTGTGTTATTTAGGTAGGTCCTTGGATTCAACTTGGACAAATAACGGATTGCTAATTATCTCCCAGTGCATATGCCTCGTCGATGATATCCGCCAACTTATCCTATTACATCCACAAGGGCATGGAGATCCATTGGCGTCTATCGAAGGACTTCCATAAGGACAAGCCTTCTGCCATAACCGTTTTGTCAGCCCTGTTCGTTGCTATCCTTCTCGAGATCTCAATTTTGGTCGGCGCATTCTACGCCACACCATATCTATCCCGGGTAACTGGAGCTTTCCTAAGGATTTGGGGTGTAGTCTTGTCCGCAACATATCGTTACTTCCGTCCGAAAAAGGAAGTTCTGCCACATCCAGATACCTACGAACAAATTGCAATCGATGACTTCGATATTGGCGATGACAACAGCGACTCCGTATCGCTGCTAGATGCACCTCAGGACCCGCCTGGGCAGAGGGGTCGAGCATTGTTGAAGCCCGCTATCGTTGTAGCGTGCACCGCAATCTTACTTTTCCTCCGTGTCATTCGTCCCACCGATGTGGTTTACAGTTTCCTATCTGGGTCTCTCCCTCTTGCGCCGTTTGGCGGCCTCAAATTCGGGTCTTCCCAGCGAAGTGTTGCTTCCTTACCGGGCGATTTCAGTTGGCTAGAAGGCAAAACTGCTCTAGACACATTCCCGACATTTGACTGGTTACATACGGGAGATGCGGCAACTGCCTTCCCGGATTGGTCTCCTTTCCGCATCAATCACTTCAACAACACCGAACCCAAGGACTATTTATATGAACACTACAACCCGATGAAAGATCCTTTGCACTTCCCTAACCTCCAGAACGACCTTCTAGAGCCCATTCGCGATGTGCTTCATAGCGGAGACATGAAGATCAAGCATGTTCTGCTTATCAAATTAGAGAGCAATCGGCAAGACGTGTTTCCCTTCCGTTCCGACTCCTACATCATGGAGCATATCAAAAACTCCTATGACGGAAAAATCCCCGACGAGGTTATGACTAAACTCGCCAATCTCACACCTACCGCTGAAAGGTTCACCGGATTCGAGACTGGGTTCAACGAAAACAAGAATCGTCCGACCCCCTATGGTAGCCTTAGCGCGAAGAATGCCTACACATCCGGTACATACACTATGAAGAGTCTTACAGGCACTGTGTGCGGTGTGAGTCCCATTGCTATCCAGGGCAATCTTGAGTACCTGCACGATATTTACCAGCCTTGTCTGCCCCACATATTCGACGCATTAAATCAACAATCAAACATCACGAGTCAGACTGAAGATTGGACCTCTTGGCCATGGCATTCTATGTGGATGCAGTCCCACTATGGCACCTGGGACCACCAGGATGGGCTTACTCCTGCCATGGGATTCAAAGATATTACGACGAAAGAATCAATCAATGAAGACGGTGCTATATATATCCCAGAGGAGCCAGAAGAAGAACAGAAGTATGGTCATCCGGATCACACATTGAAGAACTATATGCGGGATGCATTTGCCGAGGCTAAGGAGAACAACACTCGCCTCTTTATCGCCCATCTAACTCACAATACTCATACTCCTTGGTTCAAGCCCGGCGAGTACGAGGAGTACTTCGGCAACGGCAATGGATGGAACGACCGGCTGAACCGGTACCTAAATACCCTCAAGTATCAGGATGACTGGCTGGCCACTATCCTTGATATTCTTGAAGAGGCTGGAGTGATCGACGAGACTCTGCTTGTTATGGCAGGTGACCAGTAAGTTCTACCACTCTATATCTTATCAACCTTTCCCTAGATTACTTTTGTTGCTTTTTCCCAAAGCGTGAGGAGAAGGCGAGACAGGAAGACAGTCACTAACTCGATTGCAGCGGTCTATCTCTTCCAAATGACGGTGGTATAACGGCCAATCATGACCCCCACGTTGGGAGTTTCCACGTTCCCCTTCTCGTCGCCCATCCCAAGCTACCATCGGTTGAAATCAGCAGCGCCGTCATATCGACTCAACTTCTGCCCAGTATCCTTGATATCCTGATCGAAACATCCTCTATCAACGAGCAGTCAGCGCATATATTGAAGGACCTGCTTCCCCTGTACGAGGGCCAGTCGTTACTACGCTCACTTATTTCCGAGAAGGATAAGAAGCAAGAATGGCATTTCTCCACCATGAATCCTGGAGGAACGTGGATCTCTATGCGAGCAGCTGCGAAGCCGTACCGTCTCGTCGTGCCACTCATCCCAGATGCCCCGTGGCGATTCACCGATGTGGTCGCCGACCCACTCGAGTTCCATCCCGAGGAAGACATGAATATCGTGTCTCTGTATGATGCTGTGCAGACACGATACGGTCCCGAGGCCGCGATGTGGGTTAGCGAGGCTGCCCATATCTCCCAGTGGTGGATTGCGGAGAACCACCGACGCTGGAAGTTCAGTCCCGATGATCCGACGAGCTGAGGTCCCCTTAAGCGCCGTTGTAGATTCAGAAATCTGGTGCTAAACTCTGGCGAGGTACTTCGCCAAATGGGTGAGGTGAATTCAACCAGACACGATACGGAAATTGTACCACCTACACATATACATAATACGGTACCTTCTGCATCCAGCACTATCGGTTCAACATTGCACATAACGAAATTCTTGAGTTGTCCGTTTCCAAGGAAAGGAATCAATTGAGAAGACATTCAAGCCGGTACTACTGATACAATCGCACGGCTTTTTTTTTATTTCGCCGCCTACCATTTCACGATTCATGGTTTACTAGAAACATTGCTAGTTTGTTAGACGCGATCTTGAGTATCGCAGTGCATAGCGACCATTTGGGGGTTTGGTCATTTTGGCTATCGGGATCCATTGCTTGTATATATCGCTGCCTTCAATGTAATTTCTAGCATTTTGAAAGAATACAATTCTTTTATTGACCTCCTTGTGAGAAAATCTTCATCCATACCTATTCCTAACTGCTACTTAATACATACTATACAGCCGTTATAATGTATCGCCGGTCGAAATATCGAATGCCGAATAATGAAGCAGTGTGGACTTTTAATAGTATCATAACAATATGATGTTGCCAAGGTCCCCAGGAATAGATATCTATGTGGCTGCGGTGGGAGTAGTCCAAGCCTATATAGGCTGCACTAATGGGCTGGGTTTCGGGCCCGGATGAGCGCCCACTATGGGCTAATGGGCCTTAAAGTGGGCCCCATACAGTACGAACATGAAAGTTGAACCCCCTTTTGAGTTTTCAAGATTACCCTTCGTTTTACCCCCGCTTCCAAGCCCTATACTTAAGATAATATTTTCTCGATAGGGCCGATCACTAGTGACCTCTCTATATCACGTCTTACAGGTAAAAGCACGCGTTGATTGAGAGATTTTCAGAATCACATAGGTTCACTAGAAAGTGTTAGGATTCCCGCCCAAATCAAAAATATATATCTGAAATCTAAACATTATATTTTATATTTCACAATACCTCGATTACCACCGGTCGGATTTTGTTTAAAATTTTAACATATTCTGATATAGTTCTTGTGAACATATTTTCTAAATTTAAACTATATATGACCAGTGAAAGGCTATACCTATATAATACAGCGATTATAGAGACTGATTTGTCAACCTCAAGATGCGCTTTGCGGAGCGCTAGCTATGGACTCCAAAAATGAAAAAAAAAAAAAAAAAATTAGAACGACGGCTGCATGATTCGAACATGCGCCTCCGAAGAGAATTGATTTCTAGTCAATCGCCTTAGACCACTCGGCCAAACCGCCAATTTGATATGTTTTGTTTTCTATTTATGCGTCATCAGCAAAGACTACTGAAGGCACCAGGGGAGGAGGGCCGTCTTCCAAGTCCTAGCGTACTGTAAAGATGGAGACAAGGCGAGCGAGATGTTAATGAAATGCATGAATCAAGCATCGATGAAAGAGGATGCACGGATCTGCGACCTTGAAACATTACGAGCCCCATTATGAGACATTGCTATGCAAACCTATGACCGAGCAAGTCAAATTTCCATTGACGATGAAATCCCGCCAGAAGGGGTGCTACTAGTACTGCGCGGGTGAATGTATCGCAGTGCGTGCACCATCAAATTCATTTTTCTCGGGGTTCCTCAACATCTTCGCGGTCTTATGAGACGTAGCCTGGTGTCATTCTCATCTAAGTCGGTGCCTAAGATGGCCTGTTTGGGAAGGATAAAAGTTCGAGGCTAGATTGTGACTACACCCTTCAGTTGAAGGTCAAATATGTATATTGCATCTATCGCAGTTGCCTCCAAGACACACCCGTTTGCTGGGAAGCATGCTTCCAGCAAAGATTCGACAGGACTCAAAATATCTAAGTGAGACAAATTTTTGTAGATCCAAAATGAATGAGAGGTGTTGCTAAGCTCCTAAGCACGAACAGATCCATCCTTAGAATCACTTGAAGATCAAAGCAATGTCTGAGGTGACGCTTTCAAAACTCTTACAATTACAATTTAGCTGTGAAAGAAGATCATGTAGTTATAGAGTGAGTATATTATAAAAGACACGGTAAATGCTAAGCTACCTTGTTTGAGTTCTTTTCCTCTTCGGGTCATGTGGAGACCGGGAGATTCTTTGTTCGCACGTCACCTCTCGACTCTTACCATATCGTCCCTCTCCAGCTCTCCAGCTGGCCTGTTTAGTCTGAACTATACTCTACGCTTTTTGGACTTTTGCTTTTTAGTCTTTGCGTCCAGCTCTCAGCTTGGAATTCACAGTCATGTTTAAAAAGAAACCAACGGTAATTGTCCCCACTACCCCTCCAAGCTTTGCTGTTTCTATTGCATGGAAGACTTATGCTAATGTAAAATAGATCAAAAATCTTTCCCCACTGCGGTCTTCTGACCGTAGGAAGATTGCTGATCAAATTCTCAAGGATTACCAGATTCCCGTTCCCTCAACCCCCACCAAAGCAGATTTATCCGCGCCCAGCACAGCATCCGCCCCCGCCTCGAGCCTTACATCGATCCGAAATGCCCTCCTGCCCGAGAACACTCAAACTGCTCGCTTTACAACCACTGCTGGTCCAGACCTTCGCGAGCTTCAAGGGATCGTATATGTTGGCACACACCCTGATGGTGATGAGCGGGTATTGTGGTTCAAGCTGGAACATGGCCCGGGGGCTGACAAACGACTATACCCAACGGTATATACACTATGGCACAACCCGAACCTAGTCCCCTTACTCTACACCCCTGAGTTCGTGATGGGAAAGCTCCATAGTGGAGCTGACTTAATGACACCGGGCCTTGCGAATGAACCTCCCTTCCCGGAAAGGGCGGTCAAGGGTGCCGTTGTTGCGGTCGCGAGTGTAGATAGTCATACAGTGCCTCGATTTGTGGGTATCTGCGAGATTGATGTTTCGGCATTGGGAGAGGTGCAGGGCACGAAGGGTCATGCGGTTCGTGGACTGCATTGGGAGGGCGATGAACTTTGGGCATGGAGCTCTGCGTCATTGCCGGGTCGCCCAGCTCCAGAGTACTTGAAAGGCTGGGATGAAGATGAAACGGAGGGTGCCGAAGAACAACTGGGGGAATTGAAGATCGACGATGATGGGGCTACAAACACCTCGGGGGACATTGAAACATCAAACAATGACCCAGCTACGGTAGAAGAACCCACAGCCGAAGATGAGGCACCAACAACAGAGGGTGAGCCATCTCTTCCCCTCCAATTTACCAGCCAAAAGTTGGATTTTGAGATGAAATCAACCACATACTAACAAGTAACAGAAATTGACGAGGCGTTCGTTAACGCTTTTGTTTACGCCCTCTACAAGCTCAAGCAGGATAACCCATCAGCGACCGACCATGGCCTTCCACTACCGATTACAGCTTCGGCATTGATTGCCAACTTCACTGCTCCTTATCTTCCTGTGTACACCCCCCAACAGGCTCAGCATTACAACATCAAGAAAACTAGCTGGAAAAACGTGAAAAAGTTTATGAAACATCTAGACAAATCAAAGCTCGTCAAAACCAAGGAACGTAATGGTCAAGAGACCGTTATCTTGGATGTGGACTTTGAGGACCATCGGGTACAGCGATTTGTGCCATATAGGCTGCCCTCGCCACGTGCCCTGGAGAACAGCAAGGCGGACGCGCCCGAAGGCAAAAAGTCGGCTGTGACGGATGGCTCCGACCCTTCAGTCGGCCAGACAATCACTGTGCAAAGTCTATATCGGCCGTCAGGAAAGCTGGTGCCGGCCATTTTCCCTGCCCTCCCTGCCAGCGACACAAATAACTTCTACAAATACTCCGATGTATCCCGCCATTTGGATCAATACCTTGAATCCCAAAACCCGCCGATCATCTCAAAGGAGAATCGACGCATCATAACCCTCAATCCATTCCTCGCGAACACTGTCTTCACTTCATCATCAACCGAAGATAAGGGGACACTCGCACGCGGCAAGGTCACGCGTGACGGTCTTTTAAAACGACTCATGGATGATAAGACGCTGCTCTCGCCATTCCATGTAATTTTGAAGACAGGTCAAACTATTGCAGACGTGAAGCCGAAAGCAGGCACCGCACCGAAGGTCACCGTCACCCTGGAGAAGCGAACAGGCTCCAAGACCATTACCAAAGTCATGACTTTGGAGGTCTTCGGCATCATCCCTAGTCTATTGGCACAGGAGCTACAGAAAAAGTGTGCCGGTAGCACTAGTGTGACACAGGCTACTGGTGCTCCCAAGGGAATTATGGAGGTGTTGGTTCAAGGCGACCAGCGAAAAGCCATTGAGACAGCTCTTGTTCGCCGTGGATTAAAGCCACAGATGATCGAGGTTGTGGATAAAACCAAGAAGAAGAAGTGATCGCCACGCGAACATTTTTTTCTGTCTTTTCACCCCCATATAGAGAGCGCTTTCACTGTACAAACGATAAATCAATAACCTGCACCAATATATAAATAAAGATGATCTCATGATGAGATGGATTAGACTACCCTCTCATATGCGTTCCTTAGCCCATCGTCGTAAAACCATTCAGATCTCAAAAACCCCATTCATCCTTCGAACCAACATTTGATTACCCATTCCTCTCTTGCTTCGATTCCTCTTCGTGGGCCTCTCCGGTCCCATTCGACAATTTCAGTCCGCGGCCGCCTTGCCTTCCATTGCCATTCCCGTTCACATGCTCCTCCTGTGTACCTGTATCATTGATATTACCAGTATCAATAGCCTCCCAGATATCATCTTGAAACAAGTACTGCATCAAAGCCTCATTCGCGCGACGCATCTCATCCGCCACGGGCGTATCTATTCTGTGCACCAGATCATACGTAACGAAGATCGCTCCGCCGCTCGAGTCTGCCGCGAGTGCCTCTAGCCTCTGACGTTCCTCGTCTGTAAGACGACTCGCGTGGCCAGGATTATCGGTATATATCTGTGTGCGCCGTGTTGCATCTGGGCGGCTGAGATTGTCTTCACGGTGCTGTATGGACTGATGTGTGCTGGAGAAGGGGGGTCCATTGCGTGGTTCTAGGTTAGAGCTATTATTGCTTTCGGCTCTGTTGGTATCGTTATGCTCCCCGAGAGTTTATACAGCGCACGACTTCGATGCGGTACATGTGCCCCCACGATGCATTGTACTCCAGGGCTTTATCGCTATATGATATCTGTACTAACTGTGATTTTTATCCCTGAGTAGCCTTTCAACTATGATTCTCTATGTTAGAGATAGCGAGCGCAAGCAGGTATATAATCAGGGTTGGTCTTAGAAGAACTGTGTCTATCGCAATTTGCAACAGGGCGTTCCAGACTACATCTAAGGACTACAACTGAGAACACTACATTTAAAGTCTGTGATGAGAAAAATAGCCCGAATGATAGTACTTCTTCCTCATACGAAGGCTTCAAAGAAGGTAAATCGCTTGAGTTGGATTGGTTAAGAATCTCAGTCAACCCTACCCAGGCTATACATAGAAAAGACCGCTTGATGCTTTTTACCGCCTTTCCAACTCTCTATATACAATACTGAGAGATACATTACAATACCGCATGAGCGGTGGATTATGCTCGTTCTCGGCAAATGGACATGAAGTCGGGGGTTTCAACAATAACCCTAATTCGCCGACTTGCCAAGATAGCTCTGCCGATGTAGTTTGATAGCGCTCACGCCTTGCTCTACATCATGATTTATCACAGGAATGCATTTCAATCTTGCATTCGGTCACTTTGAAGCTGACAGAATCTCTTGCTTGCCCTGATTTCATCTTCCATTGATCTGAGGGGCTTTCTATGGGAGAGCAAATTAAAGATGTAAACAAGAACATTCACTTTTATCTACAACATAGAGATATTGAGCAGCCTAGCAATTCCATTCATGAAGGTAAAGTAGAAGAAAAGACCGACGCAGGCCTATCGTCTCCTATGCGCAAAATGCAAGGAGGAGAAAGAATAGAAAAATATCTGTAACACGGTGTTGTCACAAGCAGTCCCAATCGAACAATCAACAGACAACCAGGATGCCAGATCCAGGGTTCAGAGACATTCAATAAGAGAATTCACATCAAGAAGATATACAGACATAGATGTGGAGTAATCCATCTCTATAATTCTAGTGCTCAGAGAAAGCATTTAGTGAGACAGGGCACGTGCGTGCACCTTCTTGTCAGAGACGAGCCACTTCATGGTTGAGCGAATGACCTCGAGGAGCTTCTCGGCGCTCAGGGAGCTGAGGTATGCGGAGATATCGCTGGGGTCCTCGGAGGAAGAGCCGGATCCGGAGCCGGCGGGAGTAGTGGGTGCAGCAGTAGGGGCAGCGGTAGCGCTAGGCTCGGAGGCGTCACCACCAGCGGCGGGGACGGAGCTCTGGGCAGACTGGCCGGGGGAGCTCACGGTGACGGAGATGTCGGAGGGGCTGCTGGCAGTCTGTGTGGCAGGCTCGTCAGTAACCTGAGAAGCAGAAGAAGTAGCAGTGGTAGTGGCAATCTCGGTCACGACAGGAGCCTCGGTAGAGGTTGAGACAGCAGACGTGGGGGCAGATGAAGGAGTGGATGAGGGGGTAGGGGTGCCGGTGGGGCTGCGGGTGGGACGGCGGGTGAAGTGCGGGTGCGAGAACGAAGAGGAGCTCTGAACAGGGGCACTCACGGTTGAGGCAGTGGTAGTGGGCGCGGTAGTGGTGGCTGCGGCTGTGGTTGTGGCAGCGGGCGCAGTGGTCGAGGAGCCAGATGAAGCGCCAGTGTACAGAGCGGGACCGGGAATCTTGTAGGAGTCCATGGAGGTGTAGATGTTGACTAGAATGCCAGGATCGGCAGCCTTGTAGAGCTCTGTGCCGAGGACGCCCTTAGGAGAGTCGCTGCCGCCGCCGGTAACCTTCAGGTTGAGACACTGGGGGTAGTTTTGAGCACCGTTGGTCTCACCGGCAGAGTGCAGGGCAATAATTTCATGGCGGAGAACGTAGTTGCCAGAGGCAATGGCACTGGGAATAGTCACAGTGCGGCTGTTGTTGGCGGCAATGAGATCGTCAGATGCCCATTTACCGGGGACGTTACTGCCGTCAATCAAACCAGCTTCATCGATCTTAAAGAACTCGAGGGTGGCCTTGTCAACCTTGGAGCAGTCGCCATTGCAGTTAGCCATGTAGGTGATGACCGGGCCGTGGTGGCTCTCAGGCCACTTAGTCCACTGCAGCTCAACAGAGCCACCGGCCTTGACCTCTGCGGAGATGGCACCAGGCGTGGCCTCCTTGTGGCAAATGATATCGGAGCCAGAGTAGCCAGTGGCATCCACAAAGCCAAGGTCAGTGGCAGTCTCAGACCATCCGAAGTTCTCGGGGACCTCAGCCTGATAGTTGTAGGTATCGACGAGGAAGCCCTTGTGGTAGGTGCCATCAACAACAGCACCCGACACGTAACCGTGACCAGCGACCATGGCGGCCGAGCTAAGCAGAAGACCCGCAATCTTTGACACAGACATCTTGAAGAATTTTTGAGATAAAAACGCACAGCGTAGGATCGAAGGATCGTAGTATCAAAAGGTGAGTAAAAAAGAATGAGAAGGGGACTTCAGTCAATGAAGTCAAACCCAAAAAAAGAGAATGAACGGTACTAGACCTTGAAAGAATGGAATGCAAAGGATGGATGGGAAAGATGAAGTGCTCTTGGAGGCCAGGGCCTTATATATGCAGGTCCTCAGCATCATAGCTCCTTTCGAAACAGAAGCACCACTCTGCCAAGAAATTTCCATCACAGAGGATATCATCAAGTTCAACAGGGTGTTTCTGGCATGGGACAAGGATTCCACTGGTCTGTGAGTGCGCCCATAGGTGGAGAATTGTGAGCGACCGAGACATCTCCATCTAGGAGGTGACAGATAAATGAAGCATGTGGTTTTCAAAGCGCCGGATGTTCCCAAGGCTGCACTAATGAACAAACGTAATTAAGCTATGCCCCGTAAGGACCACGAAGGAGCATCTAGGAGGGGCGTTTGACTGTGTGGCATAGCGTTAGTTGGTGGCTGTCGATCCTCGGCGGTTGTCTGTGACAGCTCAGGTTTCATCGACCCCTTAAATTGACAACTCCGTTCTCGAAAAGGGTTTGCCCTCGGGGAATTCTCGTTGAAATCCGATGCTTAAGGGGTTGGAAGATTCAAGTTTACCCCACTGTGCCATTCTGACCGGTCTCCAGTCGACTCCATAGAGGTGTTCCAAATGCTGGATTGAAACAGAGGACGGAGTACGGAGTATGCTGTAGATCACTGGAAAAAAAAGAACCTCAACTTCAACGACTATCTTTTTTGAATCCAACTGGCTTCATTTGAACCGTTTGTCCCCAAGTAAAACCTCTGCGCTTAGAGAGACTTCTGAAACACACTCCACCGACATCATATCCGACTGCATGATAGCTCCAGAGATCATCCAGGGCTGAAGTCTCGAGCGGTCTAAATTCAGCGCTGTCAGGTCTCCGTAAATTATGTACACTCTAAATTGCCTAAATTGCAACGGCGCTAATATTGCAGGCAAAATTTGAAACTTGACCAAGCAGCAGATCACGTTGAGACCCTTCTGACACCATCGCATCATTATTTTCAATGTCAGAGTGTTTGACCGATTAGCCTCATTGGAGCTTTTTTGTCAATTAATTCAAGTACCAGCCTGACGGTTCGGAAGTTTCGATTGGATCCAGCCAATCTTAGCCGTGCGATTGCCCAGCAACTAGATCTGTTGACTCCGTAGATGCAGGACCATCAGGGCTATCATTCGCCCTAGGCTATCTTTGATTAAATTCATGTGGATAGCCAAATCCATCCCACGGTGTAAAGAGTACACCCGAAGAGAACAGACCATACACTGTCTACGAAAGCTCTGATATATATATATTGTACACCATGTGAGGTGAAGTTCGCGATACAGCATTGCTCGAGGTCCCATGTCATGGCGAGTCCGACGATCATAGCTTGCAGGTGCATCTTAATGCCACTTGCATTGGAGTGTTGATACGACATAACAGTAAGCAGGACATCTACAACTGATAGCTAGGGCTGCACGCCATCAAGGAGCGTTACTCCAAGATAGCGAGGCATGGACACAGCCGCTGGCCAGGGTGTCACAATCTCTGCTTTTGCGAGGCGTAATGACCCGAAGCGTCTGTGTGCGCTTGGCACAAGCTTCTGTGTTATCCTTGTTATGTATGTACAACATCCAGAGTACTTATTTGTCATTCCAGGTAGTCGGTCCCGATGATCAATCCGCTCCCTACTATGAGGGAAGAAAGCCGTCGTCAAGCCAAAGTGGATTGTGTGGTCGGACAAAGACGTCCAAGACTCGAATTATGACTCTGTAGAACAAACCTCAAAAATGATAGTCTTGTCAGACGGGAGAAGCAGGATCAACAGCAAATCAAATTGATGGAAGATACGGGAAGGTGTGAGAGTATGGTGTGTACGGTATTGGTCACCGCCTTCTGCAGCCTGAGGTGTCTATTTTGAACAAAAGTTATACATTGACACCTTTACTACTTGAACATATTTGAAGAGAAAGAAGAAAAGAGATCAAAATCATAATAGGTGATTTCCAAATCAACTTTGACTATATCTGGCATCAACACTTGTATACTTCAGCGTTACAGTCTAAAAGTGAAGTTGATTTGCAATTTGTTGAGGTTCTGCCGTCCTAAATCGGTCACACTTTTCCCGCTCCCCTTTCCAGAATACCCGACAGGCAGTGACTTTCCCCTTCAATCTCACCTTTCGCAGGGCCATGGTATCGGAGACTGGCCCTGGTTTACAACGCGAGACTTGATTGTCATACTTTCTGGATCCCTATCACGTCGTGTCCCTGCCAACGCGTGACTCAACATATTCAATTGTTGTGAAGGTGGCGGTTGACAGTTGAAATCACCTACGATTTACAAGGAACGAAGCATGGGATCAACACAGGCACCTTTCTCGCCCTCATTTTCCGCCCTGGATCCTGTCATTATGGACGACGACATGGAGTCCACCTTCCGTAACGCCAACATGGACTTTTTGGACCCCACAAAACTCGAGATGTCAACCGAAAATGCTGGGGGAGATTTTGACGACCTGTTCGCTCGAGCCACAACTTCCCGTCCGAATGGCGTATCAGAGCCTTCAAAGCCATACCAAGACCAAAACCCCCTGAGGCAGGTGCCGACTCTTACCGCCGATTCACCAGCCGAGTCGCCAGATGATTCGGGTCGCAGTTCTTCCTCCGAATCACCACGGAATCACCTGCGACAAACGTCGGTCGCCTCGACAAACTCAGCAGCGCATAGTGATAATCCCTTGGCTTCTACTAGTTACCAGGCCGAGGACTGGATGCGCCCCGAATTATCGTCAGTCAAGGAGGAATCACCATTCAATATTGACCCTTCTTTTCCTATGGATGGTGGTTTCTCCTTGGATCCGGATCTGGAGGTTAGCAACAAAGCGATGGACGCAGCTTTTGATTTTGAAAGTGCAGCGAGTAGCCCTAGTCCATTGAAACCAGACAATGGGTCACTTCCCAGACCCCAGAAGCGCTCGAAATCCCAGCTCTGGAGTCCTTCGAGCAATCACGCTGCGCTGGCGTCAGTCGATGGTGTGCCTTCTGTGAGTATCTCGAACAGCGCCCTTCTTTTCCGCGCAATGCTAATAAAGCATAGGTCAATGCTCCCGGGTCTCCATTCTTCGCTTTTGGACTCAACGGCCAATCGCCATACTCGAACTCAATGCCCCAAGATATGGATAGAGTAGCCCCGCAATGGGGCGGACATTCTCCTTCGTCCCTTTTGGAAGAAAGTTTCGGAGGTATCAACATGAATCGCCAATCACCACTCCACACCTCGCTATCACCCGCCATGAACTTCGGGTCGCCTGCATCATACCAATTTCCTGTCAACTTCGCTTCTTCTCCAGCGCAGCCTCAAGTGAATGCGCACTCTCTACAGCCTGTCCTCACTGTGCATCCGACCTCCCTAAAATCCCGCGTTGAGACTCAAATTCCGATCCGCTTAACCCTCTCCCCGCTACCCACCGGTGTTAAGAAACTCCGTCTTCCCTCGCACACCATTTCGAAACTCAAATTTCTTGCTCCTCCTGCCACCGAACCTTCCCGTGATACCCTCCAATTGTACACAAGTCTGGTATGCACGAGCGCCATGCAAGACAGAGAAAAGATCAAGCGGGCATTTGCACGAACAAGGGGTGACCACTATCAAGCAACTTCGGATGACGAACGCCCGCTGGACGGGGGTGATGTGAAAATCTGCAGCGGATGTATACAGCGAGAACGGAAACGTGCGTCACGGAAGAAACAAAGGAAGCCCGAGGAAGACGAATTATTTCAAAAGGATGAAGAGAAGCGTGTCATCGTATTCAACACCAGCGAGATCAAGGAATGGACCGAACCATCAAAGAACGCTAGCGGTGGTTATGGTGATAGATTATCGGCCCCACCGGGATCAATGCAAGTGGAACTGCCGATGCGCATTGCATGCTATTGTCGGCATCAAAATGAGAAGCTCGGGTTCCAAGTTATATTCACTGTGAAGGACCACTTGGACAACGTGGTAGCGCAGGCAATCACAAATTCGATTATGATAACCGACGACCACAAAACGCAGGCTCCATCCGCGCCCGCGCCGACTGGCCCTTCGCCATCCCTCGCAGATGGGACACAAGTACCGGGAGTTGGAGTGTTTCCCTCGGGCCAAAACCCCGAGAATGGGCAAAATTCTTTCGGTGCACCTCAGTCGCCGACTGATCTGCAGGGTCTTCAACAAAGGTTCAATTCTCAATATCAGCTTACACCGAGTTCATTTGCGGGTCCAGGCTCAACAAGTGGAGGAAATGTGTCTCAGACGTCCAGAAGCCTCTCTCGAGGAGCATCTCCATCCGATTTCCAAGGGCCACAGAGCAAACGGCGCAAACACAGCAGCTCTGGAAGGCTTCCATCCGAACTGACTATGACAAGACTCGAGACACCTCAGTCATCCGCAGCAGCTATGAACAATGCTGCGCAACTTGCGGCTGCTCGTGGATTCGCTTCACCAACTGAACGCCCATTCGTAAACCCGTCCTCCATGTCTCAATATGGGAATGGCCCGCCCACGCCCAACCAGAACAACGATAACAATCCATTCTTCAACCCGACTCCTGCCCAGCGACAAAGTTTAGACACCCTGGCCGGGGGAGCACTGGCATCCACACCCAACTCTACCCATCCCAGTCGTCCGGGGACACCAGGTGGCTCGAATCGCAATGGCTTCCATGATCCAAGTATTCCCATGGGACTTGGTGCTAATTCATCAAGTCAGGTTTGGCCTCCCCTCAACAGTGCCCCCAATCGATTGCCATCAGTGATTCACAAGTTGGTACCTGCCGAGGGCTCCATCACAGGAGGCACTGAGGTTACGTTGTTAGGCAGCGGGTTTTATCCTGGTATGGAGGTTGTTTTCGGTGATACCTTGGCCACTACAACCACATTCTGGGGTGACAAGTGCCTCAACTGCCTGACCCCTCCTGCTCTCCAGCCGGGATTGGTGTCTGTGGTATTCAAACATGAGCATCCGACGTTCGGTCAAGTCCAGCAGCCTCAGCCAATCATGCCCAAACAGCAGCTGTTCTTCCGCTATGTGGATGACCGTGAGCTTCAAATGTATCGCTTGGCACTGAACATTCTTGGTCAGAAATTGGGCAGCCAAGCGGATGCATTCCACACAGCGCAACAGATCATGGGAAGCGATCCAAACGCGTTCTTCAACATGCAAGCAGACATGCAAAGTAACGGTAACTCCTCCGGGGGTCAGCAACGCCAAGTACCGGGTCTTGAGAACCAGGGCAAACTCGGCGATCTCGACTCGAAGATGCTCACCTACCTGGAATTCATCGACTTGGACAATAGTCCTCGCTCAGCACGGTATAACTCGCGCAGCCCCACCGGCCAGAGTCTTCTCCACTTTGCGGCGTCGTTGGGACTGACAAGATTTGTCGCGGGTCTTTTGGCTCGGGGTGCAAACCCCGATGTGCAAGACAACACGGGCAATGCGCCGATGCATCTAGCCGCACTTCATGGTCATGCCCACATTGTCCACCGCTTGCGTCTGACGGGCGCCAATCCTAACACTCGTAGTGTACGAGGCTTCACTGCCGCAGACCTAGCAACAACGCTTCCCGCCCATCAAGCCGCATTGCTTCCATCTCGCCACTACCGGTCCCGCAGTGTGGGATCCCTCACATCCCGACGCCGACAAAGCAGCTCGGCCTCGCTTAGCTCGATGTGGGAGGTGTCTTCCGCCTCTGGATCTCTTGGTCATGATCTCAACGACTCGGAGGATGTGGATGATGAAGAGGAAACCACCGATGATTCTGAGTCGGAGCCTCTTCAATTTACCTCCTCTCGTCGGTCTAGTATGCACCAAGATATCGGTCCACAAGTCATGGACAATAGCGAACAAACCATCGCAACCGGAAACGCTCAGGGCTTTGCCCCGCCAGCACCTCTTGTCGCGTGGCGTGACCAGCTGGCTCTTCAAATCAATCAATTCCAGCAGAGCGTGGCCAATGCCTTCCCCAACCTCCCGGCCCTCCCCCGATGCCTCCGATGCCCGCAATGCCCGCGATACCTACGATGCCCGCCCTCCAAGACTACCAAGGACAAGGAATGATGCGCCGCATAACCAACCTTGTTCCTCACCGACCTGCGGCTGGGGATGGTTGGTGGGATTACCTGAAGGGCACATCTGCGCCCAATCCCAATCAACCACCTTCATACGATGAGTTGTTCCCGCACCCCGAGGCCACCGATGAATCCGACATGAAGAAGTCCAGTCTGCTCCGTGCCGCAACAGAGGCAGCTATCGACCAACACTTCGAGGCACAGAGTAGCGCTGCTGCTGCTGCCGCCGCCGCCGTTCCGGCTTCGGCTTCAGCTTCAACGTCCCGCATTCAAGTTGAGAAGGAAGATATCAAAGATATCACAATCGGGCGCAATGTCATCTCACGCGAGCAGCAAAAGCACCTCCGAGAGCAACAGGCTCGACGAATGAAGGGTCTAGGCAACGACCGAAACCTATACTTCATTTGGGTAAGTAAACAAACATGTTCACTACCTTCTCGTCTTGTGTCTAGTACACGGCTAACATTGTTTCTATAGATTCCTCTTCTTATTCTCGTTATTTGTGCCTGGGGTCGAAACTACGTTCCCGGGATTTGGCAAGGCGTCACGGACAGCTTTGAATTTGTGAAAGCTCGCTATACACAGCCGGCTGTGGAATTGGGCATTTAGGGCATTTTCTATCTTTCTTTTGTTTTTCTTTCTTCACATATTTCTAAGGCGTTCTTCCTGAGCGAGCGAACCTTTCCTCTTATACGACGGACTAACTATCGGGTTTTTGTCTTTTCCTTATTTGTGTTCATAATGACGCGGCATGACCATCTACATAGAATCCACATGGTTGACTAAAACCGTCCTTGCATCTATGTAAATTTCCAACTTGAACCTTATGACTCTGTTAAGGGCCGGCAGCATCGAAGATCCGCCACCAAGATATGCAGTTTTATCCCTGCGACATGGCTGCACATGCATTGTGTTACTCATTCTGTTAACCTCGTCTTGATAGAGGATTTTTTGAACATCTTAGTCTTCATATGTTTCTCTATAGTCAACTGTAATGGTATCACACATGCGCTAAACTACAATCAAGGATTTATGCTTTTTGCAGAATTCTTCGACGGCTTCAACGAATGCATCAAGAGCTGTGGTAGACATGGCAATATTCAAGGTGATAGTCCCTCGTTTCTGAACCCAGAACCCAGCATTCACCAGTTCTAACCAGAAAAGCTGCTTGAGATCCACCGCCTCAACCGCAGCAACATCATCTTGACAGGTGATCTGCTCCGCGCGAAGCCCTGTCTCAGTGATGTGTACGCACATAAGAGAACCCTGGCCAGTGACGCAGAACTTGGATTCCGCAAAGACCTGTTGCAAGCGCTGGCGCAAGCCATCGCCTAAAGCATTGAGCGACTGAACAACTTCAGCCGTGTACACTTCAGAGAGTCCCGCATACCCGGAGTGCAGCATCAAAGTGTTGTTCTGGAATGTGCCAGAGTGGGCCAAAGCCCCGCGCGTGAGAGGGTTGAAAACATCCATGATATCTCCTCGGCCACCGAATGCACCGAATGGGAGGCCTCCGCCCAGATACTTGCCCAAAGTGATAAGATCAGGCTTGATTTCAAGCATCTCTTTTAGTCCCCCTAGTGCCAACCGGGATGTCATCACCTCATCCAGAATCATTAAGGCGCCTCTTCTCTCACTCTCCTCGCGAACTGTTCGAAGAAACTCCGGGGATGCGGAAATGAACCCACCAGACCCTTGGATCCCCTCTAGAATGACGGCGGCAACATCACTATTTTGGGAAAAAGCTTCCCGAACACCCTCAGAATCATTGTATTGTAGTAGTACCCAGTCCGCCTGGTCGATATTGTTTTCCGCGACGCCAGACCCAAAGGACAGCACACTACCATGATAGGCTCCGCGGAAGACGATGATCTTACGACGGCCGGTGAATTTCCTTGCTGCAGCAAGACAGTGTATGTTTGCTTCTGTTCCGGAGTTTGTGAAACGAACTCGTTCAAGTCCGAATCGTTCACATAGCAACGAAGCATATCGCTGCTCGTAGACATTCGTTGCTCCAAGACTCAACCCGACATTCTGCACGGTCTCTGTCAACACCTTTTGTAGCGTTGGGTTGGAATGTCCATATAGTCCAGCGGACAATTCGCCGACTAGATCATAGTATCTGGAATATAGTGTTAACCCACACGTTCTCGAGGTCCAGATTGACTCCTTTACTTGTTCCCATCCTCGTCCCACAGTTCTGATCCTTTGCCCTTGCGCATAAAGATTGGAAATGGTGCTGTGTGCAGCAGAGTCCGGGTATTCCCTCCTGGTAAGCTATCGAGTGATAGCTTATGCAGGCGTTGCGATTCTGGGTGGAGCTCGATAAATCGAGTCTCGGCATCGTGAAGAGCTGAGTCCATCTTTGATTGGAGAGATGATATATAGTAAAGTACTTGGATGTTCTGGACATCAGTTTATATAGTGGTCAGATCGAGATGAGCGGGGAAATGGGCCTGATGCCCCTCCACGGAATAGATTGTCCGTTCTTCAATTGATACTTGGCATAGCCACTTGCCTGAAGTATACACATTATGGCATTTACTACTCCGTAGTGACAGTTAAGAAAGGGATATAGTACTAGTCCCTTACCATTCCACTAATATCAGGCAGATCTAGATCGGAACATCCCATCCAAGTGATCTACAAAGTGTAAAAACAAGAATGAAAAAAAAAAAAAAGGTTATGGAATGGAGCACCACATAAATATTTGATTGAATTGACTGTGAATAATATAGAAGCATGAGTATGTTCTGTCACCCTCGTATTTATGGTTCACCGTAAGGGGCCCATGCAGTATGTGTATGAAAAATAAGAAATGATCGTCCCTTCGAAAAAAAAGAAAAGAAAGTCACATTTCGCAACATCTCCTGAAAAGGGCCACTGGTTTTTCCTTCTGTTCAAGGATAGGCGGGCCATGTCAGCAATCTCTTCCAACATTGTGCAGATTCTATCTCTCTATGCTGTCCAATGCCTGATACCTGCAACTCTCCTGATCGCAACCACAAAGCAATCTGTTCTTCGGTATCTGTCAATTCCATGCTCTATCTTCATTGCATTTCGAGCTATACCAGTGGCCACAGCGCTGGGCCCGGGATACGTGTGGTGTGAATGTGCTCGCCTTTTTCTGACTATCATCTTCCAATGCCTAAATCTGCTACTCATCGACCCTAAGGACAGTAATGATTTGCCTTCTGGGGGCAGTCAGAGCCTTGTGTCTCGAATTTATGCCGCGACTCGGCTCTTTACTGACCCTCGAGGGATCAACTCTTCCTGGCAAATAAAGAATGCCCCACCACAGCCAAAATATTATCAACGGCGTGATATGAACATACCTCCTCGGGGTCGCTTCTTGATTCGTCAAATCGCCATTATTGTTTGGCAATATCTAGCTTTGGATGTATTTGCTACACTTGCGTTGCAACAAGCCTTGGAGCAAGAGAAGAATGGGATTTTGCCGCCAGTGCCTCAATGGGACATATCATGCGAACAATGGATTGAACGAATTATCTCGAACCTTATGGCTGGATTTGTGGTCAGCCGAATCCTCATCGACTTTCACCATCGTGCCTTTTCGGTAATCCTCGTGGGACTTGGACTGGACTCGCCTGCAAATTGCCCTCCGTTGTATGGAAGAGCACTGGACGCTGATACAGTACGGGGCTTCTGGGGGTAAGCTTGCTCACCGTACATGACTTGGAAAGACACAGTTTTATACTGACAAGAATTCTGTAGGAAATTCTGGCATCAATTGCTACAAAATCCCCTGACCTCTGTCAGTGCCTTCATCACCCAAGACCTATTGGGTCTTAGGCCAAGATCCTTGATGCAGCGGTATATGAATGTTTTTGTTGTTTTCTTCTGCTCGGGTGTGCTGCACCTCATCCTGGATATTGTGCAGGGAATCCCAGCACAGGAATCCGGCGCCATGTTATTTTTCGTCACGGCTCCTCTAGGTCTTATGATCGAAGATGGAATCAAAGCGCTTTGGAAATCCTTTTCGAAGCCTAATCGATCAATCAAGACAACCCCTAAGCCGTTGTGGCAAAGGGTTCTCGGCCTAACATGGTCTATGGCATGGCTTGGTGTCACTTCAACTGGGTTCTTCTACCCACAAGTTGTGAGGCCGAAAAATCAGGCCCTGGTTCCTTTTTCTGTGGCGGATCATATCGGACTGCCTCTAGAGTCAGCGTTTGTTCTGGTCGGTGGTGCTGTGCTAGCAAAGGTGTTTGAGGTAGAAGTATGAGGTCATGGGGTATAGATCCGGGGCCAAGCCGCTGTGCCAGTGCCTACACAGAAGAAATAGGGTTGAGATAGATGTTGAACAAGAATAGGTAGTGGGCCGCTTATACGACTATCTGATGTCTTTGGAGTATTATTTCCAGCTAGTCTTCTCAGATATTCTTCTGAGATGTCATTCAGATATTTCTCTCCCTCACTTCTATATGTAGACTATGGGAAGCTTCGAAGAAAAAAAAAAGCATCAACTGTGTAGCCCATTATAATGAACTGATATTTGATTTTCCTAAATACTTTGACATACCAAAAAATCGCGAAACAAAAAAAAGCCCCGTTATAGATCCAACCCTTAAAGCAGCGAGGGATACGCACTAAAATGGAAAGTGAGGCCGTGCGTGGCGGCTGTTGACAGCATGGTCTCCCTCACCCCGCAACTTTTCCCCTGAACTCCAGGCGCATACAAGCTCCCTATGCACCCTGAATTTTGAGATGCCCTGAAGACAATTGGCTACTTCCCGTATTGCGCCCGCGAAATCATGGACCCTTCGCAGGCTTCGAGCAATGTAACGGGTACGACTACCATGATTTAGACGAATCAAGCTTGCGCTGACCATACAACACAGTCGAATACACAGATCCTTCGGGCTTATTTCCGCTCATTCAGCCCGTGATTGAAGCAAAGCTTCCGCTGAGAAATCTCCACTGGAAATCGCCAACCCGCCCCGTGCGGTCCATCGAGTCACTCCGCATCGGGTTCACACCTGCGCAAGAATCAAACGAACGCAAATCATCGAGCGATACTGTTCATGGCACAGTCACCCATCGCAGGCATCAGATCCCTGGTCTACGGCAGACACCATACCTGAAAGTTTATCTCCTCCGATGCGACGACAACGAGACCTACAAGGCGACGGCCCGACGGAACCTTCGCGAATGGATCAAGGCCAACGCGTCTTCTCAAAGCTCACAATCCGCAACTACTAGTCAGGAAAAGCACGATGCATTCGAATGGCTTATCTTACATGTGGTACCGGATGGTGACGCTGCGGAGAAGGCGGCCACCCCTACCTCAAAATGGGGCCGTGGCTCAACTACGGTGCTGGAAAAAGCAAAGGCTGACTTCAATGGTTCGTCCAAGTCTGCTGTGGATCGTGTGGCCCAATTGCGTCTTCCGAAGCCCGGGACCAAGTCCCTTGAATTGGGCGAGCAATTGGAGGATCTGATTGATAAAATGAAAAACGGCATTCTCGCTTCGTTTGATCTGCGCGTGGCTCAATATGAGGAGGATATAAAGGAGAAAGACTCTCAGCGCAGTTTGCCTGGCTGGAACTTCTGCACGTTCTTCATCCTCAAGGAAGGCCTTGCTAGAGGGTTCGAGAATGTGGGCCTCTTCGAAGATGCTCTGGCCGGATACGATGAGCTAGCTGTTGGCTTGGATGCGGCCATTCGAGACCAGCTCGATGGAAGTGGTGACCAACACAGTGGTGCACTCTCGGTCACTAGTAAAAACTGGGCCGAGATGGCTAAAAGGGCATTGGAGACTGGGACTTCAGATGACAGCGACAGCAATGACGATGACGGGACTCTATTCTCGGAGCTTCAGCCGAGGGATTTCCCATTTAATTCCAACAAGATGTCATACAGGGAGATGATCCTGGCAAGCGATATCTCTATCTTCGATTTCCGCACATACATCTTCTCTCGTCAACTGACTCTGCTACTCCGAGCCGCGAGAGCTCCATCACTGGCCAAGAGCGAATCCGAGGCAGACGCTAATACGTCAAAATCAGGCAAGAAGCCTGAAAATCTCATTCTGCTAGCTGAGATTTGTGGAAGAGCAACGGAATTCATCAGCTTAGCTACACGTACCCTCCGCTACGATCTCGAATGCGGTTTAGCGGAGGTAGTTCATGATAGTAAGGCGGATGTTATCAACAATATCGTCTCCTCGTGGGCATTTTCGGCGGCTTTCCAGATCCTGGGTCAAACCTTTACTCCGACTCTGATGCTCCCCGAATCCTCTCTTCATGCCGTTGCACAATCTAGCGAAGCCGCTGCTATCACAATGACAGATTCTCGTGTCGATCTGCCTCGCCGCTCTAGTTCCCTCATAGGGGGTGCACGACCTGGCCGGCCAGTGACTCAGGATATCTCTGATAGTGTGGGTTTGATGCAGCGGCGGTCAACGATGGAACACCCTAAGCCCGTGCCTGTTCTCCCACAGAAGACTGGCTCTGAACAGCTATCATCGGGGAGAGCCGAATTGCTACTTCTGGCTCGACGGTCCCTCGAGGAGATTGCTCGCAGACGGGGATGGGCTGAGAGCTGGAACAATCTCGGTCTTCTGTTTGATGAGCGCCATCGTTCTGGGGCCAGTGGTCTTACGGAGGTCTCGTTGGACGGCGATGACACTGAAGAGTCAAAGATAGCTTCCAAAGAGAAGCAATCGTCACTTGTAGGCATCAAGCTTTCTGGCCTCAAGGCCGCATTAAAGTCAAAAGATGCCTACCTGTTTCTCTACGAAGATCTCACAGACCGTTTAATCCGCCATCATATGGCAGCTAATCGTGTCAACTCTGTCGAACAGGCCCTGGCTGAAATCGCTATTCTACGATATCGCCGGAAAGACTACGAATCTGCTGCTTCCTATTTCTATCGGATGGCTCCCTTCTACGGCTCTAAGTACTGGATTGTTCTGGAAGGAAGCATGTTGGAACTACATGCGCGATGCTTAAAGGAGCTCAAACGGAACGAGGACTACGTTCGGTTGATGATACGGTTGCTTTCCAAATTTGCTACATATGCGCAGGCGCAATTGTCAGTCAGGCAAAAGTCCGTGGCTGGCTCGATCCCTTCTACTGAGCAGGACATGTTAGAAGAACATGTCCATGATCTGTTCGAGGCGTCTGGTGCTCTCCAAAAGGATACCCCTGTTTCTCTGACAGACTTCTTTGCCGACCTCCGTGTTGACCCGACCATTCGTCTGTATGACAACAGGGATGGATTTCAGATCAAATTGTCTTTGCGATTCCTTTTGGGCCAAAATATCGAGATTGAGAATCTCAAGGTCCGGCTGATCCACGCTAACAGCTCCCAACATTCTGAGCACTGGATTGAGAGCTCAGCCAAATTCGTGGTGAAATCATCATCAACGCAGATTTTGATTGACTCATCGGTAAGTACCCGTATAATTAATTTCGATATCAGTAACTAACTTTATGCAGACCACACTCCAAGGCAAGTACTTCATTGACCGTCTCGAGATGAGGGCCGGCAACCTTGTCTTTAACTTCAACGGCGGGCGAGACTCCACCCTTCCAGCTGGCTTCCGGGAATCGGAAGACTCAGAGGAAATTGACGACCAACCGTACATTTATTGTTACCCGCCGGCCGAAGCTTTCACGGCGAAGATCGTGTCACCACATCTTATTAACCTCCAGGCCATGCGGACCCTGGAGCTTGAACTTGACAGCGGACGAAATGATATCACGACTGGCACGATTCGTGTCCGGCCAGCTACTGCAGGCCTACGACTTCGCCTTGCAGAAACAGAAGTTGTGGATGGCAAGCTCGAGGTGGATGCTAACCACGAGTCGGGCATTATCGAATTCGGGCAATTGCCGGCGCGGTCTTTTGTCCGACTGCGTATTCCATACACTGTGGAAGAGGCGTTTTCGACCCTCTCAGCCCGAGCAGAGATTGGGTATGAGACCGAGCAAGGCCGATTCGCTTCCTCGGCATCATTCAGTGTTGTTTCAACTCTACCTATATCGGTCAACGTGCAAGACATTTTCAAGGATGAATTATTATTCTCACGTTTCACCATCAGCCCGGCCATGCTGATCCCGCTTCGTATCATGAACTGCAGTCTACCAAGTTCAGACGTTTACAACGTGCAGTCCAGTATCATAGGGCCCGTCGCCCTTGATGTCTTCCCCAAGCAGCCAGCATCTCTTCTCTATAAAATTCGCCATAACGAAGGCAACACAGCCGCATCAACGCCGCGTAGCCTTCAGTTGAGTGTTGACTTCACATGTGTCGACGATGAGTGTCTCGATGCAGTCGAAAAACAGTTCGCTGCTTCCATTGACTCCAGTCCATTCCGCCAATACGCAGCACTGCTCACATCGCACATTGTCAACAGTTTCCGCGCACAGCTATCCACAAATGACATGGAAGCGATTGGGCTCATTCGAGAGGTAAACATGCTGCCATATCGGACTGTGCGATGGGACGATCTACTCGGAGCTTTGAAACTACCAGGCGAAGATGTGCGACAATGGCTTAAGGAGTGGCACAAGGTAAGAATGAAATCTAATGTTTTCAGCCAGCTATTTTGCTCACATGCGAAACAGAACAACTCTACCATCCCCCTCCCCGCTCAACCTACCATTATAACCCGCCGCATCATCATCCCCGTCGACGTCCCTGAAATCCAAGTGGTGCACACAGCCGACCTCCAGCTCCAACCAAAACCCACCACTGACTCCGGGCCCTCCACCCACGCCGCCGTCGGCCAGATGATCACCGCCGAGCTATGTCTCCGCCACACACGACGCTGGTGTTCTCCATCGACCCGCGAAAACGCTGACCAACCCCTCGAATGTTCCTACGAGATTCACGCCAATCCAGAACAGTGGCAGATCGGTGGTCGTCGCCGGGGCAACTTCCTCGCACGCGACGGCGAATCCACCCGCTTCACTGTCCTCCTACTCCCCCAGAAACCAGGCCATCTCCTTCTTCCGGGTCTTGAAATCCGTACCTTCTTGCCATCGGCACCTCAACTCCCAACGTCGCCGCCTACGACTGATCCCGCTGGTTCCATGGCGCCGTCTCGTCGCTCGATTCCTTGTGAGGTTGACTACCGTAACCATGGCGAGACAATCCTAGTTCTCCCAGATCTGAAGAAGACTACCGTTAGTCTTAGTGCCGCTGGCGGTAATCATGCTCCCGGTGGGGGATCTTGGCTCGTTGATTCGGAGCGACGGACGGAGGAGGTTTATTAATTTGATAGATCTGGGGTTTGTGTAAGTGATTATATGTATAATGAGTCCGGTATAGGCTCGCTGAGAGAGTTGTATGTAGATCTACGATTCATGAATCCATAATTCTTTTGTGAGCCCTTGAGTTTTCCTAATCCTCTGCATGTTTTACGTACAAAAGTGCCTTACTGGCTTGTGGTCAGATACCAGATTATAATGTTTCGGATGTAAGCCGGAAGACAGATGACTGAAAGTCTTACAGGTTCTAATTACCCTGCCTATCACCCTTTTTACATTTTTCTACATTTCTGAAATATCTCAATATGAAGAATATTGGAATCTGCATCCCAACCATTGAAGGCGGAGTCATCGCCCACCAAGAAATCGGACGAGAAGCAGCGCGCCGGGGCATTGCTTACCCTCAAATTGTCACCCACACACTTGTCTACGAAGAACTGCAACATGCACTCAGGTCGGCCGACAATCAGTCCTTGGCAGAGTTAATAGCTCACTCCATCAACCGCACCGCCAAAGCTGGCGCGGAATTCGCCATCATCAGTGCGAATACTCCGCACATCGTTTTTGACGAGGTCGTGGCGCAGTCAGACATCCCTGTTCTTAGTATCCTCGATTTCGCTACAAATCACTGCAAAAATCAAGGCTATAAGACCGTCGGAGTTCTAGGCACAACCTGGACTGTCAAAAACGGTCTCTATGATGGTCCATTGCAAGACAGGGGCATGACTGCGGTCTATGCGTCTGACACTGACCAGGTCATTATCATGGATGCAATTTTGCATGAGTTGGTCAATGGAACTGTCCTAGAAAATACGAGGCGCGAGTTAGTGCGCATTGCTAAGGAACTTGCTACACGATGTGATGGTATTATCCTTGGATGTACCGAGTTGCCGCTTGTTCTTACAGAACAAAACTGCGGAATCGAGGTTGTCGATACAACACGTCTTCTCTCCCATGCGGCTCTCGATTTTGCGAAGGATTGACGAATCCAGAGTTATGTCTTGAATATCTATGATTTTGGTCACTCAAACTCTTTATGTGAATTATTGCTCTCGTTAAGAATATAATCTAGCCTAGGCCATGTCTATGATCTATCTATGGATTCATTGTCTGTAAAGGAAGTCCATCTAAATCGGCCTCCTTCCCTAAGAGACCCCATTGCACCATTCCCTCACCAACTCCCTCGTATATCCCCCCAGCTACACTTTCCATCCACCAAGCTGCCAGATTAGAGAGAGCAGCACCAAACCGCCCTTCATTGAACTTGCAAACAGCAGCCCCAATATTAACACTTCCTTTCCCCAACCCGTCAGCTGCCTCCAGTGTACTAGCTACAATGCGCTCAGTAATGCGATGTGTCCGCTCATACTCATATAGCTGGTGTACTAGCACTCTTGCATATGGCAGAAGAAACCGCAACAGAATGAACACTTGAACAATCATCGAGGCGAGAATTTTATGCAGGTATGATTTTGGCTGGGGGTTCATCTTATGATTCATCCCATCCATATACCCTGGGGGCGGGCAGTAAGTTGTCAGTCCAGCTTTGACTGGCTCTGGGATATGGCGCTGAAGCATAGACGTTTCGTCATCTGTCAGGTCGGATGGTAAAGCATCGAGAAGATAGACCAAAGCATTCACGTAGAGCGATCGAGCCAGACGGCCATCAGGTTGTGACTGCTGGGCTTCATATCCCGCATTGCGGAGAAGATTGAACGCTTTACAAGTCAGTAAAACCCGTGCAATGAATAGATTGTACATCAATCCCGAGAAAACTCACCAGGTACGACTCGATTCCACCGTAGACCGGTGTCGGACTCGTATTTCGTCGTGGACCCCATGCCCTCTCGGGGGCTATCAGATCTCACGGATCCAGAATCAAACGAATCCAAGTCATCGCTGGCCGTAGACGGCCTTTGGAGCTCGGTTGCTACTGACGTAGAGAATTGATTGTGACATAGGAGATGAGGTTCGGACAAGGAGGCCAGTCCACGGCGCTGATCGCCGTTTGACTCGGCCTTTGGCACGGCTCGGGAAGAATACAGGCGGGGCAGTCGACGCCGAATCGATGCCGGAATGGGGAAAATAGCAAGTCCCGGGTACTCCATTAGCAATGTATTTTGAGTTGAGCTCGACAACTTATTCCATATGTAAACTGTAGTTTGATAAAAATCTCAACGGCAAACAGACTAAAATAGTTCCAAAAAAAAATCTCCGGTTTCACATGTCAATATGCACTTCCAAGATTCTGATATGCTGATAAGAAAATTCGATAAAAACATCTCCGATCTTTGCCGATGGTCGTGGAACTTGCATAAATCTCAAGTTTATCACACTCTAATGCATTCTGAATCCTATATCAATTCCTCTGATAGCTCAGCTGGAAGAGCGCAAGACTGTAATTGTCCGATTCTTCATTGAACCTGTCATCTTGAGGTCCCTGGTTCGATCCCGGGTCAGAGGATTTTTTTGTTCGAATTGAAGTGCCAATGTCCCAGGATGGCGACTTTTTTTACTCTTAGTCATATCCTTGGGCAGCGGTCTATATGAAGGAAAGGGGCGTATACTACATCCCAATAAGAAGAGCAGGCGCGAAAACCACTTTAAAAAAAAAACACCGTACCAAGTAAGAGAAATAGAAGATATCAATATCTCGCACGTCAAGGAGAGGGGATACCCCGAGATCTCCAGGCTGTCTATTTGCGTATTAATGGCATAGCGATATATCGATAACCACAGTAAACGCATTGGTTCCTGTTTCGCGGGAAATTACACTCGGCCTCGGACATAATAGTCTTGAAGTGATGCTCAACATCCTACATCGGTGAAATACGTGCATACATATATATCTAGACCGGACTGATGTAGGATATCTACGGTAGCCACGGGGACCTGCATGGCGCGAAATTGCGCAAGATCACTATCACAGATCAAATATAATCGATTACATTGCGGTCCATGCAGCATATCTTGGGATATAAACCGAGCTCTCTTTAGGAGAGTCGATACAAATCCTCCGATGACCTGTATGTGGACATTGAAAAGACCATTCAAATATCAGGCAGAAGGACTGCTTCCTACCTGCGATTTAAATAGAACTTGACAATTAACACCGTGAGTGGCTTGTTGATACCAAAGATATCAGGTACATTCAACATTGCGCAACTAGCCGATGCCCTACAAGCAATCGTTGGCCATACAATAGGAATGGGAGAAATGTCAGTTCATTTCACAAATGTTGATATAATTTTTTGGCCCGACCCATTCAAAAATCATCCGATACTGTGTATTGCAGGGAGATACCGGAAAGACCACTGTTGCGTGTGGTGTTGTGGGAGATGATGGTGATTCCAGATACGCGTTTTCATAGATCTAGTTAGGACTAGTGCTATATGTCCAACTGGGTTTAGCGCATGTTTGTTCCGACTGCTGCTTACCCAGGAGGGGCCAGAGCGAATGCAAACCATGCAAACTTCCCAGGAGAGAGGTGCCCGAGTGCCTGCTCCCTTTCAGGATGTATATCTTGCCGACGATTGTCTCAGTCTCCCGGGTCATCAGGTGATTGCCCATGAATACCCAACCGAGTGTTTCGGTGCCTGGGATTCCGGGGCGTCAAGTGGCATCCCGGCGCCATAAGCGGGTTCAGGTGGCTAGGGCATGCGATGAATGCCGACTCCGACGCAGAAAATGCGACAGTCAAGTCCCTTGTTCAAACTGTACAAAAATAGGCCAAACATGCAGCAACAGTGGAGTCCCCAAAGCATCTACGCTCACGCAAGCCTCCGAGGAGATTGAGTGGCTGAAGCAGAGAGTCCAGCAGCTAGAGGCGGAACTGGAGCAGCGGTCCCACGAGACCAATAATCTTCCCACCCCAACGAGATCTTCCTCATCGCCACCTCGTGTCTTTTCATCGAGCAACTCTCAAAGCTCTAACCCGACTGATTTGAAAAAATACTGGGGCGGGATACACCTACGCCCTGCGCGATCATCTAATGACACCTGGCTTGGCCCGTCATCACTATACTCTTTCATCCAGCGCCTCAGTGTGTATTTGAGTCTTAATCTTCAGCAGACACAATCACCTAAGAATCTTTTACCTATCTCAGCAAGCGACGACAAATTGCTGGACAGACCAGAAGGCCCCGACATAGACCCAGCACGTAGGCTGGTCTCAACGGGGAAACTTTCTAATGCCGGGGTCTATCTAAGCCCGATACAAGAAGAGTATTTTATCAACTTCTTCTGGCACACATACCACACCTCATTGTTCCCAATATTGGATGAAACCCAGTTCAAGAAGCATTACCAGTCTCTATGGGTGTCGGGTGGGAAAGAACGAAAACCTTCAGCCCTCGTCGATGTCATGATTGCCATGTGTATGCAATATGGTATTTCAGCTCTACGCTCAGATACCCAAGGTTTCCTTGTAGAAGGCAAGGACGCTTTGGTTGCTGGTCGATGGCACTTTTGGCGTGCGCAGACGCTGCTCACATACGAGCTCGAAAGTCCCTACCTTTCAACACTGCAATGCCATTTACTCTGCGCAGTCTATCTTTGCGGCGGCTCTTTTCACAATATGTTGGACAATTCAATCGGCCAAGCTGTCCGCACCGCTTACGCTTTGGGACTCCATTTGGACCCCTCGTCGAGCATGCCTGAGCCAGACCGCGAAATGCGGAGACGCTTATGGTGGGCGGTCTATCTTATGGATAGCAAAGTCGGAATGAAGCTCGGTCGTCCTTTCTTGCTACGTGACTCTCATGTCATGCCTTGTCTACCTAGTGACAGCTTGGAGGCTGCACGAATGTCGGGATCTGCCTTTGCACCTATTGGCAACAATTCCACCTGGCTGAGCTATAACCTCTACCAGACGGAGCTATACATCAAAGTGCGAGCTGCCTACACGAGCTTCTATGATCGGGAACTTCATTTGCGGGGTGGCCAGACGATATGGGATGATCGTCATGCCCTCGAAGCCAGCGCGGAGGTTCTGTTTCCACATATACAGATCCTTGAAGAATGGCGCAACACCGTACCAGAATCTCTAAAGTTGAAGCGTCAGAATAATGGCCGTCCTCTTTCGACGGATGGCACACCCCTGTTAGTCGAGCAGTTCGCTCCACTCTGGCTCCAGCAGCAGCGCGTTCTTCTCGAACATTTATACCACCATCTCAGCGTCAATCTATACAGGCCACTGATCTCGTTATCCTCCAAGCCGTTGCCAGGGTCTCGAGCGGAGGAGATTGCTATGCGCTGTGCTTCCCATGGTATCATGCTATCAAAGATTACGCAACAAGTTCTTAAAGAAACTTCTATTCTTGATGGGTGGCATGAGGCCTTCCACTGCCAATGGAATGCAGCTATGACATTGATTGGCTTTGTCATGGTGTATCCAGATGCACCATTGGCAACCGAAGCCAGAAATGCAATCAACCTTGCAGTCGATGTGTTTGATAACTTCGGTACCAAGTTCTCTGTTGCGGCTAATGCGGCCAAAATTATGCGAGATCTATGCGCCAAGGTTGATTTCCTGGCAAAGCATAACCAGTCCCAAGGTGGTCCTTCAAATGATGTCCAGACTATCCCCATGAATGATTCTATGACTATACCGCAAGGTCTCTCGTTAGATGCTTCCTCGAGCTCATCAATAAGAGATTGGAGCTCATACACAAACGTTCTTGAACCAGATTTGAGTTTGTTTGACATGGCCGTTGATGTGGATTTCTGGAACAATCTGGACGCACTCTGGCCAGAAGCTGACAACTTGTTTCAATTCCAATCCGAAATCTGAGAATTTGACTCTATACTTAGAAAGAAGATCAATTCTCAAAGACAAATCATGAAAATGAAAGTTCCAAGGTTGAAACCATCGAGGTCCGGAGTTGCGGAGTCTCAAGATTGGGTGGCCACGTAGCTCTAGGTACAAGAATGTGGAGCTCTATTGAAGTCCAATGAACTCATACACTAACTGGCTTTTCACGAATTGTTCAGCGTTGAAGCAGCCATCACGGACGGAGTCGCGGAGTGCTGAGGGTGGAGTTGCGGAGTTGCGGAGTTCATGCGCACGGACCGGGCTATACAACACCCCAATGTGATAAAGTCGACGGATATAAATACCAGTGTATCTGCCAGTTCAATAAATATCATTCTCAGCATCAATCCAAAGCAATCCAAACAATTCAACTTTCATCCCAACTCAGAATCTAGCCAAAATGACTCCTCCTCGCAAAGCCCTCATCGCCATCACCTCGGCCAAAGCCTCTTTGAACAAAGAAACAACAGGCCTCTTCATCACTGAAGCCCTACACCCCTACAATGTCCTCATAGCTGCCGGCTTCGAAGTTGACCTCGCCTCCGAAACAGGCACCTATACCCCCGACTGGCTCTCCCAGACACCTGACTTTCTCAACGGCGACGACCTGACAGTCTGGAACGACGTCAACAGCGACTTCCGCAAAAAGCTGGACAATATGCCCAAAGCCGCCGACCTGGACGCATCGCAGTACGGCGTTTTCTATGCGTCCGCTGGTCACGCGGCTTTGATTGATTACCCGACTGCGACCTCGCTGCAGCAGGTCGCTGAGCAGGTTTGGGCTAGTGGTGGTGTTGTTGCTTCTGTTTGTCATGGTCCGGCTATCTTTGCCAATATGCTTGATCGTGATACTGGAAAGCCTCTTATTCAGGGTCGTCGTCTTACTGGGTTTACTACCGAGGCTGAGAATACCATGGGTATTATTGGTGTTCTGAAGAGTTGGAATGTTGAGCTTTGTGAGGAAACAGCTGCTCGTCTTGGTGCTAAGTGTGAGTTTTTCTCTCTGTATTGGATAATCTTCGAATGTTTGCTGACTTTTTTTTTTTTTCTTGATAGATGAGCGCTCCGCTGGTATTTGGGATGATTTCCATGTTGTTGATGGTCGTCTTGTTACTGGTCAGAACCCTGCTAGTGCAACTTCTACCGCTAAGGCCGCCGTCGAGGTCTTCGATAAGCTTTAGACAAGTGATTAATATAGCTTTAAAATCTTATGAAGATGTTTTTTATGCCATAAATGTTGTTCACTTTGTTTGATGTGTCAGTTATCTTCTTTATGAAACCAATGTCCGCAGATAAATAGCTTTGACTAGATGTATCATCGGACCCCTTAGTAAACCAGACACTAATCTATGCAGACTGACGGCAATGGCGATTCATTAGCCATTAAATAATCCACATTGTCTACTGTGGCCCCCTCCAAACATTTGAAACAAATGTTGCCAGCCCCAAACAATCCAATACTATGTCCCTGACCTCTTTGCGATAGAATGCTAACAGCTGCGAGCCGGGCAGCCCAATTGCCATGAGCCCGGAAGATTCCAACACCTTCAGGGGTATCGAGCAGCTCATCCCAGTTGTCGATAGAAGTATAGTCATAGTCTAGGTCGTGATCCTCGCGTTCATGTTGGTCGCATTCCTTGATAATGCGAGATAGCATTTCGAAGTCGATACAAAGTATGTCTAGGTCCGCAACCCACTTCCCCCTATCCAAGACAGAGATAACAGCTTCAACGACAAAAACACCTTGATCAATCGTTCGATCACCGCCGGCTTCCAGGGGGAGCCGCCAGTCCGTGAAGGAAAGATGTAAGGATGTCCCACTGAAATTATTCTCGCGTTGGAAGTCGTAGGAAACATGTGAGATCGCGGTGTGCTCGTTGCTTGGCTGGCGCATTCTTGGCTCCTCTGGTGCAATAAGCACACTGATTCCCGGATGGCCAATGTTTCCAACAATACGCCGCAGTTCGTGTGCTTCTGGCTGCTCAAATGGATCGACCAGGACGACGGCAGCAACATACAAAGAATCCTCTGAACACAAAGCTAGAGCTGAATTTAGATCCTCTGGATCTAGCTCAACATGCCCAGACTCAAATCTGGCCACGCATGAAAAGGCCTGTTGGCGATTCAATGGTACTGTTAGCATAGGCGGGATCTTAGCGACCGAGTTTGTGTGTTCTTTGCCAAGCTGTAACTGCTCACAAATTGGTCTAGGCACCCATTTACTCCGAGAAAGAGGCTTGGTTAAAGATGCTCCCAGAGAAATTGTAGCATCTTCTAAGTGGTCATATACAATTGAGGCAAGCTCAAGAGTAAACAGAGTTTTACAGAACTCGATTGGCAGCGATGGTTGTCCTGTCAAGTAAATACCCGGAGTATTCTGCTCAAACCATCTGTCACGCTCGCTGGATACTTTCTTCATTTCATTGATATCGTCGTCCGCCCTCCTTGTGACAAAGCTGAGATAGTCGGACAGCATCTCTGGATTCAAACGGTAATCTTTCAGGGGACTCCCGGGTGGTATCGTCCGTGGGATTTTCGTACAAATATCACGCACACGGCGGACTTTTCCCTTGAAGTCATCGTCTGTTGCACGCACATAAAGTGCAAGTCTCCAATCTCCAAAGATAGTTCCGAATCTAGACTGTGAACGATGGTTGTGTACCGTTTCCCACTCAAAGCACGTGCAGGGTTCATTAATAGATGTCTCGCATGAAGAAGATGGAGTTTTCCTCCCCGGCGAATACATTTTTGGAACGATGGGCCATGTGAAGACAGTATCATTCAGAATGGTATCAGCAGACGTAATCTGCATGAAAGAGCGTGATTCACTTCTCTGATTGATACATTCCGATCTGAACCAGTCAAATTTTGGGTTATTCTCGGCATCACTGAGAAATTGTTAGCCTCGTTACGGTCACTTTTCCCATCAGTGATGTTATACCAGGAAAAAAGCCATCTTGCATGGACGGGTTCACACAAAGGCTCACCGTTGGCATTCCTTTTTTTTGTCTGACGCATGTGAGGAATCGCTGTTGTCACCTGTAAAGTAGTGACCCTCGTAGTAGTCTTGTGGTCAAAGCCTTCAAGAACATGGCAGATGAGTGTGTCCTCCGCGCGGAGTCCCAGGTCCTTTGCCATTCCTCTTAAAAGAGCAATTCCACAATCAATGTCATTGTTTTGAGAAAGCGCTACCAGTCTGATTGGACTACACAATCCAAAGAAAGGCAGCAAAACCTCTCCCGGGGCAACTGAAAACAAATCACCCCGTTGCCTTCCAAAACGAAGGATCGAAATGTTTTTTTCCTTGTGCTGCGGATTGGTATCAAGAATCTTTTGTGCAGCCTTAGCTAGGACTTTCAGCCATAAGAATCGTGGCTTCGTATCTGCTGTTTGAGCTGATTTACTGATCATGTTCCATAAGTCCACCATCCATTGTGCGGCATCATTGGGGCGACGCTTGGCGACGCCCCATTTTTTGAAGATATGACCCAGCACAGCGATTGAAAACTCTTCAAACGAAACTCTCGATGAGTTTGAATTACTTTGGACCACCACAGGGTCACCATAGTACCGTAAATGTGAAAATGTCAAAGACCATTGAATCCCCTTTCCCTCTAGGTTGTGGGCAATCTGTCTCTCCTGGCCAAGCGTGCATCTGCCCCCTGCCGGGAACAACCTATCACGGAACTTAACATGCTTCGGGGCTCCATCTCCTAGTACAATCAGATCCGGAAAGAGATACCAGGATCGAAACGCCAGGAGAAGTAGCCCACTGGACGCATCGACAGGAGTTCCGGAAAGCAGAGCCTCTAGATTAACTAGAGCCTCTTTCCAGACAAACATTACACTGGCATAGGTGGATCCCGAGGATCTGATTGGATAAGGAAGATTTTTAGCAATCAACATAAGTTGATCAGACTCTCTTTGCTTCGCTTGATTCGCACTCCGTATAAAGGAGCGGGCACTATTGTCCCAAATAGCCAAATCCTCTCGTGAGATGTGCTGCTTTGCACAGAACACGGATGACTGTGAAACGATATGATTGTTGGCGAGCTTGGACAAAATCTCCTGCTGTCGTTGCTTCACGAGCTCGACCCATAGTGCAGTTGCCTCTTTGGGATCCCAGGCCTGAGCTAACAGGCATGATAGTAAGTATACACCAATTGCGGGGATTCCGGACGTTGCGGCAGCCCAAAGAGTTGTCCCATCAGCCCCAACAAAAGGACGAAAGCAACCATCAGCAGCAGTCCCTGCAGGATTGATCTTTGGATCCTGCACAATCTCCGAAACCCTTTGACCAAAGGCTTCGACTAGTCTGGGGAACGACGGAAGAACGTCCTCGAAGAGGGCTCCCAACCTACGGGCCGTTTGGTGTGGCTTGCCTTCCTCGGCATCCTGACGACGAGCTTTCGCGATGGCAGATCCGAGTGGCCTGAATTCTTTTGGCGCTTCAATTTGAAATAATGAAAAATCAAAATTGATTGTTGCAAGTGACAAATTGTTCTCGTTGGAAGCAGGAAAGATCGAGTTGACAATTCGACTAATGTTTGACATGATAGTTGTGTGAAACTACTGAACGGAATGACAGGGAAGAAACTGCGAAAGACCTGCATGTCATCCACCGACTTACTGGGCTCCTCCCTTCCCCTCCCCTTAATTACTATACATCATACATACGACGTACTTCAATGCTGTCGCAGATGATGAGTTGGCACCAATGTGGATACGGACAGCTGGCCATGTACCAATCAAATTTCCATAGGTGGAGCTGAAGGGTCTGAGGCTGCGCCCCACGATCAGCGATCATCATGTCACTGTCGGAATTCTAGATAGCAGGGCAATCAAATTCAGCAAACACGAGGTTTGCGGGCCTCATGATTAGATTGGGCACCTATGCAGCTGGAATCACACTAGAACTTGACAAAGCCACTCGAGACGAATGACTGTATCTCTGGGCTTTAAGACCTAATAGTATTAGATTTAACGTGATTTGTCCCTTAGGTTCTAAAGGTCTTTCAAATACCTATCCGAGAGCGAATCCGTATTGATTTTAGCCGCGAAAAAGTGGTGGACTGTTTAATAGATTCTGAAAAAGCACATTTTCTAGCTGACATAGACGGTAAGCTCTAGATTTGTGTGTTTTGTTAAGTTAATCTTTTCCTAAGACTTTCGCTCTGGATAAGTAATTAGGGGAAGACCTACTCCCCCTTGAGTACCGTGGTATGATTCCAATTTTACCCACTTAACTTGAAAGGACTTTCTGTAGCAAGACGATGGTTTCTGCACGGTAGCAGTCAGTATTGTAGGTAAAGCTACTCCTTTCTTAGAGAACTTTTTACTGACAGATTTTGCCCAATGCATATCAAAGATCTGAATACATCAAATGTGGCCCAGATATGATCACTCATAACGAGCATCTGTTGGATACCAGAGGATACAAGGTGGCAGACTTTTTTTTTCTTCACTTCTCTTATGTAACACCAACTTCCTTGACGAAAGTGCTAATAATTATCCATCTAATGTATTCATCTTTTTTTTTATCAATTAGAATCCAAATAGTAGAGTTTGACAATGTCGTAATAGATGTTAGTCATTCCAGCCAAAGTATAGCGATCCTACTTTCTTTCCAGGGACTGGTTGAATATAGAATGCTTAGAGAATGATATGAAGAGATAATGAGCAAGGAAGCCTACATGTCCGACAATGTTGTATATCTAAATGTCTTCCTGTCTTCCTGTCTTCCTGTCTTCCTGTCTTCCTTTAACGAGGATTGATATTTTCTTCGAAGCGTTCTCTGGTAGAACCTGGTTTTATTTAAAATGTTAATTTAGTTGAGGCATTTCTACAAATCTGTTTGAGTGAATCTCAGCCAGGGGTCGGAAGCTATCATAAGTCGGAATGAGCGAAATTGTGCAGCGAAAACCTTGTCATTGATTTGGAAAAAGACTATACTACATGACGTGGCTAAATCTGAAGCTATACGGCTATGTAACCTTAGAAGCTCTGAACCTTAGCCTCCAAAGATGAAAGAGGCTCGGATTGGTCCCAAGGTTTGGGAGACAAGTAATATAGAAATTTATTCCTTATTAGGCGGCGGCAGGGAGAATACGTATCAATGATGGCCATGTATATCTTTCTACTATTTCCAGCCATCCTAATTTATGTTGGCTATTTCTGCTTCCTATCGTACACCAAATTATACCACACAAGAATCGTTTTATTATCTCTGAAATGTCCGGACTACTTGGAAGCCAAGAATCGAAGCCAGTCTCCGACTATCACCCTTCTCCACAATACCGCTTATGCGAGACTGGCCCAGATTTACTCACCTCTGTCATCGAGAATGAGCGTGCTCGCCGGTTAGCAATGGAGAAATGTACGAAGCTAGAGACAGAGCTTGAGAACTTAGCAGACAGTCACCCTATGCACGAAGACGGTGTCCCGCCAATGATAGACTACCTCGAAAGGTTTTTCCTCTTATTGAAAGAGGAAATGGAGATGGTTACACATTTGTCAAATCTTCTAAAAGAACGTATTGAAAATCCCGAAATCTATATCGCTATCGAAAGACTCTCCGACAGTGAGTTCAACCGAGCTTGTGCTTCTTTAAAGCAGGATTCCAACCGTCAGATACGAAAAGAATTAGCCCAGAACTCTCAGGATCACGATGACTACTTTTACTCTTCTGGGTGGCAACTTGAATCCTCTAAGGTGGATTGTATGAATGACAAACTTAGCCAAAGCCCCCCATCCTATGATATGGCGGCCAAGGTTCGGAAAGCTAGTGATATTGCTCCCGCAAAGTCGCTTCGAAGTTTCCGAAAGAAATTTTGGAAGTATCTAGCTCGAGCTTGATGATCAGGAGCAATTTGGTCTAACTAAGAGTGATTGTCATTGGATGAGATTACAGAAAAAGTGCTGTTTATCTTGCTTTAAAGCGTCGTGAAGTATCGATAGGAATGGACTTGATGAAACTCCTAATGCTGTTCAGGTAGGAATACTCCTCTTGCCCTGTTTATAAAGCAGTATATAAACCAGGCACTAAAGCCCTATTTCCTCGAAATGTTACCACCTAGATGCGTCCATTTTATGATATAGTTAATACATTAACATATCCCTTTTAGTGATCATCCTCAGGTTCCATAGCGGAAATATTTCTTTCATTGTTTTTGACCATCGGGAACGTCAAACGATCATAGGATAATGATTCAAATGAAAGAGACATCTAAGAGATGATTGCGAGGGTATTTTTATGAAGGGAGTTTTAACACCTGGCCTCTGTTAGGCCTCGTGTTGGATCAATTAGGGTCTACCATACGATCCAATCTACGCAGGAGTCTACATTGAACAGCAAAATTCAGTCCCAAGATGAAACTGCCCGGCGGCAGTTTATATTCAGACATGGACACCTCCAAAGAGGGCCAACCAAAGAAAGAGAAGAATAAAAACAAAAGAAAACAAAAACAACACAAGAACAAAGATTAAAGACAGAAGACTCGTTTTCTTCCTTCATCTCACCCCACTGAGGTCCTCGGAGAGAAGCAAAAACGGCCAAAAAGCCCAGAGGAACGCCACCAAGAACACCACCACCACCACCACCTCCTCCTCCTCCTCCTCCCCCCCGTTTGATAAAAAGCTCCGTTTTCATTCATCTCACCTCGCTGAGGTTCTCGGAGAGAAGAAAAGGATAAAACAACAGAGGAACGCCTCGAGAAACACCTCCTTCACCACTACCACCACCTCCTCCTCCTCCCCACAGTCTGATAAAAAGCTCCGTTTTCATTCATCTCACCTCGCTGAGGTTCTCGGAGAGAAGAAAAGGATAAAACAACAGAGGAACGCCGTCGCCTCGGCATCAATTTAGCATAACAAGCTCGTCATTTCCACCGGTGGCTGGGCTGTGAAGCCCTCTTTGAACCCGTGGGCGACATTGCGCGTCGCGGCACTGGCGTTGGCCAATCCTGCGGGGGTCACCACCCTCTTCTTCTTCGTCTTTTTCTTGGGTGTGGTGGGGGCCGCGGGAGTCTCGGGGGCCTCGGTGGTCTTGGGGGTCTCGGTGGCCACAGAACGCGGACGGTCGTCGACATCGCCCTTTGCGAGGATGTCCTCGCGGATCCCCTCTTGTGTCTCCTCGGGCCCCCTGGCCACAATGATATCTTGGAGGCTATTTCACGACACATTAGCCTCTGCTCATACATAGGCAAAGATTCGCCAATATCGTTTCCATCAGAATCATGCTTTACCACTTACGGGATACCCTCAGGATCCTCGCCCTTGGAGGCTGACCTCCTCCAGAAAAAGTAGCTGGCGCCAGCAAGGCACCCGGCCGCCACGATGGCCAAAAGGGCCCAAAATCCAGGCGCGGCCACCAACTGTTGGCCTATGGGCCGAGAGGCCCCGGAGGCAGAGGGAGATAGGGGGGGGTTGGGCGGCGGAGGTGGGTATGCTGGGAACGGGAGGCACATTAACAACGACGCTTACAAAAATCGTGACGTTGTTCGCCATTGTTGTGATGTTGTGAATACTGAGTTACGCTGCTGGGGGAAACACGATATACCCTCTATACAACATCGTGCCTGCTTAATCTGTACCAACTACGTCGTAGCTACGTCTATAGCTTCCTATTCTGCAGGAAGGCAGAAGCTTCTCTAGCTGAAAACCTTAAAAGCATTTAGAATAGGCGCTAAGAAGGCAGCCTCAACAAGTGAGAGTTTTCAAAAAGTAAGATGAGTTCGGAAGTAAGCGTGATTAAGAATTAAGAGAAGTCAAAAAGAAGGAGTTGTGGATAAGTGAGTTTAAATCAAGAGGTTGAATAAGGTGAAACAGTGAAACATCCCACTATGATCAAATCGACACAGTAGATTAGGTATGATTTTACAACAATCCTACCTCACCTCGTTCGGAGGCTGTAGTAAAAGCATTGGATTGATATAGTCAATAATGGCTCAGACATTCATCCAAGATCCGATATGGTGTAGTGGCTAACATCGCCGTCTCTCACACGGCAGCCGGGGGTTCGATTCCCCCTATCGGAGTTTCTTTTTTTTAAAAAAAACTTCTGGATCCATCCAGCGTCCCATCATCTGCATAAGCTGGCCTCATGTACAACATCGTTACCAACTTTGGTTGTGTAGTATTCAGATGAAAAAATATCTTCACTACAAGAGTAACAGGATACATAGTAAATAGTACTTGACTAAGTACTATCATTGCTAATGAGATAGAGGCAGACGAATGTAGCGTGGGGACGACTAAGAAGCAAGGACCTGTTGTATGTGTATGTGGGATTGAAGGATTCGTACTTTTGTAAAACTTCAACTGCCTAAGCATTATATATATAGGGCACAATCACATTTTGATCATTCTCACTAGTAAAAAAGAGTATACACGCAAAAAGATATCTCACAAAGATCTCCGATAGGGGGAATCGAACCCCCGGCTGCCGTGTGAGAGACGGCGATGTTAGCCACTACACCATATCGGATGTTGATAGACTATTCTGCAGAATTTGACACTATTACCTTATAACATTTGGCTTTGTTCTTAAAACCTCTTATGTACCGGTAGTTTTCATACATTTATCTGTCCCCCCAAGGCTGAATTCATAAGGTGTTTTTACTATTAATCCAGATAAGACCTCCACAAAGCCCACAAAGCCCAGAGCCCAGCCCAACCCAACCCGCAAATGGGCTAGGCTTTGGGCCCAATTAGAACCAAACGATGTAAATATTTTGAAAGGCTAACTACTCCAACGTATTCGGTAAGCGAGCTGCGCACCCCAAAACACCATAGCGTATTTCACAAGCGAGCCGCCATCACAAGCGAGCCGCCACCCCAACATAACCTAACAATTTTAAATGCATTTATCTCAACCAAAACGCCATTAAATTAAAATTAAAAAAATCATCTATCTAGCTAGGCATCTATTGATTTTATGCCCTATTTCTCCACAACCACTACACTTTGGCGGGGCCCGCGTACGTGGTTGTAAACCCGGCGAAGGGCTTCTTCGTGGAGGGGAGGGAGGTGCTTTATCTGCTTCCACCGGCTCAGTAATCAATTGAGAAGCTTCTTGAACGGACAGGCCTTCTTCGGCGGGTATATGCTTCCGGGATCTAGTACGCTTTTGCTTCTGCTTCTCGTTGACAGCGCGTAATTCCCTATTTTCTTTGGCGAGTAAGATAGCACCTTGCATTGTAAGACGGAAGCCTTTCACAAGCTGGTTTAATGCACGATCTGACGGGCTAGGTGGACTCCGAGATCTTGTACGAAGTAAAGCTTTGATCGATGAAGCCTGTCGACGTAGTTCTTTCTCTGTAAAGGGGGTTTTTAGGGTGAAATTCCGGCTTGATTCACTACCCCGGCTAGGTGGGGGGTCGGGGTTCGAAGCTAAATATCAAGCTTTGAAATCACTCTCTCCGGTGAAAAAGGGACTAAACCAGCTGCTCCGAAGCTATTTTTGATAGTCTCCGATTTAAAAGCTTTAATTCGTGCGAGGGGGTACGCTTCGAGGAAATCAAGTTTATCAATATGATTTATCCTAACCCGCATTTTTGATTCAACTAACCGGCCGTACGCACGTTTTAACACCGCAAAACAGCCGATATCGAGAGGTTATAAAAGGTGAGACGAATAAGGAGGTATACAGATTGGTATCACCTTATTTTCTTCACAGATTTCATCGAACCTCGGGGTTAAATGACTTCCGTGGCCATCGAGTATCAAAAGCCGATACCCCCCCTTTATATATAAAGAAGTAGTAGGAATAAAGAGCTTTTCAAGCCAGCGAAGTCCAATTTCATTAGAGGTCCAGCCGTTAGGACTAACTTCAAAGCGCCAATCCTCCGGGAGGCCGTCAAACCAGGATTTAATAAAGACTTTACCTTTAAAAATCATATATAGAGGAAGAGCCCACCCAGAAGCATTTATACACTCAATCACCGTCACCCACTCACGATTTCCGGGCTATAAAAGAGCTCGCTGACCGTAGAATTCACTTCTCGAAATCACCTTCGCGGTTGCGGTTAATCCCATTGCAAAACCGGTCTCGTCAAAGTTATAAACGTCGTCCGGGTCGATCCCAAATTGTAAGATAGTTTTTTGAACAAGATTAAACCACTCTGTAATAATCTTCGGGTCTTCACATTTCGCACGCTCGTAGTTATACCGTTTCGAAAACCGAGAGGATAGAAGAGGACGTCTTTTCACATAGTTTGTCACCCAGTTTTCGCTGACCAAAAGAACCGGGGTAGTTCCGCGCTTTTTGAGAAGAAGATTCGCCATTTCTCGTACCATAGAAGGCCGGGGGGCGCCTCTACGTCGATCTATAGAGAGAATCCATTTTTCAAGAGATTCTTCTTCTAATTCTGTCAATTTATATGAATTTGCGCGTGTAGTGCTTCGTTCGGTGTGGCCGTTAAGACGATCGCGTAGGGTAGAACGGGGTATATTGAAAGTACGGGCAGCGGCAGCAATGGTACGAATTTCTTGCTTCTTAATAGCCTGGATAGCTAATAAGATCCTACCCTCTTGCTCTATTAAATTTTTAGAGCTTCGGGAGCGAATTGGTGGCATGGTGGGTGATTGAATTGACCAAGTGCTAATTCCTGGACGCGTTTTGGGTGAGGTGGCGGCTCGCTTGTGGTGGCGGCTCGCTTGTGAAATACGTTAGTAAATGCGATAAATTACAACCTGATATCTCAACAACAGTGGCCTATATAGACTTTTCCTTTCAGCCTCGTATCTAATAGGTGATATTCAGCCCATTTAGAGAATTTAGGGGACACTTATCTCTTAATGACTACGATATATATATTTCTAGATTTTTGCAGCGTAACTTTTGGTAATTTTTGAAACGATGGTAATATAGTATCCTAATCTCTTTGAGATTGATACATAATACTCATAAGCCTTATCAATAGCTATCGACAAACGCGGAGATAGAATGAACATACCGTTGTTGAGACATAAATGTGGAATCCAGCGTGTTTACTATGTGTTTTGGGGTGCGCAGCTCGCTTGCATGCGCAGCTCGCTTACCGAATACGTTATATTAAAGCCCCGTAATTAACCCTTGTATCGTAGTAAAATTTTATTATTCTAATCAGCAAGCCATGAATTACTATGTTGATTTTATGTCTTAACTTTAAATTTACGAGAAAACGCGTGATTTGGACTATTTTTTAAATTTAGAGGTTTATTTAGGAAGCAGTGGTACTCTCTAATTCTAAAATATATATTTAATACCAGAATATCAAAATTGAGCATTTTTCGCGATATCTCGACGTTTACTAATTAAAATTTGTTAATAGTTTAGTCTAGTAATATACCCAATCTCTATAGCTATCCTTTACTTTATCTTATAGGTTTTAACCTCTAAAAAGTTATTATTCCACATAAAAATGATGGTTTCCTAGTAAATAGAAAATGATCACACTTCGACATCGATAAATATTCTACTCCATAGCTGGTTCTTATACAACTAACCTCATCTGTCCTCAGATTGTCCTCAGATTGTCCTCAGATTGTCCTCAGATTGTCCTCAGATTGTCCTCAGATTGTCCTTAGATTATCCTTAAATTATCCTCAGATTATCCTTAGATTATCCTTAAATTATCCTCAGATTATCCTTAGATGTCCTCAGATTGTCCTCAGATTATCAAAGTATACCACCTAAGAATCAAGCAAAGGATTGAGATAAGCTATGTAAGAAGGTTCTCCAAAGAGTGACATCCCCCCCCAAAAGAAAACACAATAGTACATAAGAAAAGAAAATAATCTATCATCCGCATAAGGTAGATTCTGCAATGCTAGACCTTTTAGTTTTCTAGGGAGAAAGTGATTTACAGACTTTACAACCAACCAATCTTAATTATTTACGCCCTCTATATCCAACCTCTGGGCTGGCAAAAATGCGCTACTAGTGGAAGGTCTCGGCATTTTACATGAACTCTTAGATGGCATTGGAGATATCACTGATCTCATGCTGGGACTTCTTGGCCTCCAGCAACGCTGCTACCAAATACTTGAAAGGGCGCATGAAAGGTGGGCCCTGATCGGGCAGGGTAGGGAATTGGAAACAGTGGTTTAATGGCAAGGTTACTACCCGCCATCGTTGGTTGAACTCGGAGTCTGACATCGAGGTCTTCGTCCGTAATTCAAACATCCAGGGGTACCAATCCCCACCTGAAACGAATCGTGGAGTAGATCTCAGCCTCAGACTCGGGGAATATGTCCAGCTGGTTGAATCCGAAAAAAGTACCTCCCCAAGCCACCTCTCGTCCATGAGTCCAATCCCATGGACAAGTGGTAGGCCAAAAAGAATGAATGAGACTTCCACTGGATGAGAAAGGATGGATAACGGGCAAGTAAAATATTCACACACCAAGAAAATTTTTATATCTAGCCTTCGAAGATACCTTATCAATTATGATAATTGTATTAGGATAATCAAATATCTAACAGGCTGTTTTTGTTTGTGATCTTGTACAATGTTCCTAACCTAACCTTTGTTTTGTGAAAAATAATTGACTGCTTGAAGCGTTCGCGGCCGGCGCGATTAATATGGTACATCACTAGAATTAGAGATGCCATTGAAAGAGTCCCAAAAGTCAAGGAATGATGTATCATCCAAAAGTGTGTTGAGGGCATCGTCGCTGACCGGGGGAAGTATGGCCGATTCTTCCGGTGTTTCCAGATGTGCAGTAGACGGATCAGATAGGTTAGAATTTCGCATGGTCGAGCCAACCAACAATTGGGGGCATATTTTGTTGATAGCGCCCAGGAAAACGCCTCGATACAAAGCAGCCGCTGCGTACGTATCCTGCAACTCTTCCATGACCATCATACATAGCTCCAAATTGTTGAAGCCTACGCGACGCATAAGAGCATCCGTAGAGTTGCAATTACGGAGGTGGATGTGCATAGCAGGCACTAATAGTGTAGGGCTATATTCGAGGAAAAAGACTGGTTAGCAATTGACATCCAGACTCAGTTACCGACTGGTGTGGTTATGAAGAACTAACGTCATCGGAGCGGCAAAAACCAGAAGTCTTTCTCGTACAAGGTCATTGAGAATGGCATTGGACTGCAATGCTGCTGAGTCTAGGTGGTTCCCGATCTCACTTTGCCATGCCTCCACGTGGGCAGATTCAAGGTCTTTCGGTATTTTGGTGATGTAGGGGCGGTAGAAGGTGATCAAAGCAGCTCTGTGACTGTAAGAAACAAACCGAATCACGATGAAGAAACAGAAAAAGGCACTTACTGGTAATGCAGTTGTAAGTGATATGCATAAAAGGCTGCCAAAGGACTTTGTTCATGCCCAGGTCTAGCTGGTACCCGGAATTGCAAGAGCTTCGTTTTGAGGGAATCAAATTGCTGGAGTGTTGGGCTTGCGCCCGAAGGTTTATAACTCAGTGCGAGAATCTCACCTAGAAGCTTGCTCATGTTGATCAAATTGACCCAATAATCAGCCAATTGAGGTAAGTCCTTGGGAAAATAAGCGCTGGTAATTGACGTTGGTAGCTCAGCTACATCACCAAGCAAATCAGAGGCTGCAGGCATCGGGAGGTCACAATCGTCAAGGTTGATCCTCAGAGGCCGCCCCAATGTCAAACTCAACCAGCGGTCTCGGTAGAAACAGGTCCACCAAAGACGGCGCCAGATAGGACGCCGGCGAGCAGGATAAGCAGAATTGACCTTGGCTGAATCCGGGTCTCGGTGCAAGCCCAACATTTGACAAAGGCTGATCGCAACCCCTACCCAGTACCATGGTTGCGCATGGCTGTCTTCTTTTGAGTGCCAAAATCCCATAAGAAGGGCAGACTGTGTGAGGATTACCTTGTCCGCCTCGCCACCATTATCGTACATGCACTAGTCGCTTATTAGTTGTTTGCCAACAAATAAACCAGTCAAGTTAATTACCTTCGCGCGAGAATACATCACATGTTTCATCTCCTTGCGGGATGAGTAGCCTTCAAGTGACCAAACATTCTCGCCGACAAACTATGAGCAGACATTAGACCGATGTAGCTAGGGGTATGAAGAACCGACCTACATTTGAAGCTGCGAAGAAAATACTCCACAATAAAAGTAAATTCAACTCATTGATTTGATTGGAATTGAAGAACGCCGTCACATCAATGATTGGCATGATAGGGTGTATATTATGAAAATACGCGCGGAGAAGTTCGGCAGAGGTATTTTTGTGCGGCATGGTAAACACACCTTTATGCTGAAGGTATTCACTATCTTGAGTAGATAGGGAGGCCGATATATTTGGTGAAAGCAAAATATGCCTTGGCACAGTTTGGTTTGGTTGTGTGCAGACATCGAGAATGGATGAAAATCCCGGAGACTCGCCTATTGTGAGAGTCAGTTTTACGGTGCCTTCAATAGCAAAGCAGAAAGATGCGGGGTATCTATAATACCAGTGTAAAAAGGAACCTGGCCAGTGTTGTTGTCCTGCCCCAAGACTGCCGACGATATTTCGACACCAGTACGCTCAGCTACGTCGGTAGGCCGCTCAGTAATAGAACGAAGTGTTCCATCATCCCTGGGGAAATCCAATTGTTCTGTCCGAGGGACCTGCGGTAGCAGATTGGGGGTTCTTCGTTCCATAGGAGCCGAAGGACCCGATGGAGGTATACTACTCGGCTCGGCTCTAAGCTGGTCAACCTGGACATTCTCTTGTGACGGATGACGAGCGGCAAGTGATTTGGTCTGTTGTTTTCTATATCGTTGATTGAATATCAGCCCCAATGAAGCGATATCTCTCGTTTCGAGCGTGCGGATGTTATCGAGCTAACCTTCGCCGCATTCTCTCCCGGACTATGCACTCGGCTCCATCTTGGGTACAGCCGGCACACGGGATGCCGGTGACAGAAACACTGCAGCGTACTTTCCGCTCACGACAGTTTTGGCATGCAACAGCCGATCGACGGTAGCGTTGTGGTGTCATCATGGAGTTGTTTTAGAACCGAATTTAGGCGAGGTCAACATTTCCTCGGGTAGCCGAATAAAGTCTCCAGCCGAGGATCCCGAACCAAGGTCACGTGGATGGACCCTGAGAACCGATCATTCTGCCAGTCTCGAACCTTCAAGAATGAAGTTGTTGGCCATGTCACTGAAACCCCCTGTCCAATGCACTCACGACTACTCGTATCATTTGGACAGTAGACTCCCTGACTGGGACTTGTTGCGAGCAGTCGCAGTACGTTATAATTAGGGGTCGGAACAAGCCTTGACAAAGCAAGATAAAAATATTTCCATGACTTGACAGGTTTTTATCCGAGAACTTCAAAAATCCCACTTTTGGTTATGTCAGTCAAATATAGCGTAGCAAGTGAAGCTGTATTACAAAAAAAGTCTAGCTGGAGGCTCTGGGCGGCATATTGCTTTTTGGGGTACCTGCAGGATTATAAGCATGCCAAGCTTCCGCGGATCCTTTGATATCCACCCACAATGTCAGAATAATTTGGAGATATCGAGATCCGGACCTCAAACGGCATTAATCCTATTATTACTCAATGAGCCGGGGAGTTTGACGCTAACCACGAATATACAGTCGTGTCCTCGGTCGCAAGAATGGTTCTAGCAAAGCATTCATGAATATCGACATACGGAAATGTGACCACAAGTATATACACAATATACTGGGAACCGGGACTTTGACACAATGGATTAATCAATACAAGGTAACTTATCAGTGTCGATATCGGAAAAATTGATAGATACACTACCCTCATTACCGGGTGAGAGAACTGGCGACTTTTTAATTAGTTTGTGTCTTGATTGGTGTCAAGGCAGAGGATTCGAGGAATGTATGGTTTAAGAATATACATTCATAGAAAAAGTCGTGAATTCTAATAGCAATCTCTATATTCATATTGTACAGAAAGAAAATAACTGAATATCTATTGTAGGAAACGAAGAAAAGGCTTGCAATCGTAGGTTGAAAAAAGAACGTTATTCAGAGGAGCGCGATTCCAGTGAAAGCACGGGTCTCATCAGAATAAATAACCTTCTTTTTCTTACCCTCTAGATCGCACTGGTAGATGCTGCCACCAAGATCGGTCATGTAAATGTGACCGTTCTTGGTATCGAGTTTCAAACCAATTGCCTCGTGGAAATGCTTGGTGAGGATCTCATGCTTCTGCGAAGCCTCCGCGAGAAGGCCAGAGTCAGTCAACTGAGCCCGGTTTAATGTGTTGCCGAAGGGAAGCTCGCCGCGGTCAGTCCAGTAAAGCTGTAGAGTATCTTCCCTCAACTCAAGATCAATGGGCTCGGGAAGACTCGCCACAACACACTTGATATCCTCTCTAGTCTTGGCGGACTGACCACTAGGCATCTCAATATTGGCGCTGAATATGCGGCCCTTGCCGCTCTTGGAAGCTCCCTTCTGTGTCCAGAAGAACTTGCCCAGCTTAGGGGACACAGTGATGCCAACACACCATTTAGAATGCTCAAGAGTTTGCTGAGAAGCCCCATCTTCGCGATTATCGATTAATAGTTCCAGGGAGGAACCATCGTAGTTGCATCGGAAAACGCGAAGACCTTCGCGGTCGCAGAAATAAAGTTTCTTGAGTTCCGCCACCACAACAAGTTGCTTGGGAGTGTTGACCGCACCAGAAGGAACAATTTGGCGAATATCAGTTCCATCTGTCTTGGCAGAGTAGACAGAACCATCATCCTTTCCTGGAACTCCCATAGTAGTCCAGAACATCCGGTCACTCTCATAGTCGATGTCAATACCGTCCGGATAGGCCTGTTTGGGAACCAAAACTTGCTTGAGCTTTCCATCCAAACCGATTTCAAGGATTTCACCAGGTGTGGAACCGAGAACATCGGAAGAGAGGCCAATGTCCAGGACAACAATGCGGGGCTCATTTGGGTTGGCTGCGGTATCGACAGGCGAGTAAAGTCCTCCGTTAGCACACTTATTACCCAGCTTGCCGTGGTCCAGATAATTCTTCTTCAAGAAATCAACGGTATGCTCAGAGGGTAGGCCGCGTTCATGAATGTAGTGACCCTCAATGAAAGCAACGGTATCAAGGCCGACGTCTAGAAACATATATGTTAGCCTTGAATCACAGTTCAACGGATTAGAGCTGTACTCACTGTCCATCATCTTGCAAGGGAGGGCGCGACCCTTGATGAACATCTCCTCCCACATAGCGTCGATTTCTCCAGGAACGGAGACTCCCTCTGACAGAATAGTCAAGGTCTCGCGCTTCACTGCAGCCCAAAGTCGGTTGAAGATAAAACCGGTCGATTCCTTCCTGGCAACGTAGGGTGAAGTTGCGCCTTCCTTAGCGCGTTCGACCAAGAAAGGGAAAATTTCGGGAGCCGTAAACCCGTCGGTCATAAATTCAACAATCATACAGGCAGGGGGCATATAATAATGCATGTTTAGTACTTGAGACTTTCTAGCCGCGGAGACCTTCTCGAGCATTTCAGAAGATTTATAAGACGACGAGTTGGAGGCCAAGATGCAGTCGGCAGGAGAGAGTGCGTCAAGCTCAGCAAAGGTGTCGATCTTCAACTGGATCTTCTCCGGGACAGCTTCGATAACAAGCCAAGCATTTTCGACCGCAGACTTCACGTCTTCAAATGCCTTTGCCGTGCCTGGAGCGATTCCAGTCTTCTCAGCGTATGAGGCAACATTCTCTTCAACGTAGGTGACACAGTCGGCACGTTGCTGGGGGCTAGGGTCGCGAACTCGGACGTTATATCCGGCAGAAGCCCAGATGCATGCTATAAACAACCATTAGCCTTTCAGTTCCAGCAATCGCGTAGTAATGAGAGTCGCATACCAATTCTACGACCAAGCACACCGGCACCAAGAATGGCAACCGGTCGGTTGGCGTAATCTGTGGGTGCTTGCCAAGAAATAGTCATTTTTTATAGAAAGTTGTTTGAGAAATTAATTGTCTTGGGTTCGTTTTTGGGGTCAGGATTTTGGTTCAACTCCAGATGAGATGAGTGGGCACATCGATATGACTGACCAAGCTTATATAGTAAATACTCACTTTCATCCACACCATCCGGGCACTTCGGAAGGACCACTTGTAAGCGAGGAAGTATTCGGCTTCTCGGGATTTCAGATATGCGTGGCCCCGGCCCGTGGCCCAAGCTATCAATTAAGGTTATTCTCGAGTTTTCTAGATGCCGTTTTGCCATGAAACCGTTGCCTCTTGGCTTGATTCGGGCCGAGGAATCAATATTCAAGTTCCTATTGGTTTCGATTTGGCCAATAGTATTTACCCTCTACCAATCCCCGAGTTTCAAGTCGCCACTTGGACTGTATGGCTTGGATGCTCTGGGCATTCCTAGATTTGATATTGTAAGAGTGCCTGTTTCGCACGCATCCCACCATGCTAATTTATTACCACGCGTCGTGCTTAGAGATGCACTTAATTTCCAATGAGGGGATCTTGTCTCGTCCATCTACAACAATATCAGCCATTGCCGACATAGCCGATCTTTACCATATTCGTCTTCTTGTTACTGAGAGCCTCGTGTGGGCCCACGTAAATAGGTGTGCCCAGCGAACCAAGGCAAGATTCTCTGAATATTGGTTTTAAGATTCCACCCGAAGACAAGTTAAGAAGATTATTAAGGGGATCAAGGTCCATTCGAGACAAATGTTGTTATTGTTACTAGTTTTGGGAAAATTAATCATGACAATGGGAAAGTATGAAGTAGAGGATATGAGTATATAAAGGACCATGAAAAGACAAAAACCGATAAATTAAAGAAAACAATGGCACAACTGGAAGGAAAAAAACATAAATGAGTCTAAAAGAGGAAGATCTGATCGGTCATCTTTGCGATAGATCCAGGAGCCTGGAAGCCCATGGATACCAAAGCAGTCTGGGCAGCTTTAACCATGCCAGGCGGTCCACAGAGCATGATTTTGGTGTCGGGAGAAGGCGCTGGGAGCTTGGCAGCCATAACATCTTTAGTGACAAAGCCCTTACCATAGGCCCAGTCCTGTGGAGGCTTGTCGAGCATATACCAGAGCTTGAAGTTTTTAGGGTGATTCCGGGCGAATTTTTCGAGTTCTTTTCTTAGAAGAATGTCCTCCTCGGTGCGGTTCGCGAGGATGAGACTGACTTCCGTTGTGTCGTCTTCGTCTTCGCAGATAGCGCGAATAAGCTGGTACATAGGAGTGATTCCAGTGCCACCACAGACCATTCCAATCTTCTTGCAGACACCTCTCTTGTACTTCATTGCACCCTTAGGGCCGCGGAAGAGTGTCTTATCCCCGACCTTCAGATTGGCAAGATACTTTCCAGTCAGGGCTCCGTCAGGGTAGCACTTGATGACCAGCTCCAGCCTACCTAGGTCTGTATTATTAGAGGTTGGGGTGTAAGACCGAGTGACATCTTTTCCGTCAATACTGGCTTTGATAGCACAATGCTGACCGATTGGAATGCCGATGACATCAGTTTCCTGTGGCAGCTGGTAAACAAATCGGAAAACGTTCGGCGAAAGCTGCTCTTTTTTGACTAGGGGAAGAGCTCTGTATTCCTTAGGCTGTAAGTAACCGCGGGCAAGCCCAGGATCCGCCTTCGGCACAGGTCGACTCTTCAAATGAGCAGGATATTTGGTGAATCCAGACTCGATTTGAGTCATTTTTGAAAGCTTGGCGGCAACAAAGGTGCCAATCACCGCACACGCAGAGGTAGCGACAGCAAATCCGGTAAAGAATCCTCCCCGCGACAGGGTAAGACTCGATGTTGACCGTAGCGACGGCGCAGAAGGCAGGGACAAGGAAAGCTTGGGCAAGATATTTTGTAGCTTGAGATGGTGCTGAGAAGCAAAGTAGAGTCCCGCGCCACCAGTAATGGAGCCGATCACCAAGGCAACTGCACCAGCAGAAGACCCTGATTTTTTAACAGTCTCCTTCTTTGTATTGGTCGGCTGGACTAGACGAACAACCTTCTTAGGAGCTTTGGTCGGTTCGGCGCCGTCCACTGTGCCAATCAAAAAGGTCTTCAAGATCTCGTCCGCATCCTCCGAATGGCCGACTTCTTCATATGCTTCGGTCGCATCGGCTCCAGCAACATCGTACAGGACATCTGCACCGCCAGGGTGATCTCGCACGTATGTAGTAAGGTCGTAGACTAGAATATCCTCGTTAGATGTCAGACTTCCAATATAAATATTGACTGGCGCATGATACCTTTTCCATGAATGATGACCCATAGGTCAGTTCTGTCTTTGTGGAGGGCGACATCAGCCACACTGAACAACTTATCGGCTGCCATTGATGAAGTTCTATGGTAGCTTGGAGAAACAACAGATTTTTCTTTCAGGAGACAGCGAAAGTTGTCTTTGTTGGGAGGGCTGTTGCAAAAGAGCCGCTTGATATAGAAGTGATCTGACAGGGGGATCAAAAGACTGTCTCAGACTGACATCGAACAGATGGCCAACCATGTAATATAAATATAGTAGGATCTTCGCCATCTCCATTTCATACTCCGAGGATATTTCTAGATGCCGATCATGCCGATCCCGGCCCGAAGACAGCTCTGGCGACACATTTCTTCCAATCATAGCTATTACCGAGTAGCGAGCTTAAGTGAAAAACCAATCAAGGCGTTATGAGCCCAAACCTCAATGAAAATTTTTAACCCATTTTTACAGTACGAGTTTGGATGATAAGCATACACTTCAAATTTAACTGTAGGACAAGCTATGCCTCACACCTTATTTGCGAAATCGCGGGTTTTCGCGATGTGAGGCGAATCAAGCTGATGAACATGATCACAAAACGTCTGTAACTGCCGGTATTCAATGTAAATTCCTTATCCCATATCTATAAATCAAGTAATACATTGATCCAATCTCCATGGTTTGTTGCTGCGCAATATATACACTGCTTTGTACAATCAACAATTTTTCCTTCTTCGTCGCTCTCTTTCTCTCGCTGAATAACCGTAACAACAATGATTTCCTAAAAAAAAAAAAAAACATTTTGACGTTATTAGAGATCCGAGTGCAAAATCAAGTTCCTAACCGAAGGACCGAGGTAGATTCGGCTTGAGGTCGATTCGGCTTGAGAAAGCCGAGTGGCCAATGCAGCGGCATGCCGAATATTCCACAACCGGTGGCCAATGACTGACTACACGTATGACTTGACCAGTCAAATCGAACTAAGAAATGAAAGGTCTCCAGCAATGACCGGCCATCTTCGGCCTTTCCGAAGATTCGGTACTCGGATCTAACCAGTGAGTGGACTTATAGGACATAATCTCCCACTGTTAAAGATGTATATAAAACCCAAACCACGCATGCTGAGACCCATACAATCCAAACATTCAATCCCACAAGTACTACGTCGCCATGCCTCTACAAAGGTTTTGTCTCCTCGGCAATCCTGTCACGTCCGCAATAGAAATTGAGGTCGAGTCGAACACTGATCTCGACGGACTCAAGCACTTGGTTGCTGCGCACTTCGCTATCGTTGAGCCAAATGGTAAGTAAGGCCATGTAGCATTTACTCCTTCACCACTTTCATAGACACGTTCTGACACCGAAATAGGAATTGCATTCCAGTTTGACGATGCCGACCTCGCCGAAGTCCAAGACATTATTTCTGCTCAGGGACCGGTGACGATCACCATTGATGGGCACGCCGTCCGCGACCCTCCCGGCCCCAAAGGCTTGCCTATCGTGGGCAACTTCTTCGAAATTTACCCCGATCACCTTGGCAACCACCAACGTCTTTTTGAGCAATTCGGTCCAGTTATTCAGACGAATAACCTGGGTCGTGTGACCTACACCACCAATGATCCGAATATTGCAGCCATTGCCTTCGCCGAGTCTGACTTCTTTACAAAAGAGATCAATGAAGCCCATCCCCTTTATCCCTTGAAGACCCCCTCTGCAGGAATCTTCCTCGGCGATACCGATACTCCCGAATGGAGAGTGGCTCACAAATTCCTACCTCCGGCATTGGGTCCTAAAGCAGTTCGCCACTATGCACCTACTATGCAAAAGACCGTTGAGGATGCCTGCCTAGTTTTCGATGAGCTAGATAAGCAGGGTGAAGCCTGGAATGTCTACCAATATATGCTCAAGCTCGGTTCTCAAGCCGTCGGTAAACTCACCCTTGGCTTAGACTTCCAGCACTTCACTTCGCCTGACGCACCTGTCCACGATATGGTTCATCTGATTGCAGAGATGCTATCCTTGAATAAGAAGGTTACTTCTAAGGGTAACTGGTATAGCAGTCTCCCTTTCGGTGATCCCAAGCGTTTGAAGGATATTAAAAGCCGTATTGAGAGTATGGTTGAGGAGTCTATCGAGAACGCTGCCAGAGGTGGCGTAGAGGATCTTCCTCTACAGGACGCAGCCTTGAAGGCAACGAACATGGTTGGTAAGTGTAACTCTCTATCTTCCACCTTATTATATACTCAAAGACTAACGATAATATTGTATAGACTATGCTATCCGTGCAACTGATAACAAGGGAGAGAAGCTGCCAAAGGAAAGTCTCGTCTGGGCTCTTGTCGTTGCGACTGCCGCTGGCTTTACAACAACGAGCTCCCTGCTTTCCTGGCTGATCTACGGGCTTGTCACCTACCCGGGTATGCAAGAGAGGCTTCTCCAGGAGCTGATTGATAACGGCTTTGATAATGAGACCCAGATCACTGCCGATTTCACTGAACGTCTGGTTTTCCAAGAGAAGTATATCAAGGAGATGCAACGCAGGCACAATCCATCTTTCCAACCCGGACGCACCGCGAAAACAGATCTTATCCTCCCTGGGGGCTACAAAATCCCCAAGGACGCAGTCATTATTCCTGCTATCCACCATCTTCACAACAATCCTGATCACTGGGATAACCCCTATAGGTTCAATCCCGACCGCTGGGATACCCCGGAGGTTAAGAACAGACACAAGGGCTCTTATGTACCATTCGGTGCCGGTTCGCGGATGTGTATCGGCTTCAACTTCGCGCTTCAGGAAGTCAAAGTCTTCCTCCCGAAGCTGATATACAACTACAAATTCACTCGAGAAGGTGACGGACCCATTGAATATGATCCCATGTTCCAGCTTATCCGCCCGAACAACTTGTATGTTCGTGCTCAGAAGCGTGCCAAGTGGCCCCCCAAGTCTGAGGCTGCTGTTTGAAGGCCCACATCTCAGGTTTCGTCTTCGTTTTAAGCTCGGTGCGCGGAAATGGCATGAACTGTGTCTTCGTCGTTATTCTTTTTTGTTTTTTAGAACTTCACTATTATGTATTTTTAGAATTTTATTCTCTGTTTCATTCCCAATTGAAAAATGATTTTCTTATTGATTCATTATTTTTCAGATTCATAAGGTAGTGGATGATCCTATGGCTATATTCCCAGATGCCTCGAAGACAGGGCATGACTTGCCACCGCGCCAAGGCTCGGCTTTTGTCACTCTGTAACTCACAAGGGTCCGTCCGTTCATTTTTCATAGGCATCGGAATTGTATGTAGTGGTCGGTGCCCAAGCAGACCTTAAAAATGTTGTGGAGTTAGGAATGGAAATGTGTTTGAGCTACTGGACTAGGAGATAGACGAAGAAGACTGAAATATTTTGATAGAAGCTATAACAAAGCAGGCGCTAATCCAATTTTCTTAGTATCTCCTATGAATATTTGTGAAGGACGATGCGAAAAGGTCCAGAAGTCAACATACGGAAACCTCTAAGCTTATTAACTGGCCCCTGACTTAAATGAGTATGACAAAAAGGTCGACAGAATGGATAAACTCAGGGTCTGCCTCGACCTCGACTACAAACAAATGGCGGAGGGCGAAATTATTGTGGCTCTTGGTAGATATTTGATTGAAATCGGTACACACAACAACTCTTGTAGGTATTACAAAAAATGGTTAAGAGCCAGATATGTGGGCTGCCGACATATAAGTTCCATCTGTTCATTATTTAGTATAATTTCCTTAGGGCCTTTCGTAAAGTATTCACAAAGCATTCTAAAATTTGACCCCCCAAGCCCATCCTTTGCAAATGCCACGAGACACGATGAAGGCAATGGTAGACGTAATATAGAGCACGCCTCCAAAGATAATCAGCCCGTAATACTCCCCATTGTTGTGCTGTTGGATAGCACCTGCAATAGGGAGAGCAATGAGGGTACCAAAGGAGACTAGCGTCCATGTAGTTCCAACTCTCTTTCCATAGTCTTGGATTTCGCAGACCTGTGAAATACAAACCGGTGCAATACTGATAGCCGACCCACTCCAGAAGCCGAACAGCACAGCGTAGCTGATGACAATTCCCAAGCTGTCGGGCTCGACCAGATCCCCCGATAGCCAAAGGATGAGCGTAAACAGGGAACACATCAAGCAATTCACGGTCATAACGTTGAAGCGACCCAGCCGATCAGCCACCAGTCCTGGTAGAAATCTTCCAAACACAGCACCGAGATTAAGAAAGACAAGGATCGCATATGACATTTGTTCATCGAAGCCGGCATGAAGTGTATAGGACGTGACATAGGTGATTGGAATGAAAGCGGCAAATTCAGCAAAGAAGACGGCCAACGTCGCAGATCCGTATTTGATATCTTTGAGGGCCTTAAAATCGAGGGATGCGACTGCTTTCTTGGGGGGAAGTCTGGTTCGGACCATGAGGCATGCAATTGAGCATAACACTGCACATACGAGTGCGATGATTCGAATTGCCCATGCAAATCCGATGCGGGGAGCCGCAAAAAGAATTATCAGGGGAAATATGCAACCCCCAACGCCTCCCGCTGTGCAGGCCACTCCAGTTGCCCAACCACGTCGAACATTGAACCAATGGCCAACAGCCGCCAAGGGAGGCGTGAAAAGTGTGCTTGCTGATATTCCACCAAGAACGCTGAATGACAAAAATATCTGATAATATTCTTGTTGACAGTTAGACTTTATTTCTTGCTCGGGGGTGCGTGAACTGGCGATGAAGATATTGCAATAAGAGAAAGGAATAGATATGAGAAACGCACCCTGACTGAAGCTCAAAAAGATTAATGAGAGTACTATCCCGATAGAGCCCGGAAGCACCACATATAGTGGTCCATGGGAATCAAGGATCCCACCTGAAGTGCTTGTTAGTTCAGACTGCATTCGATGTGGCTGGAAGATTCATACCAAATTGTGCACCTCCTAAGAAAAGAAAAAATGTGTATGTTCCATAAATCCAACCGATACTTGACTCAGAATAATCCTTGAGCTGATGGGTACTTGTCCAAGGTTGCAGAGCTCCCAGGCTATTTAAAAGTCCCATAGAAGGCACCATCGCACACCATGCCCCAAGGACTACAGACCAGGCCTTCAGGCCTCCTTCGGGGTATTGATCAGGATCTGACTCAACTGGTACAATTCGAAGTGAATCGGGCTCTTTAGAGGCGATGTCTTGCATTTTCAAGGTAATGGGAAGGAGAAGGGCTGTCTAAAAACGAAACGAGAAGGAGAGTTATAAGTTGATTTCAATGTGATTCACAATTTGAAGTATATGGTCACAATTAGATGCCCGTTGGATTAGAGACCATCAGCTCAAACCTTGTCAGGGTCTAAAATTCAAATTTACCCCCAAATTCCCAAATTTCTAAAAGAAAAAAAAACGCCTTATCTTTGAACATCGGTCCCACCAAAGGCTTTAACCTAAAGCAGAATGTAGTGGGTCTCTATATCTTTTACTCCGTAGATATTAGATACTCGATGCTATTCGGTTTATTAGCCTGATATATATTTAGGGTATCATAAGACTTTGTCAACAGTTTCAACAAATTTTCACCTATAGCTCCTCCATGCAGATATTCAATTGCCCTATGACTCTGCGGCTACCATAGTTCCTGATGTCTCTTTTCCGCGATTGACAGCAGATTAATATGTAGCCCCTAAGAATCATTCAGGCCTGATTAATCCAAAGCTGCAGTGACAATCGCATGGTCCTACTATCACTGCAGCGAACAGAAGTAACAAAGCCGATGACCCGAATCAATAGCAAAAATGCTTCGCCGCCAGGCATGAAAAGAAGGGATGGGAGAAGAAAGAATTTAAATAAGCTAATAGCGAATGCAAAGGGTAACCAGAGCCACGATAGGAACCAGTGATAGTAGATTGAACAGTGTCGAAATGGGAAGATATTTGCATCCAATATCTATGGTGTAAGTCGAGGTGATAACGGAAAGGCCCGGGTTGTGCGTGGATTTGCGGGGTAGATTCGTGACGCCTCCGTCTACTGTATGTACGGACCTAATCATAACTAGCGCTGGAATCAGATATCCGACCCATGGCCGCTATAGCTACACCTTCGCAACAGTATAACATACAAACTACCCTTACCCGATTGGAATGAGCGTTATGTTCAACATTCCAACGAACAGGCCTATGTATAGTTGCGCGGCTCTACCATGAGGGCGAGCTGTGAAATAAATTATCAGGTAGATCAGTAGGCATAGTTGCTGGTTAAAAACCTCTTTCTCTCAACGTCAGATATTTTGTTGCCCGGTATAAGATGTTGACCCCTAGACAAATGCTAGCCGAGGCTTTGCCTAAAACAGCCCCGCTTATAAAGTTTTGGTTGAGATAAATACATTTGAAATCCAGTAACTAGGTTGGATACCGTGAAGTACTGCTAATCAGCCAAAGTTATATTAAAAGGGAGAACCTGCTTATGGACCGAGACTAGCCATTCGAAGACCGGCTTCTATGGATGCTGTTGCTGATTCTTCGAAGTCGAGCGGAAAAAGCAACTGACCACTGACAATTTTACCAATATGCGTCCGTCCAATCCGCTGGCAGTCTTTCCTAATCTGTGACATTAAAATCTCAAGGAATTTGAGCGGGCTCTGACTGAAGCCTGTCTTCGCTCCAGGGAAACCTCGTTTGATGAATCCGTCCGCAGCGACAACAAGACCGGGCGGCGTTTTCACAGATGCCACCCCCAAGAATTCACAAACGTCCTTGTACTCGGAGTACGATCCAAGGTACAGCTGCCCAGAAAACAGGTTGAGCAGGATACGGAACATATCTGGTATCTCAATTTTGACAACATCGTCGGGGACCGTGTATAAATTTAGTCTATCCAAAGACTGAAATCCTCGGCTTTGGCGTGGGGCATACAGATGAAGAGTGACGACACGTGATTTTCGTATCTTGGGCATCAAAGCGTTGGCCTCGTAAGGGCTGATGATCATCATGCGCAACTGAGGTGTTCCGTCGTCGACAACATGGTTTCGACTTGTCAGGACCCATCTGACAGGACGTTGGAAAGCATCAGCAATGAAGTGTGAGCCTGGGGGAAGTCTTGATGGTCCTAACGAAGTCGTTGGAAGCTAGTAGACTAGATGGGAATTGAGATACGTCCAGAAAGCAGGCGGCGGAGGTGTTGCGCAGCGTGAGGTATGCTGGCTCATAGGCCTCGGCAGACCTTACAAGAATGCCTGTAGTGACAAATGAAGATATGTGTGGATGGATATAGTGCGTTTCTGGTGTAGCACTTGGAGGCCTCTGAATCTGGCGCTCACTTTGAACTTCCGGTGCGAGCTCGCGCTCCTGTTCCTCTTGAAGGGCGGACGAAGTGGCGAGACCTTCAAACTTGCGGCAGCGTTTCCAAATCAAACTTAGATTCGGGCTAGCATCTGAAGGAGAGGTAAATGACGGCCGCGTTTGATGACCAGGTCGGTATCGCTGTTCAACAGTCTGGCATTCGGGCTCGAGAAATTCCTGGGCTTGTCTCGGTGTCAGATCAAGACAATCATTTTGGCGGTAAGCTTGCCACAGTTCCTGTTGGCGCTCGAATCGTGTGCCCTGGATCGCCCAAAGGGGGATACTGTGTCGGCTGTCAATCCAAGTCTCGGAAATGGCCCAGAGAAGCACGTCCGCGACAGTGATCTGAGAATCCTTGTCCTTGCCACTTAAGGCCAGGATATCGGACTTGATCTCCTCGGGAACGTAAAAGACCACAGACTGTCCGTGGCCCAATTTTCTCATTCTCATACACGCTGGAGTATAGTCAGTCCTGGCTTTGCCTGATATGAAGAATGCAAATTTCGTACCTTGAACCAATTTGTCCTTTGTGATACCCGGACCCAGTGTGACCGCCGCACGATAATTAGACGGGAGCTTCAAATCGATCCCTCTAGTATGTGCTTCGTCTAGGAAAACAAAGCATGCTTCCATCTGTCTTGCAAATGGTGAAATTTGCAAAAGTTCAACACGTCCAGTTCGATCCAGGACGCAGATATCGTCTTTATTGTTAACAAACACCACCGCTTGGATTGGTCCTTCTTTTCGGAGCAGTTTGAGCCAGCGGGCCGCCAAGTCATCGTTACTGAGCTCTAGAATCTGTGCGCCCACATCAAGAATTACCTGGACCGGTGGACTCTGATCCAATACCAGATCCAATATGATCTCGGCATCTGACTTGCATGGCTGGACGTGCTGTGGAATACAGGCCACGGAATTTTCTGGCTGCAACAAATATTCCAGCACCAACGCATTCGTGTGGTTTTGCTCCGGCAGGTCGAGTTGCGAGACGCTCAGCGGTAGGGTTTCTCGTGAATCATTCGTCCCACTAAACCCTACTGTAGGATGTGTTTTAATATCCCCAATATCCCAGCCAGACGCAGACAATTTGTCAGGAAACTCCTTCATCTCTTTCGGGAATACGACGTGTGTTAAGAAGTAGTCGACAGTAGCTTTGGAGAACCGTAGAGCGGGGAACACATGATCGGTACAATGAGACCGGTCATCCAGATTCACTCCCACAAGCTGCTGGTAGGCAGGGGGAAGCCTAGAAGCATCCTTCGCCCACTCTTGATACTCTGCACTGGCTTGGTCTGACCTGACCAGATGATTGAAGGCGAGAAATATATCGTCGTCGCCAAGTCCAGCATAGTAGTAATTCAGACATGTCAACAGAATCACAACATCGGGATGGCTGAATTCTGACCGAAGAGAAGGGCTATCCTTGGCTCGATATGGCACACAAAGTCTTGTCGGTGGATTTCGGCTCCTATCAACCCCATAGTTGACGCGCCATCGCTTTTTACCCAAGCAAAAGGCTAGAACACCCCCGGCGAGCAGACCCCGTATCAACAGCAGGGTTGCCTGTGTGCTCTCTCCCCAAAATCCTGCGGAATTCTCGCACTCCACCGCCGCGATTTCGTCCACCAGGGGCTCAGGTTTTATAATGTAGATGTAGACGGCATCTCTGACGGGCTGGGCCTGCCTCGAGATTGACAGAGAGCCAATATCATTCTCGCATATATGCCTTCCGACGTATTGGACCAAAGCTTTCTCAGCATCCTGTTTGAGCAAACGTATCCGTGGAAAACCGCCGTGCGGCTGCTCGCTCACTTCAATGGAGTCGGGAAATTCAGTATGGACGCGACCAGCATAATCTCGAACCAGTTGTAATAGCTCTTGTACCACAATCCACCGTTGCGGGCTGAGCTCGACGGGACGTTGAGATCCCATGGTATAGATCAATTCAAATTTGACGCTAAAGTTTTCGTCGCTTTCGTCCACAATGTCCCGGGAGTTTTGTTGGAAGAACTGTAACGTGCGAAGTAGAGACCGGCCCACGGCGCATTTACCAGCAATAAAACACTCAAGGCTCATCAATTTCAAAGATAGGATATGCTCGGGTTGAACGAGCAAGACACCGCCCTGCGACATACACTCTAAACACATACGTTCAATCTCCTCTGCTTCGGCTTCTCCGAATTTCAGAGAGCGTGTAATGGGCATATGATACACACGCCGACCCAAGAGACCACCCAACTTTGTGACCAGCATTTGAAACATTTGTCGTGATTGCGGCTTAGCCACAAGCACACGAACCAGACAAACTCCATTTGCAAGATTTGCTACCACCATAGGAACAATGACTGAGGATTTCCCCTCGCCCATATTCAATTGCATGACGGCATTCTTTCCTGGGACAAAGTGCCTCATTGTCGCCGCAATTTCCTCCTGAATACCTCTTATCAGGATCCCGTTCTCTATCTCCAGCAGAAGAGTCTCTGGGAATTGGATTGGCTGCCAGTTCGTATGTCCTGAATTTTCGAGTTCTTTCAGGAGTTCGTCCGGGTGCTTGAGAAGGCGAGCTAGTCGTTTCGCTCGCTGCAATTTAGTGATTGAGCACCCGTAAGCGATGAAACATTTTTTCCAGTTTAGGTCTAGTAGACCCCATCGATGGCGCGACAGTTGCTCCAAAAAAAGGACTGGTGACAGCCTTGGGTACTGCTGCAGTTCCAGGGCTACTGCGATTACCTTTGCCCTGAAAGGATGCATCGTCCCTGACCAGGCGGTCTTATCACGAGGACAGAGCTCAGACACAAGTGATCGATAGACCCTGTCGACATATTCTTGACAGGATCCAAGATAGTCCAAAATAATTGTCTCCAAAACTCCTTGAGCCATATTGATGTGCTTTTCTTGTCTGCCATCTTTCAACGAAGCAACACTGCTTTGTAACTGCCCGACATAGTCTTTCTCGTACTTAGATTTAGCTTGCATACCCAAAGAGTTTAGCAAAGCCATCAGTATAGGAGCTGGAGGTTGTCCTGTCGATGATGTAGAGACAAGGTCCCTTAATTGCGGTTCTTCAATGTCGATGATTGGCTGCGGGCCGAGTAGGTCATCAAAGAGCACAAAGCCACCTTTTTTCGGCGCACTTCGAGGTGGATGTGGTAGCTGGTAGGGTTGAATCTCGACCTCTTCGATCAGTTGACGGCAAGTGACATTCGCAATGTCGGTGAGGTATCGCTTCAGATCTCGATTGTCGAACCAGATACTGAACAATTTTGAAACTTTCATCATCATCTCCTGTGCATCAAAGTAGTCATTTGATGTTGAATTTGATGGTGAGGACGGTGATCGGGTGGGCCACTGGCGTTCAAAATGTAGTAACAAACTTTCCTTAATGGTTTCCCGATTTTGATTCCGAAGTCTAGCCCTGCGCGACTTGAATCTTCGAACTGTCTCATTTGGTTCTGGCGCAAGTCCTGACTCTGGAGTGACTTCACGCTGTGCCGAATCGATTTGATGGCTAATTGAAGATTTGATCATCTTAACTCCTTCTTTTGGCAAAAACAATGCGCTGGTTGGCAGATGGATTGAGGCCAGGTCATGAATCACAAAAAGCGAAACAATGGTCTCAAGGGCAATCATATCAGCTTCATCCGAGAAAGCAAGGGCTGCAAGCCAGATCATGAGCTGGAATTTGCCGAGGCGGCGGGTTTGTGAGCACGCGAGGTGGTGTATGCTGCACCAATTGCTGACAAGGAACTCTCTTGATTCTAGTATCCACTCAGCATCGTACCTCAACCTTCCCGTGTCCAATGGAGTATGAGGGCCATGAGCCCCGGTGGGTAAAGAAAAGAATTGCCAAAGATGCGAGGTCAACTGTTTAGATTGTAGTTTGCGGACAGAAGGGATCCCTTTGTAAAGCATCTTGCAAATGGAAAAGCTTCGAGACGCTCCAAAAGATATCCGATCCTTGTCGAGACTGTTGTACATGCTGTCGTACTCCTGTGTATGGCCGTCGGCGCCGAATCCTTGGGCGCGGAATGAAGATGTGCGGATTCGCTCCCGCAGAAACAGTGCTTGCTCCACATGTGGAAGTGACGGGTGATTCAGCTCCGCCCCAAGTTGAAAAATTCTCATGCGACGATTTTGGTCCAGTATATCTGCGACTTCCTCGCGAAAGCCATAGTGCTGAGAGAGACAGCCTAGGCCTTGCCGCCAGTGGATGCTCTGCATCACTTTCTCATTATTAGGATAGTATCTCCTGGCAGGAGTGAGAGATGCGATGTTCTTGAGGAGTTCAATGTGCTCTGTCTGCAGGCGATCAAAAGACCTCAGGGACGCGGACCTAAGTATAGCCAGAGCCTGCTCGGTACCGGTCTTCTTGGTAAGTGGATCTGGTAGGCAGAAGGACGTAAGAGCATGCAAGTACGTGAGATATAGCTTGCTCTGTAAGCTTCCATTGTCCAAAAGCCGTCCGAGCTGGCGATCGATATGATACGCATGGATGGTGGTCACAGGTTGCCAACCGATCTCGACACGAACGTGGTTTTCATCTCTGGCCCAAGATAAAGCTCCTTCAGGTATGAGGACCACTTGATCGTAAGACTCATGGTTCGTGAGCAGAAGCGTGTTGCGTAGCCCAATCAATGAGTCAAAGTCT